AATCTAATTAGAAATTTAGCGATTGTTAAAAATGTCTTATACGGTATAATGCAACGTTACATTAAATATATATTTGAGCAATTAAACCGATGATCGATGATACCAAAAATAGTTAAAAACTGCGTCGAACGCATAACATTATTCACTGCTAGCCGCCAGGAATGTTCTTCTAAGCGTGCATCCTTAACTACAGATACCAGAGTGTTCATATTATTTTTTTGTGTCATGTAAAAAAGTACTGTTTGTTTTTCGTCTCTCCAGCAGTATACGAACATGTGGTCACATTTTCTATAGTTACTGGATAAACATATACAATGGAAAGTCCTTATTTAAAGGTATACCTGTGTAAACCGAACATTTGTAAAGTATTTACAAAGGTCACAGAAACCAGCCTACCGGGAAGCCAGGAAATCTCGGCTTCTTTTCAAATTAAATAGGCCATGTAAGACTGTCTACAGCCCGTGTAAGATTTCTAATTGGTAGGTATTATTTGAAAGCTGTAAAATGCGCAAGCAAAATTACTAGCCAGATGATTACCCCGGCAATGACGATCATAGCAATTTCCAGGCACTGCGCAATGGTAACGAGTATGTTCAGCTTCATCAGGTGGGAGAAACGCCGGCTGAGCACTTCCCCTTGACGGAGTTTGTTGATGGTGTAGACGCCGTAGGAACCGGTACCGATAACCAACACGTTGAATATCAATTCGATAGCCATGGACACGGGAATTTCTGCATTAGAACAACAACATTTACATGTTTTTACGTGGGGTCACGTAGATACTCTGCGTTATCGTACGTACTATCATAACTTATGCATGCCCATTAAGCGCATTATGTGTGCATCAGCAATGCGACAAACATGCGCAACGGTGGCCCTTTGCAGCCCCCACAAAATTGCCACTGTTGATTAAGGATTGGTTACTGAGTAGCATTTAATGCGGTATCGTATTGCAATGTACACAACAAATTTTCCAAAAAAAGGATTACATGGGTCAATGTGAGATCGTAAGCATTCGCCGGTCTCCACAGTCCACACAGCGTCAGTTTAAAAGCAATTAATTTCGGCCACCCGGCACAATTTGAAAGAAATTTAATAAACACAATTTTTTCTTACGCCCATTTAATTTATCGTTTACTTAAATACAGGACATCTCGTGCTACTACGAGCATATGTTGCAACTACAGATAACAAAAATATTTTTTACAATATTTTTAAAGGAAGTAAACTCATTAAGATGACGTAAGGTTCTGATGACTGAGCCCATTAATGAACGTATTACTTTAATTCGCGCAATCAGAATTCCCTTTGATTACAGAAGTTTTTCGGCTCCTATCTGTCGGTATCGATCCGCTTTGAAGCGCTGCAGTGCGCTGTTACATACTGTATATCACAAAGCCGCAAGATGAATAAGCGCAGTTTGCGCTATATAATTACACACCAGCTATTAGGTGATTTGGAAAGTCCATTAATTAAATATTTGGAGTATTTTTGCAGTAGTATTTGTACCAGGAAAAATGCGTTAAATTACTATAAATGACTTGGACTGTAATATTCAAGTGTACGTCAATCAATGCGAAATGCAATATGTGTGCGTTAGAATAATATTGTTAAAATTTCCGTTTTTTCTGCCTGCATGTACTGTACTGCAGTAGCGAGTATAAAAGCCGACGAGAAGTGCATGTCTCGCGGCAATACATCTCTACAAAGTCGAAAAGTTCAGGAAATCGATACGCCATCTTCACCGTATCTTTCCATCAGAAATTTCTCACAATATTTTCTCCCGTATACGTATATCAATCAACGACTACTTTCGCTACCTCCTCCATTTTTTACCCTACTTACATGTATTTGGCTTAAGACAGACAGTCTAAACATGAAACTTATCAGTGGTCGCATGTTTTAATCGCGTAACGTTTATATATTTACGTAGCGATAAATTTAATTAACATGTATTTCTATCGGTATAGCGCACACCATAAATTCTGATTTATGTTTATAGATTGCAGACACTACAATATCAAGCGCCATTAGATAGCAGGTTTTACAAAAAGTACACAATAAGAGCAAAGTGTGCTGTTACAGCAGACAGTAAATATGCCTACCCGAAACACTAGCCAGTGCTCCAATCAGGCCCAGTCCACCGAGGACAATTTCCGTAATGGACAGACACTTGAGGCGCGGGATGCCCTCCAAAACATAACCCTCCACCTCCATTGTTTCCACACCATACACACCGTCTACACAGTATTTACCCCGCACAAATGTCAAATGTAGCAACGCCAACCGGTCGAATCAATAACCCATCAACCGCACACAAAAACGCTCATCCCTCTGACCGAAATATCTGCGCATATATGTTTCCCATAAGGGAGAAATATCTCGCGCACAATGTATATATGGTAAGGCGATTTGATTAGGGCCTGGATGAGTGGCGCCGGGATTAACGTTTATGGACGTCCCGCTGGCACATTTCACATCTCCACTGGCGTACGGGCGCTGCCTGTAAGATGGATCATACACACACCGTGGATTAGAAAGGATATTTATTAAAAAGACGACAGCTGAGCGCGCGGCCAACGGAATATAACTGTGTTATACAGTTATTGATCTGGCCTGCCTGGGTTAGTACGTGGATATATCATAAAAAGCGATCCCGCAACTCTTCTAATCAATACCTAATGATTGTGTACTTTTTCGTGACCGGCATGCAGTTTTCTCTGTGTTAGTACGCGCCATCATCTCGGTTCGTGCGCGTGCCGGAAGTGCGGATGCGGAGAACGAGCGGCTGTTGTCAGGATATGAACTGCGTGCAGCAACATACGGGAGAGGGGTGCAAGAAATTAGCGGTACATTGTGCGACAAGACGTCCGGCAAGACGGAAGTACAGTTTCGCGATAACTGACGTGCCTAATCAAGCGACGGCAAATTAATGAATAGGATCAAGTTGAAACTAATGTGTTTCTCGGCAGTAAAACGGGTCGAAAACGGTTCACGGTGGAAACTGCACTTACATCGAAGACACATTCATTCGTTAGGAAATTTGCACTTGTGACAGCGATCACTGCATTAGTCTGTGCAATGAATCAGTGGCAATAACCTGGTTACATTAATTACTGAATTTATCGATCTTACGAAATTCTGCTACGTATCTTCGGCACATACGCGCTATAGTTCTAGCTAGTGCATGCATTTCTAACTGTACATGTTATATGCACAAAAATCAAAACCCATTAAAGATAAACTTATGGTGATCATGCAAAACTTCAAATTAGCATATATGGATGTAGTTGATCAAGGTACGCATTCGCATGTTGCAAAGTACTTGTACCTGAGTCACTATCTCTTCGGTAAGTGTTGATCAGCTAGTGCTACTATGACAAACTCGAGTGGCATTTTTAACACAATGCCTCTGTATTATCGGCGATAAACGAAAAGGATAACAAACAACTAACCTGCGAGTCTGTTACGTACACGGTGCCACTGCAACACCAACCGCTTTGCTTCACAATATAAAGCAATGTCAAAAGTGTTGTAATAGCAAGGTACAGATAATCCGTTAATTAAGCAATAGCTTCTTGACTTATACTCGTATAAATTTCTGTTAGATTTTCTGCTACTAAAATGTGGTCAGGAATCTGTGTCATCGCAGCTTCTTTCTGTATGGTCTTGATTGTTTGGTCAGCAGCAGTAAACGCAGGTAAAAAATAGTTAACGCTTGATAGACATTTTACAAATGCAGCGCTAGATAGAATATAATTACAAAATTATTACGCTATGTACTTGCGCTGTAGGTATGGATTGATTATTGCGCTATATGCTCGCACTTACGCCTTTATGCAGTTTGGCATGTATTATGTATTTGAATTGATTTTGTATCTAGTTCACCTTTCTGTTTGTCAAAGCATGAAGAATACAAACGTTTACTGGTTTCTTAACGGTATTTTCTATTCCCACACAGACGACCCGGTTCCCGTGCCATTGCCTCACAGCGACTGCGTACAAACACCCAATGGAACCACTGTGAGGTGCATTCGCAGTGATAACTACAGTATTCCGGGCAATTTCGATGTTACCTTATTTCCCAAGGAAGTTAGGACCATCCTCATAGGCAGGCTGAGCTCCGTTGCTGTTGGACGATCAATGAATACCATTCACAATGACGCCCCACCGTTACCGGCCGATTTAAACGCGTTAACAGCCGTCTCATTGTACCACTTCCAGGGAACGAGGGACGCGTGTCCCCTTCGAGGCCTTCTTAGTCAACGTCAAAGGCAGGCTCACTTCTTTACATGTGAAGTTCAGCCGTATTGGTACACTCGGCGCCAACTTCCTTAACGGATTTATTGACTTGCGGAACCTGGACCTTCAGGACAACGACATCAGTCAGATCGACCCAGCCGCTTTTCAAGGTCTATCCAGTTTACCACTGTCAGGCCCTGCGCTGTTGGACACAATCCAACTAAATGAAAACCAAATCACCGCTTTGGATTGGGCAGTGTTCGCTCCGGTGGCTAACTCACTCGTAGTAAGTGGTTGCCTATAGCAGGCTGCCTACCTTGCTACCCGGGTAGAAAGATTGTCGAAATCTATTACAGTATAAATAAGACACTATACAGACAATGTACGAGTACAGTAAACTTTCGACGATGCGCTAACAAGGGTACTCATACATAGTAGCCTAATGTATAGGTATGTACGGGTATGTACGGCGTATAGGTATAGGTATGTACGGCGCTAACAAGGGTACTCATACATAGTAGCCTAATGTATAGGTATGTACAATTGTTATGCAAAGCAAAAGTTGTGTAATACAACGTACGGAAGGATAAAAATGTACCTGAAGTAAAAGATGAATATTATATACCTATTAATTTTTGTTTTCAGGAACTCGCACTGCAAATGCAGAAAGTTCCTAAGCTGAGTGCATTGACCTTAAGCCGACCCTACCAGTTCAGCCAGCTGTACCATGTGGATCTTAGTATGAACTCGTTAAATTTTTTATCCCGTCCGATTCTCGACACCCTACCCATAACCAATGATTCAAATATTTTCATGGCTAACAACGCTTTCTGCCCAGCGGATACCAGCACAATCTGTGCTTGTTGTGCTGTCAAGGACTTTGTCAGCTGGGCGCATGAACTCGCCAACCGAACGGTGTCGCGACCGTTTTCATTGATCTTTACCTGTGGGACGGCCAGCACGACATCGTACTGGTCCGTAGAGTCGGCTGGGGAACTCCTGCCACCGTTAGAACAGTATGGATGCTGCACCAATCCGGCGGCGCAGGACTGCTTTCCTACCACAGCCACGCCCCGTACTACGGTGCGTACCACTGCTCGTACCACAGCCCGTACCACGGTCCGCACTACGCCTCGTGGCACACCGGCGCCAACCAAACCGACGGAAGAGGATGATGATACAACAAAGCCGGTCAAGCCAGAAGGCCCTGGTGGTGCCGCAGTCACCGATCATCGTACAAGCGGATCAATGCTGATGGTGAGCGCATGTCTGGCTGCATTGCTATTCGTGCCTTGGTAATCTAAAGGTCATGCATGCCTTAATCCGAAACGATTTTTATGCGACGCGCGTGGATGATGCAAATTGCAAAAACTGTTTGACGCCAGCCACAACAGACCCCATAAACAATCCCCGCTCAGTAGTTCGAGATATTTTGTAATGAGTGTACAGTCAAATTCAATTACGATAGTGAGGAAAATCGTTTTATATTTACTAGAGTAGCCATTATTTTTCTCTTCGGTGTTGGTGGTAACTCTAGCTGTGCGCTACCTGCGCTAGCTGACAGATAAACTGCGCTAGCTGGCAGATAAACTGATATAACCGAGCAAAACATCAAAATCGCATCTAAGCGGAATCTAAGCGGTTTTTAAAATTCTTGACTCATAAGTGCCCAAAGTAATATTTGCACAAACATTAAAGACAGCAAAACACTGATAACACTGGAAGGTATAAATCCAGTACTTTCAATAATACAGTTTACCGATATCGATTAAACATATGAAAACAGAAGCACCACACAGCATCCATAGACAGCGGAAACAGGCCGGAATCACAGAGAAGATTTGATCTAAATTAGCCGAGGCTGGTGCCGTTCTCAGGATGGATGCCGCGTTTCCACATTGAACTTCGATGCTGAACCTCTGGCGCAGATACTCCGTTGCAAGTATCTTGCCTGTTTCCTGTCATATCATCGTGCCCAGTTCACTGATCAGCCGAGAGGCTTCCGGTCCGAGTGATCATGTTCTGGTACTTCAAGATTTCTTCCGTTCGGCCTCCGCCGCTGCTGCGCCAGCTTGGGTGGATGTTACTGCGATATGTGATAGGGCCATCGTACACGCACATCACCCATGTGACATCCCATGTTAACATTTCGCCTCGTTCCCGATATTCCCAAAGGCTCGAGTTCAGTCTTAAAGGTGACTGAAGCGAAAGCTCGTTTATGCGTGGCGTTTAAACTGCTATGTCTTGACTTCCAGCATCGACTTTTCTTACAGCTCAAGCCGTGCTAGCCTCGAGCGTCCCCTCATTCTTTGCAAATGCATCGGTGCGGAGTACTGTAGCGGCTCGATCAAGTGGCACCACAGAGTTTGTATACGGGAAATCAGCACTTGCAAAGTGTGCACGGCTGGTGCTTGCGAGCGCATGAGCATGCACACGGTGCATGTGTGCTGATTTCTCGTATACGGTACAAACTCTGTGGTGCCACTTTATCGAGCCGCTACAGTAATGATCGATGTTCCCTGGCACACACCAACAGCAATCCTTAATTCGGAATGGTTTAAGAGATATCCCAAGGATGCAGCTGGCGCTTCCAGCCAAGCTTCGTTGTCTTTGGGGTTGACATTTAGAAGCGACAGCATCATCATTCGTGACCAATGCCTTTCCGCACTCACGAACGTGAACATCATAGACTTGAAATGGACACCGGCATCGCTTCCGGTTGCAGAAGGAGGCCTCGAAATCCGGAGTCTTGAGAAGGTCGCCCTTGCGGTCTTTCTCGCCTCGGCTTACTCAGTGAATCGGCTGACAACCGAAATGACCACTTCGACCCGGAAGTGTACTGCGGCGATGCCAAAGCTGAATGGCAGCAACGTGTGACGGAAGCTGACCGCAGCTGTGGAAGCCCTAAAATTTCGGAAAGTGTGGGATGAACCAGTCATGCGAACCTCCGTGAAGACGTATTCGAAATGGTCCAGTGTGACATTTCTAGTCAAGCGCCGAATTCAGTCAGTCAGCATTTCTATGCATAACAAAGAGCAGTGCGTAGCGTTTCCGGATACGAATAATCTCATCGTTAAATCGTCGACGGAGATGCCTCTTCTAGCTGAACTGAGCGATCTTACAAAATTCTGCTACAATGCTATGTATCTTCGGCACTTATGTGTTACGGCCCTAGCAGCTAGGGCCTAGCTGCTACGAGTACAACAACATGCATTCCTGATTGTTACGAGCTAAAATATATGAGTTACGAGCTATATGAGTTACGAGTTACGAGTTATGATATATGAGTTACGAGTTACGAGCTCGTATATGAGCTAAAATTAAAACCTAATTTTTGTATTCTTGAAAAACGCTTTTATTAAATAAATTTTTGTTCATGTACTTAAAATACTGATTAGCAATTATTTTCGGTCATCTCTTAGTTGCAAAACGGATTCTTCGTTATCGAGATTCCTTTCAAGGTCTGCTCCTTGCAGCGACGATCGTAGACGTATGTATAATGTAATGGCGCAGATTATAAATTAGTTACTATCGTCCGCCGAAGTGAAAATAAATGGCTTTGTTTCGCGGTCATAATTATGTAATGCACGGGTACGCTAGGTGCAGATAAACTGATGTAACCGAGCAAAACATCAAAATCGCATGTATGGATGTGGTTGATCAAGGTACGCATTCGCATGCTGCAAACTACCTGGGATATAAATCACTATCACTTCGCTTACTGTTTATCAGTCAGTGCGACCATGACAAACTCGAGTGGCATTTTAACACAATGCCGCTGTATTATCGGCGATAAACGATAAGGAAACAAACAACATATCGACTACCGCACCACTTGCATTCTACAAGAATGATGTTAATACTCGTACAGTCGTACTGTTATCATTATTGTAATGTATGTGCACTGTGCAGTATTTAATTACGGTCATGATTGCACATCATGATTCTGATCGGGCTTATGTTTCTTGTTGCCCCTGAATGACAAATTTCCCGTCATTCAGTATGGTGGGTGGCTACGGGACCTTAGTCTGGTAGATTGTCGTTCTCCAGAGGCTGTGTGGTGGCAGCTGTCCCGTAGACATCCCGCGACACACCAGTGGAGTACCAGTAAGTCTCCAGCCCCATTTCGTTTCAGTGCCAATGTTCCCTGGCGACCGTTAGCAGTATGCCTCAGTACTCCTGTTCTGGCTGCGGTAAATTGTTACAGGGGTGGGGAAGTCACAGACGTTCGTGTCCCAGAACCCTGTCTCAAGAGCCGGAATTGATTCCCGTCCTAACCCAACAGCCTCCTGCTCCAGCCCCTTCTGCGCCGATAACAGCAAACCCAACTGACGATCAGGCTACAGGCAGACCAGCGCTGGTGAAGGAGCGAATTACTCGCAGGGTGCCACACGGTGCCCGTCGGGCTGTGGCAGCATCTTTCGAGAAAGCCATCAAGAATGCCGTGCACCATAATGATGAACAGCACTGGGTAACGCTCCTGTCCTTTGCATCGCAGGTTTTAGCTGTTCCAGAAAGCCCGGATGGTGCTCGTAAAGTTTCCCTCGCCACTCTGATGAAACAAGCGGTAGCGGATTATGAAAGCGGAACGAAGCGTCCCCTGTCACGTCGAAAGAAGAAAAAGCCCAAAAAGCCTAAAGATCCCAACGGCGACCTAGTGCGACGTGTTGGAATCAAGATTGACGACGGTGATTGTTCTGGAGCCGTTCGCATTCTGATGTCCACTGACGCCATACAGGCCCGTCGCGAGACCCCTGTGCAATTTTCGAAAAAAAAACTCCTCCTACAGTTTTCATCGGAAAATTTTTCTGAATACACCATTGGATTCGTCGTGAAATTCTGAACAAAACGGTTGAGGCCGATTTTTGAAATTCGCATTTCCCCCCAGACCGTTACTGCGGGCGGTCACCAATGCGACAGCCCTGTTCTTGGGGCATTCCCCCCTGGCCCCCAAGAGCAGTCAAAGACATCTTCTCGAGCCTTTTTCAGTGATACAATTAGTATTTCAAGCGCAAATTTTTTCTCTATTTCTGAGGGGTCAGGGGGGAATGCCCCAAAACTTGGGTTGTGACATAGGCGACCGCCCGGGTGGACGTGCTTGGGGAGGAACGAATTTTGAAATTTGGCCTCAACCGTTTTGTTCAGAATTTGACGGTGAGTTCAGGAATATTTTCAGAAAAAATATGCGATAAAAGCTGTAGGAGAAGTACATTTTTGAAAGTGCACGGGGGGATTCCCCAGAAGTCAGGCTGTCGAGTTGGGGACCGCCCGTAGTGAGGGTCTAGGGGGAAATACGAATTTCAAAAATCGGCCTCAACCGTTTTGTTCAGAATTTCACGACGAATCCAATGGTGTATTCAGAAAAATTTTCCGATGAAAACTGTAGGAGGAGTTTTTTTTTGAAAATTGCACAGGGGTCTCGCGACGGGCCTGACGCCATAGCCGAAACGTCGCGCGAGGTTCTGGATATCATGGCGGACAAACACCCCCAGTCCCCCTTGCCTGACAGACCCGGAGTTACCGCATCAACACCATCAGTTACAGCGGACGAGGTACGTCATGCAATCCTCAGTTTTCGACGCGGATCAGCTGCAGGACCTGACGGCCTATTACCTCAGCACCTACTGGACATGTTGGGGAAAGTTCAGGATGATGTCTCCGCTAGCTTTTGCAAAAGCCTGGCCCAGCTACTAGACATTATTATCCAAGGTAATATTCCTGACTCTGTTCGCCCGTATTTTTTTGGCGCAAAACTCATCGCCTTGCGGAAGAAAGACGGTGGCCTGAGGCCAATCGCGGTCGGTAACACTTTGCGACGGCTAACGGCAAAAGTCATATGCCGCCGCGTTAAAGGACGTTCGACAGCTGCTCTTCAGCCAAGTCAACTGGGGTTCGGTATTAACGGGGGCGCCGAGGCGATAGTCCATTCCGCTCGGGAATTCTTGAGCAGCGATCCAGACCAGGTGAAGGTTCTTCTGAAGATAGACCTAAAGAATGCCTTCAACTGCATTTCCCGCGCCACCGTCATGGAAGTTGCGAGCGTTCACCTTCCCGAATATGCGAATTACCTTTACGCCTGCTACGGCCATTATTCGGAACTGTACCTCGACGATGAAGTTTTGTCATCGCAGAGCGGCATCCACCAAGGCGATCCACTAGGTCCGCTTTTATTTTCTCTGGGCATTCTTCCATTTACATCCAAGCTCAAGGCAACCTTCAATGCGTGGTTTCTCGATGACGGTACACTTGGAGGGTCTGTCGAGACGGTCGCTGCGGACTTCCAGACTGTCATCGATACAGCACATGCATCCGGACTGAGCGTCAACATGTCCAAGTGTGAGATTTTTGTCTGTGGAGGGTCCTGCGTTGAACGGGAAGCAGCTGTGAAAACTTTCCTGGACCGTTTTCCAACTGTTTCAGTCGCTGCCCCAGAAAACCTTTGCCTTTTGGGTGCTCCACTGACGAAAAACGGTATCACGTCAACCATATAACAGAAAACAGAAGTTATGCGCCTAATTGCCAATCGTCTCGATCTGTTACCCAAACACCAAGCGTACTTCCTACTGAAATGCAGTCTCAGCGCGCCAAAGCCCATTCACCTTTTACGTTGCTGCCCAACCTTCGAAGCACGAGAGAGTCTCTGCGAATTTGACGACGTCTTGAGACAGTCGTTGCAATCAATCTGCAACGTACGCATGGATGCACCTGCGTGGCGTCAAGCTTCCTTACCAGTGCGCTGTGGTGGGCTCGGGATCCGACGGGTAGAAGAATTATCTTTGCCGGCCTATTTGGCCTCGATTCACGCTACCCAAGGCCTGGTTTGCCGACTACTGCCGCATTCAACAGGAGTTGCCGTGACGGATCACGTGGCCCTTTGGAGGTACCTGTCCGACGATGCTTCACCTCCTTTACCCGAAAGCCGACACCTACAACGCGCATGGGACGCTCCGTACTGTTTAGCGGAGCAGACAATCATGCTGCACGAGGCTTTAGATCTCGCTAGCAAAGCTCGGCTGTTAGCCGTTTCAACTCCAGAGTCAGGCGCCTGGACACACGCACTTCCATCGTCCCCAATCGGAAACCTTTTGGATGATGAGGCTTTTCGGATTGCCGTCGCAATTCGACTTGGCGCACCCGCTTCATCCGATCACCAGTGCAAATGTGGAAGTGACGTTGCTGCAGACGGTCACCATGGCTTGAGCTGCAAATTCTCAGCCGGAAGACGCCCTAGACACGACTGCATTAGCGACATCTTGCGACGGGCTCTTGGAGCAGCAGGCATACCCGCAAGGACTGAACCTAGAGGCATGCACCATGAGAACGAAACACGTCCCGATGGCATCACCACTTTCCCATGGACAAGGGGATTGTGTTTGGCATGGGATGTTACCTGTGTTGACACTGTCGCCCGTTCGTATTTGGACCAGACCAGTGTGAAGGCCGGAGCGGCAGCAGACCATGCCGAAGCCGAGAAAGCAAGAAAGTACAGCTTCCTTTCGGGGCGATACGAATTTAAGGCTGTTGGTTTTGAAACATTCGGCAGTTTTGGTACATCTGCCAAAGGATTTGTTAACGAGATTGGGAAGAGGATTTTGCTACAAACCGGCGAGATTCGTAGTCTGGAGTTTTTGAAACAGAACATCTCTTTAGCAATTCAACGTGGTAATGCTGCTTCAGTAATGGGGACCGTCGAGAATGTTGTTTCGGTTGACCGTAATTAGATCTTGATATTGTTATCACGCTATTGAATTAAAAATTAAAAAAAACAAACAACTAACCTGAGACCAATGTTACGCACACCGTCATACGGCGCCATTGCAACAACAACCGCTTTGCTTTACAATATAAGTCAATGTCAAAGTGTTGTAATTCCTTGGTTCAGACAATCCGTTAATTAAGCAATAGCTTCTTGGCTGATTTAGATTTCTGTTAGATTTTCTGTTACTAAAATGTGGTCATGGATCTGTGTTATCGCAGCTTCTTTCTGTATGGTCTTGATTGTTTGGCCAGCAGCAGTAAAAGCAGGTAAAAAATGGTATAAAATAGTCAACTCGCCTAATAGAAATTTTACAGGTTCAACGCTAGATACGATGTTATACTTACAAAATTAGTACTAGTCCGGTTCAAAATAGACCGGAAATTTAGTAAATCCTGACAATTGTGAAAATTCTGCAAAAGCTGAGTAACGCACGAGATAAGATAAGCGCTCATAACTGGTCCATATTGCGATGAGGTGTCTTTTGCACGTTTGTATCCACGCCCCAAATATTCGTAAATGTTGCTCTAGAAAAAGCTACTCGAGAGTAGAATATTCGAGCGTCAAAGTCGCCAATTTGGATATTTCTCATGCAAACTCATGTGCACACATTTTATTAATTTCACTGCGATATGCCGTGATCGTACACCTCAATAATTATCCATTAATAAGTATTGCTAACGCCTATCGGGTATCGTCGACACTGCTACGTGCACAATCTTAATAACTAATTAATAACATTATAATTAGTGTTAATTAGTCATGCTGACTCATGCAAACACATTCTGGTAGCGTAAACCAGAAAGTGCGCGTAGGGCGCATAAGTCTCTAACATAACTTATAAGTTACCACGACGTGTTAAAAAGTCTAATTATAATTAATTAATTAACAACGGGTCCATTAGATTTAAAAATTTTGCGGATAAATGGTGTACAGAGTATTGATTAATTCGCTAACCGGCTGGCGTTTATTAACTTGCAACTGGTAGCGTTAACTAACTGTTTTAAATTAATCGTTAATTATAGGAACTTTTTTAATTTTTTTGTTAATTTGAAGCACTGAATTCGGTAGGCAATACATATATAGGTAATAGGCAGCAACAAGGTGCAAACTGCAAAGTGAAGTTACAGACTGGAATGAAAGCACACCATAAGGGAAAATGTCGCACGTTTTTGCGCTCCCAAAATTGCCCGCTCGATGCAGATATGTGATGCATCATTGCCGTGCAGTTATTTGATGTTTGTTAAGGTTTAAAGTTCGATTTTTTTAAGCGTGTGTCACAGATTTCCTTCGCTGAAATCTTCATAACTGAATTTTGAGCCTAACTAATGTAATATATATTACGCCATATACTGTACTTGCGCAGTATCCTTTATAATAAAAGAGTAAGAAGGTGCACAAAATTCGTGTCTGTCTCCATTTTCTGAGCGACACGGAAAGCGAAACGTAGGTATCCGTATAGCATTCGATAGCGGGAAGTATGTAGATGAGCCCACAAAAGTCAAATTTGCGAAAACGGAAACCAGTTCTGAGAAAAAATTCAAAAACCTAACATGCAAAACCTACGGGAACGTCAAAAACCTCTTAACGCCGACAAACTGCCACCTCGAGTGCGAGGGGCTTTGCACACTCCCAAGTCCCAAGTTTGTTTTTTGCATTACGTTAGAATCTCACGGTTCACAACAGCTATTGCTGTTTGGCTCTGTTGCGGATAGCCCTGAATCAGTAAATTTTCTAATAAGTAATTTTTAAAAAGCAAGTGAAGTTTTAAGAAGAGACAGCTTTAAAAGGCTCCGCAGTCAACATGCTGATGCACATACGTTGACTGCGAACGGCTTACAAGTCTTTTGTGAACGGCTCAAAAGTCCATAGTTAAAATTTGTACTAAATTTTTGTAAGGCTTTCGGGAGGGGAGGCTTTTGGGGGGATTGTATTTCATGGTGGGGATAGCATGGATTTGTTGTTCCTTCAAAGTCACGGCGAAACAGCGTAAAGGGTAGGGGATGGTAATGCGGGGAACGCTATCAATGAGCGAGGGGGGAGGGGCATATATTGATAAAACAGGGTAATAGTTAGAAGTTTAGGTAGCAGGAATATTAGGCGTGGGAATTAGTGCGTCAGCCGATCACGGAAATTTTCTACATTTTGGTTTTTGTTTTTCCCCAAGAAATTATGTTCGAGCAAGCGACGTACAGATAGAATGTTTGGTAAGTATTTGTTTGACATTTTTAATTTGCCTAATTATTTCAAAAATTTCGCTGTTGTATATATAACAAAAAATGAAAATTTGGGAGATAACAATATAGCGATTAATAAGTTAGTGTGGACAACAGCGGTGGTCGAATACTGGAATCAGATTGTTGTTGTTACAGACAGACTGGAGTTTAAAAAAGCGGAAAATACAGTCTGTAGTAAGCAGTGAGCGAGGCGTTTGATGTGCCGGTTCAGTAAAACACGGAAAAGTCACAGCGGTAGCGGAAAATTTCGCTCCGAACGCGAGGGCGAATGGGCCCTCCTGCTTTTCGAAAAATTTGAGAAGAAAAGAGTTGACCTAATTATTATGGTATTACAGCTGTCATGAAATTTTCACCTTTTACGATTTTTATGAAAATCGTCTATGAAACACAGAATTTCATTAAGAATTTCTTTTTTCCAAAATTTTCCAAAGACCTTTATTATACCAGTCACCCTTGCGAAAATTGAACGGCTTAAGTTGCTATAAAATGCCATCGCTTCCGTCCAGTATTTAAAAATTCTAACGTGAGAAACACGCCAATTTTGATTCTATTTTCCGAATATTTTTTATATATGATTCCCTAACAAATAGAAAATAAAACACGGGAAGTTAGACAATGCCTGCGCTCGGCAGCGCATGTGGTAACGGTTCGCCAGCGCCGATCGGGAAAATGCGGCCGGAAATCGGGAGTGGCAGACGGGGTATGATTGAATTTATTTGTTTACTATCTGTAGAACTAATAAGGTCCACATAAAAACGACAATTTTCGAGAGAAAAGTATCAAATTTCCAAATTTAACATTATTTGCAATATGAGCCAAGCTCAGCCAATAAATCAACGACACGTTTGAGCCATTAAAGCATTGCCAGTGGAAATAAATCAAAATTGCACTACGTTTCGCTCATTAATTAAAAATTATATTTGCAATCGTTGTTTTATACTGTAGTTTTGCGTTTAGTAATAAATAGGTGATAATCCATCGCTGCCTTATTCCGCGCAGTCTGCGCGGGGTCTGCTACTTGTATATCGATTATTACGCTATAGACTTGTATGTAGACTCTTTATCTATAGAGAGATTCTATATATACAGGATCGACATCTGAAATTCTGCATATCAGTACTTCGCTTACTGCCTTATATGGGCTCCCCTTATATTACTCTCCCTTATCTGGGCTCCCGGGCAATATGAGCAACCCTCTATATCGGCGGTTACGTTATTACTCACAGTTTTGCAGCTGTTATCACTGTTATGACTGAATGAAAATTTAGATTTATTTAAAATACTTATTTCGCCAGTACTTTTGTAGCATTGAGTGTATTTTAATTTAATTAAGATATATACAGATAATAAGATATAATTAAAATATATATATAGATACTATAATTATATAAATATAATTCGGATGTGAAATTTCGGAATTCTTTGGTGTGCTTACTTGTAAATCCGGTTGAAAGAAGTGGAAAAGGGTTCTGCTATAAATCCGATAAATAATTTGACGGGTATTGCTCACTAGCCGGGAGCCCAGATAAGGGAGAGTAGTGTAAGGGGAGCCCATATAAGGCAGTAAGCGAACTAGCGAAGTATATACATTATGTGGTTAAATTTGATTCTTTGTCTGTCGCCGACCTTGCTGTATTTCGAAGCTTGAAGAATGCAAACTTTAATTTCTGATTTCTTGGTTTCTTAATGGTAATTTCTATTCCCGCACAGACGACCCGGTTCCCGTGCCATTGCCTCACAGCGACTGCACACGAACAACCAATGGAACCACTGTCACGTGCATTCGAAGTGATAACTACAGTATTCCGGGCAATTTCGACGTTACCTTATTTCCCAAGGAAGTTAGGACCATCCTCATAGGCAGGCTGAGCTCCGTTGCTGTTGGACGATCAATGAATACCATTCACAATGACGCCCCACCGTTACCGGCCGATTTAAACGCGTTAAGGGCCGTCTCATTGTACCACTTCCAGGGAACGAACGGAACGCGTGTCCCCTTCGAGGCCTTCTTAGTCAACGTCAAAGGCAGGCTCACTTCTTTACATGTGAAGTTCAGCCGTATTGGTACACTCGGCGCCAACTTCCTTGACGGATTTATTAAGTTGCGTAACCTGGACCTTAAGGGCAACGATATCAGCCAGATCGATCCAGCCGCTTTTCAAGCTCTGTCCAGTTTGCCACTGTCAGGCCCTGCGCTGTTGGACACAATCCAACTGGATGAAAATCAAATAACCACTCTGGATTGGGCAGTGTTCGCTCCAGTTGCTAACTTACTGATAGTAAGTGTTATCAGCGGTTATCAGTAACTGTTATTACTTGAATATATAGTGTGTACACAATTTTTTCCTTAGCTGTACATGCAGACACTACCTTCCAAGATTACGTACTTATAGTAATAGCAAACCGAATAGGCACGTACAAGTAGCCTGTAAAGTAGATGGTATTGTATATACTTATATATAGCAGATATGGACAATGTAAAGGTTCGACGTAGCGTTGTAAGTTATGACTGCGTTACTGGTTACACTGATAAATGTGCAGGAACGATTGTGCAATACAGTTTGATGCGATAGGCGTCGACTTACTATTCACAACGGAAGGATAGACATATACCTAATAAACGATATAAATCTTTTAATTTTTGTGCTTTTAGGAACTCACACTGCAAATGCAGAAAGTCCCTAGGTTGAGTACGCTGACCTTAAGCCAACCATACCAGTTCAGCCAGTTGCATCATGTGGATCTTAGTATGAAGTCGTTAAATTTCTTATCCCGCCCGATTCGTGACACCCTGTCCATAACCAATGATACCATTATTTTCATTACTAACAACGCATTTTGCCCAGCGGATACCAGCAAAGCCTGTGCTTGTTGCGCTGCCAAGGACTTTGTAAGCTGGGCGCATGAACTTGCTAACCGAACGGTGTCGCAGCGACCGTTTTCATTGATCTTTACTTGTGGGACGGGCATTTCGTCATCCGAATGGACCGTGGAGCCGGATGCTGCAGTCTTACCATCGTTAGACCAGTATGGCTGCTGCACCAACCCGGCCGCGCAGGACTGCATTACCACTACGACCACGCCTCGTACCACGCCGGTGCCAACCAAACCCTCGGATCTGGATGATACGACAACGCACGTTAAGCCAGAGGGCCCTGGTGGCGCTGCAGTGACCGAGCATCGTACCAGTGGAGTAATGCTGAGCGTATATTTTCTGGCTGCGTTGCTACTCGTGCATTGGTAATCTAAAGGTCATGCCTTAATCCGAAATGGCTTCTGCGCGAAGTACGTGGACGAGGCAAAACTGTTTGGCGTCAGCCACGAAAGAGCCCATAAATGATCCCCGCTCGGTAGTGCAAGATATTTTGTAATGAGCATACAGTTAATTAATTACGGTGGTGAGAAAAATCGTTTTATTCTTGACTATCCATGATCTCTTCACTCTTCGGTGGTGGTGTGTTGCTTGATTAATGTATTGACCCTTAAACTCTTAACCGTTAAAAAGTCTAATACGGTTTCCTTTAAAAAATTGAGCTAACCATTATCAAGAAAAGAGGTCTTTATTTCGCTTCATACTACGTATATGTCGTCTAGCACTGCATATCCGCACTCCGTTGCATACAGCCACCGCACTACAAATGCTCTGTGAAGAATAGTACACAGTACAAACTTCGCATTCAGCAGCAAACTAAGGGAACGCACAGGTATACAGTCGAGACCAGTTACCGCATCAAAGTTACTAATTCTAGTGTATCGCATAAATGACTGGTCGGCAAACTTGCGCTTTTACACCAAAGAAGCCGGCGAGGGTCTGGGAAGTTCACTGGCAAGCAAAACATTCAGCAGCAAAGACATTCAGCAGTTAAGAAGTTACTAAAACTATGATGAAGCAGCCAACGTCGCCGTGCTTAGCGACTGCGCCACCAAGTTCCCATTCCGGTGGTCGGGTTGTGCATAGAAAACCGTCTTCATCGGCGCAGCATCCGGAGTAGGCATCTAGCGCTGGCAACGGTCGAGAGGGATAATTGACAGCCCAGAACGAGGGTGACTCGCCGTATCCAAAGCGGCCACAAGTAAACGACACAACCGGCTTGCGTTCATCCGTCATACTGGCCACTTCGTGTATCCACCGCATAAACGCCGTCGCTTCACAACACCCGCAGATCTTGGCGGGGTCATTCGGGCAGAACGCGTTATAGTCCAGCTTAATGCTGCTCATCGTCGACACATTCAGCGTTGTCCGTAAAATATGAGGCCGTGGAAAATTCAGCGCATTTCCGCTCAGATCAAGCGTTTCCAATGCTTGGAATTTGTATAATCGACCGATGTATATCAAAGATGTCATTCCGGTTACGTTGTGTGGTCCGATAATATTGCTGGGTCCCATTACCTTCTGATTGTTTAGTCGGAGTGTCTGCAAAAAGTGCTTATACATTTTCTATCAAACGATAAACATATTTGAAGAAAATATCAGTTTTGTAATCGAATGCCGGGAAGCAGCTAGTGAGCCAGTTTACTCTTACTGTCATACATACTCGTAAAGTTTGTGCAACTGGTAGAAAGGTTCCCCATTCCAATGAGCTGATCATGTTCTTCTGAAGGTCTATCGTCTCGACAGGGGAGATTATCGAATTCCCGAAATAATCGGGGCCGTTTCAAAGGCGGACTGATCGATACTCCATATGCCGTTCTCAGCCAAATCCAGTGTGCGTAGCGCATAAAAACCCCTGAGAAAGCGAGAGGAGAGGAACCCAAGCTGGCAATGCCGCACCAGGAGGCTGCGCAGTGTCGCCTTAACATTGTCTATGAGGTAATCAAGATTCCAGGTGTGTCCTTGAAGCCCAGAAAAGTTGTACATCTCCAGGACGCGCAAACAGGTTAAGTCCGGGAACTGCGCTTCCATGATGCTGGAAAATGACGTCCCTGATTTTCCGAGTTTGATGAAGACGACATCTCCCGGGATTAAGGTCAAGTTGAAACTGCCTTCGTTTTCGTATTCCAGTAAAATGCTGTAGTTGCCGGCGGTACATTCGAGATCATTTCCGCTGTACGTTCAACTTGGATGGGGCAGCACAGCGGCGCTTACCTCCGTTTCTGTAAAACGGGACATGATTATAATTAATTAGCGCCGCATTGTGACATTCTTTCACTAAAGTACAATAGCTGTGTCGACATCCAGACCGTAAGTTCTTATAACATCAGTCACATAGTGATTCCGCGCGCTCGCAAAATTGTTTGCTATCACAGTTTGCATTACGATACCTGCACCGATCGAGCTGATCAGCAAAGCGGCGCAACATGCTGCCGCAACCGTAAAAAACCCGAACATCATTCAAACGTAATGTAAGTAATAATCTGGTTTAAAAGGGGACAGTTGACTGGAAAAATTTTCGATTCAACTGGAAGAAAAATCAGTTTTTAACGGGTTCCGAGTCTCCGACGCGCTGTTAGCCTGATATGTACGTTTTTTTTTGTAAATCAGCCGCAGCATACACGAACTGTACTGTTATCGGTTCCGACAGTTGCTGCCGCTTGTTATCGTTTTTGTACGCACTGAGGTTTTGTAGGTTAATCTGATTTTATGCAAAAGCACAGACTACAGTCATAACTAATCAGCAACAATTGTGTTATGAATGTATTTAGTCTGCTATGGAAAATTGGACATAGATAATTGCCGGTGAGTCAGTTACGGCTAGTCACATTAACATGGGAACAGACACATCAACTTTAAAGTGAACTGTGCACCGTCTGATTGTCTACGTTTCTGCATTTGTGTAATTATTATGCACAGACGACAGCAGCAGATATCGACCGAAACTTCAAGTAAAGCGTTCTACCATTACTACCGAGAAATTTCAAAGGTCGGTTCTTAAGCAACGGTCTTCTGTGCCTTATTGTGAGTATCTCGTTCCGGATAAGCTAATGCTAGCTAAAAAATGCCGTAAAAGCTACAATGCGAGCAAGAAAGGAAGCTACGGGTTTAGGGTGTGCGTTTGGCGAAGACAGCGAAAACCGGTTTGTACAGCTAGTACGCGCACAGACAGCCACACTCATACGCGTGTAAGTGAATGCGAGCGGATTAATCCACTCACACACACATGTGCCGATCGATCGATACAGCAAGCCAGCACTTCGCTTGCGCTTTTTAGCAGCACTGGAATGCGCTGTCTTCGGTCTATTTATAGTCACAGCAGAGAGGCTGCACTGATCAACCTGCCTCAGCGGGCAAAAAAGGCTGTTCGCTGGCTTTTTAACATAGACCGTAGCCTCCTCATTTAGTCAGATTGTAGCTAAAACATGCTGAACACTGCTTTCAAACTAATTTAAAGCTGATTCGTTCTACTCGTATGCGCATACCAAAAACAGAAACTTCTCTAGCGCTGTCACTCATCTCTCTCATTTCGCGCGGCGAAATGACCTTGCAGCAAAATACAGTATCTGCGATCAAATGTCCTGCGGCTAATTGTTCTCGGCGAAACCTCGCGGTACCGTTTTCCACACCAGATTGCATATGCTCATAAAACAATTAGTACTGATTAGTGATGGCTATACTTACGCATAACCATAGCTTAATCTAAATGCCCACAAAGCCTCATTGTGTATAAAAAAAGATTACAAGCGCCAGTAGTTGTCGAAGCGAATGACATTTACGTCAGTACCACGTTTTATGCACGCTATGGCTGATGTCAAAAACTGCGTACTGTACATAACAGCGCATCAGAGAGAATATAAAACTGATACATCTTCGAGCCAAAGTGAAAATCTTCCAAATCAACTGTCTGTGTCGGAACCGGAATACTACATCAAGTTGTAACAATGCTCGTGTTTCCCACGGTTACGGCAACCTTTTGCGTTGTTGTCGCTTTTTACACTGCATCGATCAGCGCAGGTACCGTAACGAAGATTTCAAGAGAAAATTTATATAGTATTGCGGAGATCTGAACATACTGTATCATGTAACTATGATGTAAATTCTTTAAACATTAGTACTCGTGTTTAAAATATAATTTTTGTAAGCTAATAGCATCCCGTTTTCCAGAATCCGATATAAGCGCGGCTGTACTGCCCCACCCAAGTTGTACATACAGCGGCAATGACCTCGAATGCACCGCCGGCAACTACAGCATTCCATTTCGTCTCGAAGACCAAGGCAGTTTCAACTTGAGCCTAATTCCCGACAATGTCATGTTCATCAGGCTAGGACAACGGGGGAGGTCACTTGTCAGCACCATGGAAATGCGATTCCCGAATCTGACCGGTTTACGTGTCCTAGAGTTGCACAACTTCGGGGGGTATGGCGGGGATACGCTGTCACTTGATTACCTTCTAAGCAACGTGAAAGCGACACTGCGCAGCATACGTTTGCGCGATTGCCGTGTCGGGAGTCTCGGTGCAAATTTTCTCAAAGATTATTACGCGCTGCGCACACTGGATTTGGCGGAGAATGACATAGCTTCTATCAATCATTTCGCATTTGGAAGTTTTTCCGGGAGAAGTTTCCCTCTGGAAACGATTGACCTTCAGAAAAACAAGATCAGCTCACTACTATGGGAAACTTTTGCCCCAGTTGCGCAAACGTTACGGGTAGGTACAAGTATGAGTAAACTGCCTCACCCAGCTGCATTTTCTTAAGAGAACTTTTTTTTTCAAGTATGACAAGTAAATTGTATTAAAAAACGTTAACGCAATTTTTAGACACTCCGGTTAAACGATCAAAAAGTAGCTGGACCCAGCACTATTGTTGGACCACACAACATAACCGGCATGACATCCATAATATCCATGGGTATAACATATAAATTCCAAGCACTGGAAACGCTGGATCTGAGTGGGAACGCGCTAGATTTTCCATGGCCAGGCATTTTACGTACGACGCTGAATGTGTCGACGATAGCCAGCATTAAGCTGGACTACAACGCTTTCTGTCCGAATGATCCTGCCAAGATTTGCGGGTGCTGTGCAGCAGCGGCGTTTATGCGATGGGTTCACGAAGTGGCCAGTATGGCGGATGAACGCAAGCCGGTGGTGTCGTTCACTTGTGGCCGGTTCGGATACGGCGAGTCACCGGCTTTTTGGGCTGTCAATTATCCCTCCCGACCGTTGCCAGCGTTAGCAGCGTACTCCGGATGTTGCGTCAATGAAGGCGATCTAGGTTGCACGACAACAACCCGACGATCGGAATGGGGAGTGAATGGCGCCGTTACCTGGCGCGGTGACATTGGCGGCAGCACCATCATAGTTCTGATTACGCTCTTCCTACTGAATGTGTGAAGGCAGGCAAGGCAAGATCCCAAGCAATCCAGTATAGTGTGGCCAGTGATCATCCCAACCATGTTTTTCTAGGGTATTAATTTTACTTTATGCAGTAATTAGTCTCGGTTGTGTTTGCAGTAGCTTGGGTGTATTTGAGTTGCGTCCGTTCGCCTAGTTTTTTATCGCATCGTCATTGTTTACCGGTTGATTATGGTATGGGACTCGGTACATACAGTACACAGATACTGTACAAAAAGACCTTAATACAAATATACTAGCAAGTCAGCAACCATCCACAAAAACAGTGTCTAACAGAGAGGCATAGATTGTTATGCATGAACATTGCTGCCAATCATTGACGGTTAAGATCAGCACTACTAGCAACGATCCTCTTTATTATCCGTTTATGCAGATGAAGGAAAAAACAGTAACGCAACCATTTATTAGGTGGATGACCGCTATCCGCATTTGGAATGGTATCGACTATGTACAGACTAACCAACATGGCTGCTTCCATGGACTATCACATTGAATGCTGGATGCGACATCGACATCGAGTTCCGTCGTTGACAGTTTGCACGCAAGTGCGTAGTAGTACCGTACTGCATGTGCGTCTGTACCTTTACTGCTTCCATGTACCTACCTAAACTGCCGTCCACACAGCAGATGGGAACGAGCACTGGCCATTCAATGATAATTAGACGAATACACCAAAAAAACTGTTTGCAAAACTGATCTGGCTGTGTGGATATGAATATGAGAGAATAAATCTTTAATACGAAACTGCGAATTTGCGGTATTACTATACCGCGCGTTCATCTTGCAACAATCAGAATTTGTGTTAATTATGATACCCATTCCGCTTATAAAAGAACAGTTAACATCACAATTAAAGTTATGTAATTGTGTTATCTGGCCACCATTATGCGACGTATGATAGTGGATACAAGCAAAAGTAAACAGACAAGACGCCGGAAAAGATGTGCTCATGCTGTAACCATGTACATACCGCATACCGGTAGTGCCGTACATGTATACTTCCGTCTGCCTGCAGAGTACAGAATCTGATAGCAGACGGTGAGTTCGAACTTCTTCGGTTCTTCGGTATTAGCTTCTTATCAGTCACTGTTTACAAGACTTAGTATGCTTACTTATCATGGCTACTGCAAACTTAAGTGGCATTCTATAAACACAGTAATGCCACTGTATTATCGGCACCAACCGATAAGGCTAACAATAAGAAATACTATGTAATTAGCTAACCTCTGACCAATTTTACGCACACTATTTTACAGCAACGCTGCGGCAGCAACCACTGTTCTTTTCAGTATAAATCAATGTCACTCAAAACTGGGTTGTCAAAGCGTGGTGCACAAACTTCGTCAGTTAAGCAGCGCCGTTTTGGCTGATTTGAAATTCATCTGAAGTTCCGCAGTGGGCTTTCTCTTGCTAAAAATATGTTCTCACGGCGCTTTTTTTATGTAGCTTTTTGCTATACGGTCTTGAACGCGTGGCCAGCAGGAGTGAAAGCAGGTAAAATAATGTTCATTCTCTTTAGACATTTTTAAAGTGCAGAATTATACAACTGATGAATATTACATGCTGTTTATGGTTAGCCAAGTTAACACCATATCTGTAATGGCCGTTCACAGCATTTCCAAGCCGGCAGAATACAGAAACCGCTTAACAGATTATTGTCAAATGCGAGCAAATTCATAAATCATTCTAATTTTGCGATTTTCTTATTGTAAGTTTCATTCCGGTGTAGAGGATCCGGTTTCCGTGCCACTGCCGCACAGCGACTGCACACGAACAACCAATGGAACTATCGTGGAATGCATTCGCAGTGATAATTATACTATTCCCGGCAACTTCGATGTCACCTTATTTCCCACGGATGTGACGACCATCATGGTGGGAAAAGTGAGCGTTAACCCCACTGGAAGAAAAACGAACACCATTCACAATGACGCTCCACCTTTACCGGCAGATTTAAACGCTTTGAGAACCGTCTCTCTGTTCCACTTCCAAGGAACGAACGGAACGCGTGTCCCCTTCGAGGCCTTCTTAGTCAACGTCAGAGACCGGCTCACTGCTTTGCATTTCAAGTACTGTCGTATTGGTACACTCGGCGCCAACTTCCTTAACGGATTTGTACAGCTACGTATCCTTGACCTTAACGACAACGATATCAGCCAGATCCATTTGGATGCTTTCGAAGGACTACCCAGTTTACCACAATCAGGCCCTGTGCTTCTGGACACACTTCAGCTAGCGCAAAATCAGATCACCGCTGTGGATTGGACAGTTTTTGCCCCGGTTGCGAACTCGTTGTCAGTAAGTGCTCTCAGCTGACGCCAGTAGTTTTTATCGTAAGTAAGTAAACGCTATCGAATCTACCGAAGAAGGTGCGCATATCAGTACGCCTGCGCAGGCTTACTATACATGTACACAATAAATGTACACTGATAATTTTAAATAGTATTATTATGTGTAGGACGGTAGGACCTCCTACATTCTAACATTCCTAACGTTACATATAATAAGTATTGGGAAATGCAATATACGACTACAGTACTGTTTGCAAGGGAGAAACACACCACATCTGGTGAATCTTATTTTTATTTGGTTTCAGCAACTCGCGCTGGAATCGCAGAAAGTTCGAAGTTGAGTACACTGAGCTTAAGCGAACCTTACCAGTTCACCCAGTTGCTGGTCGTGGATCTGAGTGGGAACTCATTAAATTTCCTCTCCCGGCCGATTCTCGACACCGTACCCATAACGAACGACTCGGTTATTATACTATACGAGAACGCTTTCTGCCCAACCGATACTAGCAGAACGTGCGCTTGTTGCGCTGCCAAGGATTTTGTGAGTTGGGCGCATGAGCTGACCAACCTAACGGAGGCGCAACGACCGCAAGTAATGATTTTTTCCTGTGGGACGACCAGCACGGCAGAGTACTGGTCCGTGGAGTCGACTGGGAAGACCTGCCATCGTTAGAACAGTATACATGCTGCAGCAATCCGGCGGCGCAGGATTGCATTACGACCACACCCACGCCCCGTACCACGGTCCGTACCACGGCTCGTACCACGGCCCGTACCACACTCCGCACCACGCTCCGCACCACACCGGCGCCAACCAAACCGACGGAAGAGGATGATGATACAACGAAGCCATTCAAACCAGAAGGCCCAGGTGGCGCTGCAGCGACCGATCATCGTACCATAGACCTATGCTGAGCGTATTTCTGGCTGCTTTGCTACTCCTGCATTGGTAATCGAAAGGTCACGCTTTGATCCGAATTGATTTCTGCGCGACGTACGTGGACAATGCGAATTTGTTTGGCTACAGCGACTACAGCTCATAGATAATCGCCGTCATAAGGATAATTCGGCAGTTCGAGATATTCTGTCTAGGGTGTGCAATCAGTTATGGCGGTGAGAAACGTCTTTTGTGCTTTTGCTAACTCTTGGTTATTCTGTTATCTGTTAAGTTGTTAATATAGCGAAAATTACGAACCCAAATAACTCAGAATGCCTTCGAAGTATTATTCTGCACAAACACTGAAATCAGTCGAACCACCATTGGAAGGTGTTACAACATTTGTATTGACAAATTAACAAGCGAGAATTCTTTAAAAAATTAAGCAACACACATGTTTTGAATGTTCTTTGGTTATTTTGCCGCACTCCAAGGATCTACTGGATGTACATCGGATCGTTTCAGCTTGAGAACGCCAAGACAACTTTTTGATCGATATTTGGCGCAAAGGCACTTCAGTATCTCAATCGCATCTCGCCGATATTCCAGATTCAAAATGTAGAAGAATGCCTGCAATGATTTACGCTGTATGTATTTTGTAACTTCTCTTTGGAAAAGTCTTAAGCGAGGTGACTCGGTACATTGCACTAAAATCGTGTACATCCACGGGAACATTCGCTTTCGCGCATTTCAAAACACGTTTTGTTGGATTGTATACGAATTAGTGCTATGCAAGTAATGCTGTCTCTTCAAAAAAAATTAAAGTGAGTACAGTAAACTCTGAGATTGAACAACCGCGAAAATTGAACAACTGCGAATATTGAACGCCCGTGTAGGAACCGGCGCGTCTCGTATACTGCAAAAGCTACTGCGAATATTGAACAGATGGTTACATTGAACGCTTGTAGCCGGCAAAACAGTTAACATGTTAACGGTTAACGCATTAACATGTGAGCCGGGCTAGAATGTTAACGTTAACATTCCCGCCGGGCCCAAATGTTAACGACCAAATCATGCAAGCTATTCACTCAGTATCTGTATAAGCAAAATAATACTAATAAGTATTGCAGTTCACGAGTCATGGGCTAAAATCAACTGCAAGCCACATTTACCTACATTAGATCACACTTAAAGTCCCGGACGAGTTGGCTGCTCCTAAGCCTTGACGAGCCATTAACTAAAATTTAGTTCAATCACACATTTAAGCCAGACTTGAACACCCGCAAGATTTGGCTGCTATTATGCCGTGAATCCTGATAGTCCTGTGCTAACAAATTTACACTATGGTAATAACTTTGATTAATCCGATTTATTCTAAGCTCACTTTGATTGCTTGGTATGTACCGGTATGTGCGTGCTTTCGCTGGACATGGAGCCCAGTTATTTTAGGACGTTTCCGGCGAGAAGTGTTAATTCCTGTCCACAGCCTTATAATTAAGGGATTTGGCCTGGTACATGGTACGAAATTCGTGTGCATACACGAAAACTTACAGTTTCGCGCACTCATAAGCACATTATTGTTTTGTTTTATGACATTTTACATCCAGACGATTTGTATAAACGGGCGTGAACACCGTTTGTGCGCGCAACATCCGGTTCGGGAATTATGGCTGTCGGAAAATTCCAAAAAGTTTTAATGCATTTCTGTGCACCAAAAGTCTCGTTATCAAGCGGTCTTCTTCAAATTTTGCATATAAATGCACATGATACATATTGATGAAGGTCGTTTTTACACCGAGCCAAACGTTTGAAATTCCTTTTTAAATTTAAAAAAATTGTGCAACTCTGGTTCGGTGTAAAAATGATCTTCATTATTTTGGTTGATAATGAGACTTTTGGTACACCAGAATGCATTTAAACTTGGAATTTTCGAACAGCCGTTACTCCCGAAACCGAAATTTGCGCAAATAAACGGTCTTTGGGCCTCATACAAATCATCTGTCTTCAGAACGTAAAAAAACAAAGGAAGTGTTTCGAAGTGCGCGAAAGTTAAAGCAATTTATACATGAATTTGGTACCATGTACCGGGCCAAATCCCTTAACGGCGCCATAATGCCTGCCGGCTAGAACGTTAACGTCGTTATAGCATTTGCCGGCTAGAATGTTAACGGCGTTGTAACGGGCGCCGGCTGAAATGTTACCGGCGTTAACAAGCGTGCCGGGCTAGAATGTTAATGGAGCTAACACACGTTAGCTGTATACGTCAGCGGTTCTCACGAGAATGCCGGACATTTAAACAATGTGCATTGGCGTCAGGGCGCAACATGGTGCTCAGAAATTTTTTCCAAGTGATCGCGAACAGTTAATAATTAGCAACAAGGGACCCTAAAGCAGCAGTAACAGCAGAACTCAAACTTTTATCTTAAGTTAATTACAAACTACAGGTGTCCGAAAATGGCCAATTTCGGACTTTCTGACCTCTCGCAGATCTTGCTAATAAACTTATTAGTGGATGGATAATTAAACCGGAGATAAATCAACAAAATACAACTGACAACGCTTTATTAAAAAATGTCCAACGCAGATTTTTAAAGTAGAACCACAGATGACCGCATTCTGTCAAAAACGTATGTTGCGAGCCAATACCATTGCCCATGAAGGATTGTGAATACACGGGCGGGTGCACTTTCGACAGATTCTTATCATTACATGTACGTAACCGAATAAACTACTATTGGTTCGGACGCCAAACATGCACCATGCGGTTTGGTTGTTGGTTCCGAATACCGGTTCGCCGCTTGGGCAAGCAAAGCTGTGAAGCCGAGTAGTTTAAAACAAAAGCAAATTTTGAGTTTGACAAGTCTCGGGCGACTGCAAACTGTAATGACCACTTACGTGATGTTGACCTTTGCGGCAGCCTTATGTAGGTCACATCTGGCCGCTAATGAGTTTTGTCCGAAAAAGTGCGAGTGACCACTAATATCTGGTTCGGCGCCAATCGCCTTTGCAGCTAGACCATTTCAGCCGCTTTCCCCATACCGGCACCTGCGGCCACATCCAGGAAACGTGTAAACCCAAACACTACATGCACTGTAAAGGCAGCCAGAAATGCAGCATGTGCAATATTAAATCGAATTTTGTGAAGGATTAGTGTCATAGTGTCGGCATAGCTTGTTTTCGATGTTTTTTATATGTAGCAGTGGTCAAAATACAAGAAAACGGGTTTTGGCAGTTTTTAAGTTTTTTGCAGACCTGTGGTCAAATTGTTTACCACTTGAATACTCCTACTATAAAGTACTTTTTTTGTGCTATTCAATGAAGTAAGTGTTTTTACTTTATTCATGTTAGCCTAATTGATACAAAAATAAGCATTTATATTCTGGAGACCGTCTATGGTACAAAAAAGTTATGTTTCGAAGTACAAAACCTTTTGAATATTTGAAAATATAGCCCTGGCATCCATGTTAACAGCGTTAACATCCCAGCCCGGCTCAGATGTTAACGGCATAATTTGATACCTTTGATAAGCCGTCAAATTCTGTAGTTTAGGATTCATGTGTTCTACGATTTTTAATTTTTTATATACATGTATGTATGTTAGTTTTACAGTTTTTTGTTGATCTTTCGAAATATTGCATTAAAGGCAACATAGCATCAAATATCTATTGCATTAAATATCCATCAAGGTTAATATCCGACATTCCAATTTAAACCGCTCGTTGACGCCGGTAACAATATCATATGAGCTGGCACATGTTATAACGCCGTTAACATTTGAGCCGGCACATGTTATAGCGCCGTTAACATTCCAGCCGGCACATATTATAATGCCGTTAACATTTGAGCCATAGCGCTGTTAACTTTGGAGTCCCTGTACACTGTTGATTTAGTGTCGAAAAAAACAATTGTTTACTGCTGTACACAAATCTTTTCACGGTACTCGTGATCGGCATCCTACAAACATAAGTAGGTACTCGTAGTCGACATCCATATTTTTAAAACGTTAACGTCTTCGCCCGGCACCTATGAATGTTTATTAGCGCAATGTTGACTACAGCCTGTCGAGTGGATAAACTATTAAATACTCGTACATTGTAAAGATCATAAACAAAAGAGAATTGTGCTTTCGTAGCTGTAAACGAAATTCATGACAAAACTAAAAAAAACGTACCGGCTTTGCATTACATTACATTTTTCTGTAGGTGGCCAGTCAACCTAAATGGCATTATGGCCGTGACATAGTCATAAGCCGCAGCTCACACACTGAGACTCCATACTTGATCGCATAAAAGAGCAAGTTACTCTTTAATCCAACAGCTGAATCGTAGGCAATAGGCATCCATATTCGACATGAACGATTTTTTTAAAAAATGTGTGCATCCCCGCCGAGCACTCATGTTCACAAACTCAGTGCAGATCGCAGTACAGAATAAAGAAAATACAAAGTACGAGCAGCCTTGTGCGCAGAAAGTATTAGCCTTAGCAAAAAATTAACGCCTCTTGTAAGTGTTTGTATTGTACAAGCGATTAAATGGAAGGGGTTTATGTTGATAAATTAGCAGAAGTTCGATTAGCGTACAATTATAGCGTGAACTTCTCAGCTCGGCTCGCGTGTTAACGACGTTAACAAAAAACTTTACTTCCTTTAAAATCGCTGTTCATTGTTTAACAAACAGCAAGCGCAAAAAAAAACACTTTTGGAAATTAAAATCTCTTCTGTTTTAAATGTGAATCTAACACGATCGCCTTCATGACAAACTGTAAAATTAATGTCTCAAATTTTAAAATAACGTGCTCTTGAAAGTAACATAAAATTTCGTCAGCAATTTCAAAAAATTAACTAAGTATGTAGGCACAGTCATATTTATAGTTCACGTATTGCTCCAAGCCTCCAACTATTACTATTACAGTACATTAAGATGCCGCACCGATTTGTATACATACCATTCATTTACACGAACAAGATCGGTATTCTGATCGATCGATCGATCGTATTGTCACTGCTTAAGAACGTCTGAACATCCTATTCGTGCGGGACTTCAGACCGTGTTTAAATGAGATTTGGACTTGATTTCAGCCCATGGTTCGTGAACTGCGATTATTTTGCTGCAGAGATTGAATGAACAGCTTGCATGATTTTGGCCGTTAACATTTGGGCCTGGCGGGAATGTTAACGTTAACATTCTAGCCCGGCTCACATGTTAATGCGTTAACCGTCAACATGTTAACTGTTTTGCCGGCTACAAACGCTTATGAAGGAACCGGAGGTGTTCAGATTACACAGGTTTTACTGTACCACTAATCGTAAGAAACAAGATTAAATTTTGCTTGTTAATGGAACCAGACCAGTGAGGGGAAAAGTATACCGGTACTTACACAATCCGTAACGTAGGCGAACCACAGTATTCCTTTTGACACGATAAATATTGTCAGGTCAAAGGGGTTTTCCGGTTGGAAAAAACCGGCACCGAACAAGGACAAAGGCACGAAACAGACACAGTACCAGGCGAAACAACAGAAGAGAATCCTGGTGGCCATCAAGCGCTTCTCCATGCGTTTCCGGATGCGAATAATCTCACCGTTAAATCGTCGACGGAGACGTCTCTTCCAGCTGACGAAGATGTATACATACGATGATCCGATGATGCTTAGCGGTAGCGCTACCGAAATGAAAGAAATCCCGCGGGAAGCCCAGGTATCTTCTTCTTTTACGTAGCATGCGCCGTTCAACATAAGTGGGATGGTGACCTTTCAGAGAAGAATAAACCATCACAACACTGAATCGTAGATTTTTTAGTACAAGCAGATAAATGAAAAGCACAGGTTATGGGAATGCTTGGTTTTCTTTCTTATTCTGTTAGAAATCAACTACCTTTGGATCGATGTACCGGTGCACGCTTAGAACGATCGCAATAACCCACGCTGTCGCAATCTGGGCAAAAACTATCTTCGGGCTCGATAATTCACGGTAGCGATCGAAATACACAACACTGAACAGCCGGTTGACGCTCAGCCCAACAAACGACCAACTGAGCGCGTCGTATACGACAAAGTTGACAAAGTACACCAAAGCACAGTTCAGATGCACCGGTTTATGGAGAGCATGCCGGAGAAAGGGCACAGCGTCCAGTGGAAACTTACCCAACAGAGGAAGAGATTCAAGCACAAATAGTGCAGAATAAGCCATCCAGAGCCGAATTTGTGCAGCCGTCGGCGAATGAGTACGGCCATCAGGAGAAGAATCATGAAGCTGCTGATCAGATCCACAACACTGTTGAATGTTATCCAGATAATGATGTCCCGCGAGGTTGTGTTATAATTGGTCGTATTCGGCATTCGTGAGTACGGTCTTTAGGCTTGCGATCAATTTACGATGCACAGCATTCGACAAGTGTATGAATGGACGATTAGGGAATTATTCCCAGCCATTCAGCATCATACAATACACTGCTGCTTTCAGTCTGAAAAACTGAAAAACTAGGAAACAATTCCTGGGCATCAGTTCGTCTTGCTAACTTCGCTATCCTGGACGTTTTCGAGCAGATTCGCTAAGTAGGCTGGGTATGTACCCAAAAAGAGTCTCCTCGGTAGCCAGTATAAATAAACGCTTCTCAGGAACATCCTCCTTTTCGCCGTCATTGAGCACAATAATAAACTCGGCAACTGAAAGAATCACAGGCGACGGTTGACGGCACTGTTTGAATAGAAGGAAACCGACTGATTGGCATCTCTCAGAAAAGGCAGGGGATAATGAGCAGTCCCGTGGTAGTTATACGTCAGAGCATACCACGAAGAGCTGTTTACGAGAGACACAGGACGTTCCGGTGCGGTATTTAAGGTGAGCGATTTTATATACGCTGCACAGTCAATGTTTTGCGGTTCGCTGCATCTGAACAGTCTCTGCAAGCCAAATACAGCACACGGGATGGCGTGCGGCCCAGGTATTTCCCGTCTTATTGAAAACAATTTCTTTACTTATTGTTATTGTCCAGTGGTCCGTCCTTAAAGTCGCAGTCCACAGGTATTGTCCAGACTCAAAGGCAAATTTGCAGGATCACCAAAGTTGGGTAGAAAGTGCTTTGCGCCAGCTGCGGAAAATGCTGTACGTTTCCACGCTGGCAAGCATTAACTAAAAACTGGATTAATATTGCGAATTGGTCTGGATGAACCTTCAAAGATTTGCGAGTGTTGCAAAGCAGTGTCGTGCTTGCGCAAACGTTACGGGTAGGTACAGAGTACAAGTATGAGTAAACTGCCTCACCCAGCTGCATTTTCTTAAGAGAACTTTTTTCTTTCAAGTATGACAAGTAAACTGTATTAAAAAGCGTTAGCACAATGTTTAGACACTCCGGTTAAACGATCAAAAAGTAGTTGGACCCAGCACCATTGTGGGATCACACAACATAACCGGCATGACATCCATAATATGCATGGGTATGACATACAGATTCCAAGCACTGGAAACACTTGATCTGAGTGGGAATGCGCTGAATTTTCCATGGCCTCGTATTTTACGGACAACGTTGAATGTGTCGATGATGAGTAGCATTAAGCTGGACTATAACGCGTTCTGTCCGAACGATCCTGCCAAGATTTGCGGTTGCTGTGCAGCAGCGGCGTTTATGCGGTGGGTTCACGAAGTGGCCAGTATGACGGGTGAACGCAAGCCAGTTGTGTCGTTCACTTGTGGCCGGTTTGGATGCGGCGAGTCGCCGGCTTTTTGGGCTGTCAATTATCCCTCCAGACCGCTGCCCGCTCTTGATGCTTACTCCGGATGCTGCGTCAACGAAGGCGACCTAGGTTGCACGACAACAACCCGACGATCAGAATGGGGAGTGAATGCCTCCGTTACCTGGCGCGGTTGCATTGGCGGTAGCACCATCATAGTTCTGATTACGCTCTTCTTACTGAATATCTGAAGGCAGGGAACGCAAGCTCCCAAGCAATCCAGTATAGTGTGACTATAGTGATCAACGCAACCATGTTTTTGTAGGATATCAAATTTCCTTGATGCAGTGACTGGCCTCGGTTGTGTTTGCAGTAGCTTGGCTGCATAGTGCGTCTGTTCGCCTAGGGTAGTTTTTTATCGCATCTCAATTTTTTACCGGTTGATTATGGTATGGGATTCGGTACATACATAAAATATTACACTAACAAGTCAGCAACCATCCAGAAAAAAAGTGTCCAGCAGAGAGGCATAGATTGTTATGCATGGACTTTGCTGCTGCAGTTATGCATGAACTTTGCTTCGTTTTTCTTATAACAATTATATGTAATTTGTTTTCTGGTCACCATTATGGTATAATTATTGTACATGTACATACCGGTAGTGTCGTATACTTCCGTCTGCCTGCAGAGTACAGATATCAGACGATGAGTATGAATCTCTTCGATTCTTCGGTTAAACTTCTTATCAGTCAGACAGTCACTGTATAGAATACAAGACTAGTATGCTTATACGTATAATGACTATGGCAAACTTACTGTGGCGTTCTATGAACACAACAATGCCACTGCATTATCAGCACCAAGCGATAAGGCTAACAAATACTAATTAGCTAACGTCTGACCAATGTTACGCACACTATTCTACAGCAATGTTGCAGCAACAACCACTGTCAATGTCCATCAAAAGTTATTTAAGCACTGCCGTCTTGGCTGATTTAAATTCATCTAGAATTCCACAGTAGACTTTCTATTACTAAAATGTTATCACGGCGCTTTTTCAGCGCAGCTTTTTGCTGTGCGGTCTTGAACGCTTGGTCCGCAGGAATGAAAGCAGGTAAAAAAGATTCATTTGCTTTAGACAATTTTAAAAATGCGGAATCATACAACTGAGGAATATTACATGCTGTTAACACCATATCTGTAATGGCCGTTCACAGCATTTCCAAGCCGGCAGAATACAGAAACCGCTAAACAGATTATTGTATCGAGTCAAATGCGAGAAAATTCATAAATCATTCTAATTTTGCGATTTTCTTATTGTAACTTTCATTCCGGTGCAGAGGATCCGGTTTCCGTGCCACTGCCTCACAGCGACTGCACACGAACAACCAATGGAACCACCGTGGCGTGCATTCGCAGTGACAATTATACTATTCCCGGCAACTTCGATGTCACCTTATTTCCCACGGATGTGACGACCATCATGGTGGGAAAGGTGGACGCCCATTTCACTGGCAAAAAAACGAATACCATCCACAACGACGCTCCACCGTTACCGGCAGATTTAAACGCTTTGAGAACCGTATCTTTGTTCCACTTTCAAGGAACTAACGGAGTGCGTGTACCCTTCGAGGTCTTCTTAGTCAACGTCAAAGACCGGCTCACTGCTTTACATTTGAAGTACTGTCGTATTGGTACACTCAGCGCCAACTTCCTTGACGGATTTGTACAGCTGCGCATGCTTGATCTGAACGACAACGATATCAGCCAGATCAATGTGGCTGCTTTTGAAGGTCTATCCAGTTTACCACAATCAGGGCCTGGACTTCTGGATACGCTTCAGCTAACGCGAAATCAAATTACCACGCTGGATTGGAGAGTATTTGCTCCGATTGCGAACTCGTTGACAGTAAGTGGTCTCAGCTGCCGTCAGTAGTTGCTATATATCATACGTCAGTAATAATTAATAATAATAACTGTTATCGAATCTACCGAAATGAATGTGCGCATATCAGTACGCTTGCGTAGGCTTACTGTACATGTACCTTGATGTAAGCACTGATGTATACTATTTATGTACACTGATAATTTTAAATAGTACACGTGTAGGACCTCCAACATTTAACCTTCCTAATATTATTCCATGTAATAAACATTGTGAAATGCAGTTAGAGACCGAAAACAGTAGTACTGTACTGCCGTATACGGCATACTGTACGGTCTGCCGTACGTAACCGTATACGAAAACACTACGGCAAACAATTGCCGTACCGTAACCGTATGCCAAAAACACGATTTTACAATGGGCGTGCCGTATACGGTACTGCCGTATACGGTATACCGTACGGTCAATCCGGTTATTTTTGCCGTAACCGTACCGTACCCGTAGGAGCCGTAAGCAAAACCGTACGTAGCCATACAAAACTTTAGTACTGTTTTCGGTCTCTAAATGCAGTATACGATTACTGTACTGTTTGTACTTTGCAAGGGACAAATACTGCAGTACACGCACATCTGGTAATTCTTATTTTTGTTTGGTTTCAGCAACTCGGGCTGGAATTGCAGAAGGTTCCTAAGTTGAGCACACTAACCTTAAGCAAACCTTACCAGTTCACCCAGTTGCGCGATTTGGATCTTAGTGGGAACTCATTAGATTTCTTATCCCGTCCGATTCTCGACACCGTACCCATAACCAATGACTCGTTTATTATACTAGATGGCAACGCTTTCTGCCCTACCAGCAGAACCTGCGCTTGTTGTGCTGCCAAGGATTTCGTGAGTTGGGCGCATGAGCTGACCAACCTAACGGGGGCGCAGCGACCGGAACTAATGATGTTTTCGTGTGGGACGACGGGCACGACAGCGTCCTGGTACGTGGAGTGGACTGGGGAAGACCTGCCACCGCTAGAGCAGTATGCATGCTGCAGCAATCCGGCTGCGCAGGACTGCATAACTACCACAGCCACGCCGAGTACCACGACCCGTACTACGACCCGTACCACGACCCGTATCCCGTCCCGTACCCCGCCCCGTACCACGCGTCGCTCCACACCGGCGCCAACCAAACCCTGGGATAAGGATGATACGACAAAGCCAGAGGGTCCCGGTGGCGCTGCAGTGACCGATCACCGTACTGGACTAACGCTGATCGTATTTTTGGCTGCTATGTTTCTCTTGCATTGGTAATGTCAAGGTCATGCCTTGATCTGAGCTAATTTCTAAACGACACGGATGATACAGTTAACGCTGCGAAATGTTTGAGGAATACGGTAGAACACACTTCAACACAGTGTCATCTGTTATCATTACGAAACTATGCACCCGTGACCCAACTAACTCAGAACGTATTGAATCTGCAGTTATAATATTACTCTGCACAAACACCGAAATCAGTCAAACCACCGATACCATTGGAAAGTATTGCAACATCGCATTATTAAATTAACAAACGAGAATCCCTATAACAATGTAGCAACGCACATATCTATATTTTTAATGTTCTTTGGTTATTTTGCCGCACTCCAGGGATCTACCGGATGTACATCGGATCGTTTCAAGTTCAGAACGCCAAGACAACTTTTTGATCGATACTTGGCGCAAACACATTTCAGTATCTCAATCGCATCTCGCCGATACTCCAGATTCAAAATATAGAAGAATGCCTGCAATGATGTACGCTGTAGTATGTATTTTGTAACTTCTTTTTGGAAAAGTCTTAAGCGAGGTGACTCGGTGCACGGCACTAAATTCGTGTAAATGCACGGGAACATTCGCTTCCGCGTCGAAACACTTTTTTGGATTACACACGAGTTAGTGCTATGTATCTGGTCACTTCCCTTAATCGTTTTGAAATTTGATATTGCCTCTTTACAAATTATTAAAGTGACCATCACTCAGAAACAAATATCACATTTTGCTTATTAGTAGGAAAATTATATACGGTACTTACACAATCCGTAACGTAGGCGAACCACAGTATTCCTTTGGACACGATAAATATTGTCAGGTCAAAGGGGTTTTCCGGTTGGAAGAAACCGGCTCCGAACAAGGACAAGGGCACGAAGCATACACAGTACCAGGCAAAACAGCAGAAGAGGATTCTGGTTGCCAGCAAGCGCTTCTCCATGCGTTTCCGGATGCGAATAATCTCACCGTTAAATCGTCGACGAATATGCCTCTTCCAGCTGACGAAGATGTACACATACGTTGACCCGATGATGCTTAGCGGTAGCGCTACCGAGATGAAAGAAATCCCGCGGGAAGCCCAGGTATCTTCTTCTTTTTTGTAACATGCGCCGTTCAGCATCAGTGGGATGGTGACCTTTCGGAACAGAATGAACCATCACAACACTGAATCGTTGACTACTGTACATGCAGACAATTAAAAAACCCAGATTATGGGTAAGACTGATTTTCTTTCTTGTTTTCTTAGAAATTAATTACCTTTGGATCGATGTACCGGTGCACGCTTAGAACGATCGCAATAACCCACGCTGTCGCAATCTGGGCAAAACTATCTTCGGGCTCGATAATTCACGGTAGCGATCGAAATACACAACACTGAACAGCCGGTTGACGCTCAGCCCAACAAACGACCAACTGAGCGCGTCGTATACGACAAAGTTGACAAAGTACACCAGAGCACAGTTCAGGTGCACCGGTTTATGGAGAGCATGCCGGAGAAAGGGCACAGCGTCCAGTGGAAACTGTACCCAACAGAGAAAGAGATTCAAGCACAAATAGTGCAGAATAAGCCATCCAGAGCCGAATTTGTGCAGCCGGCGGCGAATGAGGACGGCCATCAGGAGAAGAATCATGAAGCTGCTGATCAGGTCCACAACACTGCTAAAGGTTATCCAGATAACGATGTCCCGCGTGGTTGTGTTGTAATTGGTCGTATTCGGCATTCGTGAATTGTGTGTTCAGGCTTGCGATCACTTTACGATGCACAGCATTCGACAAATGATCATGGAATTATGGATGATCATGGAATCATTTCTAGCCATTCAGCATCACACTCCGCACTGCTGCTGTCAATCCCGTCCTGCAGAAGTGTTTAAAAAAATTGTACATACTGTATATAAATGAAAAAATAGGAAGTAATTCTTGAGCATCAGTTCATCTTGCTAACTTCACTGCTCTGGATGCTTACGAGCAGATTCGTGAAGTAAACTGGGTATGTACCAAAAAGAGCCACCTCGGTAGTCAATATAAATAAACGCCTTCTCAAGGACATCCTCCTTTTCGCCTTCATTGAGCACAACAATAAACTCGGCAACTGAAAGAATCACAGGCGACGGTTGACGGCACTGTTTGAATAGAAGGAAACCGACTGATTGGCATCTCTCAGAAAAGGCCGGGGATAATGAGCAGTCCCGTGGTAGTTATACGTCAGAGCATACCACGAAGAACTGTTTGCGAGAGACACAGGACGTTCCGGTGCGGTATTTAAGGTGAGCAGTTTTATATACGCTGCACAGTCAATGTTTTGCGGTTCGCTGCATCTGAATAGTCTATGCAAGCCAAATACAGCACACGGGATGGCGTGCGGCCCAGGTATTTCCCGTCTTATTGAAAACAATTTCTTTGCTTATTGTTATTGTCCGGTGGTCCTTAAAGTCGCAATCTACAGGCACTGTTCCAAACATAAAGGAAAATTTGCAAGATCACCAAAATTGGGCCAGCTGCGGATAATGCTGTACGTTTCCACGCCGACAAGCATTAACTGAGAACTGAAATAATATTACGAATCTGTCTAAATGCACCCGCAAAAATTTGCGATTGTTGCAAAGCAGTGTCGTGCGTGCGGTGGATGGACCAGATGACCAATACGGACGAATGAAAACCGGTACGTGTCGTTTAAGTACGTGCTTGCTACCGGGACCCTACACAAGTCACCTACAAGTTACCTCCTATTAAATCTGTCTTTCCAGGTATATTTTTTATTGGTCAAATCGCGCAATGTATCGAAACATAATAGATTACACTAATACAAGAAAGAGTTACAACAGGTAAATTTATCCGCTTCACCAACGGCCCCGAATACAGATATCGCGTTCCCTCTTTGAATTTCAAGCGACAATCGTTGTCGCAGAAATTCGTGTGAGCGAGACTCCCCGGTATGTAGCTGCAGTCTTTTGCCTAATACTTTTGCGATAGAGGGTCTCCATGGTCCCATCGTTTCAAAGGCAATTGGTGCAAAAATGTAACGGCCTGTAACGTAGGTTCTTACTAACTGTAACTCAAAGCTGGCTAGATGGTATAAGTCTTTATTGATCTAAGACTGACTAAAACTATCAACGATTTTTAGTATTGAAAACATAGGACTTATATATGAGAACAGATGGACAAGACAACGTCCAGTTACACAACGTTATTGGCGTATAGTGAATAGAAGTTATGACATTCAAACGGATGCACTTCCGTGTTGCGTAATATGCCTTTGTTGGCCAGTGCGTTATACAGCAACGCACTGTGGCTCGAACGCCAACCGGCACTTATGCATTGTGTAACAACTCTGTTGGCCAGTGAGTTGTGTAACAACTCACTGTTACTGTTATGCCAACGACCAGTACATACGTTGTGCATGTACACATGATAAATCATGTTACACTCCTCTTCTAAAGAAAAAATAATTGAAAATTATTTATAAACTGGTCTTGTTTTTCTTTCACGTAAATTGTATCTTGGCTCATTGTTGTCCCTGTGTGGTGTTTTGGTGTTGCTTCCAATGTCTCTGTTCTCTGTTGTATGTTGTTCTTTTGGAGTCGTTTTAGCGAATTGGATATTCTCCTCTTCATCTAACTTGTCGTACCACGGTTTCAGTTGGGAAACGTGGACAACGTCCTTCTTGCGTTTTCCGTTTATGTTCTCAATTTCGTAGTTAACGTTGTTCAACTGTCGGATTACGCGATACGGTCCGTGCCAATGTTTAAGCAGTTTGGTGGTAAGCCGAGTGTCGGCTGGGATAATTTTGCCATCTTTGTTAACAAGCCGAGGTACGTTCCAGCGGTACACAAGGTCATTTGGTTCGTACTGCGCAGCTACTCTCCTCTCGTTATACGGTACTTGATTTCTTTCGTTTCCATCGATACATCGTAGTTTGGCTAGTTCCTGTGCATCTTTTATATACTCCGTAGTTTCTTTCACGTAATGGTCAAGGTCGTGAATGGCTTCCGGTTGGTTTAATGCTGTGTCGAGGGCAGATGTTGCTTGGCGTCCATGTAGGAGTTCGTATGGAGAGTATTTTGTAGTGGCGTTGACGGTTGTATTAATGCAGTGTGTTACGAAGGGCAAGTAGTTATCCCATTTGTTGTGGTCGTCGCAGTATTTCGACAGACATTCAGCAATAGTCTTGTTTGCTCGCTCTGTCATTCCATTACTTTGTGGATGATATGAAGTCGTAAACCGTTGTTTGCAGTTTAGAAGCTTCGTCAACTGTGACAAAAGATCATTGCAAAAATGTCTCCCTCGATCGGATACGATGTATTTAGGTACCCCATGACGTAGGATGATTTGCTCCATTATAAATTTAGCGGCGTTCTCTGCTGTGGCATTTCTTACGGCTTTTGTTTCTATCCACTTGGACAGGTGGTCGATTGCAACTATAACGTATTGGTTCCCCTTTGAGGATGTTGTATACGGGCCTTGGTAGTCTATTCCGATGGTGTGCCAAGGTCCTTCCACGGGAAATGGTTGCATCAAACCAGAGGGTTTGCCTGGTGGAGGCTTTTTAACATTACAGGGAATACATTGTTTAATATATGCAGATATGGAGTCCGTCATGCCGGGCCAGTAGTATTTGTCGTGAAGTTGGTGGTACATCTTTTCAGTTCCAAAATGTCCATTTGCGTCGTGAGCATTATGTAAAACTTCTTTCTGCATTGATCTGGGGATGACTAACAGGGTAACTATTTTATCGTTCCGGTATGCTATGCGATACAGTAAGTCAGCTATCAACGTGAATCGTGTACGCCGGTATTTATAGGCTTCGGTGTGCGTCGGGCCTTTAAGGATACTGGAAATTCGTCTGCAGAAGTTGTCTGTCTGTTGCTCTTGTTTTAGGTTGGAAGTCGTTATGTGAAATAACGGGTTGGCAAATTTCAGATTTTTAGGCGTGTTGGAATTGTCGAAAGGATATCTTGACAGGCAATCGGCGACAACGTTCTCTTTTCCGGCTCTGTATCCGATATTAAAATTATACTGCCGTAACCTTAAAATCCAACGTGCGTGACGTCCTGTAAGATTCTTTGCGTTTATAAGTCCTCGCAGAGCATTGTGGTCCGTTATAACTTCAAAAGTTCTATTTGGATCGCCTATATATGGGCGAAACTTGTCGAGTGCCCACACTACTGCTAATAATTCCTGTTCCGTGGCGCTGTAGTTCCGTTCGGATTTTGATAAAGCTTTACTCGCGTAGGTGATGACCGTTTTCCTTCCGTCGTTTTCGACTTGGTGTAGAACAGCACCGAGTCCAACACCACTGGCGTCCGTCTCCACTATGTGCCGTAAATTCCGGTCGAAATGTGCCAGAATGGGTTTCGTTGTTAATGCTCGCTTCAATGTTTCAAAAGCTTTCTGCTGTGTTTCTGTCCACTGGAAAGGTGTGTCTTTGCAGGTCAGTTGATGTAAGGGTGCCGATATTGTAGCGAGGTTCGGGATAAACTTGCTATATCCGACCATCCCGATAAATCCTCGAAGTTGTTTCCTGGTTGTCGGGGCTTGGTAGTTTTGTATGGCTTCTACTCTTTTGGGATTGGGTAATATGCCGTCTGGATTGACAAGATGTCCCAAAAATTCTACTTCACGGTGTCCAAAGTTGCACTTTGATGGTTTAAGTTTTAGTCCTGCTGCCGTTAATCTTTGTAAAACTGTTTCTAAATGCTCAAGGTGTTCCTGAAATGTCCGGCTATGGATGTTTATATCATCCAGGTAAATAACGATGTATTGGCCAATTAATCCGGTAAAAATTTTATTCATCATGCGCTGGAATGTCGCGGGGCATTGGTAAGGCCAAAAGGCATCACCTCGAATTGGTATTGGTTTGTCGAAGTAAGGAAAGCTGTTTTCACCTTGGATGATTCTTCAATCGGAATTTGCAGGTATCCTTGAACTAGATCTAGACTAGTAAAATATTTACTACCTCTAAGCGATTCTAAGCAGTCATCGATCCTTGGAATCGGGTATTTATCTTTGACAGTAATTTTGTTGAGGTCCCGATAGTCCACACATATACGAATTTTATCTTTTTGTTGTATTGGAACTAAATTAGCTGCATACTGGGATTGGCAAGGTGATATTATTCCTAGGTGTATCCATTCATCTATTTGCTTATCAATTGCCTCACGTTCCCACTGAGAAAATCGTCTCAGGTGCCTTGATGTTGGTTCGTTATTACCGGTGTCGATGTAACACTTCGCACAATTTGCACGTCCCATTGGTGACTGCTTCGTTGGAAAAATCTCGCGGTATTTAAACAGTAATTTCAGGAGCATTTTCTTCTCTTCACCGGTGAGTTCCGGTCCTAGCTTGACCATATCTTCAATGTCGGCCATTGACAGCTGGTCCTCTATAAATTTTGATGAGTCCCCAGGAGGTCTTTCGGGCTTAACTGCCCATTTTCTTCTGCGTACGCCTTCTCCTCCTCTTCTCTTTCTTTATCTCTCTCTTCTTCAATCTTTTCTCTTCTCTCTTCTTTCTTCTCTTCTCTCTCTACTTCTTTCTTCTCCGGAGACTTCTTTGTTAACATCATGCCTTCAGTGATTCTAGGTTCTTCACTGATGAACAGTGCTGCTCCTCTTTCTCATCGCGCGTTTGATTGGGTGTTCGTACATCTCCAACCCTCCGACCAAATCGGCCAAACTTGGGCAAAGGTTGTGCTGAGGATGTCCGGTTGCGGAGTAGCGTATTCGTGGATGGTACTGGCATGGTGTTCTTTAAATCGGCCATTAGACGTGCCCTGGGATTGAAGACTTTATTTTGTTTGAAATCAATCACAAAGGGTGTTGACCGAAGATAGTCGGTCCCAAGCAGCATGGCATATGGGAACCCTCTAGTATGGCTGCTTTCACCCATACTCTCTCTTTCATCAAATCTATGGGGACTCTGCATGATCCTGAAATGTTGAGTTTATCACCTGATGCGGACGTTGCGATGGTACCGTTCCATGGTTGTTTAGTCAAATTCTTTTTCTCAAAAAATTTCTGATTTATTATTGAAATTCTGATCCGGTATCTACGATGGCTTCTATTGGCTCATTGTCAACTCGTACTTTGCAGGTTATTGCGCCGGATGTCGAATTTGTACAGACCAGTTGATTGTTTACCGTAGCAAAAGAGCCTTATCTGCCACGGCCTTTAGTTTAACTCAGGTATTTCCAGTGTGTCGTCGTGTTCTTCGTAGCTGAAGTACGACGGTTGCCTATTGTTATTATTACTGTCGCGGTTAGAATTTCCTCCCCTGGAAAAATTGTTCGGGTTTCTTCTGTAATTCTGGTCCGTATTTCGTCCCTGGCTTCTGCATTCGCGAGCGACATGACCTTTTCTTCCACATTTATTGCATTTTGTCCAACAGTCCTTCTGCATATGACCTTTATTACCACAGCGGTGACATATTGCATCTGAACGAGTGTTGCGTCCGTTAAATCGGCTTTCGTTACGCCGGAAGTTGGGCTGGGATCCTCGTGTTATGTTTTCCACAATGTTGACTACTTGATCCAGGCGTTTAGACAAATCAGTTATTTCGCTGTTCCGTGTTTCCGTAAAGAAAACCTTTGCTTTTGAGTCATCAGCCTCTGATTCCCTTTGGGCCTTTTCCTTGTACTGCTCCTTAGTTGCCTCGGTCTTCAGCTTGTCCAGGAACTGGGCTACGGTTGTCGGTCGATTGGTGACAAAGTTCGATTTCATGCGTGTCGGGAGTTCACGAAATAATTCGTTCGCCTTTTCGTGCTCAGTGGCTGTAGGGTTGATGACATCAAACATTTTCAGGACTTTCGTGACGTATGATGGAGGATCCGACTTCGCTAGGTTCTGGTATTCTTCCTTCTTCAGGTCGTAGTCCAGGTCAGTAGGGCCAAAAATTTTAAGCAGGGCGTTCTTCGCGCTGATCCAGGTTACATGTTTGGTTTGCTCCGATTCCCACCATCTTAAGGCATTGTTGATGAAGCACAAGTTAAGATTCGTCAGTTTTGTCGCTTCCGTCCATCCATAAACTCGGGTAAAACTTTCGTAGCGTTCGGTAAACTCGCGTACATCTTCGTGTGACTCACCGCCAAATTTCGGGAAATCTTTAGGAGAAAGTTGCATTCCGGACGTTTGAAGAATGGTAGTAATGGGAGTTGATCCAGTTTGTTGCTGTTGTTGTTGCTGTTGATGTTGCTGCTGTTGTTGTTGCTGCTGTTGTTGTTGCTGTTGTTGTTGCTGTTGTTGTTGCTGTTGTTGTTGTTTAAGTGAGGTCATTTCTTGAAGAAGTTGGTCGATCTTTCTTCCGTACACATTGTTTGTGTTGATTAATGACTGGAAGGCCCTATCCTTTGTTGCTAGATACAATGCTTTAAGGTCAGCCTTGGACATCTTGAATGGAAAAGTTCCATTTTGGAGTTGGGATAGTGCGTCAGCTTCGTCAGTAACAGTGATCACGTTGTAAAGGTCAATTAGGATTGGGATGTCGTTTAGGCTAAACCGTCTGAGGATGTCGTGTTTTGAAATCAGTGGTTGTAGTCCTGTATGGATTGCTTGCACTTGGGTATCCTCAAATGTGATAGTGGTCATTGTTGCTGGATTTGGCGTTGATGTTGTGGAAAGGTCACTGTCTGTGTCTGTCGCTCTATTGTCAGTATTGCGTGTCTTACCTGCCTGGTTGGCAAGGCGCAGCTCGATGTCGGTTTGCTCAAAATTCTTATCCGGTATGTCGGTGTTACTACGAGTGTTCGGCATCAACTGATAAGAGGTCACAGAGTAATCCGTTCAGTACATATGGTGGACAAATATGGAAAGGTCAGGGTTATAGCAGAAACAGGAATCGGACTGAAATGTCAGATGTAGACAGCTGGATCGGAACCGATAGTTCACTTATGTAGTAAGCTGTATGGAACTATGATGTCAGTTTAGTACATAAAGGTCAAATGTAATCCATTGTAATCCATAAAGATCGGTAGATACAGTGGGATCAGTGTGGAAAGGTCAATGGAGGTTGATAGTAAACACTTTAAAGACCACTGGAGCCACCATTTGTAACGTAGGTTCTTACTAACTGTAACTCAAAGCTGGCTAGATGGTATAAGTCTTTATTGATCTAAGACTGACTAAAACTATCAACGATTTTTAGTATTGAAAACATAGGACTTATATATGAGAACAGATGGACAAGACAACGTCCAGTTACACAACGTTATTGGCGTATAGTGAATAGAAGTTATGACATTCAAACGGATGCACTTCCGTGTTGCGTAATATGCCTTTGTTGGCCAGTGCGTTATACAGCAACGCACTGTGGCTCGAACGCCAACCGGCACTTATGCATTGTGTAACAACTCTGTTGGCCAGTGAGTTGTGTAACAACTCACTGTTACTGTTATGCCAACGACCAGTACATACGTTGTGCATGTACACATGATAAATCATGTTACAGGCCGACCAGATAAGAATACAGTCTCGATTTCTTCTCTCCGGCTTGTACCGCTGCCGCTCCCGCACTTGTGGCTTTGAGATGAGAAACCGCCGCCGTGTCTACACATGTCTCAAGCACGACACATGCCGCGCTTCCAGGCGAAAGTTGTGCAGCCGTCGGGACGACGATCCGACGTGTGGGATGTTCCTCGGGGTTCCAGTTGAATCTGTCTTTCCTGTAAGTCTTTATTAGAACTGGCTACGTGGCTGCAGCACTGGAAAACACCGATTTGCAGAACAGGCTGCTTTTACTCGTAACATATGATATTTAGCTGCTGATGACTTGCATATTATAATGATCATACCTACTGAATCATAATTAATCTAATCTCCCGCAGCAATCCATAAAATTAATTCAAACTTGACCTTTCCAGTACACACGTGCCGAGCGCGGATGCACGAGGCTTACCTTGTAAATATAATATTTACTGAATCATACTTAATCTAAGAGCTGATAAAACCTCAATTCAAAAGATAGCAAGCGCTAGCAACTGTCGAAACAAACAGTACCCTAGTATACTGCAGTGTACATGTATTATAGAAGTAGTGATAGTACAAATTAGAAATCAAAAGTGCCTGCACACCTCGCGGCTGTCAGAAATTTCCCACATGTAAACCCCGCATGGGAATGAATAATTATTACTATTCTTACAAGCCAGCTAATGCTTTCCGTGTCTGGAGTCTGACCGCTGTTAAAGTATTATGATCGGGTTTTCTACTGTTGCGGCAACGGTTTGCGTCGTGGTTGCTTTACAGACTGCCTCGATTGGTGCAGGTATACGCAAACCGTAAAAGCTTTAAGAGAAAAACGATAAACCAGTTTTGCGAAGGTACGAAGGCATCGGTGCCTTCAGTTTTACTATTTAAATGTTAAAACCCACTACAATGCTAAGCTTTAAACAACGCTACTGATATAATACGGAAATCCTATTAATACAGCGCCGCTGTGTTAATGGGACAGCAGCTTCAATTTGACCCTTATTCCTGACGACGTCATTTTCATCCGACTCGGACGACAAGGGGCGTCACTGGTCAGTAGCATGCAGACGCAATTTCCGAATTTAACCAATTTACGCGTCCTGGAGATGTACAACTTTATGGCGTCGCCTCGAGTTGTGTTCCTGCTACTTGGTTCTCTTCTGCGCAATGTAAAAGCAACACTGCGCAGCCTACTTATGCGGGATTGCCGTGTCGCGGGTCTGAGCAGAGGTGATCTCGAAGGTTTGTACGAGCTGCGCACTTTGGATCTGGCGGAGAACGACATATACTAGTCTCGATGTATTCGCCTTCGAACCCACCTTCGACGGAGTTACTTACGGGAGATCGTTCAATCTCGAGACGATAGACCTTCAGAAGAACAAGATTCGCTCCATACGATGGGAAACTTTTGCACCGATTGTGCATTCTTTACGAGTATGTGAGAATAAACAGCATCTACAGCTACTGCTTCGAAAAATGATGCTTTGTAGTGTCACTAATGTGGTTGCTTCAGTATTCATCGCAGTACAATTTTCAGACACTCCGACTAAACGATCAAAAAGTAAAGTTTTACTTGGCGATACTGTCGACGAACCACACAACATAACCGGCATGACCTCTTTAACATACACCAGCAAAGTTTACCAGTTCCAAGTTCTTGGAAACGCTAGACTTGAGTGGAAACGCGCTGGACTTTCCATGGCCTGCCATTTTTACGATAACGCTGAATGTTTCGACGCTGACCAGCGTCAAGCTGGATTACAACGCGTTCTGCCCCGACCGACCCCGGTCCCGATGTGCGGGTGTTGCGAAGCGGCGGCGTTTATGCGATGAGTGCACCAAGTTGCCGGAATTACGGAAGAACGCAAGCCGGTTGTGTCGTTCACTTGTGGCCGGTTTGGATACGGCGAGTCGCCGACTTTCTGGGCTGTCAATTATCTGTCTCGGCCGTTACCAGCGTTGGAAAGTTACTCTGGATGTTGTGTCAACGAAGGCGATCTAGGATGTACTACAACAACCAGGCGATCGGAATGGGGAATGAGTGGCGCGATCACCAAATACGGTGACCTTTTCGGTTGCTTCGTCACCATGTTAATTACGAGTGCTGTTATCTTGCTAAATATGTAGGTAACACCACCACCACTGTCAGCACAGAGCACAGAAATAGTCCTGTTTAATCAATCCAGATTTTTTTACCGGTGATCCATCCGGCCCATTATGTTTAACCTTTTTTCGATGCAGTGACTAAACTCGATTTTGTTAAGTATGAGTACTTGTGCTCCGCTTAACCAAACATTGTTTTAGTCGTATGTCGCATTCCTAAAATCATAAGGCTTCAGTGTCAAGCGGTCAAATGTATAAATAAGATTATCAACAGTGACTGTGAGACTGTTTAAAACAAGTAAGCAGTTTCGGAACTCACAGCTAGTCAGGCCAACTTGGTGAAGCCAACACCATTAACAATGCATCTAATTACAAAGAAACGCGTGCTGTAAAGTTAAACAACAATTTCAGCGGTCTACAACTGAACATAGTTTTAAAATCACTCGCATCATCTGCCTTACTCACAAACCAGACTCCAGAGAGGAACAAGAAGCGTTAATTCATAGCGAAATGGACGACGTAATACAAGGGCTATGTCCTTAGGCGATTACTCCTCGCCATTAGTCAGTTTGTTTTGTGTGTTTCAGTTACTTGTTTGTCCATAGTACGAGGCCTTATCCGTCGTCGAAGTATTGAGTATGGATCGTAATAAGCATCTAGACAGAGCTCAGACAGGATAAAACTCGTAAAAGCTACGAGCTACCAGCAACTGCGACGAGAAGCGTGTTTGCGCAACGTGACTAGTTTCTGTAGAAAGTTCCTGGTTTCGCACAGTAGTATGGGTTAGGGTGTGAGACCAGCGTATAGCGCTAGCCGATTTTAATTATATTCATAAAAACAGAGGAAATCAAGGCCATTCAAAAAAACCGAAAAGCCAACCATCATTTCTGTACCTATGTACACAGCCCAGTGGCTAAGTACACTCACTTTATTAGTATCCGTACGTCAAACGTACATATACGTAGAAAATTAAGGTAAATACAGAAAAGTAATATTATTAAGTAATAGTGTTTTATTGTAAGTAATATTATAATTCAGCTAGTTGTTCTTCCAACCAAGACTCATTTTTTGGACAACGTCGGGTCGCAGGTTTCTCGAGCGTTGGATGTTTGTTGGGCGATCGATGGATGTTTGTTGGGCCTTGAACGGCACTACTTGGGGGGAACTTTTGTGAACCCCAGGTAATCGGGTATGTCGTTTCTCTGCTGGACGATGCCTAATATTACTGTGGAGCTGTTTTTCTGGTTTCTCGGTTTCTGTTACAGCTACTGAATCCTCCCACCATGGTGAAAGACCAGCTATGTCAGTTCTGCGGGCAGCTGTTCACGAAAGGCGGAGGGTTCGCTAACCACGTTAAAGCCTGCAGCAAAAAGGTTCCAGATCGACAGGCCCCTGCCGCTGCCACGTCGGATCCTAGCCAGCACCCTCTCCAGCTCTTCCTTTCTGGGACTCATTACTCACTCCCAAAACGAGTGCCGAAGACAGTCCGACGTACCTGTGCACAACGTCTTGCCGAACTCCTCCACAGATGCGTGCGGGATAACTCGTCAGCTGCGTGGATTGATCTGCTGTTATTCGGATCAAGAGCACTCTCCTTACCTGCTGCGAAATCCCTACGGAAGGAGTCCCTTTCCACAGTTATCCGCAAGAACCTGGCCGACTTATTATGCCATCATCATCCTCCTCGCCAGCGCAATAGTCGCGTTGAATCTCATAAAAGCGAACTGAACGAGGAGCGTCTAACGGCCTTGGCCACATCCCTGTTGCAGGATAACAATGTTCGACGGGCTGTAGGAGTGGTTATGGGGGAAGATGCACTGGCTCCCCTGAACGCCGACACTCTGGAGGCTGTACGCAGCAAGCACCCACCCGAGCCCGAAGACAGCGATTATCCACCCCGCCCGACCACTCATTAAAGCCCCCACTTGTCACTCCAGCGGAAGTTTTCAAAGCTGTCTTCAGCTTCCTCAGGATCTGCTGGTGGCTGCTGATTTACGGCCGCAGCACCTTAAAGATATGATGTGCGGCCTGGTGGGAAGAGAGCGAGTTATGTTCTGCCTTAACAGATTTCGTCAATCATGTGCTACAAAACGACGTCCCTGAAGACATCCGACCGTTCTTTTTCGGCGCCAACCTCATCCCGTTGGCCAAAAAAGATGGCGGCATCCGTCCCATTGCGGTTGGTGAAACTTTTCGGCGCTTGGTTTCAAAAGTTGTGAGTTATAGCTGCACTGAGCGGATGAAGGAATTGTGTAAGAACGTGCAGTTTGGTTTCGGGACGAAGGGCGGAGCTGAAGCAATTATCCACGGGGTCCGGGCCTATATGGAAACCCCACACGCAGGACCGCGCGTAATTGTGAAACTCGACTTCAAAAACGCGTTCAACCTTCTGAGACGGGATACACTGCTGCAAGCTGTTCGTCAACATTTCCCTGCGTATTATGGTTATTTCTGGCAATCCTACCGCTACAGCAGCCATTTGGTCTGTGGTGAAGAAACGCTGACGTCCGCCCGCGGAGTGCAACAGGGTGACCGTCGGGTCCCTTTGGGTAAGTTTAGCCACGCTACCGCTGTTCGATGATTTAGATTGCGAACTGCTTCTGGCCTTCCTTGACGACGTGACAATGGCTGGCACAGTAGAAAAAGTAATGGCTGCCATAAAACGAATTGAAGAACGGGCCGCGAAAATGGGTTTAGAATTAAACTTCAGCAAGTGCGAATTCTTTCCCATCGTAACATGTGATGCAGATGACTCCATGATCCGTGCAACATTATTAAGCACTTGGCCAGATATGATTCAGCTCAGTCCCGACAACTTCACTTTGTTGGGAGCACCGATGACCTTCTCAGCGTGCGCGAGATTTTTAACTGAAAACGGAGGAACTAAAGAATTTTGTACAACGATTGAAGAAATTACGGCACTACAGTTTATTTCTCCTTAAAAATTGCCTCAGCGTTCCTAAGGTTTTGTACGGACTGCGCAGTTCTCGTGGTTTTGAACACCTTGACTTGCTGAAAGAATACGATAGCTGTCTACGGGTGGGGGTGGAGCAGTTGGTCAACGTGAAGATTTCAAGCGCAATGGACTCAGATATCTCTTCCAGTACGGCGTGGTGGTTTGTGACACGACGCATTGAGACATTAGCTGTTTGTGCCTACTTGGCATCGGTGTACTCTGTGCTGCCTATGGTTTCCGAATTCTACCAGCCTTCTGAAGAGTGCCTGACAAAACCGCTGTGGAATCTTGATCCAACTGACGCAGGGCGAAATTCCCCGGAATGTGTTCGGAAGTTTCAGTACGCCTGGGACATAGTGATCGAACGGGACATATCCACGTTAATGTCGTCTACCGAAGGTAATGAGCGCGCCAGGGCGGTTTTGCTGTCAGCTTTAAACAGAGATTCGGGAGCCTGGCTGAATGCATTACCCCCCACCTTGTTTGGGGACATTCCTGACGTCTTGAGCACATAGTTCTTGGTGTGGAACAGCTCACCATTCCTCCATTTCAGAGCATAGCGGAACAAGGGGCGTGGTCGACAGTCCCACAGCTTACTAACGCGATTCCCACAGGTGGTGGCCCCGCCACACCCCTCCGTCTTCCACCACACCAGTCCACAGTGTGGGCACGCCTTAATCAGATTCCGCGGATCCGTGTTATCGAAGAGATTGTACGTCATCAGCGGGGTGACGGAGCTGACGAAGCGATTCTTCACATTCTCCCGCTGCATTTCAATACACAGCGCGTAGTAATCCAATTCGACCATGTCGTAGCCATGCTTCGCCGTAAACGCACGGTAAAGGTCATCCAGATCGTACTTGAGCTGGACGATCATGACGTGGAACAGCTCGTCCTTGTCGTCGTCCGGCACAAATTGGGCGCGGTCCCGGAGACGTGTGTAACCTTCCAGCACCGTCTGCACCTGCTTCTGATACTGCTCGAACGATCTGCGCATGTTAAAGCGTACCTGATACAATTTGAAACTATAATGGAAATCGTCATCGGATATCGTCAGCAGCTGCGCTTCCATGTTGGCCATCCGAGTGCAAGCGTACATTAAATCCGCAATCGCCGTCGCACTGCTGCGTTCCGAGAAGAATATGATGTTGGCTACGTGCGGGCTGGCCTCGGTCAGCAGATTGCAGATCGTGGGGAATTCGGCCGGCGGATCGGCCGCGTTATCCATGTGTGAAACGAGAATGACGATTTTGCGGGTGAAATTGCCCACCGGTTGCTCCGCTTGCAGATAGTTGTCCACCATCTTGTAGTAGCGGTTCTCGTACTTCACCACGATGAAGATGGTATTCAGGTCCGTGGTGGTCAGGGCGGCGCGCAGGAGAACGGCATGTTTGTACGGATCGTGCTGGCTGTCGGTGCCGGGTGTGTCCATGATGGAGAAGGCGTTCATCCCGACACTGACATCGTTCTTCAACAATTCCTGGGTCATACTGTCTTCAGAGGCCCCGGCTCGATGAGCGGTATTACACAGCCGGTTGCTGAGTGTTGTTTTTCCGGCTCCAGTTTGACCAATCAGGACGCATGCGGTTTCTTACCCTGGCTCAATATGGAAATTTCGCGTTTCAGTGAAATACTGAAATTGAGCTGGAATTGAGTAGCCGTGTTGGAATGGGAGCTATAGGCAACTGAATTTGAATGCCGAATAAATGCATTCCTTTCCTTCTTAGGTTGGCCGCCTAACATTTACATTCTGTTATGTATAATAAAGTTGTCACATAACTTGTAATATTGTACATATAATGCAACAAAAATTGATCCCAAATCGGAATATTTTTATCGTTTCCGGTAGGCGGCCTACTGGATTTATTCATTGTCCAACTATCAATGATCGGCTGCATATGACGGCCATTGCCATTACAATATTTTATTCGTAGTTTTCATGTATTCTTAGATATTATAACTGTTTATGGTTTAATCTTGATATTATAACTGTTTACGGTTTACTGTTACTGGATACGTGCAACACATGGACATACCGGTCCTGTATTGTGATCGTCTGTTTCTGCTGAAACGAGATTGCCAGCAATAATGACTGCTACCACAGAGGCCATTTGTTCCGTTTGACGTGCATTGCCAGCTTGACCAGTGAGTAAATTAAAACACAAATTTGCTCGATTGACGCTGGCATCATCTTGATCAATACATAACCCAGACAGGAATACAATGTAACTGCAAAGGAACAGTAAACGGATTATGATAACTTTTTAATCTGTATACTCATCATGTCTAACAGTCTATAGTTTGTTAAAAAAGTAACGATAGTGTGCAGTTAATTAATACCAATCAAAAAAACAAAATTTTTTCGGCGTTTTGCACACTACCAAAAGGATACCATTATTACTGCAGAGGCCTGAAATTACATGTGATTACTAATTACTCTCTAATGTAGATAATTAATACAAGGTTGTGGTTTATGTAGTACCACCGTTAAGTAAACAATGCGACATACCGGTCGGTCTCGGGAAGAACAAAATGCGGTTGGGGTGGCAGTCCCAGAAAACAGTGATCTTGTACGACAAACACTCCAGCAGCGTTCACATGACCAACCAACGCCACGATGATTCCCGTAACTAGCTGATGCGGATCAAATTGTCCATGCAGTCGAATCCGCTGTGATTCATCTTTCCAGGAACAGGGTATCGGTGTCACTGGTATATCGAGATGGGATAGGCTCTGGCGGTATGTCAGCGTCACGGCGCATTTGACGTAGAATATTGGGCTTTCGTTCCATTTCCTTGTACAGAGTTCCGATCAGGCAGACTGTTTCGTTCTCCACCAGATCGTCTGTTGTACAAACTCTATAAGCTGCACCTAAAGATCATGAACAACTGCATAAAACCATCGCTATATTGGAAAACAGATACATGAAGGTAATGTGGGAAACATTTGCAAACCCTATAAAAGCAACTTACCCCATTTTTCTTCTGAAACGGCCGTCAAGCGAGGTCGCAGCGTCGCCAGACGCTCATGATAGATGTGGGTGTACTGTGGATCGTATCTTCGGGCTCCTCGAATTCGGAACTGTTCGCTCTTGTCCTGAACTAAGGCCATGTTTGTAAGCACGAAACAGTAAAAATAGCTGCACACTATCGATACTGAGATTTTAAAATTAATGATTACGGACAGTGTAGAACTGGTATTAAATATTGCATTTGATAACACAGACACAAGACAGTACTAGTACTTACTTACAACAGTTAGTATTTGTACTAATACTGATTTGCCACCACTTTTGCCACCAGTAAATATATTTTAATAACGTCTGTTTCTGGTCGCCGAACGAGTGGTGGTTGCAGTATACCTTTAACCCGGCAAAATGCCGGGCTAAATTCTTGTGAAAAAATTTTCTGTTTGTTTGGATTGTTAATTTTTGAAGTAATATTGCCATCCAATACATCCATACGTGTAGGTTACTTTTTGTTTACATTTTTAGTATTTGTGATTTCTTTACAATTTCTTTGATACATACAATAATCCTTTCCCATGTTTTGCCCGAACTATTTATATGGGATTATTGCTTACATCCATATTGATCATCAAGACGCTAATCATAATGACAGAGCGCATGCAGTGTCTTATTAATTTTGTGGTAGGCCGCCTACCACAAGTATTATCAGCAAAGTGTATTAACAGTAAATTTATGCATGTGATATACAGACGTATATCGAGATTCATACCGGCGAGAAGAATTAGTTGTCGACAGTGCACCAGTATTCTTGTCTCCGGGGATTAAATTCTTTCACTGTACATAAACTGCTACCACGGAGTTCTTACATGTTCACATTAGCGGCTAATACATCGGTGGGATGGAGGCCAGCATTGAATTGCCGGTGAAAGCGCAAATACAGCGAGAATCCGATGTCCGTGTCCAATCCAAAAGCGCTTTCCATTAGTTGGCTACCGGAACGGCAGGATCATGCCGCTCCGGTTAGGTATTATCGGTTCCAGTTTGTACAGGCCGGAAGTGATATGTGAATTCGGACAGCCCCATCAGGGGTTTTCCATGCGTAGAATGAGTAAAGGCGCGAAGGGCCAAACGCGATTCATTAGTTAATTTTTCCTGCTTTGATTAAGCGCCTTTATTGCTTTTACTTGATTAACATTTTAATTATTAATGGACAGTGCACACTTTAATTCAAGCAAACCTTGTATTGTGTGAAATCAAACCCTGATTTTGTAAGGTGATGAAAAAGTGTATGCAGACGTTATGAGACCTTTATTGATCGCGAAAAAAAATATCGTAAATTCAGTATCGCATAATAGAATGCCGCCAGTACCCAGACGGAAGATTAATTTCAATTTTACCACATTTTTTCTTCCAAATAATATGAAATCGTACGCAGTACTCCGTTGTCATTCCACATCATCATGCAACCGCCCAAATCTTTCACCAATGTTAAAGTGAAAATAAAAATCGCTTATACTCAGAGGAGACACAAAATCATCTGCGAATTTGCCCCAAACACACTTCAACCCGGAACAGGATCACTTATGTCGGAGGATCTGTCGAACACAAGATGAGCACTATACTGCATGCATTTGCCGCTGAAATCAGTTCAAATGACTGATGGCCGTGAAAAAACGAGTCTCCGGTCCCAATTGTGCCAACGCCGACTATAAAGTGTGCATGATTCGTGTCTGCAATGCAGTAAACAGCATCTGTAACAAGTAGTTCTACATGTACAAAAAAGCCATTATTATTTACAATATAGCACAAATTCATCGTTCCGACTCTTATATATATATACAGATGCCGTACATTTCCTACGGTAGCGCTCAGTGTTGATGCAGTTCATCCTTTAAATTATTAAAACGTTCTGTGGGCACACCGGGCAGCCTATCGGAAACTCTTACTGAATCAAACTGCTATATTTCTTATTAAGGTACACAGATAGTATACATAAGTGGGTATTGCTGAAACAATTATTGGTAGGCGGCCTACCAATAATGATTCTCTAGACCGAGTGATTTTATTATTAACAACCACAAACGTGATTACTATTAGTAGTACAGAGTAGTACACTTTTACTGGAACAATTTCCGGTAGGCGGCCAACCTTTTCTTTACTTATTACATAGACCAGTTGACGGCGTTGAGTTAAGCATGTTTCATCTGTCGAGGAGGCCCGGAGATTCGATAAAAAATGAGGTGTAATTTAATTATATAAAATCTACAAAGTACTGGTAGGCGGCCTACCAGTAATGGTGGAGCTGTGACAACCACCAAAAGCTCTGTCGCCCTGGCTCGGGATCACGGGATCATACAACACATGTATGTCCGTTTCGCACTTTGATGAATATGATTAGATGAAGATGTTTGGGAAGAGATGCAGAAGTTCCGTTCAGCTGTCTGCCGTATGTTCGCAGAGAACGAAATGGATTGTGTATTCATGGAAACTGCTAGGCGTCTTAAGTCGCATCCGCATATGCAAATCGAATGCATTCCGCTGGATAAGGACAACGGCAGCTTGGCTCCAATGTATTTCAAAAAGGCTATTCTCGAAGCGGAAGGAGAATGGACACAGAATAAGAAGCTGGTCGATCTTAGCCGGAAAGGCATCCGGTCATCCGTAAGTGTACTCGTACACGAAGAAATGTCGTTACGTTAAATATGCGTTACTTCCGATTTCTTAATCTTTTGGGAGATTTTTTAGAGTGGGTGGATTTAACTTGCAATGACTTGCTGAGTGTTTCTTTAAATTGTAGGTTCCGAAAGGTTTGCCATACTTTGCAGTAGATTTCGGAATGCAAGGCGGATATGCACATGTGATTGAGAATGAACAGAAATTCCCTGTATACTTTGGAAAGGAAGTGGTTGGACGCCGCATGGTCGGTGGAAGTGCCGACGACGGGTGCTGACAAGAATGGTGTCCCTAATCAGAGGCTGGTACATTTTTCCAACAGAGGTCATGGCTTATCTGCAATTAGAAGGACGAATCATATGCAGATACACTGCGTTACAAGGCTGCATTAAGTAATACTCACCGCTCGTTCACAGAAAATAGCGCTACTGATGCGATAATTGCTGTAAAATTGCTGACTGCACAATGCTTCTCAAAAGGAGCGCTAATACCCAATCGGTCCAACTAACTGCAAACAAGCGCGGAAGAGCTTTTTGACTACGAGGTTCGAACAACAATAAAATCTGTTGATTACTGACTACTGTAACTCACTTCAGTGAATGAGATGCCCAACAACCCGCTCAAGCGTTAGTATTGTCTAGCGAGCGTGTCCCAGAAAAAAACGAAAAGACGAAAACGAGTCATGTGTGTTGGATGGACACTTTATCATGTTGTAATGCTCTGTGCCTGCGAATTTTGCAGCCCGCCCACCGTTAACCGCGCAGTCACACGAGCTGCCGGCTAAACTTTGCCCTTAATTTTGCCTTCAAGGGGCCGATAGCTTATGCGTTGCCGGTATCTGGAGCGTTCCCTCGACATGTGGAAACACAGTAAAAACGAATTTGTATGTCAGTCGCGCAGTACAGAATACCGACAGCGTCATGCTCCGATTTCAAACCGCCGGTTGGTTTGTTATTCGAGCATGTCATGCAGGATCAGCTTAAAGCTTGAATTACCCCGGCAAGCAAAATTTGAAAACATGCAACCACCCAACGGTGACCCCTTTTATTTTTGTAAAAGTTTTTCACGTCTGATAAAAAAAGACTGCCAGTGCGTAATGCGTAAAAAGACTGCCTCAGTAATGCGGAGTTTTCGTGGATTTTCGTGGTCCTTTATTGCGAATAAACCAACAGTGCCATTTTAGCAAGCCAGGCAGCGTCATGCGGCCGGGACAGTTTTCCCAACTGCAAATCTTATCGGCACTGGATTTGCTGGACTGCTTTGGATTTTGTTTGTGATGCTACTGCGTCTGACAGTCTGTATTAGAAAACAACTCATAATTATTCTCCCGTTAATGTTGAAGAACACAACTTGTGACACAACTATATAGTACTGAACACTGATGTCAGTCACTGCTATCCATTTACCACAGTTTTGTAAAGTTTTCGGCCAGAATAAACATGGCCAGAAAGACTTTAGGTAACCATGCCAGTTGATACTACCGACACTACGAGTTTATTCTTTTTTTAGTTTATTAAAATGTACTTATTCGTAAGCCACTATTCAAAACAGCAACGAGTTTCTATAAAAGCAAAACTTTATGTATTAAACAACCACCGTCGACAATGGAAAAAGCGACCTAATCACACAGAATATTTCGTCCCAGTTAGGCGAAGCTAGCGCTGGTGCTGTTCCCAGCCGTTACGCGCGACAACTTTTTCGGTGTCAAAAATTTTCCGAAATGCTTCTCCATCTTTTGACGCACTGGTTCGCACACTTCCTCCAGGACCTGATCTTGTTAGAACAGATTTCATCCAAAACCAGACCTCGTTAAAGGTCACGTTATTTACATACATTTACATTTACATTTACATACATTCCGTATAAACATTATACAGAACCGTAAACCCACCATTACACTACAAACCTTTCTAACAATTACTAAAGAACTAGTTTTACAAAATCTGTATCATATTATCAAACAAAAAGGGTCGAATTAAAAGTTAAGCAAATAAGAGCAACGCCGCCAACGCGCCAACTAAGTATAATTAACTCCTAAGCAGCCAGTAGTAAATCGCAGCAGCTCGTTCATAAGAATATGGACTGAAGCCTTTTACTTTCGCATTAACTCCCAAAGTGTCCAAAAACTAGCAGATTTCAACTACGTGCGGGTACAACGCGTCCAAATGGCTCAACTGTCCAACGGCAACATGCGCATGCCGAAGTGTACAGGACCTGCATAGTGGTTTAAAATCAACCTTTGGAATGGACCATGACAGATGAAACTATGTTTTAGGTATACTCTATTGTTACTCTATCATCCTGCAAAAAAGGAAGTTTTTCTGAGAGGAGAGCCGGGGGCGCTGCCCTAGTTAGCAGTTACCGTTGCAGTATCGTGCTATGTATTGTACATTTTACAAAACAATGTAGAAAGTTATACGTTTAGTAGTGCACACTTCACTCCCAGTATTTCTTTCCTGCAAGTGTCAAATATGACTAGCCGCGGCTGAATCGGTGGAAAATACCGATTTGCCTAAGCAGAGGGAATACACCGTACATACCACAATTGATACTGATTAATTGTGATTTGTGAGTGATTACAGTACGTGCCACAGTTGCAACATACTTACTTAACAGCTCATTCAAAAAAGATAACAGGCTCCAACAATTGTCGGAATGATTAATGGTGCTCGTATACTTTGTGCATGCTGTGGCTGATTTCATAAAAATGTAACTGGAGGTCTGCAATGATAGCGAGTAAAATTGTTACAGTAGTAATAATTCTTACAAGCCAACTACTTTCTGTGCCGGGAGTCGGCACCGTTGCTAAAACTTAAAACGCATCATGTTCGGATTTTCTACGTTTGCGGCAACGGTTTGCATCGTGCTCGCTCTACAAAAGCAAAACTTTATGTATTAAACAACCACCGTCGACAATGGAAAAAGCGACCTAATCACACAGAATATTTCGTCCCAGTTAGGCGAAGCTAGCGCTGGTGCTGTTCCCAGCCGTTACGCGCGACAACTTTTTTCGGTGTCAAAAATTTTCCGAAATGCTTCTCCATCTTTTGACGCACTGGTTCGCACACTTCCTCCAGGACCTGATCTTGTTAGAACAGATTTCATCCAAAACCAGACCTCGTTAAAGGTCACGTTATTTACATACATTTACATTTACATTTACATACATTCCGTATAAACATTATACAGAACCGTAAACCCACCATTACACTACAAACCTTTCTAACAATTACTAAAGAACTAGTTTTACAAAATCTGTATCATATTATCAAACAAAAAGGGTCGAATTAAAAGTTAAGCAAATAAGAGCAACGCCGCCAACGCGCCAACTAAGTATAATTAACTCCTAAGCAGCCAGTAGTAAATCGCAGCAGCTCGTTCATAAGAATATGGACTGAAGCCTTTTACTTTCGCATTAACTCCCAAAGTGTCCAAAAACTAGCAGATTTCAACTACGTGCGGGTACAACGCGTCCAAATGGCTCAACTGTCCAACGGCAACATGCGCATGCCGAAGTGTACAGGACCTGCATAGTGGTTTAAAATCAACCTTTGGAATGGACCATGACAGATGAAACTATGTTTTAGGTATACTCTATTGTTACTCTATCATCCTGCAAAAAAGGAAGTTTTTCTGAGAGGAGAGCCGGGGGCGCTGCCCTAGTTAGCAGTTACCGTTGCAGTATCGTGCTATGTATTGTACATTTTACAAAACAATGTAGAAAGTTATACGTTTAGTAGTGCACACTTCACTCCCAGTATTTCTTTCCTGCAAGTGTCAAATATGACTAGCCGCGGCTGAATCGGTGGAAAATACCGATTTGCCTAAGCAGAGGGAATACACCGTACATACCACAATTGATACTGATTAATTGTGATTTGTGAGTGATTACAGTACGTGCCACAGTTGCAACATACTTACTTAACAGCTCATTCAAAAAAAGATAACAGGCTCCAACAATTGTCGGAATGATTAATGGTGCTCGTATACTTTGTGCATGCTGTGGCTGATTTCATAAAAATGTAACTGGAGGTCTGCAATGATAGCGAGTAAAATTGTTACAGTAGTAATAATTCTTACAAGCCAACTACTTTCTGTGCCGGGAGTCGGCACCGTTGCTAAAACTTAAAACGCATCATGTTCGGATTTTCTACGTTTGCGGCAACGGTTTGCATCGTGCTCGCTCTACAAACTGCCGCCCTCGATGCAGGTGAACGAAGACCGTACTTTGGGGCTTTAACAGTTTTACTTGCCAGAGGAAATAATTTTACAGAGGCATCAGCGCATTGAATTTTACGGTTTATATGCTAAAGCATAAAAGGAAAATACATACATACTATGATATAGATTGCTTTAATTATTGCCCTGCTCATAATACTGAAGTACCCCGTTTTCCAGAATCGAAATTAAGCGCCGCTGAGCTGCCCCATCCCAGTTGTACATATGCCCGAATGATCCCGCCAAGATTTGCGGGTGTTGTGAGGCGGCAGCGTTTATGCGATGGGTCCACGAAGTGGCCAGTATGACGGATGAACGCAAGCCGGTGGTGTCGTTCACTTGTGGCCGGTTTGGATACGGCGAGTCGCCGGCTTTTTGGGCTGTCAATTATCCCTCCAGACCGTTGCCAGCGTTAGCAGCGTACTCCGGATGTTGCGTCAATGAAGGCGATTTAGGATGCACGACATGGCCCACTCGACCGGAATGGGAAGTTAATGGCGCAATGGGCCAGCACAGTGGCATTGGCGGCTGCTTCAGCTTGGTCATTGTGTTAACGACTGCTGTTCTACTTAAATTTAATTAACAGGCAGGATAAACAGTAGTTCAATGTAGACTTTGTAGATCACTTAATTTGTCGACCGGTCACCTATTTGTCCGGTGATTTATCCATACTTTTAGTTTCTACTGATATATTATGTACAGTGATGTACCTTGAAATTTCACAAGTGCTATGATAACTAACTGGTCTCGATTGACGATACTTGAGTTCAGAAGGTGAAAATTGTTGAGTGCACTGATGGTGTCTACCGTAGTTTTTTTTGCTCAGTTTATCATCGCATTTGCGCACCTCAGTGTTCGGCGACTGTTCGCCGGTTGATGGAGTAAATGGTAATACAGAATGATAGATGATAGAAAAAAACGGTACAATATGGTTTCGGTTTATTATGCCGATTTGGAACCTATTCAACAAGCGTCGTCAACTGCAATCCTTCTAGCACAAGACAGATTTAAAAGAAAAACAATCATATCAATCTGTAAAACAAGGATAACAATCACATCAACATAATGCATAAGAAAAGCTTATAATTATGACAACGGAACAGCCAGTACAACAACGAGCACCTGCCTGTAAATAACACAAGCACATGTAGCGTTAAAGTGGCATTATGGACTTGCTTATCATCACACAATAAAGTGTACATTATAACAGATCGCTGTTCATTTCCCACTATCAGTCAAGAAAGAAAGCCATGAACGGCAGATTTTTCATTACTCCGAACTAAACTCAAACGACGTCACGACAATCTCCACTTCCCGTCCATCCGTCGGCGGGATACTGGAGAACAACCGGAAGTGCACCGGCATCGGTTGTTGCGGGATCTTCACGAGTGCATCCGCATCCTTCGGCTTGAAGACATTGCCGGCGAATTTGACCATGGACCGGTCGGTCTTCTGGCGGGAACTAAACACTACGCGTCTGCCATCGCGGTGGATACGATGAACAGACAGTGGTGGCACGAGTCTGCAATAAGGCCACATTAACATCCGCTCCGTGGAATTCAACAACTCATTCTTACACAAAAAAATCAGAAAAGCCGCAAACTGAAAATTCACTTCAAATTTCAAATCCACATCCCATCCAAACAAAAAACTGCAGTTTATTATCAGATTATTGGAACTTTAAAAAAAGTAAAAAAATTTGCATCGTAACGAGTAACCGTCATCTTTGCCCAAATCACAGCAGTTCGAAAAAGGCTTTTCTGTAAATTTTTACAATAAAATAATTAGTTAGCAAATGCGGCGAACAAGTATTAAAAAGAATAAAAAATTAAAAATTATATGTCTTACCTTTGTGCAGAATGATACGACGCAGCCACATGCCCGACTTGTTCTCCAGACGGAAATCGAATTTCTGGAACCAAGCGGTCTTCTCCGAAGCAAAAGACTCGGCTGCACGACATATTCCCCCGGCAGCTCGTCCGCATCGCCACGCCGCGAAAACAGGACCTGCACACTTTCCGCATTGACTCCGTACGTATCCAGAAACGAGCAGATTTCGAACGCCACATGTGGATCCAACGCGTCCAGATGGCCCAGCACGCCGAAAGTGTAGTCTCCAAAGCCAAAACAATCTTCACTGCAGACGGACGCGCCCCGCCACTTCCCACCGTAAGCCGCCAATCGCAGATGCAGCTGACCGTCCACATCCACCCAGACATTGCGAGAGTCGCACAATTCCAGACCTACGATTCAAAGAATATTTCACGACCAATCACCAGCCACTATTACAGCTTCATAAAACGGTTAAATGAATTCCTGTCAGTCGAAAATCTCTATAATGCCGCGCAATTTCCCCAAAACAGTATTTTATAAAGGCGAATTTGCAATTATATACATTCTGTTATTCGTCGTCGGAAGCTACAGAATAACACAAATCCTTTACATACCGTGATCGGTGTGCTTAACAATCCAATTGTATCCGGCAAACTCCAACCGCTGTACATGCAAAGCCGAACTTTTATCGCGCCCAAAGACGCCGCCGGCAATAACGGCTTCGCTCTGTTGAGACCATGTCGCATCCCGAGAAAAAGTACCTGCAAAACATCTTGTATTCTGTACATACAGGCTGAATTACGCAAACCGAATAAGAAATTAAAAAATTAATTAATATTGCAAATGAATGCGATCTCTGAAATGTTATTTGACACGTTGATTATGTATGTAGTATGTACATATCACTTATTGTTGACAAATTGGGTAATCAGGCAAGAAATTATCATTTTGTCATGTTTCATGTATGGTATCTCGTTCTTAGTTAACCGGCATCAAGAAACGTACGTAAAGAAAATTCTGCATTCTGTAACGCTAAAAAATTCGCTTACTTTCATCCTCAGTGATCAACTCTTCATTTCCATTAATCTCGCCTGTCCAACCATTCTCCATACTATCCGAATTCCCCAAACCAGCCTCCGCAGCTGCCGTTGAATTCCCCCAGCTTCTGTCGGCGCTGGTCGACTTTCCCCAACTATCATTCGCTGCCGGCGAATTAGAACTCCATCCACTGTTGACACTGGTTGAGTTGCCCCAGCCGTCGTCTACTCTGGCCGAATTCGATCTCAAATCATTGCTGGCACTGGTTGAATTTCCCCAACCATCCTCCAGTGATGCTGAATTCGAATTCCACCCATTATTGGCACTAGTCGGATTGTCCCAGCCATCGTCCGCTCTCGCCGGATTCGAATCCCAACCGTTGTTGGCACTGCTCGAATTTCCCCATCCATCGTCTACTGTGGTCGAATTCCCACACCCACTGTCTCTATCAGGCGAGTTTTCGGCAGTATTGCTGTTCCAGCCGTCATTTTCTTCCTTTGCTGACGAATAACGGGAACTTCCCCATCCAGAGCTGTTATCGGCATGGTTGTCTTTCGCATCAGAGCCCCATGAATCGTAGAAATTCTCCACCGTCACAGTCTCATCACGTGTATCGTTGGCATCGAAATACACGCTTTCCGAGTTCGAACTGGTGCCGGTCTCATTGACGGAGCTGCAAGAAGCGGCAGTGGGTACCGCGCGACTGTTGTCGCCGCCGCGGTCGAACATCTGGCTCAGACGCTCCAAAATCTCCTGGCTCTTTGTTTCCAGGAATTTCTTCATCTCGGCCAAGACGCGCACACCATGACCACGATTCGTACTGTCTGTCCACTAATGAAAGCAAGCAATCAGTTATGAATCATTAAATTTTGAATCAATTAAGTACATTTTAAACCAGTTCTTATCAGCCAATGCTTTACTGGAATAAAAAAAATCGAATTTCTGAGCACTGTACTCAGTGTACTGTACTTCCTTTTTTACTGCTATGTTTTTAAATTTGTTCATGATAGTTTAATAAATTGAAAATTTTTTGAAAGTATATTTAGCTGCTGAACAAACGATTTAAAATAATCCTTGATAAAGTTAAAGCCGTCACTTATTAGCAGAAAACGCGAATGAACGCGCCGTCAAAAGACGCAGTTCAGCGCGACAAACCATTATTATTTCAGCGGTAGCGATAGTAACCTGTGCTAAATCCAAGTAAAAGCTGTGTTATGTACAGGGAATGCAACACAACAACGCAGTAGCTGACTTACGCCCGTTGAACTGTGCTGCCCATTGGTCCACTGATCCGTTCCGGGTTTCTCGGCTCTTTCCATTCGACGACAGTGAGGTTCCTCTTCGAATTCTTCCTCTTCGGCATAATTTCGAACGACGAAGACCGCTAGCTCGATCAGATTCACGACACATTCCTCCACCGGTCGACTGATGCAGACAGCCGACAACAGATCATCCAGCGTGCTCACTAGGATAAAAAAAAGCTAGCATTAGGATATTTTAGGATATGAGCGTGATTAGTAATGCGGTCGGTATCGATTCTACAGAAGAAAAGCTCACAAGCATCCCAGGCCGATGCGTTGACTCTCGCCGTGTGATCTGCAATGGATTCCGACATTTTGTCTGTGATCGGTAGACAAGAACACACAGCTTGGCGAGCACAATGGTGAAATAAATAGTTGGAACGATAATGCTGGTAAGATACATATAAGATCTGTGGACAAAATTATCCAGGAAACAATGGAATGATTTGGAACCTTGAATTTAAAAAAAACCGTTTAGGTAACAAAAACCGTTTAGGTAAAATAAACTTGGTTAAAAACTTTCAGCAGCAAGGCCAAGAAAGAAATCATATGAATCTGGAACGAAGCGGCTCTTTCACCTGGACGTGAAAGTCGGACCCGAGACCGGTGAGACGTACAAACGGTCGACGTACTAACTGAGCCGACCAATCCAGTGACAGCTGGTAAGCAGGTTTGAACTTTGAAGAGATCACGTCATCACGTGCCGCTCTTTTCGCACTAGTACTGTATTTTCTGGCTTGATTAAAAATGACCTACTGTAGAAGTGCCCGTCCATTGTCCACTCAACGCACTCTGACAGTCTAACGTACTCATCCCCAGTCCCCACTACGAGCTACTTGTCCAAAAAATTAGTACTTATTTTCACTATTTTGTCTGTAGACTTGATACTATGGATTTAACACAAAATGTGTTAATTTTCACGGTAGCACGGTGTTCGCGGCTGGGCAGCGATGCAACAAGCATTGCAGTCTGCCGACTGCAAGCAATTAAAACCCAGAATACCTACAATATTTCAAAATTTAATCGCACAAACAACAAACAAATCCGTGGATGTAGCTTGACAGGTGACCACTTGACACTGCCATCCGTAATTCAAGTCAAAAGGACATGTTTTCAGTTTGAAAATTTCTCAGAGCGCAGTGCAAATGTAAAAAAAAGAAACAACCAAACAGATGAAGACAACAGTAGTAAACAAAAGATGGCGCACATTAAACACTAGAACTCGAAAGTTGACAGCAAATGACAGTTAAATGCCGGCTGCCTTCGGGTACTTGGAGCTCCAGCGAACAAAACCCGCCATGAAATTATACATCAAAAATAAAGGTCACGCACTGGTTGAAAACGTTGAAATGGAACGATAAAGGCCTAAAATAATAAGACAATAAAACCCACGTGGTGTCGACAGTCACTGACAGTGACACGACAGTCGACACTGTGCTTCATTCAGCCGAGAACGTCGTCGGGAAATTCCTGACGTTCCCCGTTGCGCACGAGCGTCTGGAACAGTTCGCGCAGCAACAGTTTCCCGGGACGCAGACTGGGGCTAGCCGATGACAGCTGACGAACTGGGGCCGATTTCCATGTCGGTTGACAGGCTGTAAAGTGTAAACCATCCCGAATATTAGAAGCTTATACAAAAACGACGGCTTACAGAAGAAATGGTAAGCCACATCAGTATTTCTACCTATATGCCTGCACTTTGCTGTGCCCTCGTCCGATTCATAAATTCGGCAGATTTTTTCTTTATTTTACAATGTTTTTCTTTATTTTACACTTACCAGAAGTTGTTTTCAGTTTTTGAACAATGCCGCAAAGAGCGTGGACGATGTTGCGGCACCGCTGAACCGCTTCGTTGTGACCGATGTACAGCGCTTCCGGCAGCAGCACCACTCCGTACCCGCTGTCCCAGATGTCGCAAATCCGTGCAATGTCCGCCGGCAACTACATATTTGCAAAAAAGACTGTTTATATAACTCGACAGATAAATACTGAATTTTGCAACGAAAATGTAAACTGCATGGCGCATGCATGAAAATTCTGTCGGGTAATTTTTCCGCAAATTTCCGGAAGAGGCTGCAGCCGCTGCAAACACTGTCGGGCACATAACTGAAACTGCTTAATTCCAGTTTTTTCGACATTTTCGATAACTATTAACATGTAAGAGATAAGAGTATTAAAAACAGGTTGGTTACATAACCATGATAACCTCTTTAAATGAGTTTATTCCAAATACAGAATATTGTGTGACACATCTTAATAAGAAGAGGAAAAACCGACATCACTACAACATGCTGGTCACTACAGTACATTGGACGTGCTATAACTTATAAGTAAAGTACGAGTACTTTATATTAAAACTGCATAATCTATACAAGTACGGGTTTTTGTCTATCAGGAAAGTACTACACTTAGCGTATTTATTGTTAGTTTCAAAAAGCAATAAAAATTATAAAATACATAATCTTAAACATTCAAACACTACAGCAGGTTAGGAATCCACTGCGTCATTATGTAAAATACATATATTTCATTAAAGAATATCAATGTACAAGCTTGTCCGGTAATTTCTTACGAATCCATACAGCGATTTACACAAATTTGCGTGTTACGCCAAACTTCACACTACGGCGCGCCACGCCACACTTTTTCAACACGTAACTTTCATTTTGCTGGGTGGTGTATGCGTACACGCCATATAATTTTACGAGAATAATAGTAACTGCCTGGCGGAAAGTGGCTAGAAAATGATCGGTGCAGTAAGCGACAATCTAACTGCGGAGTGTGTTTAGAAATTTTGATAAACGTAGTGAAGTGGCCATCGTTATATGCGCAAACTTCGCGCTAGCTGTAGCTTTACGTAGGAAATTACCGGACAAGCTTGTACAGTCACCTTTTGAGCGATATCGTGGTGCGCCAGATATTCCCGTTTGGCCATGACCATCCGCTGATTCCGGCACTTATCCCAGTTGGTCCGTGCGCCCACTTCCGCCCCGATCCAGTCGGCCTGCCCCACGGCCACACAGAAGATGGACTGCACAAACAAAGCGTGAAAATGAGCCAGGGAATACGCATGCATGGTATCTCGCAGCTGTTCCAACTTATAAGGAATATTCCCGGTGACCCGCGGATCCAGGAGGATGTACGTGTAGAATACGCCCTTTGTGTTCACACCAGGAACGGGACAGAGCGGGAAGGCATCAGGAGCTTGGAGTTGTTCTTCCCATTTGGCGGCTGGGCGCTTTGACGCAAGAGCAGGGATGACGTCCTTTTTCTGGCGGTGTTTATCCTCACGGGTTTGCGATGAGGAAGGCAAGCGTCGGCGTCCGTGCTCGGAGCGGCGGATTTTTACCATGGTTTAAACAAATCTTACACGCACTCAGATTAAAATTTTTCCACAAACAATAACATGGAATTGTCATCAAAATTCGAAGTTATTATCCCATCCGCTGATCGACCTGATAACGTTCACGAACAGTACCAGAAATTTGCTAGAACATCCAAACAAAACACACAACACATATCTGTAAGAGTTGAGGCTCGACAAGAGCGAAAATGAAAATGATCCAGACTGTTGTTTGCCAGAAGTCTGATCGGGCGCACAAAGGGCAAAATGGCCGTGCCGATAAATGGCCCGTACAGTCGTGCCGCTAAAGCTTCCGCCCATTGTCGGTTTTGTCACATGGCCTATCTACCGCACAGCCGCGCACAGCAACTGAAGCCGGCATCAGTCACATGATCAGCAATTTGGACCAATAAGAAGATCAGCCTAAAATACTGTACTCAATCGGTAATCTGCAGCTGATGAGTTTGCACACCGGAAACCTGTTGAATTTTTGACAGTAAACAGAAAAAAATTATGACCAAAATTTAGAGAAAGCCTGTTAATTTCGAATCGAATCTCCACAAATCAGCCGGCCATAAACGGTAATTCAACCTTCCGAAGTTTCCATGGTTCAAAACAGCGCACGGGTGGCAGCCACAGCGGCCAAGCTTTTTTTTGGCCGAAAACACCCATTTGCAGTAAACTTGACTAGCATTTCATTTCGAATTTCGAAATTACAGTAACGAGTGAGTACGTAACGCTCTTACATGCACCGCAATTTTTCGTGTCTATTTTTATAAAGAGTTCTCTTTTTTGTTAGAGAAAATTCTCCAGGAACAACAAGCCGACCGACGCTATTGATTTCTCCAGCGTTGTTCCGTTTTCCAGTACTGTACTATTTTTGGAGTTGGAAAGGCCTTTTCCAATTCCAATAACCCAACCCTGCCCGTCCCTGGTGCAATGGAAATTAGCCTGCATTCATTCATTTCCCCTGCGGAGGATGCTGTTTCGTGTGTATCTGCGTGTCTGGCTGATCTTGGATCTCCTCCGACAAATTTCCCGTCCAGCCTGACGCTAATCATCCCCCTCTCTTCCCCTTCCCTCCGACCATTTCTCCCCCGCGATCGATAGCAAATATTTCCAGCCAGGAAAATCCTGTATTGGTCAAAACTGCATCCAGCCGATTAGCCCAGCAGCCGATGATTTATTCACTCCATAATTCCCCGTTTTAATGCCAGTTGATTTTTGACTAATTCCCAATCATCCGCGGGATATACGGCAGCCGATCAGTGGGCTGTATGTGAGTCGCACTTGTTCTGCCTTTTGCTGGTTGAAAGTGAGAGACGTGTACTGTGTACAGACACGGCTAATGGAGGTCTTGAGAAAGTGTTGAGTAGCGACGCGCATCGGATTTCAGGTCAGTTGCGCACTTTGTATGACGGCGTGTTCATCGCGGACGACGATTGTCTTTTTTTCTCCTGCGCCGTTTGCACGTTTTGGCAGTGGTGCGCGCTGTACTGATGTTTATGTGTTCCGTCAACGGGTTCAAGTGGAGAAAGTAGAGATCGCGGGGATGTTGTTGATGGAAACATGATCGTCTGACGGTGGCTTGGTGAGTTATTAATGGAATTTTTATCTTTCAGCATCGCAAAATGTCGATCGCAGAAGTGAGAAGTATTTTTGTAACTTTTTCTGAACTGTTGAAAGTCGAAGTTGTTGAATGTTGTCGTTTTTTTCTGCTTGCCCAAACTCTTCTGCATGGAAATCTCTCAAGTCTCAATCCAGAATTTATTTTTATTGTTCTTTTTATTTCCCAAGAAAATTCTACTTTCTGTATCTGTCGAATTTATAAATTATTCTTCATGCTGCATCTGTTTTCGGGAAGCAATCGAACGTAAGTAGGGTACGCTGAGCATAGCTACATAGTGGAAACGTGCACAAATTCTGAAGTGGATATTTTTTTGGTTTTGTGTTGCTTCAACTTATTACTTGCTTGCTTATTGCGGTTTATTTTGACTGTGCATTGAACGGACAAATGTGTGCTTTGGATTATGATTGTCAAAATCTGAATATTGCATCATGTACTGATCTGCACGGCTCTTTCTTCTTTGAAATTCAGCCTTTTAAATACATGTGTAGAGCAGAGTCTGGTTTTCCGGGACTCTGTTTTTCATTTTATAAACGTGTGTTTTTGATTTCTCTGCACAACTTTGTCCTTTGAAACAAATTGTAAGTCGCTCTTTTTTATTTGCGTCGCTCTGCTGTATATCTGTGCGCCATAATTGCTCTTTTTGGCATTTTCGTTGCTTTTTGGAAATTTGTAATTCTTTTCAGATTAATCTTTCGGAAATTTGTAAATCTTTCTTTTTATAAATCTTTCTACAATTTTTCCAGAAAGATTCTTTCTGGAAAATTGTACGGAGATACATGTGCCAGTTTTGATCGGTAATTTTTAGCAAGAGTAATTAATATTTACAGCTTTGTATTTTCCCTGACATTGGTTGTTTCTCAGTTCTTTTGTTTTACCCTACTAAATATCGATTTCCCCCATTGAATCCCTGACATGCAATTAATTTCCCATATTCCCAGCTTTGTTGAATAAGATATGAGCCCGTACAGCCCATGGCGGCGCTGTTTGCATACCGGACTGCTTTGATGGATGTTCATGTTGTTTGTCCGTGAATATCTCTCGCTATCTGTATGCTGTATACATGGGCAACCGGGCCCGATAGCATCGGAGGGTTCCCCTTTCCCTGTCGTATATCCGGCGGTGGATATTTCATTAGAGAACGCGCTACTCAATTAGACGACAAGCAGTAGGCACTTTGCATGACAAGACACTCGCTCCCGGCACTGTTCCACATTCCGGCTCTATTCGCCGGATGGGTGAATAGCGCAACTCTCTCTAACATATTGTCTCTCCGTTGTGATTTTTGCCAGAGTTTTTATTGCTCTTCGCACGCCAAGGATCGATGTTTTTGCGCTCCAGTTGTTGAGGAGTCGAATGTGTGTTGATTTTAAGCGAGTGTCGGTTGTTTGCTTTGTGCGACGGAGTTGTTGTTTTTGTCGGGGGGCTTAACGGGATTAAATCAAATTAGCGAATTACCAACTGGGTCGGTGTGTGGAATTGCCGTTGATTTGGAGGTTTTGTTTTAATTAATGAATTTATCTTGTGAGCTTGTTGTTTGCACGAAGAATTTTTTATCAGAGGGTTTTGTTTAATTTTCTTGATTTATTTATGCATTTTTTGTGGGCTGCTTCTCGTGTAGGATTTGGTGATTTCGATGTTTATTTTTGCCCACAACCGTGCATCATGCGTACAGCAATTTAATTTTACAAGTGGTCGATTTAAATTTTGATTTGATTTTTTACTAAGATAGTTTTTTTAAAAATGTTACAATTTAAATGTTACAATTTTTATGCTTTTTTTTGCCCCCAACTTGCAGCATGTGCGCGCACGATAATTTATTTTCATATTTGATTTTATTTTATCGAATTACATGTGGATGATGATATTATTAATTAATCGCGCCGGGTCTGACTTTGGGATTTTGCTGTTTTTAGGTTTAAGAAACTCGGGCATAGCTTTTATGGATGGCTTGGAACGAGCATGGAAATCCAATTTTTGCATCTCTAGCTCGGTTTGCAATTTTTCTGTGGCTTTGTAGTCTGTGTTGACTTTCCAGAAAGTCAAATAAATATGATTTATTGCACCAAAATGGAGTGTAATTTGTTAGTAATGTATGGCGAGATTACAGCGCAATTTTTTTGCTTTGCAGAATTGAATCCCCTGTGAATTTGTGAGATATTCATGCAATTATCCACAGTCGCACGAGCTCGTCTGGATTGTGGATGCGTAGTCTGACGACGGGAAAAGGAGGAAATCTGTTTTGGCTTGTTGGCGCACTGGAACAACACAAACTGGCGGAAATGACGCTGAATTCGGATTCGATGATGGGGTAAGTTGTCCGGTTTGATCGCCATCTGGATGCACGGAAATGCAATGGGATATTCAGCAGAATTTATTGATGTTTGTGGGATAAAATGATGGTCATTTTTGTGCCTTCTTTAATTGATTTTGTAACTAGGAAACCTTCGGATATTAATCTAATTTCACAGGATTATGAAAATTTTGGGAAAAATAGGTTTTTTGTCGGGATTTAATTTAGTTAGTTTGTTTTACCTTTCTGATGATTTTCTTGAATTATTTCATGACTTCGATATGCTTTAGGTGTGTAGGAGTACGGATAACTTTTAAGCTAAAATTACTTCATAAAAAATAAAGAAATTTGCTGATTTCTAATGCGAATATTTCGAACTAGATTCCGCTTTGCACAATCGGCAATGTGGCAGATGATTGACTAAATGCGCGCGTTTTTGAACCAGATATGGTGGTTTTAAATCGGAATGCGGGGATAAAAAATTGAGGAATTGGTACAATGTGTTCAGTGAAGTAAATTTCAGCTGCGTAGGTTGTGATAGAAAATTCATTGTACTTCCGGTTTCATTTTTTGATCAGTACATCGCTGTTATTACCAGCTTGTGGTGGACCGTGAGACCGAAAGAAATTTCGACGATTGTGAGAGAGTAATATTTTCTCCAGTATTAATTCCCTTTCTGTGAGATTTTTTCCCATTATGCGCCGCTCAGTGCGTGGCTAAGTGGTGTGTTTGTTGGGAACAAATAAGAAAATGACAAATGTATTGACACTGACAATGGGCTTCGTGACTGCTCGTCAGTGTTGGATGGGTTTGATTGTTTGTTTCGGTGGCGTCTGCCGATGCAGTGGCATTCCGATATCATTGCCTATTTACTGATGCACTTGACCATATCGGTGTCGTTTGTTTGTTTGCCTCCGCCAGTGACGACATAGAGATTTACAGCTGCGTGTGACTGCATAGATTTGTTTTTAATTGATTAATCGAGCACAAGAAAAATATTTTTTAAGTATTTAATTTAAGTTATTACATGAATTACATTAATACATGCATTACATACATTAATTTTAAGTTGTTATATTTAAGTTATTAAGTGGATAATCTTTCGTTCTGTATGGATCATTTGCTCAGTGCAGAGAAGTCGTAGTGAAATGCATATATACATTCTCTTTGTATCGTTAAATTGTTTTGTGCTCAATGAGTTGTTGCGAAAAGGCAGGTTAAATGAAAGTGGACTGGTTTTTTGCTTATCTTATTTCTCTTTTAGTGGTAGACTTTTACATATTGTTTGCATACGGATTTTGCTGATTGTAACCAACAAAAGCGAAACTTTTCTTGTGAATATCCTTAATTCTTTTTATTTTATGCGATTTCTTGAAAGCGTGAAGTGAGAATTTGCAGTTGGTGTGGGAAAATTGTATGAATAATTTCTAGCAAAAGTCTACCTTGTCCAAATGGAAGCCGGTACCGTGTGTCCACTGTGTCGTATATTTTGCGCCAAGAACTGCATTGTATTAACAGCTACTAGTCCTGTTTGTATTTTTGTGAGATTTCCCTCCAGGCTCCCAGTACACTGGTTGTGATGCTGGGCTAATCCGGGTTTGTGATACTGCTGGGGCTTCCGTTTTCCGGGATAAGCCGCTCCTAAATCACTTCCCGTGTCGTATGACGGATGTGTTCGGGTTTTTCTTCATTGGATTATTTTGGCGTTGTCGTGCTGTAGTGTTTGAGATTTTTCTGTGCGAATGTACTCGTAGTGTCTTAAGAAATACCGGCGTTATTTTTTTACGATGCGTTTTCCTTCGTTGAATATGCACAGGAATATCCGACATCCAGAACGACCATGAACAGAAGTAAAAGTACTGTAATCGAATAAACCAGAAACGGACCAACGAAGAATTTTGTGGGTATTCTACGTGAAGTTATGTACAGAGTATGTCAGAAACGTGAAGCAGAAGCAGTCAGTAAACTACGATGTGTGGTAATAGAAATTTAAGAAAATAAACATTTTATTAAGTTTGTTTTAATTTTTAATAAAAACCTGATCTGTAGTATGTATAAACTGGCTGTGCTAGATCTATTGGTTTTAATGTAAAACTGATGTACAGGCACAAACGTTGATATTAATGAGAAAACGTATCTAACTAACCGTGGAGTTTGGAATTCTGATTTGCTGTTAATTTGAGTTTGGACTTCTAATATTCTTCTAATTTGTTAACAGCTACTGATCGTATAATCGATTGTAGAGTTCGACTGATCGTATATTCTGGTTTTAATAGTCCTCATTGATACTGGTCTTGATTTTATGCGCTTTACTTTGGTACTTGGTACTGGTAGTACGATATATTTTTTTGTTAAGTTCGTATATTTCTGCGGAGAAAACGGTTGTTACAGGCGAGTTCAGACCTGAAAGTTAATTAGAAAGAAACGTACAGAGTACAGTTTACACCGATTCAAATATCGCTGAGTTTACTGGCGTCTGCGGGAAATTTATGTCTGCGGCAGGGTTGAAAATAATTTAAATAAAAGGCACATGCAGAAAGCAGTCTGGGAATGGCGTTTTGACAGATATGTACTCGCTGCACTGTCCATTAAATCTGATTGGTCGAGGAGTCTGTATATATGGCTTTTTGGCGTTTTGCACCGCGACCGGCATAACGATCAATTGTTTCCGGTCTAATTTAACTGCCTGCACGACGCGAGAGAGTAGGGTGGGTGCGCAGTGCGCACACGTTGGCGACAGATTACGGCATACTTTCCGCCGCTGTAGTGTAATTTATCTAAATATCGGGGATTATTTTGGTCGTTTTGGAAATACATGCGGCTGTCGCGAGCGGAGTTGGGCTGCTGACTGTATACAGGGGAAGACAGTTCGATTGGGCATGTATAATGTGATATATCACTGCCGGCAATTAGTTTGCCAACTGATCGACCGGAAGTGCAACGGCGGAACATATGCCCAACGGCTCCCTGTTCCTGTGTGCTTGGGCTGTGCAGGGGCAGAAAATTTCCCATCTGCTTAGTGATGCGCATCCACTCTTGCTCGTTGTGCGGGAGGAAATAGTGTGGCTTTGTTGATATATTCCAGAGGATGTTGTCTCGGAGATTTTTTTTGTTTTGTTTGTACCAAGCGGCGTGAGTGTTTGTCGCGCTGCTGAATGGGAGACTTTGTGATTTTTAAGCGGAATTTCCTTGCTGGATTGGTGTGCCGAAACGTTTTCTGGGATTTTTAGCAAATTGTTGGATCTGCTCGATTTTTTATAATGTTTTTTTGATCGACGTATGCTTCTTCGGAGCACGTCCCTACTCTTCAGACGTGAAGTACATTTTTCCATGCTTTCTTAATTTGGATCACAGCTTTTCCCGGCAGGAGCACGTTCGTTTCGTGTGTTTTTAGTACTTTTTACTACATAATTGTATGGAAATCCGTGTACCGCTTTTGACCGCACGGAATCGGGAATTTTGAATTTTTAAAACACTTTAAAAATGACAGATATTATTTTCGTCGTCAAAGAACGCAAGTTTGACGCGTTTGATGATATTGCGGAATTTTAAAAAAAATATTACCGCGTTTTTGATCTATTTTCGAACTTTCATCTTCAGTGTTTTAAGCCTGATAGTTTCAGCGATTCAATCATGCTTCATTCTTTAATGACTGTCTGCCATAGTACTACGATTTTCTTGTTAATAACACAAGGTGGTCGCCAATGTTGACAAGGTTAGTTGAGGGAAGAGTTTGATTTTGTGTGGGATTCTGCGTTTCTTCCCGTCAAATTTATCAAAAGATTATCGCTGGACTAAAATTTATCAACGAATTATTTTGGAAGTGGTGATAAAAAAGTTATTTTAAATATTTATTTTCCCTCCATATACCGGCCAGGTGGTCGGAAGGATCTTCAGGAATTATTGTGAATGACCCAAGCGGAGAGAAAGAAGGTGAATTGGTTGGAGGAACGGCGCAGGTGACTGATAATTTTTTCGTGTGTTTTTTCTCCTCGTCTGTATTTTTTGTGCTTGGTCAGTGTTGTGTGTGGGGAGGCGTTTGTCAGCGACGAAAATTGGATGCGCTGAAGAGGCGCGTCTTCGGCTCGATATGGGTCGTTGCGTGAGGTTTTTGTCAGTGATCAGCGCAGATGATGTGGTTATTAGGGAAATTCTTTTGGCCGGCAGTCAATTTTTTTGTGCGGCCAATTATGAAGGTCATTTGTGCATCGTTATACATCGGATCGGTGGTGTGGGTTTTAATGTGGTAATTACATAAGCAAATTGGACGATTGAAACCCGGCGTGATGATCCGGTGTTGACGAATAGCCGTAAATTATTGATTGAATTTTACTCACTGTTAGTCAATACTTAATGCATAAACAGACCGCAGCTGCGGTGTTGTTTTTATTTATTTTTTTCGTATAGTTAAATTATTTCCTTTTTCTTTAAATGCCTCGCTTTGAAATAAATGGCTTGCTGTAATCGCCGCTCGATTGATGAAATTACACTTAGAATATTTGGCGTCAAGTATTTAAATACATAATTTTTGTGATAAATTTCTACTTTTTGTAGTTTTTTGCTGCAGTGTAACTTTTGAAAATGTTACGTTTTCACTAACTACGTCACTTTAAAATGACCTGTTATATGCACCACTCATTTTGTTAAATATTAAAAAAAATTTGTTGGCGTCAAGTATTTAAATACCTAATCGTTGAAATAAATTTCCAGTTTGATCTGCAGTTTTTTGTTACATTGTAAGTGCATATTGACATACTCGGGCATTGAGTAAATATGCCGCTAAATAGTTTGGCTTGGGCGCAGTGATGTGGCCGTTGATCATGTCAGGCCGTGTGGCAACTGTTGTGCAATGACGGTGTGTGGTTAAAATTGACAAGTATGGATTATCTGCTCCCGTTTTTGCATGCAGGCTTTTCGGGGGGAGCGTGCTGTTGCTGCTGCTGCTGTGACATTTTTATCGGTGGGCATTGCATAAGCACTGTTTGTGGGAAAGATGAGAAATGACACTTGAAACCGATTAATTTTACTGGACTACCGAGGGGCCGGATGTTGGGATGGTGCGCGTCGGCACGTCACGGTGCGGGGCCAGACATTTGCCAGTCTCTGTCTGGGTTGGGTATTGGGCTGCGGAAAAATGTCGGCTAATGTGGAATTTTTTCTGAGAGTTTTAGAAATTTTTTGTAGAATTTTTACGGCACGCATTACAGCGAATAAAAATGAAAATATTCGTTCTCAGATGTCTGATATTTGCATTTTTTTCAGGCGTTGAAATTTAATTGAGAACAGACTGTCCCAAAGAAAACTGTACAGTGTTTTTGTATTTGCTGATACCTAGTTGTTGTTAAAATTTTGTGCGCTTTACAATTTAATCTGAGCCATTTACGTATTGTTACGATACGATTTACTTTTTAAGATGGGTGATTAGTACTGCTTACATGTATTGACCAGATTATTGGTCTAGATATTCTTTTCTGCATGTTGTAAGGGGAAAGAAATAGAACTGTACTATAATAAAGGCAAATAAATGGTTGTCAAACATTACGTTCGAAAATTAAAAACATCATTCTGTTATTTTTGCAGAGCTTACACTGCGTTTTCTGATTAGCTATTATGGTATCCCGTCCAAAATTAGCCACTGTCCTACGGCAGCTCTCAAAGTTTATGTGAAACTCTAAAGCTGGAAATATACCAATGTAATGAAATTTGAGAGCGTGTTTGAGAATTCGTCTAGTTTAGTAACCAAGTTTTTTGTCTTGCATTTGCTAAAACGAATCTAACGTTTTTTATTCTTAACACATAATGAAACATTTATGATATTATTTTCAAAATCAACGTGAGTAATCTAAATTAAACGGCAGTTAAAATTCATCGGCGTAAAATCAAAATAAATTAGCTGCTAAAACAAATCCATGGCGTTTTTCGACGGACCGTAAATTATGATGGAAGTGCTGGGTGTTAATTTGCTGTGCCACAAAAAAAGTGGCCGGAAAAGGGGCCGGCTGTTGCGCATTGGTGGATAGCGTGCACGGATGATGGGGCTGGAAGTTTTTAGTGGCCGTTAACGGCCTCTGCTGCCGTTGCCAATGTGGGAATGGGATCGTTTACACTGACAAAATAAGGTCGCAGGGTGGTTCAACGGACACGCCCGGTAGTCGCCAGGCAGGCTTAATGATGTTTTTTAAACGGTCCTTTATGGAAATGCTCAGGGATGGCTGGAATATAAGTATTGACTCATTCCATTTAAACAGCCTCATTGTTCTAATTCAATTATGTAATGTATTTGGGAAAGCGGTCATTGGTCGCTTTTGACTGTGCTATTTTATCCAGAGAATAAGAATTAAGAAACACCGATGTGTACCTCAAAATTAAACGAAAAATATTAATGTAAATTACGGTAAACTTAGTGTGCGATCATGTGCGAGACTCGTATAAAATTATACTGCGGCGCTGCGCAATCCATTAATTATGTTTTTGCTTATCCATTAATTTTTGATATTTTACGTAATTTTTTAAATATTTTTTAAAATTAATATAATTAAGATTTCTTCAATCAGAATTTAAAGTGTCAATAAAAAATTTAAATAAAAACACTTAGATATCTAAGTCTAAAAAATTGAATAAATTGTGCAGAGGAAATTTATATGTATATCTGCTTCTGGTGGTGCGACTTGTGACATGCGAAAGCTTTTCCCCTTACTTTTGAACGGGAACGAAAAATGTAGCGGGAGTGCGGAATGATGTTATTGTTATCAAATCGGAAATGAATAGATTTGGTGCTTGATCAGTGTTGCACATTTCCCGGTGGTCAGCGTTGCACTGGCTGTATGCGCGTTTATTGCCTGGGTATCGATTCCCGGCTCAAGTTTTGAATGGATCGGGAAGGGAAGTGCGCTCGTGCTCGTTGTGTTTATGCTGGAAAATTGCCCTAGGGCAGGAGAGAGGAAAAACATTCGCTCGATTATCATTTGTAAATAGATGGAGTTTTTCTTGTTGAGAATGCAATGATAACCGTCTGACGCGGGCAACGCTGCACCGACTTTTCGACTGGAAAATGTATTTTAATTAAGTTTGTGATGTCCGATTAGTGTAAATTATGTAAAAACCGGTTGAGTAAGCGGGGATCTGACGGTTCCGAAATTGTAATTGTGGGATTGCTATTGCGCGCTTCTGTAATGCCATTGAAATTTTGATAGCAGTTTTCAGCGGTTAATTTACTCCGCGTCGCAGCGTATGGAGATAGTAAACGTATTCGAATTGAATGGACTTGTCGTTAAGTTGTGAGATATCGTAAATACGTATGTACAAAATTAGAACAAATAGATTTCGGAAGTTTCCGATAAGTTTGGGTATTAATTACGAATTTTTTAACTTGTAGTAAATACCTTATCGTTAATATAACTTACCTATTTGGGGCCGTAGAAAAAAGGAAGTTTTGTAGGGATCGACTTATATTTCCTGGCAGAGTGTTAAATGCGGAAGCAGTAATTGTTTCTTTCTATTTGTTCTGTATTTTGTCTTGTTTTAGAACTTGAAGAGTAATTTTCTAATTTTTTTCGTTCTTAATTTTATTTTGATTGCCCACCTGCGCCAAGTTGCTGCAGCTGTTGTAATATGTGTACTAGCATGCATATTGTAGTGAAATGGGTTTTTGTACGCGTGTTCTTCGTACCTTGATACTGTAACGCATTTCATTCTGTGTTCAAAATGTGGAGAGTTGTGTAGAATTTTATTTTTTGTACATTACGCTTTTATTCGTGATTTCCTGTTTTCCAATTGGGTAATAATTTCGCAGTGAAACGCAAGTTACAAATTGGTTATTTACTTATACATGTAGCTTTTTATCGTTATTGGCCGGTAGTCTGTGAATTTCGCGCGCTTTAATGTTTCTTTATTACTGTTTAAATTGTACGTAATTTTTCGAACATGAAGGCTTGTTTTATGAGAGCTAAAAACGACCCAATTTAACTAAAGGTATCCAGTTGCTTGTTAAAGTGTGCTATGGATCGCGGGATGCCGGGCGCAATTAGAAAATGTGGCCGGCAACGTGTGCGTTGCGGGAGTATTGTTGCACCCGGGGTGATTGGCGTATTTCGATACGCTCTGACCGGAAAGCGCTAGGTAAAGAGCTCTGGCGGGCGAAATGGCGCCTCCAATTTCCTGTTGAACGTCGGGAGCGTCGCGGTGGGTCCCCGGGGCACAACGGGATTGTTAATTGCACTTGTTATGATGCGCACAACGCAGCACAATCGCCGCGTTCATCTCGCTCGCGGTCGGCTGGGTCGGGGCAGATGATCATCATCCAGAGACGGATGGGAGAAAGTTTGCATCAGATATTTACGCTGCGATCAGTGTAATGTTTTAGTTCCTCTTTGCGAAAAAGTTACAATTAAAGTTTCTCTTTTCACGTACTCTTCATATTTATGAATATACTAGATACAGTAGTGTATAATTGATTAAAATTACAAATAAATTATGCGGAGGGTAACTTTGAACAATGGTTTTTGGTTTAAAGGTAATAAAAACAGTCTAATAAGTTTAATAAACAACAGATTTGATGAAATTTTTGAATCTGTTTGAAGTTGAAGTTGATCTTGCTGTTGCACTTGTTTCTTGGCTAAAGCGGAAGTGCTTTAGAAACTTATTCAAGAACTCAGTAAACATTATAGGATTTCTGGAAAAAGAATAAGCATTACAATAGTTTCATGGTGACAACCTTTAAAATGTTGAATTTTTCAAGTTGCCTAACGATGTAAGCGGCGAAAATTTTGGCCCTTATTCTACGATGCATCTTATTTTACTCTTCTTCAATGCTTTCTTCCATGCTTTCTTTAATTAAAAGTATTGTGGCAGTAAAATAGCATGTGTAAAGTACGGTCCGTCTAGAACGTGTTTAAAGTCTATACGATAAAATGAAAATTTGACGTAAAATTGCAGATTGCTTAAAAAGTTGAAGTTGCCGCCCTGTGGATTTTTGTTTGTTTTCACCGACAATGAAAAACATATGACGTAGTATTTTGTTTGAATGCTGAAGCGGCTGAATGTTGTAAATCTTTTACGTGGCTTTAGAAAAGTGTTGAAGACATGCGCCTAAAGCATGCATAATTGTGCTTGTATGTAGTGCGATAATTAGAAAATTTGATAAACTATTGAACTCTCATTTTCATTGGAAATTACCACGGTTTTGTCGATAAGTGTTTTTTTCTTCAGCGCACAGATTGTGCTACTATCGTGGCGCGTAAAGTTTTCATAAGGAATAAACAGCGAGTAAGGGAGTCGATTGGCGGCATGTTTGAAGATAACAAATACATTTGTGCGTCTCCGTCATCATAATGTATGGAAATGAGTTGGGGAATTGGATGGAGTGCGCGTCGATAGACTTCCGTACGAGGAAGCCGGCTGCACGATCTGCACTTAGGCACTGTACATTCCTAGCAGTCTTTCTCGCGGGGGATGGCTGGGCGAACAGAAAACTGAGAAATAATAACGGGGATTAGCGAATTCCCACGTGCAGTCGCCGTGAGAAAGTTGATTGCATACCGAAGAAAAGTCGACATGAAATTCTGAGATCCTAGATTATGATGAAGCATAGCGGCATAATTATTGCATGCTTTAACTGGTACAGGATTTTTTGTTATACAACAAGAGTTTGCTGTATTTATAATATTAAGCAGTAATTATTTTCCTTTTGCCGGTTAGGATAAATATGGTTTAAAATTCTCATGAGTATTTATTTAGCGATACGCATGCACGTTTTTGAATTTTATTTGTGGGCACTAAAATATTACATAATTTAGTTATCGTTGTAGTATACCTGAGAATTTGGTGTAGCTAGGCTGATGAAGAAACTTCGTTTCAGATTTTTCAGGGATTTGAAAAACGAAAATAATACTTATTTTGTTGTGCAGCCTTTTAATTAGTAATTTGACCGCCATTGGGTTTATACGTTTAAGTCCTTGTTTTGCAAGTATTTTTTTTAAAGCGATATGCTTGTGGTAGCTATAACAGCGTAGTCGGAGATAGGCAAAATAAATGCCCGGGGTGGACAAGAATCGAAGACGTATAGTCCGGAGCGGGCCAAATCCCGTTCGCTTCCGCGTAGTTGGTCGTCGGAATGTGAATTTGATAATGCATTATCCACAATCTCATCACTCCTCTGCCTCGGCCTCTCTCTCTCTCTCTCTCCCTCGATCTCCGGCAATGGTCGGTCTGACGACGCGGAGAGTGAGCGGAAGAGGAAAATGGGGATGTGGCCCGCAGAGTCCCCGACAAAAGCCGACAATATACTATCGATTAGGGCTGGCTCTGCTGTAGTCGGCAGCCGGGCGTTGTGCCGAGGCAATTGACAAAAGTCAGTTGTTGCTCCATCGGCACAGAAGCATGATAGATGCGCGTCTCCCCTGCTCTTCTCCCCGTATTTTTTTGGACAGGCATTCATCGACACTCTGTCCTATTGGGACATACACACACATCACGCTCATGATGCGCATTGTGTGCGGCGATTTGATCGTTTGAGCCGGGGTGTTGTGTTTTTCCTGGGGAATATATTCTTCGCGCAGCAGAGATACGGCTTTTGTATTGATTTTGGTGGGGAAGAATAGTGAGATTGGTTGATTTTGCTGCGGTCAGCGGAAATATGACGATGGAATCGTTCGACAGGGAGTCCACGCGCTCGGACAAGGAACGACCACGAAAACGGTACTTCCGCTTGACTGTAATTACAGCCTGTAACTACCATGTTGACTTAACTTTTTTTGTCACGGGATCGGATTGAAAATTAGGAAAATGCGGGGAAGGAGAATTTCATGTGAATAATTACTTAATTTATTTATTAAACTCGTGAGATTTTTTAAAAAGCGCTTTAATTGCATATGTATACCTCGTGTGTGTGTACTGAAATACGTAACTTTCACAAGATACGCATCGGAAACTGTTGAATTAAATCGACATGTGTTTTTTCAAGTGGGTAGAATAGTGTGAAACATTGAAAAAATATAAAAAATTCGGCACACTCTGCTTCTTTGTTTCTTGAAGCTTTACTGCTTACAATAAGTGACGGGTGTGTACCGGGATTATTGTGAAATCGTAGAGCAATGGTAGAGTGAGGACCGCATGTCTTCGATGGAAATTCTTGTTCTCTAATTTAATTTGTGACGTGCAGTTAGCTGTTCAGTTTTTCGTTTTGCTTTGTTTCTTCGGACGAGAGTCAAGTTTCGTCGAGGAATAACTAGCATTTTGTTTATACTGCGGTTGCAAGATCTGCGTTTTCGGAAGCAGTGAAAAGATTTTACACCGTGAAATTGAAATATGTGGTGCAGTTAATTGATGGGGACAATTTAACGGCAAATGATTTGTGGCGTGCCGGAAGTTTTTACAAGGCAGTGGGACTGTGGGAGAGAAAGAAAATTTCCGCACGCGGGAAACGCTTGAGAATCGCGGGGTCTGGTGGATGAAAATAGTTTCACACATGTGTGGCTGTGAATGATTAAAGAGTAGTTTGCGTGCTGGTGAGGACGGGGAATCGATTGGGAAGAGGGAGACGAGAGGGTGGGCATTATTTATGAGTGCATTCGGGGGGTCCGTATATAATGCTGCAATGGAGAATCGTACCAGTGGTCCGGGTCAGCGCAGGAAAGTGGCCGCCCGGGATTTGCGGTGGGATGATTGTTGGTGCCGGGGACGAAAGGTTGTTAAACGGCGATGGGGAATTTATACGTGTTTGGGGTAATCTGCATTTAATTGGGGTTTGAAGAATTATTCCGCTGTTATTTCCCCAAACCTCTTGAAATGGAAATATGGTTCATTTTATTTTTGTTTTATTTTGAACTGTTTGTATTGCGTCTGTTTATTTCCGCATTTTTTACTTTTATTTATCTGAAGTTAGTTTTATTTTATTTTGACTTCGAAACTTTTGCCGAAATAGGAAATCAGTTGCACACTTTTTCGTGTTTCGTTAAATTATTTTATCGAGAAAATTCCGGAAGGAATTTTTCACGTTGTTCGTCGCGTATTTTTTGTCATAAGAAAACCGGCAAAATATTTTCGTTTAAGTTTTATCGACGACGTTTCGATTGCTTAATGTTTGAGAATCGTTTGCGCGATTTTGTCATTTTTTAATTTTTTGATTGGAAGAGCGCAGCTGCCGGTGATTGGTCATTTCAAAATTGACCAAGATTCACTCGTTTTGTTGATTAATGTGTCAAGTTGTGCGCCCCGGTTTTTTAGCTATTTTCTCCAAAGTAGCATCATTCGCATTTATGCGGGTGCGAGAGGGATTAGTGTTTCCCGACATTAATTGCCGCACGAGGTCGATGAGGATAAAAGTGATAAAACCCAGAAAAATGGAAAATTGTTTTTTAATGACCGGCTCGTTAATAATCGGTCTGTGTGTATCTGTGTAATGCCGTGAACTTTTCATTTGCAAATGGTTTTTTTAATCCCACCACTCGGCACTTGATGGATAAATGGGAGCACGCCAGTGTACATCGTGGCTTGTCGGTTCCGATTGTCGTTAAATTGGTGCGCTTGACTGTGTCCATGAGGAGCTGCTGCTGTATGTGTGTGGCGCGCTAATGATAATGAAGCGTCCGCTTGACTGCTCTAATGTCCCATTGCATTTCCTGTTTGTCTGCGGTGACGGACGCGGAACGTCCAGGCCGCTGTATTGTTGTGCTGGATCGGTGGTTTAACTGTGTTTTCTTGTTGTTGCAGGGAACAGCCGCTGCTCAGTGTAAAGGTAAGCCAAATGTTTCAGAAGTCAGTAAAAGGGAATTATTTAATTCAGATTTTTTTCGGATTCGTTGGTGCCCTTCGCAAACACGTTATTTAAACTGTAATGTTCATTTTAAAATTTATTAATATTTTATTTAGTCATTTGCTGAACAATTGTGGGCGATACTTTAATGAATCTTCACCAAAAGTTTTATCGAAAATTTAAAGCGGCTTCGGAAAAATTAAATTATATGCCAGTTTCCGCTAGGTCCGTTAATTCGTTAATTTTAAGGTTTTCATGGCTTATTTTCTAAAATAATGGGACTTCTTTGATGCTTAAATTTAACTATCAAATAGAGCTTGCAATAATGACTATCTGGGTGGCTGTTGACAAATTAATTTTTTTGTACTTGAACCAGACGACAGACGTTACTGTGGATATGCATAATTATCGGCAAAACAGTCGCCAGTAGTGCAAAACTGCAAACCGCTTTATCATTCCGCTGCCTGCAAACGTAGAACGGTGGCACTTTGAGTCAACTTCTGTAGTTGTTGCAGATGATTCTTATGAAATCCAGTTCTCTTCCATGTTAAATAAATTAACCAAAATTTTTTCCACATTTTTTTCCTGATATTTTGTGAGTGCGGGAAATGCGCCCACAGACTATGTTGGGGTGAAAACTGTTGAAAAAGCTGCAAAATAAATTCCCCCCACTTGATATCGGAAAACCATTTTGAAGTCGTGTGCGGCGAGAAAGCAGAGAAAGCTCGAACAACCCGACAGCCGCCGCATGGAGAAATGAGAAAGTTTGTGCAGAGCCGGGATATCCGGCTGGGCGCAAGTGCACTTGGCAAAGAGCGCGCGCCGGAAGTGGGAATGGAATCATCTGGGGGGCCGGGAATAACGGCCGGCGCTGCGACTCTGCGAGACGACAGCCGTTAAGCCGTTTTCTCCTTTATACTGCCGCACAACAGCAGCAAATACGTAGATAATGTCAATGGGAAATTAATCAAGTGCATAGGGCGAAGGAAAAGGGATGAACTGCGAGCAGGAGAACGTATGCCGTAATACGGTGTTTCTAGTGAAAGAGAGTGTGGTGCACTGAGATAACTAGAAAATCGAATTAATGAAACCACATTATACCGCTGCTTTGTTAGAAATTTACGGCATTTTTTACAGACAGCCGAAAAGGCTGATTTTCTTCAATAGGATAATATATCTGGCTTATAAAGCGAATTTTTTTTTTCAGTTTTTGTGGCCCGTTTATTGTCGAGTTCCCGGTTCCGTACCATCGAACACAAAATTAATAGGAATTTTTAATTTTTACGTAATGAAATTAGTTGGTATTGTTTTATTAGGCTCATGTCTACCATATTGATCCCAAATCGAAGAAGAGCTGGATCCCCGCCACCGGACAGGCCGTGCCGGTGTCCTTCTTCTTCGACTCATCGAGGAATCTTTACCGCATCATCAGTGTCGAAGGCACGAAGGTCGGTTCAGTGAAATCAGTTGATGAATATGATTTATGTTTCACAAAATGCGGTAACATCACAGTTTCGAAACAATAAAATTAATCAAAATAAGAAAATTTCATCAGTTGATCAGTTGATTGGAGTTGTTCAATACGCCCTATTAAGCATACCGTAGTGAGATGGCTTTGGTACCATGATCATGTATGCAGTCACTATGCATTATATTTGTCAAAATGGCTGTATGCTGTGAATGTGACGTGAAAAGTAGTAATTAGTAAACTTCATATTAATTTTTTACCGTATTCCCTGGGTCATGGGTAAATTATATAATAATGTAATACGCATACTTAAGAACGTCTCTCTTCGGCGTTTTGGTTTTCCGTTCGGAATGGTGCTGGGTAATTTTTATCTTTAAACTGTTGAGACTATCCACTCGGATGTTTGTTTAATCTGCTTGTTTTCTGTAATATTGGTTTTGGAGCAATTGTATATCATTTCATTATTTTAATGCTATTTGGTTTAAAATCAAAATGTAACCATTTTTGTAAAATGTGCTGGTACGTGATATTTAGTGGATGAACAGATCAGTTGACATTATTGAATTTATTGATCGAAATCTGCTTTGCCGGCATTACGGAGCTTTTAATTTATTGATTAGCGTGTGATTATTATTTTGTTTGTGGTAAGTGGACATTGTCACGATTATTGTTGTAAAAATCTTGCTGTCATTGTTTGATTGTCATGATTACTAATGAAGTGAACCAAATGAATAGATGTGATTTATTCGGAATGTTTTGCGACAATGGGAAAAATCGTTTGACCATTGTCGGGTTTAATGACAGGCGGTAATCAACTCCATCGTCACACCGGCCATGAGCGTGACCAAGACCTCGCAGAAGTTTCTGCAGTGGTCGGACAGTCGGGCCAACATGGTGTACGGGCTGGGCTTCGCCAAGGAGGAGGATCTCAGTCTGTTCCTGGAGAAGTTCAAGGAGGTGAAGATGCTGAGCGTCGGGCAGAAGGGCGACGGCGGCCTGGAGTCGGGCCAGCAGAGCAACGGGCCCGGCTCCCTCATGAGTGTCTCGCAGGTGGCCGTCATGCCCCGCTCCGCCTCACCCCCCAGCAGTGCCTCCTCCAACAGCAGTCCCCGGCCGCCGCCTCTCATGACCGGCAGTGTCTCCGCCACGCCCACCATTCCCCCGACAGGTACTTCAGAATATTTTCTACGCGACTCTCTGTAGTACGTTTTGTAGGATCGGTAAAGTACCTGTCGGTAAAGTACCCGTTAGAAACCAGAATTGAAAATTAAGAATATTTTTTACGCGACTCTCTGTAGTACGTTTTGTAGGATCGGTAAATTTTCAATTCCGGTTTCTTTTTTTAATTTGTTCTTTGGCTTATTTGTGGTATTGGTCTGGTTTTTTCCTTTTGTACCAACAATTCTTAATTCGCTGATTTTGAGAACGGTTTACAAGGCCTCGGAATTTTTGTAGAGATTTTCGTTATTCTAAAATCTAAATACAAGTACTTTTTTAATGGGTTGGGTAAAATGCAGTCGCATCATTGAAGCACCTAAAACGTTGGTCTCTCCTTTTCCTTCAAAATTTATCGGTATTTTCGGAATTGTTTGTAAGGGGAGGTTAGTTTTGAGGCGGTTGAGATACGTAGTGTCGAAATCTGCTGTTTGTCAAAGTGCTTGTCGCTTATTAGTTATTACACACCAGTTGCATCGTATCGTAGTGTAATGTAACCAGAAACTCTACTATAAAATCGAGCTTGACTATGTCCGCATTCACGGGCTTATCGTGCTATATAGATGATTAGTATTGGAATTGTATTTTTTGTTGATTTGTATTTTTCTTTGAATTGCTCAAGGGAAGAAAGTTAATTAATATTTCGCAAATATCACAAAACAAACGTATTTGTTTTTTTCCCAGTGGACACGCCTGGTAGTGGTAGCCATTAGAACGCGATAAAACTAGAAATTAGCCACAATACCGATCGACGGAGTTGCTAAAATAAAACAGTCTGCTAGAAAAGCATTGATTCTAAATCAAATATCGGAATATTCTGTGCTATTGTTCTGTGAGGTATTTAAGCGGCAATAGCAAATTCAGGTAACAATGAGATTGGTGGACTATCTCAGAATGATTCACAATTTAAGCAGTAAATTTCTTTCTTGAACAGATATATTTTTCTTATGTATGATCTTGTATGTGTGATCTGCTTGTATGACAGGCCAAAACCAGGGCACCCTCAACGAATCGCAGTTGCGCGTGGAGAACGAGAAACTGCGCGAAGCCCTGGCCAAGAGCTCGGCCAACGCGGACAAGTGGAAGATTCAGTTGAAATCGCTGGAAGATGAGAAGCAGAAGCTGCTGAAGGCGCTGGAGGAGAGTCATGCCAATTTGAGTCGATGGGAAACGGAAGTCAGTGTGTATCGAACTCGAGTATGTTTGATTATGGATCATAGACATACATAAACGTCGCTGTGTGTGTGTCTCCAGCAGGGCTGCGGCTGTCGCTTGTAGATCTGCGCGTGCTGTACGTGATTGTGGTAAATGTCAGTGAATTGCTTAGCAGTATGGGAACACAGCGTTGACCTTTCGGATGCCGTCCGTTCGTGACGGAGATCGTGACGGTATTAGGGTCACTGCATTGATTTTGTCGGGTTTCGCTCGGTGTTGACGGCATCCCTGTAGTGATTTGGCTGAAATGTTGACGCAAATCGGGATGGCCATTATTCGGGTTGATTTTTGTTTATTGGATTTTATTTTCAAAAAATTATAGTGCTCGTATATATTGTACCCGTAAAATCTGCATATAAAAAAAGTCTCCTAATGAATTTTTAAACCAAAAAACATAATAATTATTATGTAAATTCGTACTAACATTTTCTGGAAAAATCGTACAAAGAAAACGCTGAAGCAAGTTTTTTATCTCCATATGTACTGGAATTATAAAACAGTATTCGTAAAAATTTGGTAGCTTTTTTCAGTAGATACAGTGCGCATACTGTTATTGATAAATCAGAAATGTATTTCAGCTGTTTTGGCATTGACCGTCGCATTCTATTAAAATGAGCCTTTAAATGTGTGCGCTCGCAGAATTCCGGCTAATTTGATATTTACTTAGGTGGCGGAGTTGGAGCATCGAAAAGGCGGTATAAATGGGGAGGGCAGTGTGTCGGGCGAGGAAGGCGGAAGCGGAGTTAAAATGGAGCTGGAGCGGCTGAAGGGCGTGGTCTTGGCCCTGGAGAAGCGGAACCAGGCGAAAGACGCGGTTCGTGCAGGATTTGGCATGTGGGGAAACATTTGTTTTTACTCCTTCTGTGTTTTCAGGAAATCTCAAATTTAACGGCGCGGTTGGACGAGCTAAGGGTCAAAGAGTCCAGCATGAGCCAAGGCAGTCATGAAAAGTTACAGGTAATTTTGCCGGTTTTCTGTATTATAATATCGCTCTTATACATGAAAATCTACAGAAAAATGTTCAGAATAATCTTTAAGTTTTTTAAGGTAAAACAAGATCTTGAAGTTTTTTTTTATATTACGTATGTCGACATCGATTTTTATTTGCCGCTTTTATTAGGTAACTGGCATTAACTCGTATTTTGATTAGCCCAAAATTATTTTTCTTTTTTTTAACGGAATATTGTTACTGGTTGTTACGGTTTATGTTTAGACAAACATGTGGATTGTTTCCCGGCTTTTAACATGTTATTTTGATAACAAGTGGTAATTTAAAAAACTGTTTTTGAATAACAGTAAAAGGAGAAACGGAATAGTAAGCCAATAGACGACAAGTTTTCATCTTGTGACTTAGTTTTCGTGTAATAAAATCGTTAAATAATCTACTGTTATTTTTATTACAGTATTGTATCTTTGCTTTAAATAATCTACTGTTGTTTTTATTATTGTTTCTTTGCTTCATCTGCGTTTCAGACTATACAGATAAGTAGTAAATAAATCGCACTCAAATGTGATGTATGCTATAATGTATTCGTATTAGAACATCGTAATTCGTAGCACATCGTAGAATGATGGATAGATTCGTTGAACGCAAATCCTTCTGAGCTCGTGATTTTCATCTACAATTACTGCAGGAGTACATAAAAAATATGTGATAGTATTTGTTATTTTTAGCGAAGTTTGTTCCCAGCGGTTTCGAGTAAATGTTAAGCAGAACTTGAGTAATTTCAGTTTACGTATTCGATCAGTTTTGACCACTGTTGTATTGCTATACAGACGATGGAATCGGACAACCGCGCCCTGAAACTGGCCATCAGCGACATGCAGGAGAAGCTCAGCCGGCAAGTGGCCCTCAACGAAAATCTCCGCTCGGAACTGCGTCTGCTACGCACCCACGTCAGCCGGCAGCTGACCGACTGGAAGAAGATGGACGAGAAGCTGAACGAATTGATCAGCAGCAATCCCAGCAGTTAATATCAAAGAATACTCCCGTTCTGACGAATCTCTTGTTGTTTTGCTCCGTCCACGCTTTGGAATTCGGGACGCTAATCTGGATCAAAGGGATCTCTTCGCTCGGCGCCGGGCTGGTGGGGGCAACGGGACGGGGAGGCGGTTACGTATTCGTTAATATTTTTGATTTTATTTTGGTGTCATGTGGTCTTCCTCACTTGGCTTTTTAAGGGTTTACAATTCTCAATCGGATGAAGGGGAGAGGAAAAATGCATGGTTCTCTTGGTGATGATGTACGTAATCCTGAATTTTGTCTTCGATGACGCGCAGTGGCAAGTTGCTTTTTTTCCAGTAGTCTTTTGACTATCTTGCAAGAACGTTGTCATTAAAATTTAGCAACGGAAAATAACCAGAAAAAACGTTGTAAACAACGAAGTCATCCGAACGAAAAATCATAATGTTTAAAAGAAACAGCTTCTTCGAACCATCACAGTTTATTTTCCTTTTATTACTTGTGATTTATTTTTCGGCGTTTATGCTAATTTTATCTTTGCAGTCTGTAAATTTAAAAATATTTTTGAACGCTAAAAACTCCCGAAACGAAACAGTAAGCGAGTAATCAGCAACTTGACACCTAGTGGCTTATTTTTTGTAACATAGTAATTCGTAACAAATCGTAGAATAATGGGGCCGATTGTTTCGAGCTGGTGATTGTCACCTACAATAATTGCAGTTTGTAGTACATAAAAGAATTGTTGTAGTATTTTTATTTTTAACGAAGTTTGTTCCCAGTGGTTTCGAGTAAATGTTAGAAACAAAAAAATAAATTTGCCGTAAAATAAAAATTATTTTTAATTTTTTGACGGCATTATATGTACATCTGTATTCCAGTTCGTGTGTTTATTTATTTATTAATATTAAGTTTTATTCGGTGTTTGATTTAAATGGTTATTTTCTTTATTTAAGTTATCTTAACGTTAATAATTCTTTTTTACTCATAATGTGAAAACTTATACGAATATTAAGTTCTTTAATTTTCTCAGCCACAAAAAAGTCAGTATCAAATACAGATATCATTACGTCAGCCAGAGGATCCTAAAAATTATTGAGAAAATATTCCGCGTGGTCATATCAGGTGATTGCCAGTGAAATTGTACACTTCCGTCATGTGCTTCTTTTAGAAAGAAAGGCCGGGCTGAAACTTCTCAGCTGCGAGCAATTACGGACACACCTTCGGTACGGGCCATACGTACAGTAAGCAGTCGCATCGTTCACTCCCTCCGGTCTATTTTTAGAATTCGACGCATCGACGTGACCATCCTGATAAAAAATTGAGTCTCGCTTCTTTTGCTGGATAATTATAATAATTATCAAAAATAAAATCAAGGATAATCAATACAAAATAAATAGTGGTGGGAAAACTGGCCAGAAGTTAGCCGGTGTGCGAAAGACGTCCTACTAGTACTTCAGTGACGATAGCAGTCGTACTCGTACAACCAGCTGTGAGCTGTACACAGAGCGATAAAAAGTTACGTAAGCTGCACGAGGGCCGTGAAGTTGATTGAAAGTCTGCCAGTCAGTTAGTCCCGTCAGGAACATTTGCCCGTTCACTCCATCAGACCGCATTTCCCGTTCAGCTATTCCGTTTTCTCCTAGTTCCATTGTTGTCCAATTCCACCCCGATTTATAAACACTCCGGTAAGTTATCAATGTAAAGAAGCCGGGATGCACATAATTTCCCAGCCGGCGTCTTTTTGTTCACCGTGCTAAATTGGGAAAATTCTTTGTAATTCGGCTTATATGGCTCACTCCATGTAACAGTTCCTTAAAATCGACATATCGATTACAGAGCGTTTAGTATTGCAGTGCGGTTTAGCATGTGCCCGATAAATTACAGTTTTCCCTGTTGTCAGCCTGCATAACCGCGAAGCTTATACCGGTGTTTGATGACTTGCGCATCGTTTTGTAATAATTTCTCGCTTTAAACTGTACACTGCAGCATCTTTCGTTTTTCTGCAGCCTTTTTTGATTTTTCGCATTTTTAATCGATAGCAATGTTGAGCACCTGCGCCAAATCGGCCAAACTGGCCGCAGCCCTGCAGCTGAAGAGCCAGGCCGTGGCAGCGCCCCTGGCCAGCGCCATCAGCACGCGCTGGGCCCACCACACCACCCCTACCGGCCAGGAGCACCTCTCCTCCATGAACGTGGCGCCGGCCACCTCGCGCGACGTCTCCTACGTGGAGGACGCCCAGGACCCCAGCTTCAGCGACAGCGTGGAGTACTTCTTCAACCGCGGGGCGCAGGTGGTGGAGGACTACCTGGTGGAGAACCTCAAGGGCCGCATGAGTAAGGAGGAGAAGCGGAAGCGGGTGCAGGGCATCCTCAAGGTGATCAAGCCGGTGGATTCCGTGCTGAGCCTGACGTTCCCGCTGAAGCGGGATAACGGGGAGTACGAGGTGATCGAGGCGTACCGCAGCCAGCACAGCCACCATCGGACGCCCTGCAAAGGAGGTGAGGGACGGGCGAGTTGCCCGCATGCGTGTTTTCAATTTGTTTGAAATTGTTTTTATCGTTAAATATTTATTCGCAAATTGTATGGATTTTTTGCTGCGTAATTCGGTTTATAATCAGTTCTAAACGGAATTTTTGTAAAGCCCTATGCGAATTTTTCATCGCGTAATTTATATGATTTCTAACTGCCTATTTTGCATTTCTTTGTCAGAATATTGAAGTTGATATTTATTCAGTAATGTGCTTTTTTAATTGTCCGCCCTTTATCTGCTTTGATTTGCAAGTTGGACTGAGTAACGTTTTTCCATTAATTTTAAGAGCGATTTTGGAACGAAATAATTCTCCTTCTGCAACATTCACGTAGAATAGCACGCCTATGGTTTGCTGCTGTTTTTGGTGTAGACTCTGTAGAGTCTGTAGACGATTGTAGTGCAGTGTCAGCTTAGCTTAAAACAGTTGGTGTAGTCGAGCTGAATCGTTGGACAGTTAACGCTAGTTGCGCAGGCTATTCTTTTTTTTTAATACCCACAGAGAAATGCGTTGAAATTTGCTTTTTGGGTGAACATTATCTTTTTGCTTCTGCTTAAAAAATTCCCACTGATGAATTAGAAAAACATTTTTTTAATTTCGAAAGCGTTTTTTGGGCCTTCTAGGTCATTTCTGATTAATTTTATTTTAGTACCGCTAGATAGATATATTAAGGAGAATTGTTTTCTAGTTTTGATGAGGGTTAGTTCTGCCTTTCTGGTGACATCCTACTTGTGAGTTTTACCTTTAGGATGAAATGGGCAACAGTGTTTCCGGGGAATTATCTCAATCATATGATTTATCGCATATTTCTGCTGACTGTAGCAGTTTGCATTGACGCAGCAGGGGAATAATTAAACGAAGCTTCCGCTGATGTTACCGTATAACTTGCGCCGATACCGGTTTCTTGATCAATGCAGACAGTGAGCGAAAGCCCATGCTTTATTGAACGTTTAACGATTTCTTCCGAATGGACAGATTGCGTAATCACACTAGCGAAGATTTGCCGGTATCATTTGCAGAAATATACTTGTACAACCGGCGTTCACTTATACGCTAATCGATTGATTGCACGGCTTGATCCGCTAATGCTGCGGGTATATCCAGTTTGTCCAGGCATTTGCTTCGATACAATCGATTTTTTATCGGAAAGATTAGGAATTAGCGACCAAAAGATTAGAGATTTAGAATTATGGTTTTGGTTGTGGCATAAATCCTACCCGTACTGATATACTTTTTATGACATACAGATAGTAAAAGGATTTATTAAAAACACTATTCTGACAGAAATATCGTTTTATAAAGGAAACTCTGGTGTATCTGTAGTGTTCCGTACCATTTTTAAATGGAACATAGTGACACTCTGGTGTATCTGTTGTGTTCCGTACCATTTTTAAATGTTCCGTACCAGTACTAAGTTTGTACTTGTGACATGATACTTATTAAAGGTGCAGTCTCTTTTTAAATGGAACATAGTGACAAACTGACAAACGAGTTGGAACATTGGTACATGCGAATATATCGCAGTTCGTAGTGTGTGGGCTGGTGACCAAGAGCTCTTCAAGTTGTACTAGCCTGTTAAAACTCTCCAAGTTATACTAGTTTTATGCCACAAATCCCACAATATAAATTTTTTATTTTAATAGCCGTAACACGTACGTTAGTGTATAGCGCCATATCGCTATAGATTTTTTGTTTTTTACGTAAAAAGAAAAACGTTTTCATTAATATCACGGACTTGTGTAGTCTGTTTGCTTGCACGTTTTTTTCTCCAAGTGTTAGGCGTATTTTCACTTCTTTTATCAGTTCATTTTTTGAAATATTTTTGACTATTTTTCATGCAGTTCTTGTGGTTTTGCATTTGACAGGGCACTGTATTTCCCGCAGGTATCCGTTACAGTATGGACGTGAACATTGACGAAGTGATGGCCTTATCCGCGCTGATGACGTACAAGTGCGCCGTGGTGGATGTGCCCTTCGGGGGCGCCAAGGCCGGCATTAAGATCGACCCGCGCAAATACAGCGACACGGAGCTGGAGAAGATCACCCGCCGCTTCACCCTGGAACTGGCCAAGAAGGGCTTCATCGGGCCGGGCGTGGATGTGCCGGCCCCCGACATGGGCACGGGTGAACGCGAGATGGCCTGGATTGCCGACACGTACGCCACCACCGTCGGCCATCTGGACATTAACGCCCACGCCTGCGTCACCGGCAAACCCATCTCCCAGGGCGGCATCCACGGCCGCGTGTCGGCCACCGGGCGTGGCGTCTACCACGGCCTGTACAACTTCATGAACGAGGCCAGCTACATGAGTATGATCGGGATTACACCCGGTAAGTTGGTGGCGTTTGGCTTTTTTTGCAAATAAAACATATTTCTTGGCTTTATGTTTTTGTGGGGATCGTTGCCGTTCTGCTATAATAAAACTAACGGTTGAAATAAAATTTTAATAAGGTTATTGTCATAAATATACCGACAGAGAAAAATAAATCGGAAACGGATGACGATAGTCTAGAAATGAGTAATTTTGGATAGTTGGCAGATGTAGAAATTCGTTTTTTTAAATGGTTGTGTCGTAGCGTAGATATCATCTGGAGTATTCTGATACGGTACGCTGTGTCGATTATTAAGAAGCACGAACATTGTAGTTCAGTGGCATCTGTCTGGGTTAATTGTGATGTTTGCTCTTTGCGTTTACCAGTAGGAAATTTGATAATAATTATGCCTTGCAGTCTTTAAATTTTTTTTATTCTTTGCTAAATGTTCCTTTCATGCATTCCGTGTGTAATGCAGGACTGGGCGACAAGACATTCATCGTGCAGGGATTCGGTAATGTCGGTCTGCACACAATGCGTTATCTGCACCGTGCCGGCGCCAAGTGTATCGGTATCGCCGAAATTGACGGCTCCATCTGGAATCCCAACGGAATGGATCCCCGCGAGCTTGAAGACTACAAGCTGGTAAACACAGGCGCACGTTTTTGTTGTGGAAATTGTGGAAATGTGTGATTGGCTATGTTATGACTTGTCTGTTTTAACAATTCGCTGTCTGAGCCAACTTGTAGACCGCGTATTTGTTATTCACGTTTGAAGGATTTTGTTTCTTGCTTTTTAAATACGGTAAATTTCTGTTTTGAGGAAAACTGTACGCACCCATAATGTTTTTGTAGTCGCGTGGAACTATTATGGGATTCCCGGGCGCGGAGAAGTACACCGGCGAGAACATCATGTACGAGAAATGCGATATCCTCGTGCCGGCCGCTGCTGAGAAAGTTATCACCAAAGATAACGCCCACCGTATTCAGGCCAAGGTAAGCCACATTGGTAGGCACGATCAGGTGATAATTGATAAACAGCAACGTGTCGTAAATTTTACCGATATCAACATCATTTTCCGATTCTCGGCACGGACATTTTGGCAGCGAATACTATTTTGATAATAACATATTCTAATATACTGCCACGAGACGAATGCTTAATTGGCGAATATTGCGCTGAAAACAACCGCATGACAGAATTCTTTTATTTAGCTCCAGTTGAATTCAAAATCATATACGTGGGAAACTGAGGATTCGTGCAGCATTACGATTAAAATGTAGACTATAATTATTACGATCGACTGGGTTTAGTAGTCAGTAAACAGTTGATGCGAAGTTTCATTATCTGCTTTCTTGGGCAAATGGAGTTAAGGAATTTCGTAGTAAAATGGCCAACAGTCGTTCGCTAGTGTCATGATTACGTGTGGCTAGAAAATTAGAAATCTCTGCAGTCATCATGGCTTCTCACATTGATACGGGAAGTTAGTAATTATTTTAAAATTTTTTAAGTGTTTCTTTTGCGAAGAACTGTATTATCATTGTTTATTGAAGGCGGAACAGAAACTTCTTGGCAGTACAGAAGTTGGTTCATGCAGTTGTCTGTTTGAATAGGTCATCGCCGAAGCGGCCAACGGGCCGACCACCCCGGCGGCCGACAAGATCCTGATCGCCAACAACGTAATGGTGCTGCCGGATATCTACCTGAACGCCGGCGGTGTGACGGTGTCCTACTTTGAATGGCTGAAGAACCTCAACCACGTCAGCTACGGACGATTGTTATTCAAGTACGAACGCGAATCCAACTACCACCTGCTGGAGAGCGTCCAGGAATCCCTGGAGCGCCGCTTTGGCCGTGGCGGCGGCCGCATCCCCATCACGCCCAGCGAGGCCTTCAACAAGCGTATTGCTGTACGTAATATCGGTGTTTGTGGATGTACTAGAGTAGGAAAAGCCAATAACTGTCACTTTAGTTTAATATACATACTAAAATTTTATTCGTGTGTGATTTGTGAATTGAGTGCATACTGCATTGAAATAAAGCTTCACTTTTTAGAAAATGTTTTATATTTTGTGATTTTTAGCCCATTCAATCAGTTGTTTATTGTAAGAATACTGGTTGTACAAAATTTTTTCGATTGTTTAATTTTCCAGTTGATGATAATCGATAGTTAGCTAATATTTACATTTTTTATTAATTTTATTATTGTTGCTTCCTGTTTTAGGGTGCCAGTGAGAAGGATATCGTACATTCTGGTTTGGATTACACTATGGAACGATCTGCCCGGGTAAGCGTAGTTTTTTTTTCGCGTAGAAAATGGAGCGGACTGCGTATAACGATGACCGTAGAGGAATAGTGGAAATGCAGTAGCTTACTCCAGTTTGTGCTTGTATCTTTTAAATCAGTATTTCTTCAGTTTATTCCGGATTGGCATGTTAAATACAACAATGTTCATAGTATTTTAAAAGAAATTCTTCGACTTGTTAGTACCACCGGTATGAATCAAAGCAGGTATACGGCCATGCATAATTAAGGTTTGATCTTGTTATAAAGATTGGACATAATGTATAAATGTATGCAAACGTAGTGTAGTGCGTTTGTCAGTTCCAAACAGCTGAGTTCCTACGCTGATGAAAAAATAGTTTGATGTAGCTTGATGTTATAAAGTTTTTTCTTGAACCAAACTTTCTACAGTTAAATCGGTGGATCGTCTTTTTTAAAATTCTTTTGATATGATTTTATGGGATTTTTGTTTGTCGTAGGCGATTATGCGAACGGGTATGCGATACAATCTGGGATTGGACTTACGTACCGCGGCCTTCGTCAACGCCATCGAGAAGATCTTCGGCACGTACGCCGAAGCCGGTTTCACGTTCGCTTAAGTGCGGAGCGTTTCCTCCGGATGCGCGATGGACAGACTGATTTGTGACCTGTGTAATTTTGTTGTGGTTGGACTTCCGGTTGCCAGAGTCCCGGATCACGCGGCTGGACAGATTGAGCGGCATTTAATTGAATTTTAATCTTATGTTATTTGTGTGTTTAAACGACAGCGGGCAGAGAGATAGAGGGTTTATTTGGACGGGGATATTTTAATGTTAGTGTCCACTCTTGTTGATGCACGCTTTGTGGTCTCAGATAGAAACGAGTAGCCAGAAAAATAGCGAATTAATATTGTAGTTTGCTGTAGTGGTTTATTTGTCTGTTAGTTGTATTTGTTTTTGTGTGGTGTTGGAACCGCAAGGAAAGACGAGATTGCTGTTGAATAAATTCACAAATATCCACAGATTTGAGTGGGATTATATACGGAAATTGTCCACCATGATTCTCAAACTTTTTCGTGTTTAGCCTGTTTTTAACTCGGTTTTTCTTGTATAGTTTTCTTGGTGTAGATGGAGAGTGAAAATGTTTATCGCCAGTTATCGGTATCATCGAATAGCATAATTGTCAGGAAATCTATAACCAGATGTACAGATCATGGATCTAAAATTATGAATTGAAAGTATTAGAAATGAACGAACATAACAAAATTACAACTTTCGCGAAAATAAGCCAGCGCAACAGAAAACTATCAATAAATTTATTAAAAATTAAAATTAAGCAAAATTTTAAGCAATTTTTTTTAATTAAACAAAACGAAAAGCAACCAAAATCGTTAGGATTATTTCGATTGAACTAAACTTGAACGAAATAAATGGGAGATGCTGGCTGAATACCGAGCGAGAAATGCGAAAAATTTGACAGCGTATAATTGCGGGTGTTAAAATTTTTTGTAGAAAGGAAAAAATCTTGTGATGAAAACCGGTTATTTCCATAAGTACCTCGTACTTAATCCAGAGGCGGAAGCTAGCGCACACACTGTCAGCCAATGGTGGCGGCCGGCTGACTGAGCCCGCCTTGTCCAGCTAGGTGACAGAGAGACATGGCTCAGCGCAGAGAGGCTGCTGAATGGAGAAGGAGAATTTTAAAATTCGCATTGATACAGCCGACGCAGCGATTGCCCAGCCCAACTTAACAGAACTGAACATACTGTACTTAATCGCGTGAATAGACCGCAACAGCATTCCGTCGGACCATCGCGGTCGTTCGTCTTTTTATTTTGTTAATTATTTCGTTTGAGTTTAAACAGGAAGTTTTTTTTGTTTTTTAACATTGGTTTGAAATTTTTATTTTTTTAAATTTTCGATTTTTTATTCCCTTACTCATCAGAGTCATCACCCGTATCATGGCCAAGCGTGAGGCGGATGATTCAGACGCTGACGACGCGGCCGTCACGTCCAAGCCGCGCAGCCCGACTCCGGATGGCGATGCGCCGATTTCCCAAACGCCGGAACATCCGCATTCCTGCATCCGCATCCAGGAGTAAAGCTAGCCAGCCTGTCGTGACCGCCGTGCCACAGCTGCAGATACAAATTGGTGGAGGACAGCAGGAATGGCAGTGGGGCGGCCTGAGACCTTTAGACCACGCACCCGCATTCCAAAGGTCCTCGATGCTTGCTGCTGGTGAGTCATCATCTTTTATCACGTGTGGTTAGTTATTTCAATGAGTTTTATCGTTTGCCGTACTAATTGTATGTTACGTATTAATTCCGAATTTTTAATTTCTGCTGGGAATGTCGAAACCCTGTTTCGTCATATTGGTAACCTTTATTGACTGCCTTTTTCTACATAGTGTGGCAGCATTATTCCTGATTCTTGTAGCTGTAAAATTACCTTTCTAATAATTTGCTAATAATTTTTATTAATCTTAATAATGTTTTTCATTTTAGTAATTATTATTAGAAGCATTGCACGTCGATAAACCACCGGACGTTCCTTGTTTTTCTATCAGCTGCATTGAAAAATTTGCTAGTAATGCAATCGGTTACTATTTTTTGAGAAAATGCTCAAAATGATGAAATATTATGCGGATTTACCGGAGTAAAATAATCATTTACGTACTAAATCATTTACGTACATCCATAATGATGGTTGTGTGAAATTATTCACCATCTACGTAGACGTGCGCTCGATCGAAGCAGGAGCAGATAGCAATCTACGGCCAATAAATGTTTTCGCTCCGTTGGCGGAATAGCCTTTCCATTGTGTACGCAATATGTATTGGCAAGCGCTTTTGGCGATCGCGCGATAGATAAGATGTTCCTGTCTCGTACTCAAATGATCGCTTGTTGGTTATAAAAAGTTGGTTGCTCGAAGCCGCCTTTGGCAAAGAAAAGTTAGCCAGCCAGCTCGGCGCCGTTGTGACCTGACGTGCAGAGCGCGATGGTTGAGTCACCAAAGATTTCCAGTTTTCCGGTTGGCTAGAAAATTGGTCGGTTACAACTTACCACATCGCTGTACAGAATCTTCCTTGGCGACTGGCGAGAGCGACACCGTAGATGCAAAAGTAGTGTTGCAGTTAATTTGTTTTTGGTTGAGGTTGCAATCAGCTGCTAAATTTCAGAGATATCCTAATATACTCGTATGGATAGTCAAACGGCCGAAAACAACAACTGGCAATTAGATCCCGTTGAAGAATACGCACAAAAATCAGCAGCGTTTAAACGTTAAGCCATAACTTCACGGTTGATTGTATGATTTACGAGTATTTTGGTTTTGTGGTGATTAATTGGCGACGCTGGAGTTTCGCAGGGTATTACTAACAGAAATGGTTGTTGTCGGTAGGAATGTAGAGTAATTCAGTAATTCCAAAAAAACGGAAGAAAATTGTTTTCGCGGCAAGGTACTGATACTAACAAATTCTGTTTCGATCTACGTAGTTTCGCTATACAACAGAAATCGATACATATAAATTAAGTTCTGTACTAAAATCTACATAGATTCTATGTGCTCCAGTCCCGGTTTAAGATTAATGAATGCCGACAAAATTCACAAAAATGATCATGCGATAGCTGAAGAAGCTGATGTACTCGTACATTATAGGTTTGGCTGCGATAATCTGATTTGAGTCATGACAGTGTTATACTGCATACGTTAAAGTCACTACATTGGTAAACAAGTGGTGTTGTTATAAATTAAGTAAGCTAGTAGCTTATTTGCCAGTTGACAGTATATTGTTTTGTTATTGAGTTTAACGATTGATCATGCCTGACAGGATCATCGGCATCGCCGCCCTCCGCAGTCCAAAGGTCATACACTGAAAAGCGCGTGCAATTCAGCAAGTTTCCCTATGCGCGCGGTAATCCTTAAAGTTCATTTTTGTGTCGTGGATTAACAATACTTTTAAGCAGCACCTTTGGTGGTGAACACAAATTTGTTTTGTATCAGCGGCTGATCGAAAACTGCGCAAACCAGGTGATCAAAAATGCACCCGTGGCCCGGCAGTTCCCGCATGTTTCGGTCGCATCGTGCGGCAATCACCCACCAAAGTGAAATCCGCCCGTCCTGGAAGCACCATCACTGTGCGACAGCGGCATCCGCGAAGTGATTTGCAGGCGGTCATTCGGGGATTACGCCTGGCTCTAGGCATCAAAAGTGGGCGTTTTTTACTAATTGTCTGAATGTTACTTATTACTAATTCTGTTACTGTGCTTAATTAAATGTACCTGCCCGCAGATAAGTGCCCTTATCCGTTGTTGCCAGCCCCAGTTTTGCTGGAGTTAGTTTCCAAGTTGGCAAAATGCTCGATTGCTGATAACAGCTGGGATGTGGCTGGTAAGATTTGTGATGTTGTCTTTAATCTAATAAAGGTATTTTTGCTTGTTGCAATTAATAATATTGTACAGTATACTGTATTTTGGTTGTAAGCTGTATTCAGTTGTCTGTATATCATGTTCGAATGCTGATTTTGTCCTATACATGGAAAACAAGATTTTAGCCGTACATTGATGTTGAGCGCGTGAAGGTGCCTGATGCCGTGTGATTTTATTGTTGTCTGTGTGGCTATATCTACGTATGTATCTGTAGTGCCGGAATTCGACGACATGGCCGTGGATTTCGAAGGTACGTGAGTTACTTATACCGCAAATAATAAATTAAAATACCGTTAATTCACAATCGGTTGGTGGAAGTCTTCACTTATCAACAGGCTCCCTGGATGATGTTGTAACTTCTGAATTTGCGTACGAAGAAGCCGACATCTGGATGGCTATGGATTATGCAAGTATGGTATAAAACACGCTTGTAGTAAAATTGCCGGATGTAGAAATTTGCACTGTACAGTGTACATCAATGCAGTTCGCATAACTTTTTTCGCGGATTATCGGCTAATTATAAGCAGACTTATTAATTTATGCAATTATGCAGTAAAATGACTAAAATCTACCGCGACTGCACGTATGTAGACAATTGTACCGAAACTCCACAAGTAAGTAGTAAACAAACCGATCATCGCCCGATCACCTCCGAAATTCATATCTATATACTTTCTGCATCTGTGAAAAAATGATCACGTGCAGCTTGTGAGTTTCACAATTTTAGTCGTCGGTGTCGGGCAGTGTACAACAGCGTAAGACGAAAGTCAACGGTCTCAAACAACGAAAATTTCCGATCTACCGGTACATACTTGGTTTCCAAATGTTTCGCAGATTTGTTAATTTTTAAATTTTCTTTGAAATTCCGTCTCGTATATAAATACGTTCGTAAATTTCGTTTGCTTTGTTGAGCTTTTATTGCTTCTCCTGTTCGGCTTATTTGATTGTCGATAATGGCTGATGGCTTATCCAATACATATTGGAAATTTACATTTAATTTTTCTGTTAATATTAACATATTTTATTGAAATATGTAATCGTTTCTAAATTTCGAAAGCTGACTGAGTGCAGCGGTAACTTGTAAGCAATCAGGGTGCACTGTGCAGTACAATAACCAAGCGCTCTTTCCTTCGGTTGTGCGCATCAGCGCATCGCCGCTGTGCGAGCGAAATGCACTGCTCGCTGGTGCACGCACGAACAGGAAACAACCAACGTTCGAACCTGAAAGCACTGGAAAACCGAGTTGTAACATAGTCAGTAACAACTCAGTTGTTTTTAAATTTTCGATTTGGCATTATCAGGTTATTTTAGTTTTTGGATACTTATAAATAATCTTTCAAAAAATTTTCTTATTCTGATTTCATCGTGAACGCATGCCGTCTCATCTGTTAAAATTCAACAAGATCTGAAACAGTTTAGAGTATTCTATTGAGTTGTGTTGACTGCACCAGCTTGCGACGAGATCAAGGAATTTACCATCACTTCTAAAATCATGTTTAAAACGAGTATGAAACGTGAACACTCGCCAAGTCCCCCGCCCCACACCGCTCCCTTCACGGACGATGAATCGGGCGATGATTCTGATCCGGAAGATGCGGCCATCACGGCCAAACTGCTGGCGCACCGGCCGCTAGCAACCAACGCAGACGCGGAGAGCGCACAGCAGCAGCAACAGCGACCTGCTAAACGACGCTGTCTGCGCGCCCCGCCGCAGTCCCGTACCACTGCGCTTCCCTTGCAACCCTCCAATCAGTATTTTACAGGAAATACCGGAGGAGATGCCAGCGAGAAGGGCAACACCCTGCTGGATGTCGGGAAGGTGAGTGGTTAGAGTTTTCTCCAGGTTCTCCAAGTCTTTTGATTTCGAGTGGAAATAGAAACAGTTTTCAGGCAATTTGGAAATGGTTTCGATTGAAAAAAACTGAACCTGAAAGTTAATTATATGTTTCGTATTTTTGGCATGGGAACTGGAGGTCTTCTGAGTCTTCGAAGTGCAGGGTTGAAGTTCAAACAGTTTTCTGAGTTCTGAAGCGATTTTCAAATTATTATAAAATGAAATGAAATTATTTTTTGAAATAAAACGAAAATTATGGTATATTTATATTTATCTAATAGTTATTTTTGATAATTTTTCCAGAAATTTTCCCTGATTTGAGTGTAAAAACTAGCACAAGTGCTGGAAATGGTTTGCGTTTCGTTGAGGTTCACCGTTTAATTACAAATTAATTCCGTTGAATTTCAGTTAATTTTGCGTATTGTGTAGACATTGAATAACTTATTTTTTAAATTGAATTTGTCAAATAATTTGTTATAGCATTTCAAACGGTTTCGAACGAATAAATCCGTGAAGTAATGTGAAGAATGGTTGAGAGTTTGATTTTCACCTTACTTTGATAAGATTTCCGCTGTTTTTGTTTTTTGCCAGTGTATTTGTTGTTTTGGAGTTTCCCTGATATCTGTGTGTTGTAGAAAACCTTTCAGTGGATTGGAAAACTATGGAATCGCGAGACGGACCGCGCCAGTACCGATGTGCGCGACAGCGAGGAACCCGAGAGTGTCGATCACTGGGCACGCGTCACGGATGCCGAGCGCGCCAACTGGACGGAGCTGGACACTTCGGGAACGGGTTTGCGCTGCGAGGAGATGCGCGGCGGTGATTCCGGGATGTCGTTCGCGGATGGTAGGGATTGTGTGGCAATTGTGCAGGCAGATTATGTAATAAACACGGAGTGGACGTTTGCAGTTACCATGACGTCGGATACCTTTGGCACTCCGTTGAATTCGCCGTCATCCCATGCGGAAGCTGAGCAGGATGAGAAAGGCCAGTTGAAGGGGATTCTGTCGCCGTCGCGGGTGCAGAGCTACGGGTCGCCGGATAAGAATCGCGTCCGGTTCAACAAGACTCCGTATATTCGCGGTAAGCAGTGGATAATTATTATTAATGCGTTTACGCTGCTTTGGTTATGTATGCTGTTATTGTTATGCTTTATTTTTCCTCAACTCTCGTCTAGACAGTAATGGATAGAACAAATTTTGTACGCACGCACACTTTACCAGTCTGTTTTGTTACGATTACTGGGTTACTTAAGGGATTTGGCCCGGTACATAGCACTAATAAGCGTGTACACTGACGGGAATATTCGCTTTCGCGCACTTTCAAACACTTTTTTGGGTTGCTTTTTGATATTGTATGGCCAAATGATTGGTGCACATAGGCGTGAAATCCGTTTTCGCGCGCAACATCCGGTTGCGAAGTTATGAGGATATCAAAATTCCAAAAAGTTTAAATGCATTCAGGTGTACCAAAAGTCTCATTATTGACCGATCCCCTTCGAACTTTGCAGGTAAATGCACATGACCATGAAGATCGTTTTGACACGGATCCACTGTTCCAGCATGTTTTTCAAATTTTAAAATGAATTTCAAAAATTTTAAAATTCATTTTAAAATTCGAAAAAAATCGTAGAAGTCTGGGTCCGTGTCAAAACGATCTTCATGGTAATGTGCATTTACGCGCAAAATTTGAAAAGGATCAGTCCATAATGAGACTTTTGGTACACCTGAATGCATTTAAACTTTTTGGAATTTTGATATCCTCATAACTTCGCAACCGGATGTTGCGCGCGCACACGGTTTTTTCACCTAGGTATACAGTTCTTCTGGCTACAAAATACCATAAAGCAATGCAAAAAAGTGTTTGAGAGCGTGCAACAGCGAAAGTTCCCCTGGATGTACACGAACTTGGTGCTATGTACCGGGCCAAATCCCTTAATAATCGGAAGTTGTTGACAATTCTTCTCTAAATGCGCAGAAGAATTCTTGAAATTTTTCTGTATTTATTTTTGGGAATTATGGTCATTACGGTGTATCCGAATGTTATACGCGTAGTTTTGGCTGGTTTTGGTGGACATATTTCCGTCTTGTTTTGTTGCTTTTTTAAACTTGATCTGGATTTTTCAATCAAACTCTTCTAGATGCTTTCGTGAGATTCTCTTGGGAAGGACACCTTTTTTTTGGCGTACGCATATTAGTTTTTGATTGCGCTGTGACTACTTTCGTATTTCTTTAAGTAATTCCCAATAAAGCGGATGCCAACCGTTCGTGGAACTTTCGTGATCTGGCCAAACCAGAATGCTCGCCCTTCCGTCTGCCGCGTGTCTCCACCGACAGTGACACCAGCGACAGCAGCAGTCCCTTCTTCCAACCGCGCCAGCTGCATTTCCCGTCCAGCGATGATTCTCCTGTGATCACGCCCCAAAAAACACCGGGCGCCGACACCCGCCCGTCCACCTTGGACCTTCTCTCGCCGCGCACGGAAGCCGCCCACGTTCTGCTCTCCATGCAGGGCGGATCCTCTGGAACGCCGAATAACACCGCGACCGAGGAATTCGCCCGCCCCGCTCGTCCCGCCACCCCTGGACCGCTGGGACTGCGCTTCAGTGCCGGTTTGGGCAAGTCACCGCGATTGCCGACGGTTTTGGGAGGGAAAAAGGCCGGAGTGGAGAATGGGCTGCCGATGGTGTCCGCGTTAGTTAACGAATTGCAGAGTGTGGAAGAGAAGGACGAGGAGAAACTGGAAAATGGGAAAACGAACAGTAAGCGCCTTATATAGCTTAATTGCATTTATAGTGTGTTGAGAATTTTAGTGGGAGTGCCTTATTGTGATTTGCGCCGCCTTTATGAACATTTTCGTTGCTTGATTAATTTTTGTTTTGTCGAAGCTGCTCAGAGTAAATAGACCGAGGGTGAATTGAATTATTGTATTTAATGATAACATTTTGTTAGATATGTCGTAGTCTGTTCAGTTTATAAGAAAAATAGTGCATTTGGTTTGTTTACTGTACATTCTTTTATTTGTTCCTGACAAGTTGAAAGGTAAGGTCAGTTCTGAGAGCGGATGTCGTAGTGTTATGGCTCTTTGGGAGTGCTGGTATAGAATTTGTTGCATCGGTCATGGATCAGTGCAATTAAATCAGTTCGCAATCGGTCGTGTGAATGCAGTTAAATTTTGTATGGCTTACAATTAGAAGTAATGGAATATTAGTTTTTGCGTTTTTTAAGGGCCATGGCGCTATCGTCCAGCGGGTTATGTGCGTCCTCAAGATCGTCCTAAGCCAGTGGACCACGGACCACGCCCGTTAAATCCCGAGTATTTTCCGCGGTTTTGCAAGCCGTTCGTCTATGTGGAGCCAGGTAAATGGCTAAGTGAAATTGTTGTTACCTTTATATACAGAATATTTCTGTCACTATTATTGCAAAGTGCTTATAATTCTTATTGCTTGAATATTATGGTTGCATGCACTGTGGCTGTGCTTAAAACTGCTTTTTCACTTAAAATTGGAAATGTGAAATTTTCTTACGGTGAGACTTAGGAAGCGTTTTACTGTCGATGTTTGGTCTGTAATTTTGTAGTTACCATAATTGGTTTTAGAGTATTGCATCGATGGTTTTGTTGGTTGTTGTAGAAAAGAAAGACACGGTGGTTTATTCGTATCCTCTGCGGGATTCCGGGTGCTCATTGGAGACATTGTTGGGCTATTGTAAGAACTCCAACAACGCCCTTATTGAAGCCATGCGCGCCCAACAACAGGAAGAAGAGGAGCAACTGGAACAAGAGGAAGAATTTATCGAAGACGATTCAAGTAAGAATTATTTCGTTTTTTTTTGGCATTGATAAATTTTCTGACATAAATCAGCAATGAAATTTAGGTTTAGTTTTAAATAAATATAGTTTTACAGGACGGAATGTGTGAGATTTGTTCAATGCTATTTTATATGCATTTCTTCATATGCGCCCAAATAATCGTGATAAAATACATTCGGGCACCGTATTTCTCAGTGTACGGTATTTATGTGAAAAATTCCGAGCAAAAATTGAGCAGTAAATTAGATTAAATTGTCGTACATGAAAAATTGGTTTATAATTGTTATCTTTTGTTGGTTCTGTGTTTTGTAGTGGGGGAGAGTACTGGTGTGGAAAGCGGGCTGGCGGAAGTGCCACGTGATGATCGTTCTCTGGACGAAGATGATGAGATTGCAGGTATTACTGAAATTGCGCTGATGCAGTCGAGATTGATTGTGCATCATTAATTTGTAATTTTAAAGGTGAACTGGTTGAACCAACGGACGAGGAGAAATCTGGCAACAATGCTACGATTGCGATGGAAGAGTTGGAAGCGGCGGAGTTGCTCAATCAATCAGCCCAGCCGGACTTACAACAGCCAGCTGATGCGACGGATGAGGCGCCGGAAGAAGCCATGGAAGAAGAACTGGGTATGCGCTGAAAATTCAAGCGGAATTGGTGAAGCATTGTACCGGAAAATGTTTGAACGGAATGTTGTGCAAATGGTTCTTCCTTTAGGAAATGTGGAGGTTATCGAGACGGACGAAGTGATGCTGGAAGAAAGGGATGATGACGAAGAATCCGAAAGTGAGTTAGCTCTTTGGTTTAATCATTTAGTATTTTTTTGTGCATTAATTTTCCATTTTTGATTTTTGCATTAACGATTAGTGGTATCCATTTGGTAAAATTTTTAGATAAAAGTAAGTTTTGCAGGCTATACGAGCTGTGTTTTTACTAATGCTGACGGTAAGTGTGACATTGTAGAAATGTCGGTGGAAAGCGTGAGTACTGCGGGTGGCGACGTCCCGACGGAAGGTTATTACGTGATTGAAGACGAAGAGACCACCGGATCGGAAGGAAGCACTGTCGGACGAAAAGGTGCGCAAAATAAATTCATTTGATTTTTAAAAGAATTGAGAGGATGTTATACAGTAATTCCAAAATCCAGTTTATATGATCTTTAAACAGTAGTAAGGCGTTTCTTCTTAGCCACTCATCGGTCAATTTTACGTGGCATTCTGCTGATTTGTTTTTTCCTCACGCTAGATGAAGGGGTGGTCAGTGTTACTCTGGTGGAAGAGGTGACGGAAATATTTGCCCACCAAGGTGAAGAAGATAAACCTGGCAAACACTTCGTCGAATTAGTACTTGTATTTTTCTTCCATTTGTCAGTTATCTATCTGGAAATTTTGCAGCAGTAGATTAATTAAGCACACACAAAGTTAATTAAGCACACACAGAAATGTACACACACAAACTTAATTTGAAATGGAATGAACGATTTTCAGAATTGTCTGAGTTATAATTTGGTCTGTAATGTTGCATAGACGCGACGTTTTAATCTCGTCTTTTTCGCGATCTTCCTAGATGATTCGGAAAGTGATTCGGATAGCAGTGATGATAATGCTGTTGAGTACTCGGATAAGTCGGATTCGGAATCTTCTGAAGGTGTGTGATAGCATTTAGTACACTGTATTTTCGAATCTCGATTAGGTTTTACGTGTGAATATTTTGCAAAATAAGCGGCAGTTCGATTTGACGACTTACTCTCGCAGAGGATGATAATGACAGCGTGGGTTATTGAGGATGATGCGGCGGCCAGTGGAACCACGTTATCACAAGGTACATTTTCACCATCCGTTTTTTTTCTGACAACGGTGCACGCATGAATTAAATTTCGTTTCGCTGAGCTTGAGAAATTTCAAATTTGTTCAAAACAGTTACGTGTTTTATTATTTTTGCACTTGTTTAAAATTTATTTTGCATATTGCCTCTCGGCTTACGTACTGCGTGGAATTTTGGGTGGAGTTTTGGATGGCGCTGTTTTAATTTATTATATAATTTTTTACGAGCATGTGCGAACCTTTTTGGTTAGTTTTGTTGTTGGGAATCTATTTGGGCTTACGAATGGCTGTTTGATTTCGCAGCTCCGGCTGCTCCGGCAACCCCCCTGGGTGTTCGGTTGCGGGATGTGGAAGAGGGTCCTGTTTTTCGGTTCAGTACGCCTCTTTACGGTATGCCGCACCTTTTGTTTCTTCATTTACGGGAAATTTTGTCTTTGAATTGAGAACGTGGGTCCAGATGTATTTATCTTTACGCTAAATATCATTATTTTGTAATTTTTTCTTTTTTATTGGTTGCTTGGTATTGCCTGTTTTAATTTGCAGTGCGATTTGTGGTTTTTAATTGGCATTTAATTTCTGTATTGTGTTTCGTTTAGTAATAATTGTTTCTTTTTCTGCAGCTGGCGAGCTGATCGGTGCTCCCGTGGATTTTAGCCAGACACCGAAGTCCGGTGTGGACTTTGGTCCGCACGTCTTCGGCTCACCTGATCCTGATCTCGCGATTCTCCGCTCCTGTCCTGATCTTATTGAGCTTGATAATACTGGTAAAATTCCCTATAATTCTTCCGTAAAAATGTGTGGAAATAATAGAATTAATTGTTATTGAATGGATGGAATCAGCGTGATGTGAAAAAAAATGTACGACATTTTATGTAATTGTAAAGTAATGGTCGCATGTCACGGCATGTGTGTATAGTCATAAGTGTGTCATATACGAGTGATATGTATGTTTGGAATTTAAATTAAAAAGTGTACCGGTTTTATTCTGGTTTAATTTGGTATGGAATTGATTAATTTCAGAAGCACGTAGTGCGGAATAATCACGACATTCTTTCTGTATAGTAATTCAGGATAAACCTACCTTAGCGGAGATGTTGAACGCAGGCAATGATGTGGAGGAATCGCCGCTTGACACGACGGAAATCATCAGCGATGTCCCCGTGGAGATTACGACGGAAGATTCGCCGCTTGACACGACAGAGATCATCACTGATACACCCGAGGAGATTATGGCGGATGATCCATCGCAGGACACACCGGAAGTCATCAGCGAAACTCCCGAGGAGATGACGACAACAGGAGGAGGACGTTTCCACAGCGAAGCGGAAGTGGGCGACAGCCGGCCGGAGTCGGTGGTGGATGCGGCGATGGACGCGACGCTGGTGTCGGAGGAGACGCAGGCCAGTGAGCCGGGCTCGCTGGCGCCCAGCGACGCCGGTTCGCTGATGATGGGCGCGTCGGGGAGTGAAGCGTCGCTGTCACGCAGTCAGTCGGAGGAGATTGGGCTGCCCAGTATTCCGGAGGCGGTGGAGGAAGAGAAGGATATGTTCGAGGATACGCAGCCGCAGACGGCGTCCAGCTCCAGTTCGCCCAAACCGGTGCCCATTCCGCGCAGTAAGCAGCGAAATGATCTACCTTATTGTTAAACTGTAGCAGCAAAAATTCTTTCAAGGCCGTACTCGTTTAAAATGACGTGTATAAGAAAATTAATTATGAATTAGAATCCGATAAAAATTTATGTTTTAATTTTATTTAAAATGCTATATTGGAAGATTTTATTAAAATTAGGCCTAAAGCAGATGAGTAAAGATTACTAAAAAACTGTGTTCTTTGATAAAACTATGAGTGATTTAGGATAAAAGAGTGGAGAAAGTTTTGAAAGAAGTGACGGCTTGATTTCATGTTTGTGTATTGACAAATTCGGCATTAATTTAATTAATTTTGAATGGAAATCGTTAATTTGGTACATTATATTGTTCGTGCTAGTACTCTGCGGTTTAGAGTTCGGAATGTGTTTTGTTATTTTTTTGCCAATTTTTTTTATTTCTGTACGTTTTTTCTAGGTCATTCCGGCAGTAAAGTGAAGGGAAAACGTCAGCCGGCGCAGTTGATTTCCTTGTCGCAGCCGGTGGGCCCAGCGGCGACGGCCCATGCGGAGGCGGAAGTGAAGCAGCGTCGCCGCGGTCGCACGGCGTCTGTGGCGAAGAAACCCGAGGAAGAGCCGCCGGCGCAGCGCCGCGCTCCGCCCCGCCGAGCCAAACAGGCGGCGGTGGAGAAGATGCACGTGGCCAATATACGCACGAAACGCGGCCAGAGTGTCGATTCGGCGGGTAAGAAATTGTCGCTCCGATTTTTATGATCGAAAACTTTAATTAATTCAAACCGGTATTTCCGCTTTTGGGGGTGCAGTATATAAATCCTCAGCGTAGTTGTGGTCGACTAATTGTTTATTGTAAATGGTTATTTATGTTATAAATTTGATCAGAAATCCGGTATCCGAAATTTATGCTTAATTCTGAATATAATTATTCCGAATTATTTCTGAATTATAAATCCAAATTATTTACCGTCTGTTCGGTTTTATAAAGCATTATGATTTTGGTTTTATTGACGACAACAAGTGATGACATTTCGGTTATTTTTAGGTACGAGTCAGCCCAAGATTTCCCGCGCCGCCAGTCACAAGTGATAGGATGCATTTTTTTGTCTGTTGATTAAGTTATTTATGGATGTGAATACTTTGTGCAGTGGCCGTTTTTAAAACTGCGTTGCATTTTGCTTGAATCGTTTGAAAAATGTTGAGGCACTGCGGTTGTTTGTAATTTTGTACATTTGTTGGGATTCTGCGGGATTTTTTTCCATTAGTTACTCCTTTCTGAAATGCCTTTCTGAAGTCCGCGTTTTTTCGATCGAATTGCCCGTTTTCTTAGCGCGTCTTACGCATTTTATACGCGATTGCGGAAATGTTCAATAAAAGCACGTTTTAAGAGGACCGTCGCCGCGAAAAAACTGGAATTTATCAGGATATTAAGCGCCGGTAATTTAAAAATCGATTATTTATCGGATATTAAGCGGATATTAAGCGCTATATATAGATATATATAGATATATATAGATATTAAGATATATATATATATCTTAATATCTATATATATAGATATTAATAGATATTCGCTAATAAATAGATATTAATAGATATATTTAATATTAATAGATATTAATATTAATATAGATATTCGCTATATATATAGATATTAAGAGATATATTATCGGATATTAAGCGCCATAATTTAAAAATCGATTATTTTCCCGGTATCAAATTTGTATCACCGACCACGGCTCAAAACTTTATTATCATAATGACCGTAAACTACCGCATTCACACTGACAGAGCCGGAAAAGCACTAAAATTATCACGTTTAAAACTGTTTAAAATTCTGATAAAATATCACACCAGAAACCGGAAAGGCAATAAATACTTCTATAAAAACTTTGGCAGTACAGCCTCTTATCACAAACTGAAAGAACGGGTTTTTGTGCAACTTGAATATCAACGATTAAGAAAATTAAGAACCACCACAAACCGCAGGGAAGATTGCATACGAGAAAAACCGCCATGATTTTCTGTGAAATTACACCGGTGTTTTCACTTTTTGACCGCTTTGCACTCCTGGACGACGGTGTTAGTAATGCGGAGATCCAGAAAGTCCAGACGGTATTCTTTTCCGGCACAGCTGACAATGTGTTGACCAGCGCGCAGAGCACCGTAAGTAGCCGGCACGTAAACACCATCAATGCGCGCATAAATCGGTAAGCCGTATCGCAGAATATCCTTGGCCCGAACGGCCTGCAGCGGCTGTAACAAATTAATTCCTTTCTCGGTGCAAAACGTATAATCCGTATACACATAATTCTCTCCTTCGACAGTTCCGGCACACCAGTAACCGTTGGCCATCCGGACAAAGACCTTTTCGGCACCGTCAAACCGCATACATCCGATCTTATGATGTACATAGCGCCGCGGAGTGGTGCGAAAGGGCAGGATCGGCTGGTTGGCGGTGGGCGTGGAATCCGTCTTAGCCAAGTGTTTGTACAGGTAGATGTCACGCAGTTCCTCCGCTCCCAGGAGACCGCTCTGGACCGGTCCCTCCGCCAACTGGGCATCCGTCATGCAAGGGAACCGCACCTAGGGTGGAAGTTCAAACGTTTCAGACTTTCAGCCATTTTCCAAGCGGATACAAAAATAAATTTCATTTGAAATGAAATAAATAAAATCAACCTAAAGCAGAAATTATTTTACGAGTTTTCGATAACTATTTTTTGTATATAAATTTTTTAAAATATAAAGTTACAGTTTAACAACATAACTATTACTTTTCTTTATTTTAAACTTGTACAAGCAAATGCCATTTACACTTAAACTCAAATATCGAATAGCTAGAACAAGTAAAACAACTCTTCAAGCTCTTTGAACAACCAACAGTTCCGAGGACAGAAGCGGCATTTCCACGCTGAATTTCAACACTAATACGCTGCCACAAAAATCGGTAGCGCGCACTTCTCCTGTTTGATCTTTATGCGTCGGCCAACTTCATTTATGAACTGACGGGTACTGGCGCCGCAACTTCCCATAGTCTCCAAGGACACCGGTTGGAAAAATAACGATCAGTCAATTCCTCGTAATTGCGCCTCTTTCGTTCTTCCGCGTCTTCTGCTGCCGAACCCGCTGTTTCTGATGAGCCGGCGATGTACGATATAGCAAATGTGTCACACCGTCACATCCCAAATCAAAGGAAGACCGTTCTTCCAAGGGAAAAGAGACAAACCGTCTGGGCGCTTCCCATTTGACCTGCACAGTCCAGGAGGCTCCAAAATAGTCGGGACTTTGCCGATCCAAGCTGCGCTGAATAAGGCTGTTCAGGCTTGCGTGACGCCTGAATCTCCTGACTTTTTTAAACATGACAAACCATGCAAACCTTGGGCGTCAACTGTTTCACCGCATCGACACTTGTGCTGCTTACAAATCGGAGCTCCCATACGTAAAGCGACTGCGACTCGTAGTCCAGTATCGTCTAAAAGCGTGCCAAGGCTAGCAACAGGCAAAGCCAACAACCAGGCACTGGCATCCTTAGTGGAGACAGCCAACAAGCGAGCAGATGCGATAACGTCGGCGTTCTCCTCAAGGCTTCCAGTTTCCTGATAGTCAACATGTCTGACCACAAGCGTTGATTGCTTCGATCCCTATCGCCGGGGCGGATTTTCTTGTTAATTCTTCCCACTGATGTTCTACGTCAAGTCGGTCATCAGGGCAGTCATCGGGCACAATGCTATTAACTAGCTCGTCAGTGGCATAAAGTGAAGAAAGGTATGCTGGTGTTGAAATTTCTTCCGCTTTCGGTAAGCTAAGCCCTCTGATTTGACCGGCAGAGAAGCTTGCGCGTACGTAGCATCATCCATTTTGACATTTGTAATTTCTTCAGCCTTGACTTAATCACAGCGTCAAACTCTCTTAGCTTCTCTGAGTATTTGTAGCAAGGCGCTGACCTGAGACATATACTATTGAGTACTGATGCGCCGGCTAGGATTCCGTCAGTCTTTTATTTGGCTGATTTCTCAGTCAAGAGAGACAAGCAGAGCTGAATGCGGCATTGGTCAGATTAATATACGCTCATAACAGGCAAGCTTCCGGGTCACCTCCTTCCGTCCCGTCGTCCAAGTACCAAACGTTCAGGTCTGCGCGGAGGCTTCTAGTTAGTTTGTTAGAGCCCAGGCAAAACAGTAATGGACCGAGGGGATCTCCTTGCTGAACACCGTTGGCAGACAGTATCGTCGTGTCGCCACAGAACAACGTAGAACTTTCTTTGTAACTCTGTGAAATGAAATGGTAATATTGCGGAATCCTTTCCGCCGCTTCCTTTAAAACTACATCCCGGCGTATAGTATTGAAAGCATTGCGGAAATCCAACTTCAAAATCACAGTGGGGCTGGCTGGGTGCGCTCTAAGGAATTTCCGAGTAACATGTACAGCTGCTTCTGCTCCACCCCGTGTTCCGTATCCCAACTGAACTGGCCGAAAGAACCCACCTAACTCGGACTGAACGCGTTTACTAATCACCTTCCCGCACAGGCGTCGTATGGTACAACCGATTGCTATGGGCCGTATTCCACCCGACTTCTTGTTCAAAGGAATAAGCGTGGCGCCAAATAGAACAGTTCGTACACTTTCAGGGATCGATTCAAAAATAATGTGGTTGACGAGTTTCGTAAGTGCAGCCAACAGCATTTCACCACACTCTCCAGGCACTTTAACCAGCTCCTTCAAGTGCTGAGCTCTCAGTCCGTCCGGACCAGCGGCAGAGCCCGCGGGAAACGATTTCAATGCAGCGTGTACTTCCTCCGTTGTGAATTCTTGGGGGTTGCCAGCGGGAGGTGGCGAAGGGAAATTCAGGTCTGCAGGAGCTGCTGGATGTTTGTCTTTCAGTGATTGTAGAACTTCGCCCGACATGGCTGCAACAGACTCATCTGAAGTTAACAATTTTACTGCACCACTGATATCCCCGTCTTGTAACTTGGCGTTGACTGCTTTTCTCAATGCTTCGTCCCCGGATCGCTTCTTTCTCGATTTCCTCGCTTTGGTAGGCAGTGTAGTACCCTGTAAGTTGGCTTTTACGGACGCAGCTAAAGTGGGACCGCGGCCAGAATTAGACGGAGGAGCGTGCAAATTGTCCAATGCAAAAAGCATCAGGGCTGCCCACGAATTCTCATCGTTCTTTTCCACGCAGTCCGTAATTACTTTACGTAGAACTTCGGCACACGCTCGTCTTGCTCCTGTAGGCACATGGCGGAGAACAGCGTGGGCTTTCCTTGACTCGATTATACGATCTTGAAGACTTCGTTTCTCTGCAGCATGAGCCTGGTTAAGGGGTTCTTCAGGTCTCTGGCGTAGAGCTTGCGCCTGGGCCTTCTTGCAGACGTTTGAATCCCGATGCGCTGTAAGACCGTGAGCTGATTTCAGGATCTTATTGCACAGGTCGCACTTGAAACTCATGGTGAACAATATCCTACAAACAACTTCCAAAGCCAAAAAGAGAACTGACAAACCCGAGTGAGAACGCAATAGCAGGCAACGACATACCCAGTTTACCGAGAGCCATCGCAATGGACTCAACGGTAAATAACAGCAAAAGCACGCGTTCTCCCCGAAAAAGATCCAGAGCAGCTTTTTTAAAAACACCAAAGATCCAGAGCAGCTTTTTTAAAAAGCTGATCCTTATTGTTAATCAAAATATTTTATATGATGATGTCGTATAACTATTACTTATATGTCTCTGTAAAAACATGATTTTACAGTTTTTTTAAAAAATTATAAGTAAAAAACTACAATTAAAAAGCAAAACGTAGCGCGATTACCGGATTACGTTTCGGCACGCAAAAAGTGAAATAAAAACCGTTAATTTCCACATTTGTCAACTGTGTTTCGTCAATTCTTATTCCATGATGTTTTTCGCTTAAAATAACTTAATCAGAAGTATTTCATTATATTAAAAATCAATTTTTCCCTCAAAGACCTTGTTAATGTAAGAAAGCCAGTTTGATCTTGAGTTAGGTAACTGTTAACGTATAAAATTCAAAATCCTGATAACAAAATATTATCAACCGTAATTTCACCTGGAACAAAGCATAACCGAGCACCCGACGCAGATTAGCCGCGGACGGGGACAGTCCAGCTCGACCACATGCCGCCGACGCCCACATGTCGACGGCCAGATAGATAACATGTTCCTCAGCATCCAGTGAGTCACGCTGCACAATTGTCTCCAGTGTTTTGCGACGGATGGTCGAGAAGTGCTCACCATACAACACACCGATGCCCGCCCAGTCTACGATACGCAAACATTCCTCCACAATAACGTCACAATCGGGAGTCAGATGCAGCGCACCATCCAACAACGTCAAGCAATTATCCCAATCCAACTTCTCCAGGACAAACTGGGTGCAGTGATCGGCCAGCCAAGGTAAATCGTATTTTTCCGCGGCGTACAGGGTCTGCAGGACATTCTCGGGCGTCAGATTCTCCATGGTCTCCGTATAGAGAAAATCCAGCAGGTTGGAGAATGCGTCCGGAGAAATGTCGGGGATTTCTATGGCCTTGGTCTGATTTTCAGTGAAATTCCCGTTGAACATCGCATGGAACACATCGCTGCTCAAACTCAGCAGCAGTTTGTGAGCGCGGAGCAGTTTAACCAGACCATGATCACGTCCCACGGAAAATGCCACATCTGTCAGCTCCCCGTTCTCCAGTGCGTTCTTCCAGCGATTAGTCATCCGGAATATAGTGCCGCGACGCTCTGAACTGATGAAAGATTTTGTACGCGACATGGCTCCAGGACGCGTGCTCACCACAGGCAATAATGCAAAAGCAAAAGCACTGGCCAAAACTTGGCAGATAGGATCTCCGAATTTGCAAGCCCCGTTCAGATGAAGATCAAGGAGTTAAGAATCTTGCAGCCAAAATTCAAAATCTAAGTCGCAGGAATGGAGATTTAGTGGAGAACTACACGTCAAAACCTAAAAAATGTGAAACCAGGAAATACATTTCACAATAATCTGCACCAAATCCACTCGGCGGCGCCCTGTAGATTACGGCTCGCCTCGCTGCAATTAATAATCAGCTGATATGGGCTGATAGACGGCGCCTGCGGGGGGTTGCGCTAAACGATGGTGCCACACTTGCTCGTGGTATAGCGAGACGAGCGTAAACTTGGCAAGCCGCAACCCAGTCCACTGTTCAGACTCAAGAACCTCTTACTTGTTAGAAGTTCGTGAAGTTTTCATTTTTCGTTTTTATCCCTTTTGTCAGTTTTGTGCTGTAACTGCTGTTGTGTTGTTTTGGACGTTAGAAGCTTTTTGCCACTTACACTGAATCACAAAGTACCATATTCGATGACAATATTTGTGCCTTATTGATGTACTGGTTTGGAAAATGACTGATTCCATGGAAGATGTCGATAATCTGTTTGGCGACACGAAAATCCATCCGGAGATCGTGCGGGCCGTCGCGGAATTCGGATTTCATTCTCTGACTCCCGTTCAAGTAAAAACCATCGATCCTAGGCATTCCTAGCATGCGCAGATTAATCTAATATAAGATAACTGTTTATTAATTTATTTGTTCGCAAAAGCCGTCGCCACAGATCTTGCACGCTTTTTCTCGGTTTTCAGTTTTGATTTTTATTATTATTTTTTTCCAGTTTTCTAAAAATTCTTAGAAATATCAAAATGCCCAAAATTTTTTTTCGAATTCGGAATAAATTCATCATATTCACAATAAACGTTAATTTTGAAATTAATTTAATAAATAAATTAATTCGTAATACGGTAATCAATTTATAAATTTGCAGTAAATTCTTCCTAATTTGCAATAACAATTCGGAAAAAATTAAATTTTTATTTTTTCGAATTTTTGTAATTTTATTGCGCCTTCAGCTTGTGAATTTGCAGGCGGCCACCATCCCGCAGTTCCTCAACCACAAAGACGTGATCGTCGAAGCCGTAACCGGGAGCGGGAAGACCCTGGCCTTCCTCATCCCCTGCCTGGAGATCCTGCTCCGCCGACCGGAGCCCTGGCGTCCCCACGACATTGGCGCCCTCATCCTCAGTCCCACTCGCGAACTAGCCCTGCAGATCCACGCTGTCCTGGAGCGCCTGCTGAAACACACCACCCTCCGGGGAATCGCCTGGATCGGCGGTCGTCCCACCGCCAAGGACGTGGCCGACTGGGACGCCCAGGGGGGCAACGTCGTGGTGGCCACCCCCGGGCGCATGGTGGACATGCTGGAGGGCGGTGTGGGGCGGGGGCGGTGGGAGGTGCGGCAGGCGGTGAAGAGTGTGGAGGTGGTGGTGCTGGATGAGGCTGATCGCCTGCTGGAGATGGGGTTTGAAGTCGCCGTGGGGGAGATCTTGGGGCGGCTGCCCAAACAGCGCCGGACCGGGATGTTCAGTGCGACGCAGACCACGCAGCTGAAACAGCTCATTCGGGCAGGTGCGGTTATTTTGCAGTTTAAAATTTAATTGCAGGCTTTTTGCGATTTATTTTTTATCCCATTAATTTTACATCGGGGGGTGTTTTTAGCGGCCCGGTCTATGAGTTCCCAAATTAAAAATAGCTTCGCTTGGCCGCATGATGCTTGCATATTGTTCTTACTATGATGTTCTTTGGACAGTGCTTAATATTTTCGGATTTTTTATATTCCTAACAACTTTTCTTCGTTTGTTTTCCTGTTCGACTCAGCTATGAGTATTGAGTAGTGCTGGCTGTCAAGGTCTGCCAGAAATGTGCTACTTAGCTGCCGTGTGATTGTAGTGTAGTGGTTTGAGAGTATCCGCTGCCGTTGGCACCCTCCCACTGAATGGTTTCATTGCTGAAGCGGCTTCAGATTGGATGTGTTGTTGATGGTGTTGATTCTTTTTTCATTAAATGCTGAATCTCACGAGTTTTTGACACATTATGATAAGTAGATGCTGTTTGCGCCACATTGGGAATTTGTTTTGTGGTTCAAGGAATGCGGAATCCGGTGGCGATCAAAGTGGAAGAGAAGCTGAATCTCCGCACGCCAACTGGCCTGACTTCCTTCTACACGATCCAGTCGCCGCAGACCAAACTCGACCACCTCCTGGCGTTTCTCCGCGCTCATCGCCGCCAGAAACACCTGCTGTTCTTCGCCACCTGTGACTGCGTTAATTACTTTACGCTGTATCTGCAACATGTCTTCCACAAGAAAAAGGCTAACGTCACCGCTTTTCCCATCATGTCTCTTCACCGGAAACTCAAACACAAACGTCAAGCGATTTTTCAGGTATTTTCGGACAATTAAGCAATCGCAAAAGAATCGGGAATGTTACAAAAAAATTTTGGCAAAGTTTTGGTGAAAATTAATTTTTTGTAATGGCGAAATTTTGTTGATCAAAGACTAAAATTTCATTCAAGCTGTTGAAACTTGAATAAATAAGAAACCTAAGAATATTTTTGTCCCTGTTTTGTATCAGTTCCTTGAATTCTGCCCCATTCAAATAATCCTTGAATAACAAGTGAGTGATTTTACGTAATTTGTGTGGTGGATAAATTAACTTCAATAAAACAGTGCAAATGTAAATAAAAATCATAATGTAAATAAAATAGCTCATGTAAATAATTTAGTGTTAACGTTGAACAGTGTGGAATAATGACTGGTTTTACATTTGTTTGTAATCTGACGTAATCCAGCGATGATAGATTTGACTCGAGTGAATTTCTGCCGTTTATTGGCATATTTAATTGCTGGTTTTGGTAGGAATTTTCCAATGTTTCCGCCGGTATTCTCGTCTGTACGGACGTAGTGGCGCGCGGCATCGACTGGCCGGACATCGACTGGGTCATCCAGTTCGATGTGCCGAAATCGGCGGCCGTCTACGTGCACCGCTGCGGACGAACGGCGCGCATGGGCGGACGCGAAGGCCAGTCGCTCCTCTATCTCCTGCCCAATGAAGAGCCGTACGTGGAGTTTGTCCAGAGGAATCAGCGGGTGTCGCTTCTACCCTTACCAGAATCTGTCTCCCCATCCAGTGCTGGTACGGTACGGTTACACACTGAGAACTTAAGAAATATCTGTTAATGTCAGTTGAAATAAGTAATAATGAAAATAATTCTGTTACTGTCAGTTGTAATAAATATTAAATAATAATGAAAATAATTGTAATTTGTAACTGCTAACAGTTAAAAAAAAATTGTTTTTTGGCGTGAATAATTTTCCATGTCGTTCAGAAGTGCTTACGTGCAGTTTCTGAATACCCTTAAGATTTTTTTCGATTGTAAAATTTGCGAGTTATTTCCGACGGTACACGAAAAATTCTTTTGAAAGTTTAAAAAGGAATTAAAGTGGAAAAAAACAAATTAACATCGGAATTGAAAGGAATTATTGAGTTTAATTGTTGCTGAATTCGGCAGACACTTCTCCGGTCAAGTCCAGCGATAAACTGAAACGCCTGACCGCCACCGACCGTGACATGCACGACAAATCCATCCGCGCCTTCGTCTCCTACATCCGGGCGTACGGCCAGCACGAATGCTCGGTGATCTGCCGGGTGAAAGAACTGGATCTCTGCGGTCTGGCCGACGCCTTCGGATTACTGCGGCTGCCGCGCATGCCGGAATTACGCGAGGTGGACACCGGGCAGTTTACGGAGAGCGCGGTGGACATCGAGAAGATCCCGTATAAAGATAAACACCGCGAAAAACAGCGGCAGGAGAAGAAGGAACGGGGAGATGGTGGCCGGGAGGGAAAAATGCGGAAGATGAAAACCGAAGCGTTCTCCTTGGCTAAGGCGAAGAAATTGGCGTCTAAAGAGAGGAAATTGGTCAAGAAAATTCAGCGCAAAAAGAAGGGCGCGGGGGATGATGCGGATGATGGGGATCTGGAGGAGTTGGCCAGGGATTTGAGGCTGATTAAGAAAGAACGTCTGAAAAAGGTGAGTATAGTTATTTAAGTATTCATGTTTAGCTTTTCCTGGTATTGGTTGTCTTGCCGTACAGCGGCAGATTTTTTTACGAATTATTTAAAGTTCGGAGCGAGTTTTTCTTGCACCACATTTTCTATCAGGAAACGGTAAATGTGATCTTTTTTAGCCGTAAATATTATTTAATCGCATATAATGAATGACTAATTAAATCTTAATTGCTTTTTATAACGCGCTTACGGTTGGAATTTTTTGCAGATATCGCGGGATGCGTTTAACAAGCAGTTTGCCGCGGACAGTGATAGCGACGACTCCGATGAAACATCCGAGTGATGCAGTAAAATCAGTGTTCACCGTATCGGAATGATACCAGCAATACTATGGGTGGTCAAAATCTTCTGTGTAATCGATGCGTGTCGGGTAAAGGCCAGAACAAGTAAAAACAACCCGATGAATCAGCCAAAAACTGTCAACAAATGATAAGACGAGTATGTTTACGTGCCAGGAAGGAAACTGACCACCGAAGTGGAAACAAAACAGTTACGTTTAAAGCCAAATGCGGCGCCACGCGAGCTAGCCTGCATCATGCGCCGGCATAAGCAAGACTTCGCTGCGCCAGCCATAATGCAGGTGTTCTTTATCTGCGAGGAGTTCAAAAATTAATTACACGTGTATAAACTAAACTAGTGACAGTAACTGTTGTGATTTCTGCAATGGCCCCACCATCTAAACGACAAGAATTTCTTAATCTATGCGACAAAAGGATTATCAGTTTAAAAATCGAAGATTTAATCACTGATGAATGGGAGCAAGCCTTTTAAAAAGCGATTCATACAGCACCAGTGATAGCGATTCTGATATTGCGCTTGAATCCGAAGACGATGATGTTGAGCTCATGTTGAAATTTAAAGTGTGTCTTCAGAGCCGTTGGTATTTAAGCCGACAAAAATTTCCTAAAAGCAGGTTTTTGGAACACGTTTTACCGGCTTTAGACGATGACAGTTTGCACCAGGAACTGCGAATGTCCAGAGATGCTTTTTTGAAAACTGCATCTTTAATCGAAAGTCACCCCATATTTAATACCGTATCCGACAACCCACAAGCCGGTCCGCAAGAGCAACTCGTTGTCGCTTTGCACCGTTTCGACACTTTTGGGAATGCTGCCTCCAAAGCTGGTATGGCACGGTGTGGGTATGGTGTCAAGGAAATTTGGAATTAGCGCCGGGACAGCTTTACTGTACACCCGACGTGTTATATGTGATCTATTATAATATACTGGTAATTCCGTAATTAATTAAACAAGCGACATATTAGTCCATAACATATAAAATTATACTAATCCGGTGTACACAGTTGTTGCAAAACGTTTAAAGCAAAGAGTTCTGCTGGCTGACATAAGTGTGTAAGTCTGGGTAAGTAGTGGTTGCGCTTCGATATCGAAGCGCAACGCTTACATGAAAGAGTATAAGTTGATAACCCATCCCAAAATTCTTGTTTACGAATGAGCACGTTTGCTTGTTTACGCGCCGTTGACTCACGCTTTTTACCCAACTGCCGCGCAAACTGCCGCGTAAAGAATACACAGAGATTTTGACCACCCATAATATTTCTGTTACAACGGGTGCACGTTTGGATGATGAAGATATTTTTTTCGAACTGCGTTTCATGATAATTTGTTACCGTGTTGCAGAGTATTGTTGCTTGCCAGCTGAATTAGCTGCCATGCACCGGCAACGATGTCTTGTTAATTAAAAAAATCAAGAAACTTGCAATAATAAATTGTGGATTGTGGAATACTGAACAGGCTTGTGCAATAGGCTACCGCTGATGGGTGGCAGCCAAGGCCATAATAAATTTTACAATATTGACGATCCTACATAATTAATTTTATTTTCTAGGTGATGAATTTCCTAATTTTTCCCTTCTCCATCGTAGTTTTTGTAGGATCGCGTAAACTATGAAATTTTATAAAATGATATAGCTCAGGTTTATTTTGCATTTCGCCGCGCAACCTCATACCATCATAGTGGAAAACAGGAAGTACTACTCCAGCGCTTTTATCGCAATGAGCGAACACAGCACAAGAATCAGTCCGTCCATTGTGCAACGCGTGCACGAGCTGCGAATGCAGGGAAAAACGTACTACGAAATCGGATTGGAATTCGACCGTACCAAGGCCTGGGTGCATCACGTGATGAAAAAGTTCCACCCCGACGGCACATCCAAGAACACGAAACCCCGGAAACAGCTAAAGCGCCGCACCACCGCCGCCCAGGATCGCAAGATCCTCATGCTCAACGCGCAGGACCACACGTACGCGGAGATTGTCGAGATTCTGCAGAATGAGCCCGAGCCGGTGCTGGTGGGGAAGGGAACTATTGCCAAGCGCGTACAGGAAGCAAGACGTACTAGTACCAGAACGGACGGTGTGGTGCAGGATAGGGAGAAGCGGACGGGCAAGGTACCCCCGCAGACCGATGCGCAGTCAGCACGGTCGGAAGTCGCTGCGTTGAAGGAGGAAGTTTCCCGCCTGCAGGGGCAGCTGCAGTTGCGGGACGTAGAAATCAAACGTCTGCAGGAGGGAGTACGGTCGCGGGACTTGGAGATTATTGTTTTGAAGGAGCAGCTGCGCATGGCGCAGTGTCCGTGTTTGCCTGAGTAATCTCATGCCGTTTGGTATGGTTGTGTACTTGTGTACATATGCTTGTATAAACATTCTCGGCCTTTGGAGGGTATCGGGAATTGTGAAATTAAATGGGATTCGACGACTAGATCAGTGGGAAATGTACTAATATAAATTCATGTGATTTCAAATTGTGCAAGGTGAAAAATAGTGACTGCGATAAAGAAATTGTTAAGAAGTACTTTTTAAAATTAGAATTTTCTTATGGTGGCACAACAACAATTTCAGTTAAAACTTAAAAGTTGAAATTAATTATTTCCTTATTAAAAAATAAAAACTACGCAGTACGACGTGTGCACTCGTACGACTTGAGTAGTTGACGATTTCTTGAAGTCTTCCGTTGTCTGAGACTCTGAGCAGACTTGCGCAGTAGGTTACCGCGTGTGGGTGGCAGCCAAAAGCCACTTCTGCAGTGTTGCGAATTTTGGAAATCTGAATGAACGAAAACGTATTTATTCTAAAAATAAGAAATATTCCTTGATGAATTTACCAATATTTCTAAGCTTTATCCCACATTTCTGCCGCGCAGTCTAATACCGTGATTGAAAATATTAACCAATATCCGAGTGTTGTGTGGTATCGCAATGGCTGTCAGGATCAGTCCTGCCATCGTGCAACGCGTGCACCAACTCAGAAAGCAGGGAACACGTTATTACGACATCGGAATGGAATTTAATCATTCTATGGCCTGGGTGCATAATGTGCTGTACAATTATCACCCGGACGGCAGTCCCAAAAACACCAAACCCCCCAAGCCCCCGAAGCGCAAAACCACCGCCGCCCAGGATCGCAAGATCATCAGTCTCGTGACTCAGGATCGCACGTACGCCGAGATTGCGGAGATTCTGGAAAACGATCCTGAGCCGATGGAGGTGGGAAGGAGCACCATTGCCCGCCGCGTCCGCGAAGCAGGATACCACAATGACGGTATGCAGAACGGCGTTCGCAAGGTTTGCGTGCAGCCAGATGCAAATGCCAGTGAACCACCACAGTCCGAAGTCGCCACGTTGAAGGGGGAAATCGCTCGTTTACAGGAGCAACTGCGATCCAAGGACGCGGAAATCGCTCGCTTGGAGGCGGAGGATGTATCATCTTTGCAGGCTCGCTTACGGTCGAGAGAGTTGGAGATTGTTGTTTTGAAAGAACAGCTGCGAATGGCGCAGTGTCCGTGTCTGCCTGAGTGATGTTTAAGATCTTCAGCATGGGCTATGTTTTCTTGTGTAAAAACGATCTCAGGGATTTGAAAGAATCAGGAATTATGAAATTAATAGCGGTTCGTCAGATCAGGCACAAGTACGATTGAAATAATTTTTATAAAGCTTATTGAATGACAGAAAGGCTTTTGGAAAAGGGTCAGCACGTTAAAAAAGTATTACACACATTCCGAAAGTAAAGATCCACTGTTTCCTTTCCTTCGTTTCCCTATTATTTGAAGTACTAACAGAGACGTAATGTAATTTTTTAGCGACATAAGTTATCGGAAATGTGAATCCTGAGGTCATGCAAAAATTTATTTGAATATCAGTTTTATTGTTAAAAAATAGCCAGCAAATTTGGGAATTCGAAAGTGTGACATACCGCTTACGGGTGGCAGCCAAAGCAACTATTGCAGATACAGCTGATTCTTATTTTTGCGACTCGAATACTTCAACATCTCAATAAACTCGTACTTACTGAAGTTTATATTGCCTTTTGCTGTTTTGCAAGAACCCTTTTGCAAGCACTAGTTGCAATATCACATCACGCTAATGTTACGGTTAATCCAATCGCTTTGATTTTTTTGAATACCAACTGCACCATGCCCAAGACCATTCCTTCCACATTGGCGATGGCCGTGCATCGAGCCCGACAGACCCACAGCTTATCTGCCCTGGCTAAACTGTTTGACATGAGCAAATCCTGGATTATCTATGTTTTGGCCCGATTTGATCCGCACACTGGCCTGCTAAACGATCGCAAACCAGGCGGGAAAAAACCCAGCACAACCCCCGAACAAGACGCCGAGCTCCTGCAGTTTGTGCGAGACCATCATCAGGGCGATTCTATCAGGACCATCGCCGCGGCATGGAACTCGCTGCATCCCGACCGGCCGATGTCGCGGACCAGGATTCATGCGCGCCTGCAAGAAGCCGCTGGCAAATCTGCTCGGGTAAGGCCGTGAGGGTACGAGAGTAGTGTCTTCCACTCATGGTCAGGTGGAGCTTGAATTCATTACTGGTGTTTCGTTCCATTTTTTTTATAAACCGTAGTTTGTATACTGGTCTGGTTAGTTTAATCGCTATTTTGATATTATCCGTTATATCCTATTATTTGGCTTCTGATTATGTGCACATGGTTTACGAAGGCTGAAAAAATTAAGTAAGTCTAAAACACTGATAATTTTACTGCGTTTTTTACGAAGGCTTTCGCGGTGATGGTGATAGAATAATTACTGATGAATAAGCGTGTCTGCCATTACACTACGATGCGTACAGTATATGCATTGGTCCTCGATTCTATGCATTGCGCTTATAAAGAGTTAGTTATAAAGTAAAGACTGTATGTCTTCTTCAGAAGACTTCAAGATGGGTTTGTAATGAAGTAAAGCCTGTATGCCTTTTTTCAGAACTCCGTAGCGTCAACCAAACGCGGAAAAGCAGCTGAACGAAAACCACCGGTCGAAACGAGCATGGCCGCACCGTCGGAATGTCCTCCTCCTGTTCAGATGGCGAGTGATCAGCGTCCTCCCTCCCTCCTTCCCCAAGAAGATGCTGCGACATCGGAGATTCCTGATATCCCCGTGCAGCCACGAGAAGCATGCTGCACGAATACACAATCACTACAGGCGCAATTGGCTGCGTTGATGGAGGAGAACGCGCGTCTGCAGGAGCAGTTACGGTCCAGAGACGTTGCAATCGTCCTCCTGAAAGAGGAACTGCGACGACTGCAGTGCCCGTGTCTGCCGGTGTGATGTTATGCGCTGTTCTTTGTTTAAGCGTGGCTGTGTTCTTGGATAAATGATCTCCGTCTAATTGGTCTTTGAAATAAATGTCCATATTGTGACAAAATAATTTCGATTTGACAGATTGGTCATAACTGCGCCTGTAGTGCGTCTAGTACAGTTGGTTTTATTATTTTTAACTGCAAGTAACTGCCGTAGATTGGATCGAAATTAAATAAGTAAGGTCGATATTAATTCAGATTAATTAAGTAATAAGGATTGAAATTAACCCCTGTAAAAAAGAAACTGCGATGCATATGAAGCACAAAATTATTCGTTTTGAATAGCGTTGAGTTATTCGTTTTTTGATTGTGGACAGTGAAATTATTGTTGATAATTAATTAATATCAACAAAATGGATTGTATGTTGTTCTGCGTAAATTTCTTTCATGGCACAACAACCGTCGTTGCACACTGACTGATAAAAAATCAAATAACTTTGTACGTCCAGGGAAATGTCTTTCGTCAGCAAGACTGAAATGGCTAAAATTATTAAAAAACAACAACGCTGTCAGTACAAAAATAACATAAAACTTTTATGAAGCGGAGGAGGATAGAAACATCTGTTATAATCAGGAAGCGACACCGGAAAGACCACTCTTCACAGGGAATCACAGTGCACATGTGTTATCTGGCCGTCCAGACGCAGCCGGAAGTTGGGATCGGTGAAGCGTTTATGGCAGACGAAACACCTCCTGCAAATTAAAATTCTGGTAAAGCAAGCTCGAGCATTGGCAAAAAAATTAAAATTGGGTGACCGGATGCTGTTCTGAGATGGAAAATAAAAAACAGCGGTGAAGAAATAATTCACCGCAAGTACAGGTGCAGTCGAGGCAATAAAGCGTGAAAAACATTACTATTGACATTAATTCGACGCGTACTCACTGGTCATCGCTCAGAAAGACTTTCTCCGTCAAATGCTTCAGCGCCGCGGAACGGATACTGGTGCTGTGCAATTTCATTAAACTCCGCTCCACCGCCGTCATCCGCTGATTATGTAGACTGCGGCGGAGATTGTTCACCAGGAATTTGCGCAAATTATCGATGGACCAGTTGGCCGGCAGTACCGATAGCACCTGCAGGAAATCATCGTCAAACCCATGTACGAAACAATAAGCGACTCGTTCGAAAGAGAAACACACTTTCTGCAAAACGCAGAAGTTTACCACAATACTTCAATAAAGTAGGGCATTCTTTGACTATTTTAAAAAAACACTATTTTAATTGTACAGTAAAACTGCTTTTTTAATCATAACCAATCTTCTATACAGTGTACTCCAATTTCTCTCCAGGAAATGTGAATTTGTACCCAGCCATCGCACTACAGTATTATGTACTGTCACACATTCACAACCCACTAACGCGTTTCCTTTCCGCACAAATTCCGCATTATTTACAAATTAGGTAGTACATCCATTTAAATAGATACACTCAATAAAGTGAATATCCAAATTTACCACCGTATCATTTAAACTCGCCGAAAATTTCATTGATTTGTATGAACCTTACGGAAATCTATGTCCATGATCAATTTAACCTAAACTAAAATCAGTTGCTCACCTTAACCGGATCGAAATCAGCTGCCTCGTTGTTTAGCAGCTGCAGCGCAGCATGGATGGATTCCTCGTTCTGCTCACTAAAAATACGCACAAAACTTTCAGAGATTTCGCGAAATTTGCAATAATACCGCGCTACATTATTATGAAATGAAGCAAAAATAACATATAATCATGAGAGCAAGTTCTTCATGAATTCCCCTACCGTGGATCGAAATAAATATTCAGTAAATGCTCAAACAAATCCCTCTTCATTTTCCGATCATTTTTCGACTGTTTTATGCAGTATTCCACGGCAGCTGCGTTATCTTTCATTCCGTAGACGAGGAAATCCAACGCTTTGTAATGCTCGCCGGTCTAAACAAAATTCACCGCAATCAACCAATTGCTTTTAAAAATTACCCATAAAACTATTTCAACAAAATCGCACTTGCTGCAACCGATGAGCCATAATCACCATAAAACAGTAAGATCAGAATGTAACATAAGAAACGTGTACAGCAGTTAGCAGTACCTTAGCTAGAAGAAGCACTTTCTCGGGCCGCAAATCCATTTGATCAATCAACGTGGACACCGTGGATAAATCGGTTAAATGAGGACTTTCCAATACTGACTGCAGTTTATGCCGGATTTTAATGGCGTCCTTGCCCATCACATTCGGCAATGCTTTCAACGCGTCCAGATATCCTATCGTCAGTCGCTGGTACAACTCCTCATCCTGTTAAAATCGATGTAAACCATCAAACTGCACAAAAAATAGGAGAAGCTGCCTAAAAATAATTTTAAAAAACTTTAATTTCGTGGCAAATTAATACCATTAATTTTAATAATCCCTGTTTTTTTAGCAATTCCGAAATACCGGCCGGCTAATTTCAGCGAATAATTTTACCGATTTGTGCTGCTCCAGCACCAAATATTCGAGGTAGCGAAAACGGATTTCCGGAAACGAATCCAGGAGATCAAACACGGCGTGATGATCCGGGAACTGGATGGATAAAATCAGACTGGCGGCCACAGCTTCGTCTCTTTTCAACAGCCATTCCAGATTTTTTATTAAATGCGATTGGTCAAGAGTTGCTTGGTAGCTGAAACAGCCAAAGAGATTATTCATATATTTTCCAGAAATCCAAATAAACCATCACGAATTCACACTGGCAACAATAACATGGGATAAATCGATGAAAAAAAATTCGAAAAATCTCGTGTCGACAGTAAAGACTGCGGCGAAAAAGATACGCGTTAAAAACCACTGACCTTCTGATCAGGTCAGCAATAGCGTCGATCCCGACAACACCGTCCACATCGTCAACCAGACCTCCATCATGCACCTGCCGGAAGATATCCAGTGCCCGCTGGATATTGCCGCTGCGCAGTTCGTAATACGCCACGGCTACGTAACGATGCTGGGCTAATAGAGCATCCTTTGCAGTCTCGTAGGGCAGAGGATTGCGGTAGGATTTGACAAAAGCTGTTAAATCTTTCGATCGCGTGGCAGTCAACAAACGCACGTAAACCAAATTCAATTCCTACGAAAAAATATTCAAAAAGGCTATTCAGTGTTTATTTATGAAGCCAAACATGACGTGTATCCAAACACAATTTAACTGAAATTTTCCCGTTAAGCAGCTCAACATCTATCAACAAAACAGCGGCGGTAAATGCTGATGTTCGAAGAATCCGTTATAACCGTTAAATACGAAGTACAGCTCTGAAAAAAATATGGTATTTGTGTTTTTCGGTTTTATCGGTCATTTAAAATTTTTTTTTGTGATCATAACAACTCTCACGTGATAAAGAAAATTTTTCTGTACAAGATGAAAGTGTTTCAAAAAACAGCTCTACGGAAACAGTGATACAATTATATCACCTTAAAAAAGGCACACAAAACACTCTGCAGAAAGCACAGAATAAAACGCTGCACAAGACGGGTTGCGGTGTTCGTACGCACTACGTACGAAACATTTTGCAGTTTCCGAAAAATGCTAGCATTAATAACCAAACAACAGATTAGTCCTAGATAAAAACAATATTTGTAAATCGTCTCTGTAAAAAATGTAATCACCTAAATGCATAAATCCGATTTACAAAAGTGAAAAAGAAGGAAAACCAAATATTAATTAGCATCACGGTTTATTCAAGGATTTTTGTAAGTCACTGCGGCAACGGCGGAAACGGTTTCAACCAATGCACTACGATTCTCACCCTACCTCGCTAAAATCCTCGCCCGCCACTTTACGCAACTCCTCCAAATATCCCAACAAAAACCGGTTCCGCCGCGCCACCGTTCCTTCCTCACCCGACTCAAACAGTTCCACCGCTAGATCTCCGCTGCGTCCCTTGCGGACCCCTTCCATGGAGGTGTCCTGGACCAAATCCGGGCAGAACTGCAGGATATCCTCCGGCGGACCCTGACTGTCCAGCAGGATTTCCTGGGCGCGGGCCAGTTCGTTGCGATGCAGACAGATCAGCGCGGCACGATGGAGGATGTTGGATAGGTACAGATTGTCGCCCGCGTCGGCGTCCAGGAAGGAGCGGGCGATCTGCAGGGCTTCCTCCACGCGTTTATCTTCCAGCAGGGTTTCCACTTGTTCCTGCCAGGGAACGTTCTCCAGAGCCCACACCTTGGACAGACAAAGCAATGTAAGTACTTCTTGTATATAGTGTATACAAACACAAAATCTGGGTATGTGGCACATACTGTACTCCAGATCGAAATAATATTACCACGAAAATCATTATCAGAGCGCAAAATCAAGTACACAAAAATACCAAGAGGGTTTTCGTTAAAAAACGAAAATGTATACCATGCAATGCAAACATAATAAAATGCAAACGCAAACATAAAATTCAATATAAAATAAAATACCATAAAATGCCAACATAACATAATAATAAAAGCAAGGTAAAAATGCAAACGTTTAGACGATAATATTTGCAGCAGTGAAATTTAATCAAATGAACAACTACTGAAAATACTTCAGTGTCGGACAGCCCACAGTAGTCAGTGTACTACGACTAATTTCCTATGGCCATACGAAAGCGTAACACACCGTCGTGCTGAAATTTAGGCATCAGCCACTGCCAGTACACACAACAATTCGCGTGCGCACTGCGCAGCCTAAATTTGTCGTGGTCACACTAATGTCTGTTATTCGTTAATTATTTTTTTCCCGCTCAAAAAATTTTAAACCACGTAAGCAAAAAATTTACTAACAGATTTCCTGCTCATGAGCCCGCAATGCGCGACAGGTGCGGAAGGTTACAATCTGGTTAATACCTGGCCGAGCGACGCCATCAAGGGCGTTCCCAGCATCTTCCCCGGGAAGTCCGCGGTGCACAGCGCGCGACATTGCTCGAACTGCAGGCTCTGTTTGGGCTGCTGATTGATGGACGAGTATACCCAGATATCGGTTTCACTGTACACCAGAATGTACGGCGATGTGTACTGCATCCGTAATACCTGTTGAATACATTCGTCGTAGACTCAAAGGTAATGAAAATTACGAATCAAAAAAGTAGCATCGTAGAGATGGGGTTACATTTAAAGCAGATACCGCTGTATAAATCATGCAGTATTCGTTTATAGATTAAATCCACATTAACCGCATTACAAATATCTGAAATGAGTAACTTAATCGGATTAAATTACTCATTTCAGATATTTGTGAACCCGACACCACAAAATCCGAATACCATAATTATCCAGATTCGCCCACAGAAGTTGAAATTTTACACGTTATTACCGCATTAATCAAAGCACATTTTTTATATATTTCATACACTTTTATATATTACCATTATATTTTTATATATCATCCAAAAAATGCTACCGAAGACTGGTGAACTTCGGAGAATGTTGGAAAATATACAGAAAACACACCGCACCTTTAATTCGGCCCAGTTAATGGGCGGCCGCGGCGCCACCAGACTGTCGGCGGACACGAACATGCCCAGCCCACCCGGGCCGGACAGGAGGAACTCGTGCTGCGGGGAATCGGTCAGGGACAAGATGACCGGCTGGTCCGCGAAGGGGAACAACTCGTGCACCGTGTGCGGCGCCGCGCGGGCGTTGAGCATGTGGTACTGCAGCGGGGAGGCGAAGCAGATGAACGGCTCACTGTACACCATCTCCACGATGGGCTCGCTGACGGGGATCTCCGTGGTCAGGGTGAAGTGCGTCTCCAACAGGGTGTGCAGCTGCAGATGCTTCTTTTTGGCCACGCAAACCTGGCAATGGAACAATCTAGTTAAAAATTATGACACACATTATTAAATTTATCGTTTATGGATAATAAACCATTTTTTACAATTGTTTATTTAATTTTTTTATCATGAAGCAGTGCCGCTGAGCTGCATTGTTTCTTAACCAAAATCAGACTGACAAATTCTTTGAAAATAGCGGTGATAAAATAAAAATTCAAACACTAAATATTACAAGTGAATAAAAGATAAGTTTTGCTTGCCAGTACTTAATGCAATCAAAGTGCCTAACAGCAATAGATACTTCAACTTCTACACGGTTTTAATCCGAGTCACATCGCGTACTATACTGCACGCCGGGAAAAAAGCAGCATAGGTAACATCGACTTACATCGTATGTTGCGAAGGGATTTTCCGGATCATCCCGATCACTGACGCTGAACCGTGTCACACCTTTGACGCGCGATCCACTGGTCTGCACCAGCTGAAAAACAAAATACATTTTGCAGCTTAAACACCGTTTTACAAGAAACTACCGCACGGTAGGTTTATCGTTGAAAAATCGGGAAGGACCTTCAAGCATCAATTGGTTAACACTCGTGAAAGCTACCTACCGGTACACCGTTTTCACAAATAAAAAAAAGGAATTCAAAACGCAATGCGCTACTTTAAACTACAAGACAGACTACCCAGTAAATCGCAAAGAAGTTTGATTCCACAATGACCATTAACGGATACGATTCTAGCAAGTGCCATTACTCTACGATGTGCTCTTCTCTACCTCGACAGTGGCCGCATCCAGCATGGCCAAGACGCCATCGCATAAGTATAACACCCGATTCAGGGCATGGACGGCCTTCAGCTGCATAATCGGCTTCTTCTGCAAAATGACATTTTTCAGTTTAACAGTATGTGCCGACCTCTGTAACTGTTAAGATGATTTGCACCAATAACGAGGGTAATTTTATTCACGCAGTCACCTAAAAGTTCTAAACAAATTTCAATTTGGAAGCAAAACACAATTAAAATGATGCAATAACAACGCCTAAACCCAAAAGCACCAAATCTACAATTTATTGTCATTCTCAGCCGCTTTTTAACATGAAAGGTAGCTGCAGGCTGCAATTTCGCAAAAAAAATGGTGGTTACAAGTTACGGTTTAAATTAAACCGGATTTATGACGGCAATTTGGTCAACGACAGACAGTGCAGTTAAACCGGCAGCGGCTATCATAAAACAGTTACTGTATAAAGCAAAATAAAATCCTTAAACACAATGAAAAGCATTGAATTACAGTATTTCTATTTAAGAAACGCAATCAAACAGGAAAACTACACAAAAAATGGAAATTACTTGTTAAGTCAGTATTTTCACTGTACCTGTCCGACATATTTTGAAGCGCTGGGTTTGCAGCGATACGACGGACGGCCGTGTGCCGAAAGTGTCTGCTGAACAGCAAACCGATGAATCCAGCTGCAAAAAAACAACGGATGTTACCTAATTTCTACACGTAGACCAACGACAATACGAGCAGTTATTTTCACGTGCAATTGTCGCAGGTTTTCGCGAACGAATTTGCCTATATACTACAAAATGCGGTTCATTCAAATGACGCGGTTTAACGCCGTTCACTTTAATCGAAATTTTAATGGAACTGATATGACAGCTGCAGTTTTCTCACGCCTAAGCAGTCATCTCCGTAGAATTAGTTTACATCTACGACTCTGAAGATTTTTTGTAAAATTAACAAAACCACGGTGCCACAAAAATTATACATACTGACATTTGCAAACGCTCTAATTATTAAAAACTAATAATTCTGTCCAAAATAAAATGTTTAAAAGCATGATGTTATAAAAACTAATAATTATGTTTAAAATGCAAAACAACAAAAATACTACGGCAAAGAATAGAAAACTGGAAAACAACAAATAACAACGTACCCTGTAGCGGATCCCACAAAGAGTTGTCCTGCAGCAAAGTCAATGGACGTAATCTGTAGCAGAGAAAAAAATCATCAGTAATCAAAAGCCACCCAAGAAATTCTCAAGCAATGCGCAAATTGAGCAGCACGAGTCAGTCCGCTGCAATATAATCCACCCAAAAAAATTTAACTTCACCAAGAAAATGCGTTATACACGCGACCGAGTCAAAGGCACAAGTGACAAGTACAGAGTAAAGCAGAACATGCTGTAATGAAGTGTAATCAGCCACTGTTGTGCTTATCTGCTCCTGCTCTCTACTACGCAGTGAATGCCATGTAGCAACGGAGCATGCAACACAAATCGCACTGCTGGTGTTCAGTGTGCAATATAACTGCTGTTCTGTTCACCTGGTTGTCAGGAGCCAGCTGGCCAACGGGGGAGGCACTCTTCCCCGCGGGACTCTGCACTCCCAGACTGCTCAGGACGGGCTCCAGATCGAAGGTCTTCACACTCATTCTGATCTGCTGCAGTCATTCAAATGATGGAAAAGAGCGAAGGGAATCTTGGCAAATCTCCAGAACAAGATCAACATGAGGATCATCGATCAGACGCCATGTCACATCCCATCAGGTTCCCGACAATTTAGCAGCATATCGACTATTCCCCATTGCACTGCGAGATATTTCAGGCACTTCTCGGAAAGATTACAACCCGCAACCGTATGGTAAAGTTGGCTAGCATGTAGGGTTTCCGGTGATACAGTATGTAACTGTATGTTCCACTATACACAAAATTCAAACTGTCTTCTTGAAAAAATTAAAAAGTAAACTTTTTTACGTAGACCTGAAAAATGAAACCATATTTACATTAGCAACTCCAATGGAACCGGAAATGAGCTGCCACTTGGCAGGCCCATTGGAATCGGAAGTGCGCGTCGCTTGACGGCTTGATGCACGATGAGGTGCGATACCACCTCCACCGAAACTGGAATGGAATGCACAACTGAACTGAGCCACTGGCCAGTTCCATCAATGTTGGAGAAATTCAAATCGTTTTTGAACACGTCTTATAAAACATGTTTCGACATGTTTTTATCTTCATAGTCGGGCTGCCAAAAATTAGACATGCAGAATGTGCAGATTGTGTATTTAGTTGATCACACTTCGTAGCATGGTTGATTTTAATTCGTTCCCAGTTTTCGATGATGTTCGGGGCCGTATACAACCGTTTTGGGAAGATCATCAGTTTTTTCAGTACCATCGTTAATCAAATTTTGTTGCGCTGGAATCGAAACACGGGATCCTCTCGTGAGCAAAGCAAGAAGATGTGTATCCCAGGCACAGTTGCTGCGGAGATTCCAAATCGACAAATTCCGCCCGATGATGCTGCTACCACATTATTGACGGTAAGAAAAATACTCCAGCCTTAATAATTATTAATTTCTTCCTTTAATAAGAGTTTACAATAAGCCAATGCTGGCTGTAATTTATTTACGTTATTTCAAAACGGCACCTGTATTTAAAATGGAACTCTTTTAAAATATTTTCCTATTGATGCAGTTGCGGGTTGTTTAAGCTTGCATAACTTGAACGGCTGAATTTTGTTGTTTTTTTTCGATGATGGAAGTTAAGGATTTTTTTACAAATCGTAGTTAATTAACAAATGCATAGATCTTTTACAAATGTATAAATTTAATTTGCAATGATGGTAAATGTGTATAGATTTAATAATTTTAATAATAATAAACGTACAGTTTTGAATAAATGTGTAGATTTTATTACAGATCCTCATTAATTACAGTAATTATCTCTTATTTTGTTAGGGAAAATGGCCCGGTATAAATACAGTATAGTAAGTACACAAAAATTTTCATATTTTGGTGTATAATTATAGACACTGCGAAACACGAACATGCGAGCAACTGCAGGATTTATGTCCCGCATTCTGCTCAAAGACTGGACGCGAATAATCACCGCTCTGGTTATTTTGCTCGTTGCTCGCTACTGGATTGCTGGTATGACTGGTATGTCTTTACGAAAATCCTAAGATGCATGACAAAAATAAGTATGTACTGTACTTATATTATACAGCATTACATCCAGAAATCTGCGGATACATTTTCTATATCTACACGTAAATTGCGAATAGTTATTGTTCACTACTCGCATCAACGAGTTAAAAAAGTTTAATTATGGGCATTGATTTGATAATCAGCATTGGTTTGTTAAGTAGTTGAGCGTGATGATTTCTGCTGGATTTTATTCCTGGTTTTACAGATGACAAATGCGCCCGGCATTCAGTTGTAAAATTTGAAGACGGTTTGCAAGAATGCCGGGAAGCTTGTATGCCGGCGCACATTTCGCAGGGTGTTGTCGACTCCGTTGTCACTGTAAACTTCTCCGGATTGCTGTGGCGTGTCGTCCGTAACGATTTCGGTAACGAAAAAAAGCGAAATTAAATTTGTCTATATTCTTTCTCAATTCTGATGTCCGAAACTGAATCTGATTTTCAGAAGGTGCGCCGCTGGTGAGCAGCCGGCACGTCTGGGTGGACAAGACCGGAAGTCTGCGCATCAAGATGGACCGCTGCGTCGGCGCCCATCTGTACACGGTTGACCTTTTCTGGTTCGGATTCTACCGATTCTCCATCGCCGGCGGCGTCGATGACACGTTCCATCCGACGGCGGCTGAACTCTCTTTCTCTCTCGCCGAGGATAACAACGTGACTATCCGGTTTGAAAGCGATCGACGACCGCGAAAGCCTACCTTCGGCATGGAGTATTTGGTTTCCGATGAGAAAATATCCGAATTCCATGCGGATGATTTTCTGTTGACGGAATACCATATCCTTCGTACGCCTACCAAAATGTAAAGGATTTTGTCGATTTTTGCCTGTTTTATTGATTGTGACCTGTAAAAAATTGTCAGATTACCTTAAAAGTTTGCGAAAACATTTACAGCATTTTGAGTTTTTCTATGCCAAAAATTTTTTTCCATCGTTTCAAACTTTTTTTAATCGGGAAAACAAACAGCTGCGGGAATTCAGGTCATTTTTCAGCACATAATCTGTCAGAAAACTAATGGTTGTAGACTTTTAGTTATGAGCAATATTGCAAATTGATTTACTGGTTTTCAGTGCCTTCCGATCGTTCCAAGGACACGGGAGACCGTTCGTATTTCGAGATCAGGATGCTAGTGTGTTTGCACCGGAAGACGGACGACGGCGTATTCCCCAGACCGAAATGCCGGTGCATATTCGGCTGGTGGCAGGGAATGCCACGGATTGTGATGCGGATGCCGGGATGGTGGAAGTTGTTATCAGGGCGTTTCGGTACGAGTCGTTGTAACTTGCAATGTTCCGTTTAGCATGACTCCAAGGATTTCTGTTCCGTTTTCATAGGGATCTCTTGTTTAATCTTTGATCTTTTTATCTCTTAAGTTGCCAAGATGTTTTTAGTTCTAGGAAAATTACCTCGACGTTTACGTTTAATGCATGTTGATACGTTAACGTTGATGATGCTGTTCTTCTATAGAAGTACGAGTACAGTGTGATTGTCCTAAAAGTAATACTTACTTATCAGCGTCTGCATCTCGTATATCATAAAATTTACTCTATAGTATTACTAATTACTCGTATGTTCAATATAATAAGGAGTGGGGATAACCAAAACAATTATGCAATTCAAATTACACGGTCATAAAGAAGCTTAAACTGTGTTGTGTCGGTGAAGTCAAAGACCGTGTTCTACGATTTTCTCTCCAAATTGTTGGATAATTTCTCAGTATAACTATACTGTAGCCGCGCTAACTGCTGCCGGAGAAAGTTTTTGAAACAACAAAAAAAAACAACTAACTTTTTTGTGTAAATTAAATTAATTATTTTGTCTTTTCTAATGGTCGATGAGACATGAGACCACCAAAGAGAAAGAGCAGCCGGCCGCATTTACTGACCAGTGACCACTACTTAAGATACGCTCGGAAAACGAAAAATTTCTGCAATAACAACTCCGCTATACTACCGTTGTTTTCTGGACTCGTACCTTACATTATTCCCGTTTGTGCCAAAATAATGCACACTATGATTGCTAACAACTTAACAAGTACTTACTGTATTTCCGTTATGATTGAAAATCTCCAGCTGCACGAGTACGAACGGTACGGTATCCCTCTAGTCTTAAGATTTCGCATGTGCATCGCTTTATGCAAAGTGCAAGGTAGCCAGCGCAACCTCCAAACAGGATTTCCGGGTTGCGTAACAAAGCCCTACTTACTAAGCAGACCAGGTGTACCGAGCGTCAGAGTGACTATACTGGCACACACTGTTGCACAATTTCATCTGCGGATTTCCCAAAAAGATCCAAAAAATTTCGTTGCAACGTTCTGCTCCGTTTAACATTTCCCCACGTTTTCGCATTTTCCTCACTTTTGCTTTTTAAAACCGTTTGCTACGGACATTTGGCTGTGTGAAGGTGCATCTTCGATGTCTGACATTATGATGACTGTGAGTAGCAACGCTTTTCACCATTTACTGCCAACTCCTGCATCGCAACAGCCCCAGCGTCGTGCTGCTGCTCCACCTGTTTCCAGCGGCCGATCTTACTCCCCGTACCCGGGCAGTATTCCTGACCATCGCTTGCCAAAATGCCTGGCGCACGAAGATGGATATGACGATAGGAAGGATGCATTACGGGAAGAGGTAGCAAAAAACTTGTTGAAACCTTGAAAAATAACAGATAAACGCTTCGCAACCGCCTTTTTCTCTGTTCGTAGTATTGGCGGGCGGTATTGATATTGTGCTCACTACTGAAATCGCATAGCGATGCGCTCTGTTTAAACTGGAAATAAATTAAAGTTGAAAAATTTTTAGATTTCTGCACATTTTTTCGACATTTTATTTTATAGATGCTTTTCTCTCAGTGTCAGTTATGGAATCCCAGTTGGAATGCGCAAATCACAGCGGATGGTGAGGCGTTCCTGGAAGAGGCGGCCTGTCTGGGCTACACGGAAGATCAGTCGTTGGCTGTGCTGTACGTGTGCAAATTTGATCTGAAAATGGCGCGGGAACGTCTGCCAAAATTCCGTAACATCTACATCCCCGTCTGGTCGGAGACGGATAAGCTGCTCTTCGAGGAGATGCTGCTGACGCACGGAAAACAATTCCATTTGTAAGTGGACTGGAATTATGCTGTAATTTTGCTAAAAAAAATTATTTTAAAAATTATTTTGCTTTTTTCGCTCTTTTTTTGGAAAAATTTGCTTCTGTACTGGGTAGAAATTATTAGAACTAAGGAAAAATAATTTTCAATGCCACAAAAAGGCCAGCAAAATTTCAACCAAAATTTATTGGCGTAAAATTTTGAAAAACCCAAAAAAAGTGGAGCTTCCTGACTTGTGTGGAGGATTTCGCTGATATGCAAGAAAAGAATGCATGATTTGCATTGTTCTGTTGCAGGTTTCGCCAAAAGTTGCCCCATGTTACGGTGAAGGAGATGGTGAATTATTACTACTATCAGAAACAGGTGCGGAAACGGGAGAGCCGGAAGAATGCGTGTCTGACGCGGAAAGCGCTGGAGTTGGCGCGCAGTCACATCTCACTGAACAAACTGGCCAGCCTGCCCGTCACCCCCGCCCTCGTCAGTCCCGAGGAGAAAGTGGACTGTGGATCGTGCTTCCAGAAGCGCAACAATATCTTCAAGTACGTACTGCAGTCATCTCGCAAATGCGCAGTCTTGCATGGCAAACGCATACGTAAAAGTACGTATTGTTTTCGGCTTTCATTTGTTGCAGTATTGTGTCTCAAACAGCGATATGTTTTGTACTCGTATGGAGGTTTCTTTGCGTGCGTTCGTCGGTTTTAGTGTAATTCGATATTACGTTTTCTTATGTAAGAAATCCACTGGCTCGGCATGCCATGGTTTTTGTGGTAATTCTTCGTTGATCCGTGTCGGGTTTTCAGGAAGAAAAGCAGGCAGGGAAACCGCCACTCAGAAGCGGAGTAAGCACAAAATGCAGGCTTCAAGTTGGTAACTTTTTTCAGTGCATTAAAGATAACTGCATTGTAAATTGTAAAATGGCAGTGCCGCCGAGTGCGTGCTGCATCCATGCGTAAGTGCAGTTGAATCGTAGTTTAATGGCTTTGGTTCTGATCTTCGGAGATTGTGGTAGTGGTCATTTGCAGTACAAATTCTCTGCTCATGATAATTCATTTGCATGCCCCTTTTTTAACTACCGCTTGCAGACAGTTATCTATTGTTATTGTTAAAATATTTACCATAAAATTTTGAGTCGACACTTTTGATTATGTAGTATGCTATCAGGATGAAATTACAGTATTATACGGTTCAGCACAGTGAGGCAAGGATCACGGGTGGTCGAAAAATCTGATTTTTTGTTAGGATTTCAAGCAGTGTTACCGTTTTAGTAATACGGCAAAAATGCATACCGATATCGTGTACGGATGCGTCGTGCACTGTGAAAATTGCTCTTGCTCAACCGAGAGATAACGTATTAAAATTTTTCGGTCAGTTGTTTACCAAAAAATTCTTTCAGATTCGGCAGCGAGTTCGTCATGTGTGCCGAATGCTACTCCCACTACCGCATCCACCACACCCTCCCGCCCCCACCCCCCGCCGACCCCTTCCTGCCCACGTTCGCGCGGCCGGCCCTGGCCAGCGTCGTGCCCTCCTTCTCCGAGCGCATCACCGCCCAAGAGCGGGAAGCCTGCAGCACCATGGTCACCTCCAAGAATCTGGGGCTGCTGCGCGCCTACCGCCGCGAGATGCAGCTGCTGGCCCGCGCCAAGGAGGCCGCCCCCTCCGCCCAGCAGCACACCCAGATGATGGGGGAGATCCGCGGCGTCCTGGCGGAAGAGGGCGGAATGTGTTGGCGGTGATTGATCTGGATCGGTAGGAGCGCGGTTGTGAGGGGAATGGTATTAGGTTCTACTTCTTTGTTAATTGTGATCTGATGAATAATGTGTTAAGCCGTTGTGGGTTTGCGGAGAAGAGCGCATGTTCCTGGAATAACTGGTTTGTTGTCAAGCGATTTGCTGTTTTAACGATGATTATTACGTTCAGGAGCATGAAAAGTATTTGAGCTGGATTTTGAATATAATTTAATTGCTGATTTTGAGTTAAAGTTTATATGGTTGCGAGTAACAGCGATGCGATGGAATTTGCTTGTTTTGCTTAACTCTTCCACGATGTTCGGTTGAGATTAAGCGGAAATTGCGGAATAAAACTGGAGGTTGTTGTTCGGTTGAGATTAAGCGGAATAAAACTGGAGGTTCTCTGTTAGAATTTTGGAATGTTCTTCAGCGATGCTTGTGTTCTTCAGTCAATGTGGTTCCTGATGGATTGTGTAGAAGCAGACAGCGGTAAAAAAAATATCGACATAAAAAAATAATGACTACATTTCCGCTATTGATCAAACTTGAAAAAGAAGTAAATAAAAATAAAAACAGTATCAATTATTGATTACTGCAGTTGGTTTTCTGACAAACGTGGGCTGTGCACTACTAAAATTCCGTAATTAGTGTAGTGCGATGGCTAGGAAGAGACGGCCTTCTGTCATGATAATGTCGATCGTAAATGAAAGTCAATTTAATTGAATTAATAATTTACACATTCTCACATTTTTTATTGTTTTTAATGTGATCACCATACACCAGTTGAATGAATCATTGACGAGAAGTACTGTACACTGGTACAGCGGAAATGGCCGTGTCCAGTGCGTTTACATGGTCCGTTGCTGGCTGTCAGAGCACTTGACGGCGTTTGCATTTGGGCATCGGTGTTGTGTTTGACACGGCAGTATTCTCTGTAATTGCCATGTAGTCATCAGCAGTTTTCTCAAGAGCTCCGCGTCTCAAATAACGCTAAACGTGCCGCGTAATGAAATGCATCGACACCGCACTATGTCCACCACTGCGAATGCCGACGACGCATTATACATTGGCACCTACGAATTCCAATTAACATCCGCCGAGTTCGATTGCCATCGCCATCTCGACTTCTAAGTGGGGTTCCTGTTTACACTTAGAGTCAGAACTACCTGTACTTTTATTTATTTTATTTATTCAGTTTATTTTCAATTTACTATCGCTAATTTATTCTTTTCTTATTTTCCAATCTATTTTAACTAATTATTTGCGCCCAGCGTAGCACCGTTCCCACGATTGAACGTTGGTGGGAATACCATGCACAATGTGCTTGGGAATCATCGGATATTCACGATGATGAACTGCCATGAAAGTGGTGGATGATCTACGACACCTTTATTATCAACCATTTCTAAGAACTTGGCAAAATCTCTGGAACATCATTGTCTGGCCCGAAGATGCCGAATCTACGAACCTGGGTGTGGCAGCTTTGGGTGTTTGGTTCACTGATTTTTTATTCTGCAGAATCTGGTAAGATATCAAGCAGATAACACAAGAATGCTAAATTATCCTAAACAAGAAAAAGGACTTTCACTCGCGGCTGATAAAATGTATAACGGCCGCGCTTGGTTTTTTATTGGATATAATAAGTAAATCAGACGTTCGTAGGCGATTGAGCCGGCATTTTATTTATTTACCATTTCCAATTTTGTGCAGTTTACCTGATTGTGAGCGAGCGAATGTAAATGAAGAGAATAATACATATTCCAAGCACAAACCTATCAATAGCGTTATTGCACCAAAACAGCATAAATGCTAAAATATTGTAGTGCAGTGGGTGGTGTCCTTCTTTGGCAAGCGAATTTTCCATCTTTACGCAACATATCGCCATGTGATCGACGATAATTTATAAAATACAAATAGATTTTTTTCTTGATTTTTTATTTTCACTGGATGTTCTTCTTCTTCATACCTGGAATCATGACTGTCAAAAAAGCGTGGTGAGAATTTTTAAAAAAAATCAACGCAGGTGAACGGACAGCAGGTACAACTGATACAGCGACTGCACTGGCTGGTTGTAAAGTCTGAGTATATTACCTACCATGAAGTACTGTACTACGTTCAGCACACCGGTACGGAATACAATATTTTGTATTCGGCACAGGTGTCAATGTGCCGGTGGTCAGCGAATGTCATAAAGTGGTGCAGATGGACAGCGCCGCGGGCCAGCTGAAGTCGCACGAGCAGTATCCGGCAGCGCCCTACCCGCCCGGCTTCCAGTGCCGCTACGTCATCCACGCCGCCGACAACCGCATCGTGGAAGCCAAGATCGGCGCGGGCGATGTGGGACTGCGGCCCTGGGATTTCGCCATCATCATCAACGGCCGGGTGGCCTCCAAGCTGACGTTTATCTGTAATGTTAACGAGTACAAGAAGCTGGGCGACAGTAAGTGACACCCCCAAAACGCTCAATAAAATCCCGTGACCTTTATGTTTTTATTTATAATTAGCCTCCGTTTTATTTTGCTTTCTGTCTATTTGTATATTATACCTAGGTTAGTCTTAATTTATTTTTTGCTTTTATTGTTTTATTTAGCATAATATATTATTTATTTTAGTATGGGCCTTTTGCTGTAAATTATTAGAAATTTGCGTCGGTTTAACTGCGTGGTTCTTGTTAACAATTAATGACATTCAAGAAATAAAAATTTATCAAAAATTTGTCAATAGAAATTTGTCATCGATTTATCTCTGTTTTTATATTTTTCCAGGTGGACACGATTATATAGGTAAAAAACATTTGCGTTTTCCAAATTTTTTCACCGACTCCTATCGATGTCTTCCATTTTTTCCAGCGGTCGTCCAGAAAAACTTCATTAATGGTCTCACGCGCAGTATTAAGAGTAACACATCGACGATTATTGTGGACTTTTGCGTGCACACCTTCGACAAGGAACTGGACAACCGCAAGGGCTTCCTCATCGACTACGCCGCCGTCCCCGCGGCGGAGGGGGCACCGGAAACCACCGGTCCCGATGCACCCGGCGGCGACGCCCTCGAGCCGCACCAAAGCAACGTGGTCCAGCCGGAGCCGGCGGTGTGTGGGCGTCCCCAGAATCCTCCATCCAATAATCCCAATCACCGCATTGTCAACGGGGTACTGGCACGGGAGAACAGCTGGCCGTGGATCTGCTCGCTGGTGCAGAAACCGTCGCTGCAGTTCTGCGGATGCACACTGGTAACTATGATACAAATCATCCCAGCAAAATTATTGTGGACATAATTATGTACTGTACAGTATTATCGCGCTGTGCACAGTTGCTGTGCACATAAGAGTCGTATATAAAATTGTGTTGCTAATTGTGCACACATATAAATTGTGCAGATATAAAAACTGGGCACATATGTGCACAATTATGACTCTTATAGTACATATTATATACATTTATATGCCCGTTTTCCTATTAGTGCAGAACCTAGCCGTCGTTGTTAACAGATTTATGTCGAATAGTGAAAAGCAACCTCGTTGCAATGTATAAAAAAATTCCTATCGTTATTTACCCAAAGATAAATTGGAATGGCCAGTCAGTAAGCTGCAGCATCGCTTAATGGCGCTCACACCAAGCATTATTCAGTAGTACGTGATGTTCAGTAGTACGTGATGTGTGCTGTAATTTCATTCCTCCTGTATTTTCTATAATCATTACTTACATACCCAACAATTATGCTGTCTAGCTGTAATCTACTGCTGACGATAAAGCATTATTAGCTGTTTAGAGAAAATTACGGTTAACGTAGTGCAGTGGATCACTGGATTTGTCGATGGGGCATCCGAGAACAAAAAAGAGACTGGTAAAAGTTGCACGGACGGACACTTTCCCAAATGATCGAATCAGGATGTAACATTTTCACAATTAACAACCTTTTTTTCCGTCGTTCATGCAGTCATGTGAACCTCCTAGTAGTGAAATTTGATTATTGTATTTGTGGCATACGAACGCAGTTATAGCAGACTATTAATATTATTTATCGAATTATTATCTTTTTATTTATAAGGATAATATTATTAATTAAATTATTATTTTTTTACCAGAATAAACAATATAATTACGCTAGCGATAAACAGATTTTCGCAGGATCTTCACCGTAAGTTTGCCATCGTCGCAGTTTCTGGATTCAGCTTTGTATTAAGATTACTGTTTTACTGCGACACAGTAAAATTTTGCTTCGGCGCACTGTCGAATGGTACATATTAAGTAACATTGGCGATGAATAATATTATTTTGTATATGGATAGAATTCTTTTCTTGTGAACATAAATATTTAAGTAATAACATTATTACTTGAAACTAATTATTAATATTATTTGAAACATGTAATAAAGGATGATTGTCTCCTTTTTAAAAAGGTTAAATTTCACTTTTATCTGAAGCCGACAACGATTGGCCGGTGAAATTGGTTACTGTACCAGCGCCCAGCCGGTTTACTGATTTACTGATGGTCAGATTGCAGAGCAGTGGGTGGTGACCGCCGGGCACTGCGTGGACAACAGCGGCGAGGAGCATCTGCGCAAGAATGTCCTGGTGTATCTGGGAGTGGAGAATCTGCGCATGGCCACCGACGACCACAAATTCGGCATCGTCTACGTGGTCAAACACGAACTGTACAACGACCCGCCCGGCAGCACCGCCAACGACATCGCCCTCATCAAACTGGACCGCAAGGTGCGCGTCTCCAGCGACGTCATGCCGGCCTGTCTGCCGGCCAGGAGCGTGCACGAGCCGCCGTTTGTGCAGACGGGTGCGCAGGGGCGGCGGGTGTGCTGGGTGGCCGGATGGGGGCGGTTGTACGATGGACAAGCCGCCAGTAAGTGCAGTCATGTACTTTGTACACTATTGATGTCGTTAAGTTTAAGCCGATAATTTTAAGGGTCGATCAAAACTGCCGGTTTTTATAACGGCGGCGGATTTAATGGGGTGACCCTTCACGCAATACCGGCACATTGTCATTCGATACATAAACAAATAATGACAAAATACTCGTACCTTCAAATATTGTTTTCTGATAAATTCAACACCTATTGAACATTTGCATGCCACCATACACCAACGGGCACCGAACATACGCTGACCTTTGCCAGCTTGGCGCAAACTCCATAGACTGACAGAATCTAATATCGTACATAAAGAATAAAGTAACTGCTTTGATGGAAGTAGGAAAACGCAATCCGACTAACTGCATGCACAGATGGATAGCTATATAGTAATCTGCATCGAGCGCAGCAAGATGCCGCAATAAGCCTTCGTCAAGGGGTAAAATTTTGTCTGTCGCCCACAAAGAGCGTCGGTCACGCTTTTCCAATTCCACACATCCAATACCGGTTGCACCGTTGCCGGTAGTATTGGCGCTCGCTCGGTGCACGAATGTGGTTTCCCACCACCGCTAGTAAACTAGGAAAGTGCACCGGCACAGACTAGCACTTAAGGGATTTGGCCCGGTACATAGCACCAAATTCGCGTACATATCCACGGGAACTTTCGCCGTCGCGCGATCCCAAGCACTTTTTTGCATTGCTTTATGGTATTTTGTAGCCAAAAGAATTGTATACGTAGTTGTGAAATCCGTTTGTGCGCGCCACATCCGGTTGCGGAGTTATGAGGGTAACAAAAATTCCAAAAAGTTTAAATGCATTCAGGTGTACCAAAAGTCTCATGATGGACCGATCCCTTTCAAATTTTGCATGTAACTGCACACTAACCATGAAGATTGTTTTGGCACGGATCCACTGTTCTAGCCTGTTTTTCAAATTTTAAAATGAATTTCAAAAATTGCGCTCACAAACGGATTTCACAACTACGTATACAATTCTTTTGGCCATAAAATACCATAAAGCAATGCAAAAAGTGCTTGGGAGTGCGCGACAGCGAAAGTTCCCGTCAATGTACACGAAATTAATGTTGTGTACCGGGCCAAATCCCTTAAAAAAACCGAAGCGAAGCCAGACAATAATATGATCATTCAACTTTGCAGTCACATTTACTGCATAAAAGTACCTGAAATTACTATTAATGTTTAAGAAATTACATTACAAAATCCATTTGAAAATACATTTAATTATATTTTTAGATCAATTACAATTTAAAAAATAATATTAATCAAATTATGCTTTTAAATTTGTGCGTGACCGACAAATCCTGTTTTCTTCAGCATACAGGTACAGGGCGTTCGCCACTTCACTACAAAGTCGCACGCATATTGATTGTTCTTACTTACCATTACGCCTTCCTGCTTATCAATGATTGCATTATTTAATTGAAAATAGCAATCGTTCTTTACCCGTTGTTAGATAGCCGTGTGAAATTGTAAATCGAATGCCCAGTTGCAAGTGGCGCAGATGCTTTTGCGATGTTGTCGCTTAGTAAAAAAATTAAAATTAAGCAAACATCAAAGCGAATTCTTTACCTTTTTTCACGAGCCTCAAATTACACCTTTTAGTTCTGGCCATGATTTCTCCATGACCGTGTACAATTTCTGGATATTAATCACTATAAAATATCAGCACTGAAAGTGTTTTCTCTGCAGTTGATGGTGGGAAAATCGGCGCCGGCAGCGACAATCTACGACAAGTGGCCATCGAAGTGATGTCGGATGGCGACTGTCGCAGTTACATGCAGAGCTACATCATAACAAACAAAATGGTATAACGAATCCGTTCTTCACATTCCTTACAAATTTCTTTATACAGTGGTGTGAATTTTCTATAGTTTTGTGGCGGATATGATGAAGGGAGGTATGATTCATGCCAGGGTGATTCAGGTAAAGGTCACTGATCATTCATACATGTTGCACAAACGCGACATTATTATTATAATTTATCAAGCATTATGAAGTAGCGAGAACCAGTGTCTGTTCGTAAATTAGGTGGACCGTTAGTCTGTGATGATGGAACAGGGCGATGGGCACTGTATGGTGTGGTGTCCTGGGGATTGGGCTGTGCGCAGGCCCGGGCACCCGGCATCTACACCAACGTGGCGCTGATGCTGGATTGGCTCGATGCGAAAATGAAGGGCCGTCCTTGATAAGTTGATCTTCTCTTCTCTGTCTTTATTTATGTTTTCTATTAAAATTAAACCTGGTTGGTGTGCTTGATGACCTTTTGTTAGCTGAACAAAAAGAGTCAAAGGTTATGCAGACGGATGGTCTGGAGCCGGTGACAAGAAACCCGCAGTAAAAACGAAGCAAAATTATGTCGAAATATACAGCATATTGGTAATTATGCCGTTAATATGCAACTTTGCAACAAATTGTTAATATTGTTTGGTTTTTATTGTCAGTACCAGGAAACACTAATACCGTGTAACAGTAGGCTAGAGTAGTGTTGGTAGCTAATACTGATTTGGTTGAACCACGCCCGTACAGATGATGATTCAACAACATACTGGGATTTAGTAGCATTTTGCAAGACGATGGATTATAAAGGAGCAAATAAACAAACCCGAAAAAAAAACATCGAAGCGCAATGCTAACATATCACATTTTGTATTAGAGTTTTCAGATTCCGCTCTGCATCCACATGGCACGAAGGAAAATTCAGAATCATTTGTTGTCCGACTTTGTTCGAACCATCTGGTACCGTGATACGGTGATAGCTAAAGAAGATAGTAGATACCAGTTCGTTAGTAAGTCTATCCAGAACTGCAGTAACATCTTTATACTATTGTTGTATGTTTTGTCTTGAACATAATTTCGTTACACATACATATAAATAAAAAAAATAATTATCAAATAATTATAAATTAAATGTAATTCAAATATTACACTTTGTATATTAATTTTCGTATTTGTGTACAGTGCAGCGTATTCGAATTCGTGCACAGATGCGTACAGGTGTATGATGCCTTAGGGAAGAAAAGCGATGGTTGGAAATCCTACAGTTTTTTTACTTCATTCGGATGCAATAGGGTACAAGCTTCAGAAATCAGTAAAGACGTACTTTTTCATAATCGTCTGGTAGGGCATATCTTCGTCACAGCCCAGATCCGCTGCGGTAGGCGGGTCAAAGGGCACCGGTTGCGGTGGCACCGTGCGGACATGTTCCTTCATTTTGCGGAAGGAACCGTAAGCCATGTATAGCGGCTGGGAACGGTTGAGATAGATCCACATCAAATGGGGAAATAACCCGGCAATGTCCGCATCCACGCAGTTCAGTGGCATCCCATCCAGACTGAGCTGCTGCAGCTGGGGATACAGGATACCGCTGAACATGGTACCGATATTCGTGAAGGCATTCTTACGGAAATATAACGATTTGAGTTTCCCTAGATACTTGAAGGCGCCCTTCTCCACCTGAATTATACTGTTTTCGGATAGATCCAACACCTGTTTTTATAAAATACACATCATTAAGGTAAACACAGACGAAATGGTCAAAGTTTAAGCCGTTAATTTAAAGGTCAACTAAAGTTGCCCGCTTTCATTACTACGGCGCGTTATTAATTGAGTGATCTTTCGGATATCAAGCGTACTTTTACTCGATATTTCAGCAAAAAAAGTTATACAGTACCTTCAAAAATACTGCTGTCTCATAATTTCAACACATGATGTCGTAAATGATCAAAAATTACGAGTAAGATAGGGAAAATCGGTCATGAATCAATGACGTACATATAGTCGTCTAAGCTGGTACTTTAAGGTCATTTAAGCATGCGCGCTCTTTTACAACAGCGTCGTTATTTGTGAAATGTTTTCATCCACACGTAAAGTGCATTTTTAATGCAGTGCTTATAAAAAAAGAAAACCACTTTGTACCTCTAAATTATATAATCCGTCCAGATCCGATGGACCAATAGAAATGATCATATTTGATGACAAATCCAGTTCTCTCAGTGCCGGAAAATATTCGAATTCTTTAGGCGCGATCGACTGGAAGAGATTGGCCTTCAACCGCAACGATTGTATGTTAATCAACGGAAACAATATATCCGATTTATGTGGAATATGCGAAATGGAATTCCAGCTCAAATCCAAATGTTTCAACCGCAATTTCTTAGCCAACTTAAACCGCTCAAAAACCGAATTCTTTAGAAATCCTTGAGTAAAAACTAGAGTCTCCAGTTGGACCGGCAAAGTACTCAGTGCATCGTTCGTAAAACGCGGGGATTCCGCTTCCTTCGTTGCGCAAAACGATAGATTTAAAAACTTTAGAGTTACCGGCAAAAGGTCAAAGGACGCTTTCGTTATGCGGGTGAAATTATTGCAGGCTAAGATTAGTTTCTCCAGTTTTCGTAAACGAGTGAGTCGCTCACCGGCGAATTTTCTTAGATTATTGTACGATATGTCTAGAAATTTTAAATTCTGATAATCATTGAAGGTGGCGCTGGAGTTCTCATAATCCTGGATTTGATCGAGGTTCAGCTGGTTGTGAGACAAGTTGAATTCCTCTAAAAATTCGGAAAAGGCCTCATTGCCACCCGCGGTGGGCAGCGCCCGCAGGTGGTTGCCCGATAGATCCAGAACGCGGAGCTTCTCGGATTGGGAGTCGGCAAAGATGTCGATCAGTGATAGATCATGGAAATTGTTGTCGGCTAACAGGAGCGTGCGGAGTTTTGGCAATCCAGCAAAGACACCCTTTACGCTGTAAATAGCCGGTTAAGAGTTAATAAATTCAACGGTTATTCTCCTTGTTTGTGTAAAGAAATTACCTGTATCTCTGAAAGAAAGAAAATAAGAAAATTTTTGAACTGTACAGTTACAAATTGATTACCCTTAAGGTGCCGCAATTTGTTGGTGCGAGATTACAGTAGAACGTATATACGCGCATCGGTATGTGCATCAGTGTATGTACTTGCATAATATTGACAAAGATGCCGCAATTTAGTTAGTTTAGTAGTAGTTAATTTTAGTTAGTAATAGTTTAGTAATATTTGGTTAGTTTAGTAATATTATGGTACATGTATATAATCTGTGCGTACGGATGTATAGGCAAAGTCATACATGTTAGTATATACGTACTTACTTCAGTAAATCGGTGCCGGTTAGATCCAAAAACTCCAAGCGATTAAACCCCCGAAACCCGGTCGTCAAAAAGGAGAAATCCCTAAACCGATTTCCCCGCAAATTCAGACTTCTGATCCTCCGCAATCTCTGCATCGCCGTAACGGTGTCCGTCGTGATGAGCAGCCCGTTATTGGACACATCCACTTCGCCGCCGTCACCGATATTCGTATCGGCGAAAAGCCGGTACAGCATTCGGGTACTGACATTTTCCGGTACAGCCGAAAAATCGTTATCGGTGAACTGCAGCGAATACAGCTTGGCTTCCGGGTAGATGGTCTTGTCATCTATAGTATCCAGCAGAAAGCGGGTGTGACTGATGCGCAGTGTCTGCAGATTGGGGAAGATATGGAAGAAGTGCGGCTGGATGTGGCGTAGGGTACCGTGGCTGAAAGAGAAGGTGTGCACCGTGGGAATGCGCGGCACTTCGTCGAAGTCGTTGATTAGCTCGGTGATGTTGGTGGCGTACAAGTGAATTGTCTCGATCCTGCAGAAAGGTGAAATTACATTGATCTCACAGATTGTAGAAACAGAACCGTTATGAAACCATATATATACCGGTAGCTTTGCGGATGACAAAATTGATGAATGGTGTTGACATGGTTGAACTAATTACTGTAACTTTAACATGAATGACATAGTTGAACTAATTACCTTTAACATGTTTAAATACATGTGCACTGTACTATATTGTAATGCTATAATATTCTATAATGTAGTACAGTGCACATGTATTTAAGAGTGCTAATTTGAACATTTTATTGTAAACTATATTACAATTTACAATACATCGTGGAAGACATGATATTGTACATAAAAATACTCACGTGTACTCCTGCGGCGCTTTTTCTACTTATACAGATATTTTGATTGAAATGGTTATGAGTTATGACGTATCCGCTTTACGCATGCGCGGGTATTAATTAAGGGAAGTGGCCCGGTACGTGGTACCAAAATCATGTACATGCTTTTTGGAATTTTCTAAGTGCCATAACTCCCGAACCGGATGTTGCGCGCACAAACGGTTTTCTCGCCTGTGTATGTGTATACAAATCATCTGACTACAGAATGTCATAAAACAAGAGAAAAAAGGGTTTGGGAGTGCGCGAAAGTAAAATATTTCCTGCATGTACACGATTTTGGTACCATGTACCGGGCCACTTCCCTTAAAAGCATCGTACAAGTACATAGACGTAACTATACAGTTAACGCAGTAAACACTGCAGATTGAATGAATCAAGCAGTTACATCAGTAATCACTTCCACAAAAGACACAAATCCATATCATGCAATGCACCAGTGCCAGAAAAGTAAATTATTTTGAGTTTATTACAGGAAAGTGTGCAGTATCAGCTGCACTGCAGTTGACCATAATTACTTATGCACGTAAGTGTACATGTACAGATGTACTTGCGGCAGGGGTACATGAATAATGAATACTCGAAAACAATAATATCGTGCTCGCAAATTAGGCGTGCAATTAACTTTAGTTAAATGACTTAATTCAGCATAATACGCTAACTATCTAAATGGAATTTGTTGGTACGAGAACAATTTAGCTTTACCAGTCGTAATAAGCAGCGCCATAAATTACTAAACTATTTAGTTATATTATGGTAATTAATTAGTATAGTTAGTTAATTAGTTAATTAAGTAGTTCGTATAGTTAGTTTAGTAATATTATGGCAGCGCATATTTTTTCTCAGTTGTAAAAAGTTGCGACAAAATTAAACAGACCTTACAAATGTGGCTTAAGGTTAACAATATCAACATGCTTTCTACCTACCCGTATAAAAAATTTGCCAAGACGAATCTCGCCTACCTGCCTACAATATAGAATAATATTCTAAAAGCACAATCAAATTTAGCGACCATCCGCCGAGGTTACCCTATTGTATATGTACATTACTGTACAGAAACTATTACATAATTCTTACAGTATACGTTGTACATACCCATGTGGCAGCAGTTCAGCCGGCATGTCCATCAACCGGGGACTGTTCATAATTTTCAAATCCTTCATTTTGCTCAAATCATTCAGTTCTGGAAACAGCACGAGGTTGCGGAGATTATCCAAATAAAGAGAAGTGATCTGGTTGGCCACCGTGGACAGAATGGTGGAGCCCAGTCGGCTTACTGCCGGTGAATTCCAAATGGTCAGTTCGAGGGACTGCGGCGAATCCTGATACACCATAATGTCGCTGTGTAAGGCATTTCCGTTGACGTCTTCGCAGATAATCTTGTAGACAGGTTGTGTACAATCCACATAGCAATGTCCCGATGGCAGGGTGGGACACTGCGCTAATGTTGCAGAGAAATGGCAATCACACAGAAATAAAACAAAAAATCTGATCACTGCTGTCATGATTATATCGCGCATATATATGTAAAATTAAATAAAAATAAGATTACAGATTTTTTAAAGAATTCTGCAAAATTAGCGGCAATTATCATTATTTTGGGGCATCTTTTAAACTCCGCGTACGGTAAAAAATATTTGGATTTAAGAGAAACTGTTGGCAGAAAACCAGAAATTAAAGTGCGCTTAAGATTGCCAACTGCCAAATGTACTATGTAGTATGTAAATGTTTGGTGTCAATAATGTGGAGTTTACAAATCAGTATGACAGCTGTGTGTAATTTACGGCCGGAAGCGCTATAAACATAAAACAATCTCTTATAAGAAGCAATCTCTTGCCCTTTAGCGATCGATTCACTTTCACAACTGGCATACAATTACAACTGACAGGTCGCAAATGAAACTTCTATTCTACTAATTTATGTATAAAAATTGTGCCGGAAGATACAACGCAACTTGTTCACATGTGAGAAAAGTGAAGCATCGAAGCATCAACAGCACCATAAAAACGTTTAGTTGTTTGGCTGGTTATGCGCAAAAGTGTGGAAATTGTCTTCTTTTTCATTTTATGCTTGCACGTTTGGAATTTAGCTCGCAGGCATGTGTCTGTATGTGTCCATAAATTAATTACACAATAATATTGGTCAGTGTTTCGTTTTCTCTATTAAACTGAAAACTTACGTCATGTTCATAAAACAAAATTAGCAGCCACCCGTAAATGGATTTATATTTAGAAAAGATTAAAAATACGAAAGGGTATATAAAAAAAATAATACAAAACATACCTCTGTATAAAAATGCTCCACGTATAAGTGAAGCGTACGTAAAACGCTCCACGTTTTACGTACACATGAAGTTTGTGTACGTAAAACATAATATGGAACTTGTGCTGTAAAAATAATTCACGTGTAAGCATTTCACACCGTATTTCCACTTTTACTGGCGTACATTTATTTCTTGTATTTTATGGAAACGTCGGATTCATTTTGTATATTGTACATAAACTATAAATCTGTAACAGCAGCGATAAGAATAAACGTCATATTAGCGGTACAATGGCTTCCGGTGCATAAAGTCTACAAAAACAGGTGGTTGACCTTTGCTATTGCAAGCAGCATGTTTTTAATGGCAAATCGTTCATTTTGTATGTGATAATGCGCATTCCGCTATTTCTCAGCAGAAAAGGGAGAAGGGTTGGGTCAGCAAATCCAGCTGATTACTCAAGTAGGTTCGTGGACAAAAACGCTGCAATCAGCACAGACAAGCGCGCAACATTGGTCACTGTGGTAGTATGTATCCAGGAAACTACACGTGATAGGGAAAACTGTTACATTTTGCACCGATTAGAATTTAGAAGAGCGCGGTAAGGTCCGCGGTGAAATAGCCAGCTATTGCATATGCATCACATCCACAATATGAGTTACATTTGGATTATTTTCTCTGCTGGAACGCTCTGGGTTGTCTTATCTAGTCTATCGCGTAAGTTATGTTTTTAATTCCGAATTCATTGTGAGTGGTAGGCGGTATGCCTTGACTTGAGGTACATGTACCATAATCTGTAAAAATACAGGTAGGATATTTTGCTCGCATTATGTTGTAATAGCACTGTGTTAATTTTGTTTATTACCGTCTACAACAGAACAGGTTACTGCCTTTGTAATGACAGTATGAAAATTCGTACAAGTACATGCTTTAATTATTGCACAATTAATTTTAACGGAAGAAATTTTCGTTGGGTACTTAACAATATGGCAGTCATCATGAAGGAGTTCGTTTTCTGAATATCTATATGATCAAAAAAGCGTACTAAACTACGTAAAATACATACACATGTAGTAAGCCAGAAAAAATTTCTGGACGTTTTACGTTGGGACTCTACTGCGCCTTGAAATAGGCTGTTTTTGTATCGCATGACACCTCGTAGATTGTGCAGTCAAAAGTAGTAAACGCGCACTGCATTGCAGTCGTACTTTGTATATTGTGCAGTATAGCAATCTTTTTTCTGGATTATTTTTTAGAGTTATCTGCTGAGCCAAATCGTCCACCACCGCAAATATGCGGCAAACCACAGGTTCCTCCATCCAAAGGTGTTCGTATTGTGGGCGGGGGCCCGGTGCAGAATAACAGCTGGCCATGGGCCTGCGCCTTGGTACAGGAAATACGCAGGGACAACCGGATGACCTACCGGCAGTTTTGTGACTGCACACTGGTATGTTTAAATTAGGAATACTATTATGTCACAAGCAACAAATGCAGCGTATACTACTCAACAATTTATAAGGGTTTGGGATTTTATAATATTATTCGTTATAAATATATCAGCTGTTAATGTATGCACAAATGTATTAATTTATGTTTAATGTTAATACATATTAAAGTGTTTTTACAAATTAATATGTGCTGTACATATTTTCATAATTAGCTACGAGCCCACGAGTATCAATGTATGTGCATGCATGGTAGTGCAAGTGTGTGTTAACTGACAAGCTTTTCACCCGATGACCTTACATTTTCCCGCCAAAATATTTGCAGATTGACATGTACTGGGTGGTAACCGCTGGGCACTGTAAACACGGCCTGTCCGATGCCCAGTTTGAGTACTACGTCAAAGTGTACCTGGGCGAGGAGAATCTGTTAACGGCCCGCGACAATTCCGCTCGCAGGTTTAACGTCTCTAGAGTGTTTCTGCACGAGAAGTACGTGCATGACATCAAGCACAACGACATTGCCCTGATACGGTTGAGCCGCCCCGTGGAGAAGTTCGATAACGATGTTATGCCGGCATGTCTGCCCAAGCGGCCCGTGCACGACGGAGAGTTCCAGGAGAGAGGACAGAATGGACGGAGGATTGCGTATTTAGGCGGATGGGGTCATACTCATGAAGGAGGCAAGTCAATGAACGCAGTGTGTAAAGGGACGATGATGTTAAATCCATGGATTATAATCATTATATATAGCGCATGGAATCACCACCCCTTTATACATATGATGCAGTTGCGATAGGATTACTTTTAAACACATTTTTTTATTACTAAATATATTTGTTGATTAATTTCAACGACGGGGTCAAATATATATTATACATGCTGTATAAATTGACCTTTAATCAATTATATTGCTTTGTTGATTATAGTACAAATTCGATGACTGCTTTTGTAGAAGGCAAAAACGGCGTGATAGGTTCAGGAACCGACAAACTAAAACAAGTCTCCGCGGAAGTCTACCATCACGTACGTACAATCTCGCTAATTCGCGCCCTTGGTTTCTAAATATTGGGATGTTGCTGTCTTATCATTTTTAACAATTTTCCTTTATATTGTCATGAATGCAGAACGAATGCCTGAACAGGCTGGGATACCGCATTACTAATACGATGGTGCGTATTATTATTCAAATTATTCAATTCAAATATATGTCGGTTGTTCACCATTGTTAAATCCTATGGTTAGCGTAGAGACCCGTCTTGATCTTCGTTACACGTCTGATTCTTAAACTGCCGGTGGTCGTAAGAACAGTATTCTACCGATATATACGTAATACCATATACTTGTACGTATCTGGTTTGCATAAGAGTGAAATTTTTAATTTTAAATAAATCTAGGCAGGGCTGCACCGGTATAACAATTTCTGACATTTAAACTTTGTTGCAGTTTTGCGCGGGATTTGACAGAGGAGGCAGAGACACTTGTCAAGGCGATTCAGGTACAAATAAATAATTTTGCGGTGTGTCTTACGATTAGCCGAACCACTCGACGACAGAGCCAAGAAAGTTGCATATTGTGCTGTACATGTTTACGGTCTGGTACAGGGGGGCCGTTGGTGGCGGATGAGGGGAACAACACATGGACACTACACGGCATCGTGTCCTGGGGAATCGGTTGCGCCCAGAGAAATTCCCCCGGCGTCTACACGCACGTTCACACCATGATGGACTGGATCGAGCAAAAGACCGGCCTCAACTTTGACAAATTCATACCCATGTCGCCGACCGAGGCCCTCAATGCGCCCGAGGTGCCACGACCCATTGTGTGATGCGATGACACGGGGTGGACAAAAGGTCGAGTTTGTTTACAACTGTATAGTCTGCATACACTGCGCATATCGATACTGAAAGATCACAAATGGTAGCAGAAAGCGCGAACGTCAAAATGTGTGTTCGTAATGTGTTGTTATAATTTAATTCAGCATGGAAACTGGAACGACTAACCATAAAATAAAATTGTTCAGGGCGAAATATGGAGTTTTCTAAATGTGTTTTGTACCACGAATCGGCGAAGCAAGGGAGGCAACTTTTGCCCAGATCCAAAAACAACGTCTTCCATGCTTTTTTTGCAGTTAGCACCTCAACTTTAGACAAAACTTTATTGCTTAACCAAATGTGTCAGACAACTTAAACTTGATACCGACTGAAAAACCCATTTCGAACAGAAGCAAGTAAAAAACAGTAACAAATAAAATCCTTAGTCCGCATTGTTCCACTAATTTTATGCATTAATAAATACGCAATGCACAAGCTGTTATTTAAACATCAAACACTCGACAAAATACTATGCATTAATAATTTTCAAACAATCCGATTGTTAAAACATATTGTACCTCACGCTCTACCAAACGTATCAAAACTCAGAAGCGACCAGGCGATGCTTTGATCGGGCGTCCCAACGGTGCACGCGGCACCGTCGGAAAGATAATGGACGGCTTGACGGCGGCGTGCTTCCACTGGTAGATATCCCACAGGTCGTCGCGGCTCAACAATCCGCACTAAAAATCAATGTGAAGGAAATTTTAAATTCACAGAACGTAAATTTAAATTCAAAAGCTAAAATTAACGTTCAAATTAAAAAAGTAAAAATTCAACGTTAAAATTTAAGTTCACATTAAAAAAAGTAAAAATTCAATTCTCATGCGGCACTGGAAATCGCAGTCGGACGGATAAAATGCTCACCTTCATGGGTCCGTTGGTCAGCTGCGGATCGGACATCAACGGGAAGCGGACAAAATGCAGCACCTCACCCAGAGCCTGGCGGAGATTCTCCGGAGACGGGTCCATGTCGTGCAGCTTGCAGTACTCGTTAGCCCATCTGTAAGAAATAACTTTCTGAAATACTACAACATGTACGGTAATTTGACCGCGTTGACGAGTGTATTTCATGGTTCAAGTCGGCGAATAATCCCCCCTATATTACCACTTTTACTGTATGTATTGTATAAAGAACATTTTGTTCTGCCTTTTAAAGAAAATTATTATTAGTACGAATTTTCAAAAAATAAGAGATAAGTTTTCGGATTAATAAAAGGCCTCTATCTACGTACGCCACTAGTCTGAAAAGAGAAAACTGCCAAAAAAATGAATTCATAGTTAATATCACCATTAAAATTAAGTACTCGTACAATATTCACAAAACAGCGACATGTGGTTCCGCGCGTATATTGTCATTAATACGAGTATCGTAACATCTTAGAAAATCCCAGTTTACACAGTGTCAACACGCAGTACAAGTACAGTACATTACTGAAGTATCTGATATCGTAAAATATATAAAATTTCGGATTAAAAAACACTCAAACATCACGAATAAAATATCAAATATTACGGCTGTCAAATACAATGTGCGGTATTACTGATTTAATAGGCATAAAATACAGGCCGAACAAAACATGATCTACATGATGCCGTTATCTGACCGGTCATAAAGCAGCTAGAGTAAAATGTGTGACACACATTTGCAGTGAGTACATACTTTTCGACAGCCTTGTAGACGACAATCTCCTCCACGTTCAGACTGTTCCGCTTGACAATCAGCCCCAGTGTCGCCTGTTTGACCGTATTCAGCTTGTCCGACTGCAGAATGGCCGCGCTGGATCCGTCCACGAATTCTAGACACTTCTCGATCATCGCCTCGGCATTCAAAGAAGCAGCCTGAAAAACGATTACCGTAATCGATAATTAATTAATCGACCATCCAAGGGTTATCACTAGTCACAACGCAGAATAAATCCATGATCATCTCTACAGTTATTCAACACACATTTTCCAAATTCGTCAGGCAATTCTCCAGTTTCAGCTGGCGCAGCAGGACGACAGAGCACTGCTCGGCCAATTGTGGAATGCCATATTTCTGCGCACAGTACAGTGTCGGATAAGCGTTCTCCTCCGACAAATTCTCCACAGCATCAGTATACACAAAGCTGCAAAATTTAAAAAGAACATACACAACGAATTATAAGCAAACAAAATTAAGGAAATACAAGCGGGATAATAAACCAGTAATAATAAATAAAGATTAATAAACAATAATAATTATTTTTACAGCAACCTTAAATTTAAATCTTTTTTTATAATTTTATTTACTGAGAGTAACTGTAGAAAATCTGGACGAAATACATAAATCAATGCTCAAAAGATATGGAATAAAAATATGGCGTGCCATTTTTATTCAAGTATTAAAAATAATTATCAAAAATTGAATTCATTTTCCGATTTCGTGCCTGAGCATGTTGGCAAACGCATCAGGATGGACGTCAGGAACATCGAACTCTTCCTTTTTGTCGTCCTTACTGTCTTCCGAACTTCCGTAAAACATGCTGTCAAACACTGCACTGCTGATGCTCAGCACGTACCTACCAAAACAAACCACCGTGACTTCTACGGTTTTTCCGTACTTTTGCTCCTGCTTGTTTGTTTTCTTGATCTTCTATACAAATTTACTGATCTGATCTTCCATACAAATTTTCTTAAAAGTTAAAATTGCCTACTTGTGTGCGCGGAAGGTCTCCGCTTCCCCATGTTGGCTGCCCACCGTGAACTGCACATCGCTGCGCTCCCCCGTTTTCAGCGTGTGCTTGACACGGTTGGCGACCCCGCGGGTTGTGGCCTGCCATTGGCGAACGGTTTCACAACTTTCACTGGTCGACATGATGGCTGATTCGAGTGATGCTGTGGGAAAATAGATAACAAAACTCTCGATGCGATGTCCTACAAGCAGTGCAATGGCCAAGTTCAGCGAAACACTCTGCCAGATGAAAAACGAAGAAAGGAAAATGCGCAACCTCGGATAAAAAGACTCTACCGAGAAAGTCAGAAAAAAGAGATTCTGACTTCAGATTTCGGCCGCTGACAGCAGTAAAGAATGCAGATATGCGGATTTAACGAGCAGGAAAAAACGCGTTTAAAAGTTTAAACAGAACGCCGCTGATTGGCTGATCTCATCGTACATTCAGCGCGTACGTACAAACGTTCGGTCTGGGCTGTGGCTCTTGTGCACCGTGTAAGTGATCACGTGCTAGCCGCAAGGCAAGCGTCATATAAATAGCCAGCCCACACGTCATTTTCGCCGGTGTTGAATTTTTCAGCTTTCACAGCCTTTCACTGTTCAGTGTTCTTGTTAAATTTCAACTTAACCTGCACGGTTTCTTCCTGGTAGTTTGCCACGATTTCCTACCGTGCCTGCGGGATTTTTGCCGCCGATTTCAGTGTTTTCTTTTATTGTTTAGTCAGCAGTGTCGCGTTGATCGTTATCCACTCACCATGTCGACCAGCGTCAGTGCTTGGCAAGCCACAGTGCGCGGGGTCGCCGCGCGTGTCAAACACAGTCTGGTCACCGGGGAGCGCAGCGATGTGCAGTTCCATGTAGGACGAGAGCATGGAGAAGTCCAGACCTTCCGCGCCCATAAGTACGCCAGTAGAATAGTCTTACAAGTAGTCAAATCAGCGTGATCCTGATGAGTCCCTGGAGTAAATTTACGCTTTTCTGATAGATAATTTCACGCTTTTTCATAGGTACGTGCTGAGCATCAGCAGCGCGGTGTTCGACACCATGTTCTATGGAGCGATGGCGGCTGACGCTGCCAGCAAGGAAGAATCGGACGGTGTGGATGACGCTCGCAACAAGGACGAGCTGGAGATTCCGGAAATTCTCCCTGAAGCCTTCGGCAACATGCTCAGGTGCGTACGTGCAGTGTGCAAGCGAAATCCAGGCATAGGTTTTTTGAATTTCCTCCGAAACACGAGCACTGACTGGGAAATCGGAAAATTTGTGCTTTCAGAATTGAAAATTTAATGTAATTTCTTTTCGTTTCCTTTTTAAATTTAATAGTGTTCTGAATTAATAATGATTTTAATTTCAGTAATTAATTTATTATCGTCATTCTGTTTTTCACGATATTTCATAATAACAGGTTCTCAAATAAATGCAACGAAACGATTATCACTGATTGTGATTTAAAATTTCCACAATTCATGATGTCTTCAGAAATACGCTTATATATGAAAGCACAATTAATAAATTTTTACGGCTGAAAAGCATTGCTGTATTTTCGTTGGGATGGTCTGCTGAAAATGTTATTTATTCGCCGATATGCTGTGTCTGTAGATTAAATACAACAGTGAATGTACTACCAGTAATTTAATCTGAAGTTTGTTAACATTTGCAGCTTCATGTATACCGACTGCGTGGAGAATCTGTCGGAGGAGAACGCTTTCCAGACACTGTACTGCGCGCAGAAGTACGACCTTCCGTTGTTGTCGGAGCAGTGCACGGCCTTCCTTCTCCGCCAGCTGAAAGCGGAGAACTGCCTGCTGAATTTGGAAAATGTACGTTCGTTATTAGCGGTTAATCGGATTGCTTCATGTCAATAGTTCATCATTTTTAATTGATTTCATTTGCAGGCCATGTTTTTGGATGCCGAGTCCGTGGTGGAGAAGTGTCTGGAGTTTGTCGACGGGGCGGGTCAGGCGGTGCTGCAGTCGGAGCAGCTGGTGGCGGTCAAGCACGCCACACTGGCCCTGATTGTCAACCGTAACAGTCTGGATGTGGACGAGAACGTGGTGTACACGGCGGTCGAGAAGTAAGTTGTGTGCCGCTCTCTTGTCAGACGGTTTAGAAAGGCGACCTGTTCTGGTCGCGTGAGGCCGTATCCGTACTGATTATAGGTCGTTTGAGGTGATTCGTCAATACTGATATTTCAGATATTAACTTAGCGTTGTCGCATGTGATCTTGTTTCGATGATTGTTTTATAAGTGAATTAGATTTAAATTTTAATCGCATTTAAGTTGTAGTTTGACTTGAAACTTTCACAGCTCGCCTCACGTATTGAAACGATAAAAATTCTGACATTAAGAAAATAACCACAATATTTCCATACATTTTTCATAATATTTAAGTTTTTCCAATTTATTGAGTGGGTACTTGATTGTAGATGGTGATGCGGCAATGTTTACTACGGCATCATTTTGTTTTTGCAGATGGGCTAAGGAATTCTGCAAGCAGAAGGACCTGGAACCGACTCCCGAAAATCTCCGCGAGGTGCTGGGCGAGATCCTGCGTTGTGTTCGTTTCCCTCTGATGACCGATCGTCAACTGGCTGACGGTCCCGTGAAGGTTGGTTCAGTTCAATTAGGTTTTTATAGGCTATCAATTATACGTGCGTAACTTCGCTTCGAATTTCAATGTATATTCTGATTATCATAAAATACCAATTAAATTGTAATTATAGTAATTTCATCCGGTTTACGTGCCTTTTTCTGGTACATATTTGACTAGTGAATTGAAATAATGACTAATTGACAGTAATTGTTGTTCCATTGAAGTACATTTCCAGTTAAAATTGAACTTGTGGCTTTGTAATTTAAGCTTGGTTTTGCCGTCACTTTTTTGCGTTCCTTGACCGGGCATATATTGGAGTAGTAAATGGAACTTATAATAACGATAAATTTACTTTTATGTATATTGACTTGCATTTTGTTCATGACATGCATGTTTTGTTTGCAGTGCGGTTTGCTGAGCCGCGACGAACTGTGGGATATCTACGAGTGGAAGCACGCGGCCGTCAAGCCGCAGCTGGCCTTCCCCTCCGCCCCGCGCCAACCCGTGGCCCCGCGACGCACCTTCCCCTGCGTGGCCAACGACGAGGTGTTCGTGCGCGGCACCGACGCGCGCTGGTACCCGGCCGTGTACCAGCAGGCCGTCGTCGGCAACGGGCACTACGCCGTCGTCTGGTGCGAGAACGGCGACAAGGAGGATGTGCCGGCCTACACGGTGGTCCCGGCGGCGGCCATCCTGAAGAAGGGGCAGGCGGTGCGCTACTGCACGGAGAAGTGCATCACCAACGACCACTCGGGCTACATGGAGGGCGCCTACCGCATGCGCCACGGGTTCGCCCGCAGCAAACGCCATGTGGTGGACGGAGTGACCGGGGAGGCGATCGTCGGCTTCGACCGGATGCTGTTGGATGATCACGTGGTGAATAAGTGGCTGCTGGCCGAGGGGAAGCCGCAGAATGGTGCGCAGTAGATGGGATCGGCTGAGTGGTGCGCGATGACTGCAGTGTTGAGTGGTTTTTCGGGAGATGAGTCGTTTCCTTGGTTGTTACGTGTTCGGAGTACAGTAGTCGTTGTGTTTCTGATTGTTTGATGAGTACTCGTTGTTTGCGTGGTTTCGTGTTGTTTTTTTATGGATTATTAACCTCTGTTTTTGTCTAATGCCGGACATTGTCGCTCATTATATGATTTTAGCTTCATTTGGTTTTATTAAAAAGCAGCGCCTCCCGACTCTGGTGCGATTTGTGATGGAAGTTGCACACACGCTTTAATGCTTTAAAAATTGTTAAAATTCAGTAGTCATTCATTTCACTGATAATTCCCGGAAAGTTTTTTTGAAAATACGAAAATCGACAAAAGAGTAATTATTTAAGTTGCCGTTAATTTTACAGATAAGTTTCTAGAAAAATTTTGAAATTCGTCTTTATTCCACAAACGAGAATAGACAAAATGCAAGTTCGAATATTTTGTATTTCCCAACGATGAAATAATATTTGTTATAAATTTATAATTCCACGAAAAAAGTGCAGTTTGAAATTCTATTTGAAATCCTGAATAATGGCCGTTCTCCACAAGTTGCGCTGTGTCATAGTATCAAACAGAAAGAAATAGAAACACGTTTCTCCGATGCATGGAATATTGATAAATAAACACGGCAGCCGCATCGTAAGTCAGTAATCGGCAACGGTATAATACGTTAAGCGTGGGAAGCCGACGTCACGCGTGTTGACACTGACACCCGCGCTGACCGGTTACGCAAATGACCATACGCGTGATGCGGGACGTCAGGTGACTGGTGGAGCGTTGCGCGTTGCAAACCACAACACGCCGCGCCGGCCAGTTGACCCCCGGCGACGGTGGCGCCTATAGCCGGGAAAAACATTGGCGGTGAAAAGGAACCGGTAGCGTATATACTGTATACAGTTAGAAAAGCTTGCCTAAACATAATCATCAGTTCAATGTATTGTTGATACAATTGTCCACAGTGGTGAAGAAAGCAAAACGTGCTGGCGCCGCCACTTTTTCTTAAGCTTCGATGTAGCAGGATCTCCTGTTCGGCGATGAACAACGCGACATTGTGTACGGCAAAATGCCGGCGTTTATGCTGGGATCAGCAGTGACTAGGACATTCTATTGTCACGCCATGGCAATGACAATGATGGTTACGCGGTAATATAATTTTTTCGCCGGCTGCTGTTTTTTTTCCTGCGTTCTGGCTTATCATGTCTACCGCGCCTGTAATTAATCATATGGCAGCGACGCCGTCGAATGCACGGTATAATTGGTGCTGTTGATGTTGTTTTTTCCTCCAGCAGCCCTTACGGGAATAGGGTGACCTAAAGGTCACGCGGCTTATTGTTGCCTAATATGGACGATTTACGGAGGAAATGGATTGTTGTTTATTGTGCGATTTTTGCCGGTTGGCTCAATTGTGTATTTGCTCAAAGTAAGTGCGCATATACTGGTACATAGGTGCGATTGAGTGTGAACTGCAAGTATATTTCGGCTAATTTAGCGTGATACAATTTATCTTCGCTGATAGTAAAGCAGAAAAGAGGTAATTTAACAATGTGTACATATATAGTGATGAAGAATGTAATAGATTTCAAATTTATTATTAATTTTTCAAATAAATGTTATATATAAATTATGTACTATATATAGTAAATATATATTTATAGTTACTGACATTCGCCCGATGAGGCAGCTCGCAAAGTTCCATGCGTTTGTGGTTTCAGCTTGCGGCGGATTTCTGGCGAATGCGGGAATGTTCTGGTATCCGCAGAATTATCCCGGAAATTATCCCGATTATGCCGAATGCCGGTGGACAATAACCGTTCCGCCGGGCAATGTGGTAAACTTTGAAAGCTTTTTAGACAAATTTTAAGCGAAATGTTTTTGTGGCATGAACGTATATACTCTGTATATAATACTGATCAAATATTTTCAAAAAATAAATTTTGAATTTCTAATTAATAAAACTGGCGGAAAATTCTGCGCTGTTCGCGGAAGAACTTACGAGCCGGCATCTGCATACCTCAGTAATTAATTGCCATGATTCGACAAGAATAGTTTGATAGTAAAAGCATTAACCATAAGGAAAAAAAACTGATTTTCTTAACAGTGTACGGTATTATGCGGTTTTGTTAATTAGGTACAAATTCAGTTTACGGAGCCGTATGGAATTCCCGGTCGGGACTTCTTAGCCGTCGTGGATGGACAGTATGCTAACCAGCTGGGTCCGGCCTGTAGTCTCAAGGATTACTTCGCACTCGGTCCACAGGGCCAAGCTTTTATTCGTAAGCATAAAAAATACCGTACTATTTATTAATTCCTACTATATCAAATTCTGTTATGTAGAATTTACGTTAATGTTTCGCTCTGGAAAACGTCGTATTACAACAAAAAGTAAAAAAGCATTTTTGGATCATAGCACACTCGTACATAGTTGTTGTCGTAGTACAGCGGCTACAGTTTTCCAAAGACCAGTTTTAAAAGCCCATGTTAAGACGTCTCAGCATACTGCAGATACGTATTTTTTTCTGCCATATATTTGTTAATTACTGTACTCTCCTTCCTCTTATTATTTATTGCACTGCAATTATAAACAAAGTCAAATATAATATACCTGACTCCAAATCCCCATGGGATGATTGGAAAACAGTTCTGATAAATTACGCTGGATTTGCGTTCAGTATAAACGAATTAATCCCAGCATTCTGGATAATAAACAGTTATCCGCGCCGACAAAGCCGACTTCAACATCTTCACTTCCACCACCAACAGCCTCATCGCCGTCTTCTGCGCCCAGGGCCAGCGCGGCTCCCACATCCCCCGCAAGGGCTTCCGCGCCCAGTTCTTCCCGGTGGCGTCCGGTTTCGCGCCGACACCTTCACCGTTCTTTCCCACCACCGTCCCGCCCTTCTTCCCCTGGACGCCGCCGCCACCCCAGCCCGTGACCTTTCCCACGGCGCCCCCGGTGACCACCGCCTTCCCGTGGACGGTGGCGCCGCCGCCTTCCGCCGATTGCGGGGTGCCGGTGGTGCAGCCCGGACAGGCCCGCATTATCGGCGGTCATCCGGCCACGCTGGGCTCCTGGCCGTATATGGTGGCGCTGGTCGATGCACGCTACAATGGTACGCTGAGTTATTTATGCATGCAGCGTTTTGTAGTGCGATTTTCAATAATTAGAAACCACAAAATTAATTAAAGAAACGCAAAACAAAATAGTGAAAATGAAATAATAAGTTAATACATAAATAAAGAATAATAAAATTAATTAGAGAAAATAGAAATTGAAAAAGTGGTATTACCGCATTTTTACTACATTCGTATAAAAGCACCGGCTACGCCCATTAGGTTTTATTAGGCGATAACTAGACAAGAAAACGGAGGTGTAAACGCTGCCACAGTACTACATCATTATACTACAGTACTCGTATTGTACATCATATTAAACTGTAATAATAAACTGTTTGTTTCTTTCAGGTCAATTTTGTGGCGGTGTCCTTTTAGACCAGAACTGGGTTTTAACGGCAGCGCATTGCACTGTTGAGTAAGCAAACCGTATTTTGTTAATTACTTCGCTTAACCGCAGTCAAGTAGTCGAGAAATTAGTCAAGAAAGGATTGCTGTGAGCGCCATTGTCTCATATTTACTGTAGTAATTAATTTTTTTAGCGTGATTATAATGCAGTGGTAGTACGAGCTTCACATCACAACGAAATAACGCCAAATTGTTCTTTAAGTAAGCCGGCGCAGAACCTGTTGCTGCGCGTGGGAGCCACCGACTTCAACGCGTCCGTCGGGGATCCGGCACGCGGCACGGACTATCGAGCGGCATTCTCCATCGTCAATCCCAATTTCAACAGCCAGAGTTTCAGTAACGATATCGCACTGATTCGGCTATCCACGCCGGTGACCTTTAGCACTTTCGTTAAACCCATCTGCATGCCGACGGAAGCGCCTTCACCAGGGGTAAAAATGCTCTAATAATACCGCCGGTTTACGGTAAACTGGTAAAGATATCTGTATAATACACTGTAACATTCACTTTTTGTCGTGTTACCTGCAGATGTGTAGTTCCTGAATAGGTTTTGATAAAAACATCTTTTAACCTATTATAGACCGTTTGCTACATTGCTGGATATGGTTTGACAACGCCGATGCAGCGCAAAAAACGTAAGAAGTAATTAGACTGAAACCTTTAACGTGCGTATTTGATACATTATTAAAATCACTTTTAAACAGCAAAAATTGACTACGTAGTATTAAGAATATATTTACCTACTGGCTGCTGTGTATGTGCGATACAATATACAGACATATGGCGATACAATAGTTGCAAGAAATAATTGCAAGCTCGGGACAGTTGCCAGTACTGAAATAATTTAGATACTTACTGTATTACTGTATTTCTGGCTACTTTTAAAGGTCAAGTGAGTGTTACGGCCAGTGGGTCCAGCCGATTGATGGAAACGGATGTTCCGTTGGTGCCGCAGTCCACCTGTCAGACATTCTTCAACCAAGCCTTTCCCGGACTGATTACGCTGACAAACAGCCATGTTTGTGCCGGGAGCATCTATCCGGTGTCACACGATAGCTGCAACGGCGATTCAGGTTGAAATTACCCTTCTTGCATGGTGGATTCACAATAAACGAGGCAGTATTTCCGTAAATAACAGCGGCAGTTTGCTATAGGTGGTCCGTTAATCTGTCGGCGCCAGAACCATTTCGAGATCGTTGGACTAACATCCTTCGGTGTAGGTAAGGTCAAAACGAGACTGCTTTCACTAAAATTAATAGGAGAGGAACTTAATTACAGGCAATTAATCTCTAATTTTTTTCTTCAAAATAGTTTCGATAAAATTGTTTTATTTGTTTCAGGCTGCGGACGAAGTGATGTTTTCGGTAAGTACATAAGACTGAGTGCAAACACTGAAATTTGTGTGCTGCAAGATTGTTTCGATAGGCAAAACGTTACACATCGCATTACAGGTAGTAATTATATGTAATTATACAAAATAAAATGACTGTTGTGATCTGCAGTAATTATTAACAATTTTATTTGTGCATTTGTGAAGTCTAGCTAACGGAGCGTAATTTTCAGGAGCATACACGAACGTGTGGCAGATGATGTCGTGGGTGAATTCCGTACGCGGTGTACAGTCGACCGATCAGTCAAATTCTCCGGTCGTGATCAGATTTGGCTAAATAATGTAAACCATTCTATGTGTATGCGAACGAGTGAATCGGTGTGCCGGAAATAAAATTTCAAATGTGTGCAATACACCGTACAACAGAGATCTCAGTGTGGCTTAACGTAACAAGATATTTTAATCGTAAATATTGTGTGTAGCGATGCGTACAGATGCAGTTGTTGTAGCGGTTTTATAAACTTATACCCAGTTTTATGCACAACGGAATCTAAAAATAAATTCAGGATGATCTTGTTGAATTCTAAGGGTGGATACTAAGGGTTACGGCAAAAATATTTTCAGAACAAAATGGCATGAAGGTGTTAAGCGGTTTTCTTTAAAATGCCCACGTGCATGCCAAAGTGATCATTATCTACAGCAAACAAAGACTGAGTACAAAATTGAGATCCATCGTACATCTGCATATATATTATGCAAGAAAGTAGATGGCATTTACCGCTAGTTTTGTACAAGCCGCGAACAGCCGTTACTGGCTCTTGGATAATTTTGTAACCGGAAGTGACTGCAGTATTCGTTTACATTGTGCAATACACAGTTGCGTTCATACTTGTATAGTAAAATATAAATATACATACATACAGTTAACGATGCATTTGTCAGAATCATATGGATTAGATACCGAAGTACAGTATTTAAAAAGCGATACTATAAGACCATGATTGTTGCACCGCGGAGATATCCCCATCCGCACAGTATCGCCACGGCGAGGTGGTTGTGATACTGCGCATCATATATGCCAGCAACTTGATTAAGGTCACCGGCGGACACCTTCGGCGGCGTGATGGTACAGGAAACTGGGCCACGGTGTATTATGCAGAGTGGATGCATAATACGTAACGGTGGCCCGCTTATCCTCATCCGCCGGTTCGCGGTGGCCGGGTCCAGCCCAGCTGGCGCCTGGTACCTGTCGACGGAATTATTGGCAGTTACGTTTTGTTACATACTCGTACATACAGACTCTGTATAAACAATTATCGAACAGTTGTCATGAACGTTAGCATTGCTGTATCTACTTTTTAACAGTGCTACTTACACTAGCTCATATAATATGTATTTGTAGACAATATTAATTTTGCTATTTTACAATTTTATTTAACTACAAATAAAAAAACAACAAAATACCGATTGTGTATTGGTGAATTTGGTGTTACTTACAAATATTTTATTTGTATAGCGTTAAGCATCAACAGTTTGGTCTGATATACATAATGAACCCTAGAGTAGACTGCCAGGTTGGTTTCTAACCTCCAGAACGCTTCACCAAGTTATTGTTATCCCGCGAATACAGGCAGTTCTCCGATAATTGCCCATCGTCGATAATTTCGCTCGGTTTCGTTAATGTTCTGGCGCTGCTAAAATTCAGCACACATCCTGCAAAGAATAATTTTGTAATGTGCTGTAAATTAACGTAAACTGTTATATGTAAACGCATTCAGTCCGGTGTAATTAATATGGACGACAATCGTTTACGTTGTTTTACGAGCATATTATTAATATTGTATTCTAGATCACATTACATTAAGCAATTAAAACAAAGGTGGCTCGAAAAATATTCTTACCAATGACTAGCAAGATAAAAGGCAGCATCCAGCATAGTTTTAGATGCCTCGACATTTTGTCGCAACCGTGATTGATCCAATTAATCCCGAATAATTATCTCATGTAACACGCGTAATATCGATTACGTTACTGGCAGCCATAATAATTATTTATAAAATTTGATGCTCCGTCGTGCGGTGTTCCCAGTGGCGCATGCATCGGTGGTTCACCTTCGATGTTCTGGTTATGCCACTATTCGCGATGCGCTCAGCGCACGTGATAGTTATAACAGTAACTGTTAAGATCTGGAATTAACGTTCAAAGGTCACTCAGAGTAACCGAGTTTGGATGGCGCGAATACCACTTACAGTGGACGGGAAAACCGATGAGAATTCGCTCGTCAGTTTAATATAAGTACGTACGAGCATGTACAACTATAAGTGTATGGATTTGGTATACAACTCCAGTCACCGTATCGCGGTTTTATACAAGCTGTAAAAGTATTTTAGCAGGTAATACTTTTGGTATTTGTTTAAAAAATACAGTTTTTTGGCGAGACATTCAATGCTACCGATCAGCTGTATGCGATTTCGTAGTTCAACCGTACCGCGTGCCGTACGTACTGGAAATTTTACTGTAGCAAATGCTAAGGATGTGTACTTGCATCTTGAGAATCGTATACAAAACTCGTAGTACACTTTAGTTTTTGCCACCTAAAAATGATGCGTGCAATATCCTGCAGCGCAAATTGTGCAATTAAAGGTGCCGAAGGCCCCAAATGCGATAAGAACAACTCATTTACGAGTACTAGTATGGGTTGCTTTAATGATATTGGCTATTTGCAGCACGTATCTGTTTGGAAATGATTGGTATTTAAAAAAGGAACTTTACTTCTGTAAAGTGCCATAACTGTACATAATTGCATTAACTGTAGAAGTATTGTTTGCTTCTAAATTTCACTATCAGTGCCATCGATACCAAATCTATCCCCGAATGATCCGACCCGAGCAAAAGAGGTTTCATTATTAATATCAAACACATAACAATCAAACAATTCCTCAGTTTACGCTTGTACTAAAAAATAACGATAACGGAAAGTAAGATAACATAAAATATGGAACATATTAAATTATTGTTGTGATTTATTCGCAACAGCCATCCAGTTTATAAAAATTGCGAGCGCTGGTACACTACTTGATTATATAGTTAAAATTTAAACATTAAAAACACCAAATTTGGTTAGATGGATGCGCTGCTGGACACGACGCCGGCACAACAGGCAGTACAGCAGGCACACACCGCGCAGAACAACATACACGGGAAGATGATCACAGCCGGGATCGTCACAACCAGTCCCAGTATCTGCAATGCATGCACCAACAATTAATACATGATATCTGCACAAAACATCGGGTAAAAGCCCCTAGCAAACGAAGGTAGAAGAGGTCAACAAAGATGCTACAAACGATCAATTCAAAACCGTTCAAAATTAATCACGATATGGGATTTAAAACGTCTCGGTAATTGTAATTGTGCACCTACCGCAGAATAATACATATGCAACGACATTTCCTTGTTTAGCGAGTCAAAGTACAGCTGGAAACTGGTGTATAATAATCCAATCGCTATCGCTAGCGGAATAAGAGAGACCTAAGAACGGAATGAAATCATGTCATTATTAATATTCAGAGTCGTACGAGCCCTGTATGTATATTTTATCGGTGAAGTTAACGAGGTAAATACCGGCTATTGCCAAAAAGCCCAAAATAAAGTACAAATTAAATACAGTAGAAATTCTTCACGAAGATACCGTACAGATGTACGGAATAGTTAACTAATAAAGTTGATATACTGCGGTATGTCAGTACCTCGCGTTCATTATAAACCTCGTATTCGTTATTATCAAGATTATTCTAATTATAAAAGGACGTTGTACCAGAAATTCAAAGATGCATCGGCAACCCATTTTGCATCCTGTGGCCTGTCCACTTTCGGGGTCCTGATCTTTGCCGGCCCGTAATTTGGTAATGAAATCGTTGTGCGAGGAGCGGAAGATGGCGCCCAAGAGGAAGGCATATCCTAGTGCCGCGTGCCATTTCCACAGAGCGGGAATATCCGCTGCCGGCACGCCCATGTCCACCATGTGCTTGGTGGCCAGTGCCGGCACCGCCGTCACGGCAGCCTATTATTCGTATGGGTAATTTAAGCGGGAAGATGATAAAATGCATGCACTAGTGCACGCAATGCACAGTGCATTTGTGCAACATTAGTTTGTTAAAAAGGTTTTACATAACATTTTGTGACATTGGTAAAGCATCAAATCTGTTGCAAAATTGATTTATATCTAATTTTATGCCTGAATTATTGCATTATATTCGTATAAGCAATATACTTTCATCGACGTACATGTACGGATCAGCAAAATAATTAATTAAAATACATAGTAATTATTATTGCGCATGGTTTGCATATAAAAAGAACGATACCGCGTATATATGTACGGTATATTTATTTACAGTACAGAATACTACGCTGCGCAGTAGAATGCTTTCTTGTAAAAGAATATCTTACCAAATATGCGAGGGCGAAGATCAGGTAGCAGCATCCGCAGCACAAAAGACAAATACCTGCCATTATTACAGAAAATTGTAATACGCTTTTCAAAATACTTGCAAAAATGTTTTGCTTCAAGCACTATTACAGTAGACAATACAGGGTTTACGGCAAAATAGAAAACTGGGTATTCGCACCGGCAGCGCAACACGCATTTGCCACAGCAGTTTCTTCGTCTCCCATCGCGACGGTGTGCAAGCGTCACGCAAAATACCGATAAAACTGTGTACAACTGATAAGGAGTGTAAACATTGCGCCAACAGATTAGAATTTCGCCGGGATATATTGTCCCGCTCGTATTTTGTAGCATGTAGATTATTAATAAAATTATCGCTTGTGAGCTACGTATAGCAAAGCCTGGATTTTATAAAATGCAGTCTTTGCATAATCCATGTATACCGGCATTTTGTTGACCGTACCGGCACTGACGCGACACAATATAAATAGACGAGCACAACTGTACGTACACTGCAGCTATGTATACTCAATGCGTTTTATTCAGAGCGTGCGGCTGAGTCAGCATAAAACATAACAGAAAGAAATGACAACAAACCGGAGAAAATTTGCATGAGTGTGTATACTTGAGTCCAGTAACAAAAACATTTTTATCCCGTTTGAAATCTAACGGTTTTGTAGCATTTGCGACGCTGTTAGCAATCGGGTGTATCATGTTCATGAATCATAAAACTTTTATGATTCACGCCGCTGACACGTGAAAATCCACAGTACTAGTATTAAAAAAATTTAAATGATTACAACAAGCAACGTGGAACAATTACGCAGAAATGCAGTAAAATCATGATTTTCCGGGCGTTGCCGGTTAGAGTTCGTTGCGGGACGTTAGGGAAGCGATTCCGCCCACAACACCGGCGCAGCACGCGCAGAATGCACAGCAGATAGTTATGGGAATGACCAGCAGGGCGGTCAGCGAGACGACCATACCGAGAATCTGAAAAACAAGAAATGGTTAAAAATATGATTAAATTATGGACATGTGAGACGAGAGAATATCGATTACCGCGGAGTAGAAAAGATGGTCGTTGCGCTTATAGTGGGCATCACTGTGCTCGTAGTAAATCTTGAAGCTGGTCACACAAAGGCCAATGGTCATGCCCAAGCCCAGTAAAGAAACCTGAAGAAATTATATTATTTGTTTTCACCAGTTTTTCGTCATCGATCAGAACATAATACAAGCATACCAATACTTTCCACAACATAATGTTATATTCATCTAAGAAATTTACTGTAGGCAAAATTTGGGACATTTAAGAAATACGAACAGTCTACGTATATTTAAAAAAGATATAAATATCAAATAACAAATAAATAAATATTCATATGAACATATAAATAAATATTCATCTTAATTGCGACTAAAAATTTGTTGTGGCAAATTTAACCAACAAAAAATGGCCCGCTACAGTTTGTAATGCTGGTTTGGTTGTATTCAGTGTCGGCAGTGAAAGCCCTAGCCAGCCTTGCGGCAACAATTTCCATTAACAATGAATAAAATTCTGTGCATAATTTAATGGCACTGGTACGGTATTATCTATCCGGGAAACGGATAGATTTTATTGGTCTATTAGTCGACTGATATATTGTGCTAAGACACGTACCAAAAGTTCCCAGCAGCAGTTGAAGCTGGGCTTCATCTGCACTTGGCCCACGCCCTCCACATCGCCCTCTTTCCGTCCCCGCAACAGGCCGGTAACGAAGCTGTTGCGGCATCCGCGCATAATGGACATCAGCAGGAGTCCGTAGCCGAGACCGGCGTGCCATTTGTACAGCGCCGGCGTGTCCTCCATCGACCGTCCCATGTCCACCATCGCCTTCGTGGCTAGCGCCGGCGAGGCTACCGTAGCTGCCTGTATAAAGTTGTACGCATAAAGTACCATATATATACAAAATTAATAATTGTTAGCGGAGTCATTCGATCATGATTACTAGTGATAATTATCAGCTTATTTTCGTAATTGTTATTAATTTCGTTCATGTGCATACAGATTTACTCATACGTTATATTAACGACGAAAACAATATAACTAAAAATTACTAAGCTATCATTTCGCTAAATTAAACGTGAAAACTATTGGTTGTGATAAAAAGAAACTTATTTTATGTCATATAAAATAGTACCATAGCAAATGACAACAACTTAATGTACTCTGTACCTATGCAGACATGTTTAGCTTTATGATATATGTAGCATGTTCACATATCTACATATTTGCCGGAGAAAATTAGAAAAACTTATTAAAGAAACGAAAGATATTGATTAAGCAGAGGCGCGACTACTTACCAAGTAAAACAAGAAGAATATTGTGTACAAGCACCCGCAACAAATAGCACATAATCCGGCTTCCATTTTAGAATAACGGTGATGAAACTGAGGGACTTCTACAGATTTTCCGGCTTGTCCCGTGCAAAATTAGTAAGAAGAAAAAAAGTTCAGAAAATGTTTTAAAATATCCTTACAAATAAAAATCATCAACCGTCTGCTTTCTTGCAACACGATTAACTGTAAGCTGCACCACAGCTTTTCATCAGTTTTCCTCCAGCGCTACTGTACCGACATCTCTAAAGAAAAACCGGCTGGAAGCATGTACAAATTGTACATCGAGCATTCATAAGTACAGACAGTTTTGTATATAGCAATGATGAATAGATTCGTCTTTGGCCGCGCTACTGACTCAGTCACACTCGGCTAAGTTCACGCCCAAATACAGACTCCGTGGAATTTTGACGCGCCATCCAAACCGGTTTTTTTTTCGGACGAATATATTTGCTGCTGCTGTCTTTGATCCAACAAGCGGCTACAGTGCCCGGCATTAAATCCGTTGAATAGATGCCTTGTCGCCGCTGTCTTCCGGTGGCAGGTTGACCAGCGATTGGCCTAGTAGCGCAACGTGCTTAAGCGTGTTGGTGTGTAGAACCTGTCAAACTTCGTATCATCACCATTTACCGCACTTTATCATTGTACAGCTTTAGTTGCTTTCATTTTGTTACTGTACTCTAGCGTGCAACGGCTGATCAAGTGCCTTACTGAAAAAAACACAGCTACGCTGATTCCACAATTACGATAAACGTCCGTTAAACTACTTACAGTTAATCCCAGTTATATTCTGTGTTTGCAGTTTACCTGTACAACTTACTTTAATTTCCTCTGTAAAGTGCTATAGAAAAATTGTTGTTGTTATAGAAATGAATTATAAATTGTTATAAATAGTTATGAATTGTTATAAATAATTATAAATTGTTATAGAAAAATACCGCCTTCTTGAAACAACGCATTAGTTTAGCGATAATGAAGGGAAACACTGCCGCTGTGTTAGGCACTTTGCCGGGCAGAAGCAAATTTGATGATTTTGGTTGTTTTTGGAATTTGTAACCGTAGTATAATCGTTGTTGTTAAACATGAAGGAAACCAATTAAACGATATTTGATGTTCTTCAACGGATAAGGATATGTGAGAGTGCCCGTGATAAGGATATGTGAGAGTTACGGGCTTGGCTACTCGAAATTAAATCAATCAATCAATCAATCAATCAAACAACAATCATTAGAAAAATTAAGCTATGTAAAGATTTGCACAATTAAAATATGTTATTTTATTTAACACTTTTCAGAAAGTTTTGGTGAAGTTAATTTAGGTGTATTTGAGATGACTAGCGGCTGAACCGGCATGGATATTAGTCAAATTACACGCTTTGCATTTGCAATTCATTTGTTTTTAATCAGTTTGGTTGTATAAAATAGTCACAAGTTTTCCTATACATGTAAACCTAATTACACGTGTTGGCCATGCACATTGTGCATACGAGTACATCGTACCGATCTGCACCTGTTTAACTAATACTTTACAGCGACCAGGACGTTTCCATCCGACGTATACACGCACGAGTACGTATATACGGTGCCCTACTTCTACAACACAAGATGGACAAGAATGAATTTTGTTGTGGACTCCAAAAATTTTTAATTATTATGCTCGTGTAGTGCGAGTACATAAATACTGTACATACGAGTAATTACAGCAATCACACCCGCTAAAACGATGGTTGTACTGAGACGTATCCGGCATGTACGAGTACTACGTCCATCGGTGCATTCTGCATCCTTAAAACGCGTGTGAAACCCTGCATACTGTACTCCGTCGCATAGTGTGCAAAAAATATCAGTAAAGAGTGTCATCGGGACAAAGCCTGTCAAATCGATCGGCAACTAGCGCGCAGCCTATTCCAGGGATCCACATGATCCATCCTCCATCCATCCGGCAGCAGGCACGATGCGGCGGATATCCCACATACGTCCACGCTCCAGCGCTTGATCCTTTCTGCCAGCCGGCATCTGTCGTTTGTGGTCACGCAGCGCGGCATGTGCGATAGATGCATACTATGTATATATGGGAATAGCGTTCGATCCGTTACAGGCAGACGTTGGTCGACGTGCCGACGTTTTAAACGCAGCTCCCGATATACAAATACACGGGAATCCGATCCCTCTGATAGTCCCGATCCCGCTGCATCCCGAAACGCAGTTTCATAACGGAGTTTGCAACAATTTTATTAATGCCGCGTGGAGCTGGTTTGTGCATTATGTCGCTTTGGGTGAAGACTTGTAGAAAACTGTATAAAGCTGCAATGTTGCTGTGTACATAAATGGTGAGTTTATGTATCCAGTGTTTGTGTCGACGTAATTTATTTAGTATTGCGCAAGAATCAAACCGATCCAGTTATTATAGTTTCCTCCGCAGTGGAAGAGCATAGCGGAGCATCAGTTGGTGTAGTTGTTGCCGGAAGGCTGCAGATGCTAAATGCACTGCTCGCCATAATGGAACACTCTGGAAATCTGGGATTATGTCTGCTCCTTGTGGTGCTGTGTTTACTCGGAGTATCGAAGGCGGCCAAAGTGGAGCTGTCCCATCTGAACGATAAAAACTCCAGTTCAATCTGCGATGACCGTTATTACCGTCAGCCATCCTGCGAAGATGGCGCTAACGGGTTAGTATTGCTGTGTTGCTAAAAATTGTGCAAACATACGAGAAAATTATTAAAATTGCTGTGATCATAGCAGCGGGAAATTCGGAAAAAGCCGTATATACTCGTACTGTAGATATTATGCGCAGAATAATGCCCATATACGAGTACAAAATATAGTGATTGATTCTGCTGGTTAAGTGGTTAGTTGGTTTGTATACTTATTAATTTTGTTAACCTGTTACAAGGAGGTAAGCTTATCGGTTGCCCTTTTAATTTGCACCTCGTACCCTGTTTTGTGCAAACTCGTACAACCACCGCCCGTGGAATTATTCCTTGAGATCATTAATTTTCAGCTATGGAGTTTTTCGCAATCAGTTTCCTTAAAAGCTGTACGCGTCCCAAAAACCTCTAACAATAAATATCGATTAAAATGGTGTCTCTGTATATCGTCTCAGTTATAAATAGTTGTTATTGCCTATTAACACAGATGAACCTTGATTCTAATCGATACAGGTACCAGTGCGTCTGCAATCCGGGATTTGAGTACAACTCCCAAGGAATGTGCATTGGTACGTACTGCGTTAACAGATTAAGAATTTTTTTACGGCGTGTCAGTCGGTCTAAACACCTGCATCTAAATTGCTCGTATGTTTAATTATAAACCTTACTGCAATACTTTGCAAGCTTCTATAGACGTGTACTGCACATCGCAGAAGAACATATGCTTAATTATACAGCAGAAAGCAAGTTGAAACTTGTACCAGTCGTGTTGTGCAGCATTATTTACATTAATTTTACAGTATGTGTTGTACCTGTACGTTTCTAATTTGTATGGTTTATAGCTGTGGCCACCAATTCTCGTTTGGAATTCAGTGGAGGTGCCAAAAAGGAGTATGCGGTCCTTGTGGGAAAGCCGGCACGGTAGGCGCATCTATCAACCGATTATTAATTTTGTGAGAAATTTCGGATAAATGTACATGACACTGTACACTTTACCGGTCCAGTTTTTTCGTTGTCGGCCGAGACAGGTGTAATCAGTGAAGATCTTTTACTTTTCTAGAAAACTTGTGACTGTTTTGTACAACCTTGGAATAAGAGTATGTTACTTGGCAAATTATATTAGTATTACAAGCACAAAATTTATAAAGATTTTTTTCCACTTAGAATCATAAATATAATTGCGACATAAACTGCACTTTGGTTTGTTGTCATCTCCGTCTAGGAATATTACACCATAATGGTTTTATAGAAATCCTTCGGCAACCAAAATTATGCATTTGTTTACACACCATACACAAGCAGAGACGTTATGAGGAAGATTCACACATAAACTTCTAGAAACAGCATAGCATAGGTTTTTATAGGATATGCTGATATCATAGTTCAACGCAAATAAATCTGAGATTGAGTAAATCCGAACATTTTGGTAATATAAAGATTACCCAAAAAGATCAATAATTAATCAATAACAGACAGATACTCTGTTTAGGCCGCAGTTAGGTCGACCGATGCGTCATGCGTGTAAATATCCCCCACAATATTTTTGGTACCAAATGTGTGCCGGACCGCCGTCGGTGCAGTGTTCGTGCTGTACATGTTTACTTTTCAGGGCCATGGACGGCTTCACGATTGCCTTCTTCCTGCGTGTCCGGAAGAAGGCCAGCAATGGCTACATTGTATCGTACTCGGTCAAGTAAGTAATCGTTCTCCCTTTCACCGCGATCACTGCAAAAGAAGGGAACACCTCAAATGTTTTGCCTGTGTATGATAATTGTAGTGTGACTTCTGTTAGATTCTGTTAGACCAAAGAAGCGACGATGTTGACCACTGTTTTTTTTTATTTTCTAGGGAACACCCGAATATATTCTACCTGAAAATAATGCCCAATTTTCACTTGGTGATTAATATGTATAATGAGACGGAGAATGCGTATTCCGTTCTACGTGACGGTGACGAGAATCAATGGAGGCACATTGCCCTCACTTGGGAGTCCAAGGGTACGTCCATACTGTCTAGTAACTATTTTGTTTGAATCAATCTTTCGCATTACAGGAACTTATACTGTATGTAGTTATTTCAAACAGAACGCAGCCATCATCTTGTCAATTAAAAAATAGTACTAAGAGCATTATTATAAATATTTTACTTCGGGTTTAATACGAGCAGAAGTACATATATGTGACTGTAAGCCTGTTCGTTGTACCGATACGAGTATCATTGATGTGATCTTAAAAACGTTTTATGCTTTATTTCACAACTTGTACAAGCAAATGCCATTTAAATTTAAAACTCAAATATCCAGCAGCTAGAACAAATGAAAAAGCTCTTCTAGCTCTTTTGAACAACGACCATAAGTTAAATCGTAAGTTAAATCTAAAACCTGACCATAAGTTAAACAGTATATAAAATTGATTTTGTTCTGCAAAATACACTTATCTTATACCGGTAACAATACAAATGAGCCAAATACCAAGCAAAATAATCTAATACGGCCGAATATGCCGAATTAAAGAGTTGCTTATTTAAATATTTAAACGGCGACGTTATTGTATTAATGTTACAGGTGGATCGTGGATATTGTATGTGGTAAGTAAAAGTAGATGCACAGTAAAATACGAGTGTACAACCTGTTACTCTACGCTTCTTTCGGCATGTATACACCAGGAGGGCAACGGTATCCGGCGTGGACAACATTTCGGATCAGGATTGCTCCTGCCGGCAAACGGTAACCATCGCACTATGCATGCATCATTAGTTTGCAGTTTAATGAACAATGAACACCCGATGACCTTGTCCTATCCGTTAGGGGAGACAACACTAGGTGCTCGCTCGCAGCACTATCGCGGTCGCGACAAAACGCTGTCGGATGAGAAACTCCGGGAGAAAGAGCAGATTGACGCACAGCCGTCCAACCTGCAGATCGACATTAGCCACTTCAATATCTGGTCGGCAGTGTTGCCCAATAAGGAGATCCGTGCTGTACAGAAGGACTGTCATCTACGATACTGCGGGTAAACTGAGCGGTCATTGAGTCGTTGGTCGTAATTCCTTTTTACACTGTAGTGGAAGATTTATTGTAAGCTGCATATATTTAACCAGTCTGCATGTAGAGTGACTATTCCTATATACAAAGGTCATTGTACATTAACTGTGCGTTAGGTCTGCCGTTCGCTGGACGGATTTCCGAGATGGAACACGCGGGGCTCTCAAACTCAAATGGCCATCCGGTGTTCACAGTAAGGACAATTTGAATAATTTCTGACACAGCAGGAAAGTAGCAAACTATATGCGTGACGAGTTTGCAGGGACATATCAAAAATATATGTTTTCTGCTCGCGACGCACTTCGTTGTGATAGTTTTGTCAACCCAAATTATGTGATCATCCGTATTGATTACTCGAAATCACTTGACGTGGATTTTGTACACTGCAGACAAAAAATGTTTTGGAGAATGGATCGACGACGAAGTTACATGTGACAGGTTCTGCAGCGCCATCAAAGGTACAGCGCATTATTAGCCATAACCGACCGTTTAATCGCTGCGATAAAGCCTCACAAATATTTTAGCTGTATCGGTTTTCTTAACCTACACATAAATCTGTTCCGGACAGGAGCCCGATGCCGAGCGGAGATGGTGGAGAATATCGAGTGGCCCAAGACAAACATTACGCGGAAAGTGGAGGTGGAGTGTCCGGGGAAGAAGCCGGAGGAGGCGCGTAAAGCCACCCGCCAATGCCACATCACCAGTGCTCAGGGTACCAAGGGCGGCGGCAAGTGGGATCCCCCGTCCATTGACGCCTGTCTCAGCGTGGAAACTCGCCGACATCTGAAAGACGTAAGTGCGCTGCAGTGATTGTATATTACTACATTTGACACACTTTGCGAAGTGTTATATGTAAAGTACTGCCGCGTTTCGAACGCTGTTTTGATTGGCTGGTCGGCTATGCAGCGTCACTATAATACACGGCATTTGTGCATCATATATTCCATAACAAATCGTTTGTTTCTCCAGGCGGAAGATCTTTCCCGTGACAAAGCAGCGCAGTACGAGAAAGTCTTCCCCATCATTCGTAAACTGGTGGAGGTCTCCAAGCCGTCCGTTGGCCAGTCGCCCAATGATATTTCCGCCTATATTAAGGTCACCGAATTTCTCCTGGAATTTCAGGTTCGCACTGCATAACTGTTTTACACTTTCTTAACCAAATTGTCGGCCAAAGTGTTAAATTTTAATTTTTATATTAAGAAAGCATATTTTTTATGCCCCATCAGTCTTAAATAAGATCTTGCAATCCAATACAGGAAGATCGCATCCGCAACCGAAACTGGTTGGTCGATCGATGGCAAAGCGATCAGGGCACCAAACTGTATCCGAATGCAACGGATGTTAAGCTCTTCATGAACCAAATTATGGATGTGTTTGTATGTTTTGAACAGTAGTGTGCAGTAGTTGTAATAAACATTGTTCCATCATTCATTTGCGTCCTTTTTCCAGAATAATTTGCTTCCTGACCAAGATAACCGCGAAGCCTGGAACATGACGCGTCCTTTCGGACAGTCTATTATCCATTTGTTGCACATCATCGTGTACGTAAACTGCCGGTATACGTACCGTAAATCCGTAATAACCATGCAGTATTAAGTTCTATAAAAGATCCGCATAAAATCGATAGCTTTTGCGTTATTTGTTGGTCTAATCTTAATATTTTAAATCTGGTAAAGAATGTCATTGCTGCAGTCGTTTCGTGGATATCCATGCCGGTGTTCTTCTGCGTGACGTCGTGGTAGAGCGCAGTCAGCCAGTGACCGCGAATTTCTCCCGTGTCATGCAGAAGCTGGCCATCAATATGGAGGTGCATTTCACCAATCACACCACGACACTGCGCTATCCACGCGATGACCAGGCGCATCTGCCGCTGTTCCAAGGCTTCTCCGAGACTAAAGCAATTATACGCAAATCGGTTTGGGCGGGCACTAACGAGAGGAAGTCCAGTTTATCCAATAAACGCGGTAAGTAACCAAGAAATGAACAGTTATTATGCCCGTACTTACTTATACCGGTATATGTACATTTATTTTTTATATCGACTGATAAATACTTACAAATGTGAGCAAATTATAGTTACTCGTACAAATTAAATATGTTTGGTTAATTATTTACACCTCTTTATAACCATAACTTTAGCGCCTCTAACCCTCAAGATAAAATTTATTCTGAGCGCAAGTGTAGCCGCATACTCTACAACTGCAGCACATTTTGCAGATACATTACGCCACCAGCGTTCTAAGCGTAATGATAAAGCTGGTAGAGCAAGTGCGTAGGACGATAATCTTTTTTGTTTATAGCATTCGTGGTAACGACGGTATTCGTGGCCAACGTACGGGAGTTCCTGCCCAATCCGGCTTATGCCACTAAAAACAATTCCAAACTGGAGGATAATCTCAATTCCGCGCTGTATCTCATCCGTTTCTTCCCGGAGGACCCGGTGCCTCTGGATTACCGTTACATTGTGACCACTTTCAGTTTCCTCTCGGTATGGCTCTTATATCAGTGACATCCGAGACATATCATATGGCAACCGTTTTCTAGACGCACAACATTTCCGACGCACAGTGTTTCCACCTGCAGTATGAGAAAATCCGCAAAGGGTCAGTAAGCAGTGAGCAGTATACTCCGTACCGTTGGCGACATACCATATCATCCTATCGTTATATAACTTGACGTCTGACTGTGTCGTTGAAATTCGACAGATTTGTGTGGAAGTTTTCCAAACAAGATTGTGTGCGGCCGCATAAGACGCTCAGCCGTGCTATGTGTACATGCAACAATTCCGGTCACTTCTACGGTGTTACGACGGATATGTACGATCCTGCTGTAAGTTTTTAAGTACATAATATTAAATTAATTTTGATAAATTCATTAAGGGAAGTGGGCCGGTACATGGTACCAAATTCGTGTACATGCACGAAAACTTACTCTTTCGGGCACTCCCAAACACTTTTTGTTTCGGTTTATGACATTCTGTAGCCAGAAAACTTGATACACTGGTGTGAAAACCGTTTGTGCGGGCAACATCCGGTTCGGGAGTTACGGCTGTTAGAAAATTCCAAAAAGTTTAAATGCATTCAGGTGTACCAAAAGTCTCATTATGGACCGATCTCCCTCAAATATTGCACGTAAATGGGCATGTCCATGAAGATCGTTTTTACATCGACCCACTGCTACAGCATGCTTTTCAAATTTTAAAATGAATTTTAAAAATTTTAAAATTCATTTTAAAATTTGAAAAGCATGCTGTAACAGTGGATCAGTGTAAAAACGTTCTTCGTGGTTATGTTCATTTACATGCAAAATTTTAGGGAGATCGGTCCATATGAGACTTTTGGTACACCTGAATGCATTTAAACTTTTTGGAATTTTCTAACAGACATAACTCCCGAACCGGATGTTGCGCGCACAAACGGTTTTCACACCAGTGTATACAAGTTTTCTGGCTACAAAACGTCATAAACCGAGACAAAAATGTGTTTGGGAGTGCGCGAAATTGTAAGTTTTCGTGCATCTACACGAATTTAGTTCCATGTACCGGCCCACATCCCTTAGTCGTTCTAAAACTTTAGATACGTGAATTGATAATCTGAAATTTACTTGTGAGGGTAATGTAACAATTTACTATGTGTACTCTGTAGTGGTCAGAAGAGAAAATCGTCATCTACTTCATGAACTGGGCCACATATTTCGGCTGCGCCATGTCGGCACTGTGCTCCCTTCTTGGCTTCTGTATCCTGGTGTTCTTAAGGTGAGTGACCTTTTTGGAACGCTCGCTTCTCAGATACTCTGATCGTGAAATATTCTTCGAGCAGGACCACATCGAATACGTCGACACTGCATAAGAACACGGCACTAGCGGTGGGATTCGCCCAGCTTTCACTCATGTGTGGAATCGATCTGCACGAATTTCCGGTACATGTACAACACGCACAGTGGTCGGAGTACTCGAAACCTTTGACGTTAACATTTTTCTCTTCACAGCCGCATTGCAAGGTGTTCACCATTGCCACCTTATACTTCATTTTATGCTTGTTCTGCTGGATGATGAACCAAGCTTTCCATATCTACAGCGTTGTAACATATTCCGGTAAACATTAAATTTGTCAAATACATGGCACACTTTGTAAACAAATCATTTGCTAATCGCGGTTGTGTTTCGATTAGTGCATAACAATGACGAAGTGGAAGATGGATCTGTGGTGAAGTTCATGATAATGGGATGGGGTAAGCTTGCTCGGGTCGACGACGGGTCACCATAACCTTTGAGCACAAAAGTAGTTTCTTTTTCGTATTACAGTTGTACCCATTGTGCCGGTGTTGATTGGAGCGGCTACCAAAGGGGAGAAGTTTTTCCACAAAGGCGCGTGTTTTGTCTCATGGGACTGGTTCCTCGTTGTCGGCGGACCCGGTGTTGGCATTATTTTCGTATGCACTTTGAATCCTTGTTCAACTGCAATTCTCCATATTAAATGCTTTTGTTGCAGGTGACGTTATTAATGAAAGTCATCGCTTTGAAGGAGTACATGCAGAGTTCCTATTCACTCAGCGAAAAAGGCAACAAGCTCGTCGTGTAAGTATGCCAAAAAAATAAATTAATGTTGGTTTTTGCTGTACCAGCGTTACGGTTGTGGTATTTTCAGGAATTATATGAAAGCCGGTCGTTCGCAATGGGGCACCGTACTGGCCATGTACTGCTGCCTCTTGGTGGCGCTGAAAATGCAGTCCACGGTCCTGAAGTTTCTCTTTGCCATCTTCAGTATTCTGCAGGGATCATCGCTTTTATGCTTCTCGGTTTTGATGAACGATGAGGCACGTTGCATGGCACTAATTAATCGGTGTTAGTTTGAAACTGACGTCCGTGCTGTTCATTGGCAGGTGCGCAATATCCTGCAGAACAATTTCGAAGGCAGCAAGGATAAAGAGGAGCACGACATCATTGACGAACTGGCCGAACTGACGCACTCCCAAACGGGGCATGGACACCATGGTCACGGTCATGGCCATGGCCATCATTATACACACCATGGACCTCGAATGTCTCGCCAGAAATCGGTAAGAGCTGCGCACTTACTTCATCCAGTCAAAATATACAGAATCATGTAATTCCAACACGGAAGTAAAAATGAGGATATAACAGTCAAGCTTATGCTATCAGCACGAGTACAAAGGTCTCTGTCATGGTCTACAAATGTTAAGTGCTGTCACGATATTGCGCTAGAGCTTCTCAACCCAAACTGCTTATTCACCGCAATCAGCGAGTTTGCAGCTGTATAGGCAGTGAAAAGAATATGTAAGATTACCGATGCCGTAATTACTGCGGCTGTTATAGTTTAGCGTGTTTTTTTTCTTCAAATTGGTGTATTGTGGCATTGATTTGACCAATAAAGTGCCCTATTAATCAAGAAAACACAGGAAAACTCAAACAGGTTATAAGAAGTTATATCGCTTCGTACTATGAGAGGAAGGCCGTAGTTAAAGCGCGTCTGAACCGGCATTTAGTTTCGTGCATCGACTAGACAACATTTCTGCCGCTCAACTATCTAAGACTGCTGTATTTTCAGCTGGAGAAAGACCGCGAGCATCCGGCTGAACACGGCAAATCCCTTCTAGGTCATAAAACCCACTCACCCGTCTGCTCCATCACCACCGCCCCATCACGCCGCGAATCATCCAACGCGGAGATCCATAAAAGCGCAGCTCCTTCAACATTTTCTCGCCCTTCCGCGAATTGGCCGGTGGACTGAACCTGGGTAGCGGCTTGTCGGGTTTCGCACAGGGCATGCCCAAGGATGCGCTGGATGAGACTGCTGGTCCGTCGATCCTCAACGATTCGGGGCTACTGGATACTAGCGTATAAAATTCCTGTTAGTCACCAGTCAGTAATTTGATCATTGCTGTAACATAAATACTGCAGCTTTTGCGATGGTGATTAAAATCACTAATTAGACCGCACAAGAACGGTGCGTTAGCTTTACAGTATCATTAGCATTTTATTGCGTGCTTAATATTTTGGTTGACGGTTCATTAAAAATCTAAGTAAGCTTCAGTTGACGTGCAATTAAAGAATTACTGAGCATACGTAACATATATCGTGCCGTTTTGGAGGAAAACAGTCGTGCGGTGTGCCTTTTCCAAGCCTAGTCATTCCCGATGGTGATGTTGACAAAGTTCTAAAGCGGAACATTTTGGCGTACAAAGCGCGTGCCAGGAAAGCCTTTGTGGTGCACCCAAAGCAGAATAGTTGTTAATCTGAAAAGCAGAATAGTTGTTAATCTGAAGAAGTAGCGTATTTAATTTCAAAGACGGCTTGGCAAATTAGCGAAAAGGTCAACCAAAATGAGGGGCACAATCTCACTATAATGTGAACAGTGAGCACGCAACCACGGTACGTGAACATAACACTCACAGGAGGCATATTTGCCGACAAGCTGTGCTTGTAATTAGCATCGTTCCCTTATGTGTTTGAAAGTCGTTCATGAGGTGGAGTTAAAAGTTTTCTGGATTGTTCCAAGAAGCGTTCAGTTACCAGATAATTGCGAACGTGTTTCTCCACCAATAATTATCAGGATATTTTCGGTACTGTGATTACCGCTTACTTCAAAAATTTTACTGTCATCTCAAGACGTTTATAATTATCAGGCAGTCGGTACAGAGCATCAGTTTCGAATATTCCAGTTTTTTTTGGGTTGCGATGCTTAATTGGTAATCTGGTGATTATGTTGCTAGCTGATTATACCCGTGTTCCTCGTAACACAACGGAAGTGCGTCAGTGTAACCCAATGATCATACTTTCTCATTCCGTGAAGCTGTGCAAATGACTTGCACATGTTTACCAGACTGCAATAATTGTTGGAGCACGGGCACTTACAGTAAAAGCTATTACATCCAGCCGGGATTGAACTTCCAGCGGCGGAGATTAACCACAAACACGACTACTTCCAGTGCTTTTCGCTTTTCTTGTTCAGTCTGGCCGGTGTATCAGAAAACTTGCGTTTCTGTATTTTCGCGCAGAGAACGATGTCCAATGCTCTTAGTGTTAGCATCTTTGTAATGCTGTTGTACATTTATGTGGCGCATGCTCAGCGTAATGTCACCATTATGGTCTACGGAATGTCGTCAGCGCCGTTTCTTCAAGCACTGGCTTTCACTGCAGCCGGCTTTGATTGGGGATTGCGCGACGCAGAACAGCAGCATCCTGGCATGTTTAACATCAGTCTGGAATACATCACATCCAAGAAAATAGCAGTGTGCGCGGATTTCGACGGGCACTACCAACTTGTTGCGGAGTATTATTATAAAAAATGCCTAAATAATACACAAGTGTGCGCGCTTTTTTACCCAGGTACTGCATTTGTAATAATTAAAGGGTTTAATTCTTTGTCTCGTTTAAATATGCATATATACTGGTACATATATTAGGCTGCAACCCGACGACTACACTGGCCAGTCTTGGAAGAGGTCAGTTAACTGTTAAAGCATTAATTTTTAAGCACAACGCTTGAATAAATCGTTCTTGTTGACCTTAGAATGGAACATATTTACGCTGAATTCGTAAGTGCATTGACGCCGCTTTGTTTGTGCGTTTTTATCCTGCTCGTTTGGAGCTTTCAAGTTAATGAATTCATGAGGCAACGTGTTGCAGTGGAACGACCTTTTCGCATCTGCATGACCACACCCTATACCCAACCGCCATCGACTTTGCGCCCCTCCAGTATGTTCCTTATGGTGCAATGGTATTGCGCTTACTGCAGTCTTATAACTGGACATCCGTCGCCATGGTTTATGATAACTCCACCGCGAAGCCTTTCAACGCTATGGTGTATCATGAAGTGGAAAAGTATCTGCGGTTGAAAGGAAAGGGTATTCGTTTTTATTCTGTCGTGGTTAACAGCACGGGCCTCATCAACTATGACTGGGTGGTTTCGCAAATTTCGCAGGTCGCTCGCGGTAAGCATAAGTTAGCATTTTCTAATTGCTTACGTAAGAAAACGGTATATAATTAAACCACAAAATGCAGTTTGACATCACGGCTTTCTTATTTTCTAGTTGTTTTAATAAGCCTACCCACTGGCACGGCCAGAAATCTCTCGGTAAGTTTGAGATTCCATATGTCATGCAAGGTCAACCGCGTTTAAAACGCTAGTTTCCTTCAGATGGCTTTTTATCGCCTCGGGACACCGGCAACCGAATACGTAAGTGTCGGTATAACGGTTTACATGAGTGCACTTACAAAGCCGCATTAAAATGTTTTAATATTGTAATCTGATCGAACAAACGCTGTAACATGTTTTGGATTAACCGCTTTAAGGTACGCATCTTTTTTGACGGCATTGCTTCTCCTTTCACGTCTCTCAAGCAACCAGGAGATGCCGACAATGACGAGGCATGCAACTACTATATTTTGCATATGCCACATATATATGCCAGATAAATTTCTATATAAATTTCTATATATTTTCTGTATATGCCAGATAATTATTTTAAAGTGCTGCAAAACTATTCAGGTTTTAAAATCATTCACGGGAATGTTCCTATTATCGGTCTGCTATGATTATGGTCCAGGCATGTCGTCGCTTTTGGCGCAGATGAAAGAAAGGGCAGTTACTCAATACAACGCAACGTTTCTAGGAGGAAACGAGGTATGGGAAATGCGTTAGGTATATTATTATAGGTATATTTAATTATACACGAGATATGAGCTTGAAGGCGATATTTAATCATAACTTAATCACTTGTTATGGTCTTTGCTCTCCAGCCCTCACCTTTAGTTGTGGCCGCGTACACGTCAGTTCTGCTGTACTTCCAAGTAAGCCAAATTAAGCCGTTCAATTATTTTCAAAGAATAATCAATACGGACATATAAAGCGGTCCTTGTGCACATGTAGGCTCTACAGGAAACCGTCAGCGCAGACGGGAATATTCGTGACGGGCGAACCGTTGCCCAAGCGCTCCTGAACCGGTCCTTTTCCTTTTCCCCTGTGGGAAAGGTGTTTTTGAATGAATACGGTGAACGACAGGACAGTGTCTGTTTAGCGAATTTCCAGTCCAACATTCGCGCATTTGAGGTAAAACTATCGGTACTTTATAGTTCGTTGCTGCAAATTTTAATGGCATTAGCGTATGTTGCTTGTAGAATGTCGCCCGTTACGTTAGTGCAGAAGGGAAACTAATGTTTATTGCCAATCGGTCAGTTGACTGGGGAAGCGCGGACAACCTACCGCCTAGAAATATGCCGGTATGCGGGTATGGAAACGATTTATGTATGTAAATTGTGAGCTGACTACGGGAAACTGTGCGCGAAAATTTTGTATTTCCCGTAAAGGTCAAGGATTCCGTGTCGCCGTGCCGTTAGGCGCGTTTTTTGGAGTAGTGGTGATCGCTTTTGTATTCACCGGGTTCTACATTAGGTACTATTTGGATTATCTAACAATATTTATATGCTTGCTGCTATAAAAGCAAATTTATATGTATTGCAGCCTTCATTTTTGCAGAAGAATGAAAGCGAGTTATCAAGAAAGCGACTGGTGGCATATCGACCTACAGAAGCTGGAGAAGCCGTTGCAGCACTCTAATTTTGTATGGTTTGCAAATTTTGTATTACATGATGACGATGTGATACTCGTATCAACGTTCAAAAATCCGTTCATACAATGCGCTTGCTGATTACCAGATATCCCACTTGGATTTCTCTGGAACACGTGGTAGAGTTTCGCGGTACACATTTCTGGTCTACGAGGGTCAACCTGTACGGCTGCGGTCAGTGAAAGTCAGCCATAAACCAACACTGGGAAAGCCTTGCCACCTGATACTGTGCGAGGTGCATCGCATTACCATACATAATACTTTTTTTCTGACCAACAAACTTTGTGGTTTATGATTTTCCAGCTGCGTCGCTTGGCAAACACCACCCAGAATATTAACCGATTAATCGGCATCTCCGTACAACCGGCCACAATCACATTCGTAAAAAGCTGTTGCCAACGAGGCGGACTGGACACGTTGTTGGATGAGTTCCTCGTGGATAACAGTTTAAAAATTTCCCTAATATGGGATGTTATCAAAGTACGAGTACTGCGCGGGCATTTACAAAAGAGTTTTGTTTCTATAAGATTAAACTTAGTTAGCCTTATAGGGCTTATCGTACATTCATCGGTCCAGCATCCAACGCCACGGCCATCTCCGTCCATCAAAATGCCTCGTGGATAAAAGCTTTATTGCACAAATAACCGAAGTCGGAATGTATGACCTTTTGTCGGAATCCAGGAGTGCGCCCCGATTGTCGAAATCATTCGATAGCTACGGGACAGAATTTACTAATAACTTTGTGCCGCCTGAGTACCGACACGTCTGCGATACGTTTGCGCAGTTATCCGTAATGGCGAAACCAGCTGCCGACATTTACGCTCTCGGTGGAGTGATACTGTATGTCACGAGCGATCAGCAGTGCTTATTTGAAGGTACACCAGAAGCATCGGTAACTTTAAAAAACCTACACCCATACATTAAAACTTTTCTATTATAGACGCGGCGGCAACAACGGAGAATACAGTATGGAGCGTTGTCCAGAGTTGTCGAACGAGAAATCCAGCGCATCGCATGCCAATTGAGGCTGTGAAAGAGCGGATGCGCAGACTACCCGGTGTTGATGATAGGAATTTCATGGAGAATCTTATTAAGAGACTGGAAAACTATTCCCTAACACTAGAAAGTACAGTTGCAGTCCGTACAGAGGCGCTATCACAGGAAAGACAACGCTGCGATCAACTCTTGGCAGAGTTGCTACCACGGTATTTTAGCTTATTCTTATAATATATAAAACGTTTGCGTACAGATTAATCACCACATTAATACCGTTCCCGCACTTTTATGAACAGCTATGCTTCCTATACCACGTAAACTGCCATTCTTTCTAAGTGCAAATATCATGGCGAATATTTGCAATGTTTTCTAAGTTTTCTTAGCAGCTAAGCGCAGAAGCTATTTGCAATCAGACAGGTTTTGGTGGAATTGCGAAAAGGTCATTCAATTCTCCCGCGGCTGTTCGGATTTGTCACCCTGTTGTTCACATACGTCTATGGATTCGATAACTTCGTAATTGGTCACTCTAACCAGTTAGCGGATATCCTGGGATTTCTCGATCGAATGGTCTCGGCTTTCGATACGGTTTTGTCGAAATTTGATTGTTACAAGGTGGAGACGGTTGCCGATAGCTACCTGGTGAGGCATCAACCAGCATTCTAATAAAACGCTAAGCAGAAATACTTTAGCAACTAAGATAAAATACAGGTTATGGTTTATTAAAATTACGGTTTTTTTTGCAGATAGTGAGCGGTATCCCGAAAGAAAACGACGGCGAACACGTGTACATAATAAGCAGACTTGCTGATGTGTTATTAAACACATTTTGGGCGTTTAGTTTTCCGCCTAGTTTGAACATCCAGATTGGAGTAAATACCGGTACGGTTTTGCCTGGAACTATTCCAGATTTGAAAGTATTTAGACCTCACAGCTATTAAATCCGAAGTGTAATTTAGGAAGCTGTGCGGCGGGAATCACTGGCAGTGTGCGACCGCGTTACTGCGTGTACGGTACAAAGTGTAATTGTGAACAAGTCATCGTTGACCAGCGGTGATTCCATTGTAGATTTGGAGAATCCGTCAACTTGGCTTCCAGATTAGGCAGCACCAGCGTACCCGGAAAAATACAAACTAGCTCGACAACCGCCGAGCACTTGCGATGTGATCCGACATTTCTCGTTAAAGAAAGAGGACTCATGAATCTGAAGGTTAGAAAACAGTTTGGCAGTTTATCATTGGTGGTGGTAGTACTAGTGCCGCATTTTTCGGCATCTTAGCTACATTGTGCCATAATATAATTTATGGTTGCAGGGCATTGGATGGCGGTCCACCTACTGGTTAGAGAGCTTGACTTCGGAGTGACCGCAGCAGATTTACCAGTGGTTTCCGTAGCTGTGATTCTGTGTAGTCAATGTAACGTTGCCTCCTCAATGTCTTCTATTATCTAGTGTGTTTCTTAATGTCTAGTGTTGTCAATGTCTTCTATTATCAAATTCACTTCTTTAGAGGAAACCATTTTATGTTGACGTATGTACCTACGTACAAGAAACGAATAAAGCACTAGTTGTATCTAAAATAAATTGCGCTTTATTTGTAAAACAAATCCGTTATTCACGAAGCGGAATATAACCGGTCAGGCTTCGTCTTTATATAATATCGTCTACATCTAAATTTTGCAGGATGTATGCTGCATTGTAACCACAATTGCCGTGTTCATAGTGTAGTTAGTAAAGAGGTTGGGAACCGATGTCACTTTATTAATTTATCAAGACATCACCGACACAGTACCCAGCAGATGCTGATTGCATTAATTAATTATAAGACGATACGATGAATTGAGCGAAGGAAATATCCTCCATATGACGGAGGCCGCCCGGCAGTGTAAACCTTGTGACATGTTGGGCCTAATATGCCGTAATATGTGGATTAACGTCACTTTAGTGGAAATCAACCGTTTTCCATTTAATCCATTAGAAATCGAGGTTTCCAACCCGCCGGCGCCTGATGAGCAGATGGGATAAGATGAGCCGTCTCCATTGCGGTAGTGGCAAAATCTCCGATCTTCGGCCTTCGCCAGAATCGCCATGAACAACCAACTGGTTTTTGCATTCTGTCGGCAAATTGTGCTGCTGTTGCTACAATACATCTTTGCGGTTCAGTGTTCTCGCAATGTTACTATTTTCGTTTACGGGATGGCCGTACCGCGATTTATACAAGCATTACCGTTTACGGCAGCTGGATTTGATCTGGGATTACGCGACGCGGCCGCGCTGTACCCGGGAATGCTCAACGTCACTCTGGAATACATCTCGCCTAAGGAACTAGCAATCTGCCCGGATTTTGACTTGTCTTATCATGTCGTTGCCGAATACTATTACAGGAGATGCACAGATGGAAATACTGTTTGCGCATTATTTTATCCAGGTAAAAACACGAAGGTTAGATTTTATTGTACAGTGTGTTTGACTTTTCTAAAGCAGCTTTGGCCTGATTAACATAATTCCGATGTGCGCGTAAATATGGGAAATTTTTGTACTGAAAAATTGCATTTAACGTGTACAGCCTAATTGTTTTAGGTTGCAATCCTACAATAACATTAGCCAGCTTGGGAAGAGGTCAGACAACAGCATGTTTGATTTCATAACCGCTTCCTGATTTACAGTAATATCGTTTTTTCAATTACAGAATGGAATTTATTCACGTTAAACTCGTAAGTTATTTCGCCTGGTTTAACAGCAAATAAATAATCTAGAAATCCTAATCTGTGTGGGGCGATGTAGTGGGACGACCTTTTCCCACCTTCGCGACCGTGCCTTGTATCCGTCAACCATCGATTTCGCCCCGTTTCAGTACACTCCATACGGTGCCAGTGTACTGGGTTTTTTACATAAGCACAACTGGACATCCGTGGCCATGGTGTATGATAATTCCACTCGGCAGATTTTTAACGTTATGGTGTATAATGCAATCGAGAAGCATCTGCGGATCAATGGCAAGTCCATACGGTTTTATTCGTACCCGATTAACAACAGCGACAGTGTGGATTTTGATCTGGTGGTCACACGTGTTGCCCAGGTCGCTCGAGGTGATCATAACCGAACCAGCTTGTATTTTACCGGTGCAGCGAGTACATTTTTTCCTTGAAACGAGAAGCGTAAAACATCGTACAGCATAAATAACCGTAAATTAAACGTACGACTAGTACACATTAGAAAAATAATTAGTGTACTAGTGTATTCTAATGCGGTGTCGTTATTAGAGTTTTCATTTATTTTATAGTTGTGCTGATCAGCACTCTCCCTGACACTGCGAGGAACTTATCCGTAAGTTTTAATGGAAAATTCTAAAACATATATAGAACTAAACTTACTAAAATATAATGTAAGCTTGTTAATTTTTCACAATGTAATACAACTGCTGAGAAAAGAAGATACTGCAATGCTGAGAAACTGCTCTTACAAAATAGATGGCATTATATCGTCTCGGCGCACCTGCAACTGAATTTGTAAGTCCAATAATAACTTGAAAAATTTCCCGCTAATTACATTATTCACACCCACACCGCCCATACACAGGTACGCATCTATATGGACGGTCCCAGTAATCCGTTTGGTCCCTTAAAATATGCGGTCGGAGATGCGGACGATGAGGTACTGCAGCGCAAATAATTATCAAGAAAAATTAATAATCGTTAAGGATACACCTCTAATTTGAATATGTTTTGCTGTAAAGTGAGAACGACTTTCACCTGTCCATGTACTGTACTGAAAAAGTTGGTTTATATAAATGCAACTTATTACGATGACGTTTTCATTCGTTATCTTCAGGTTGCCATGAAATCCTTTTCTGGCATGTTCGTGCTTACAGCCTGCTACGACTACAGACCGGAAATGTCTCTCCTGCTTTCGGAGATGAAAGATAGGGCAATTAGCAAATACAGCGCGACATTTCGTGGAGGAAGCGGGGTAACGAAATGCTGAAACCTGCGCGTTTGGAAAGATTAATTAATAAAATTAGGTTACATGATCGTTTGATTAGAGTTCATTCTTTTCAGCCTTCGCATTTTGTTGTTGCGGCCTATGCCTCAGTCTTGCTTTATCATCAGGTAAACTATTCTTCCAGGTAGTACATTTAATCAAATTGTTCGATCAATAAAAATGTTTGCGACGCTACACAGTTGAATTATACCAGGCACTCGCCGAAATGATAGCGAAAAACTTGGATATTCGTGATGGGACAGCTGCTGCTAATATACTGATAAATCGTACTCTAAGCTTCCCCAGTGTCGGCCGGGTTTTCCTAAATGAATATGGCGAAAGGCAGGATATGATGTGCCTAACAAATTTTCAGCCAAGCACTGGAACATTCGAGGTACCCTATAATAACAAATAACCGGCGAAATATATATATTATGCAGACACTTGCATTCGTTATTTACATCAAAATTTCATACAATGCCACATGCGACTTATCGAGAATTTTGTAACAGACAGTCATGCGCTATGACAGTCCTACATCGCATCTGGTCCTCGCGGCAAACTACTCGATCAAATGGGGAACATGGAATAACCAACCGCCAAGAAATATGCCCGTGTGCGGATATGGAAACGATATGTGTAAGGATTTACGTCAGCGCACTAGAAAATGCTAATCAAATGCGTACGAAATTTATTTGACATTTCTGTGCCTCGTGGCTGGCTGCATTAAAGGTCAAGAATCCATAATTGTACCAGTGTTACTTGGAACATTCTCTGCAGTTATGCTGAGTGCGCTGGCAACCATCCTTTACATTAGGTAGGTACCAAATGCCTCAGCATCTGTAAAGCACGATGTTTTCGTAGCGTTCGAACGTTAAGTGCATGCATGTATACTTCGCAATACACTGGGTAGACTGTAAACAGAGTATGAGTACTTATAATACGAAATAAATGAAACGCTTTGCAGAAAAGCTCGGATAAATGATCAAGATGCTGAATGGTGGAACATCGATCTAAACAAAATGATGAGACCTCGACTACGATCCACACTTGTACATACTTCGCTACAGAAAGCCTCACTACCGGCTTGTCTATTGCGTTAAACCGCGATGTGGTCCTTTCTGCAGGTGTCCAACTTAAATCTGTCTGGAACACGACGGATTTCACGGATCTCACGGGTTACAAGTGTTCAGCAGGATATCATGACGTACAATGGACATTCCGTTAGACTGCAGATTATTAAAATTACTCATAAGCCGGTTTTTCGAAAGTCTACTCAAGATATGCTAAACGAGGTAAGAAACACAAAATATGTTGTGTTTTCGCGCTATACAGTTAATGCTTACCTATTATTTGTTGTGTATTTTTAAACTTTAGGTGCGTCGTCTAGCTAATTTCTCCCAAAACATTAACCGGCTCGTCGGCATTGCCATACAACCAACGATGGTCACCTTTGTTAAGACATGTTGTCAGCGTGGCGGACTGGATGTTCTGCTGGAAGAGTTTACCGTTGACAATAATCTGAAAATTTCCCTCATTTGGGATATTGTCCAAGTACGTGTGTGTGAAGCCATTCTGAGTCTGGAAACAGCATTCTTGTTTAAAATAATACAGTATTTTTATCAGCACTTTTACAGTACTTCTTTTAAATTAGAACTTTTGACAGGTTTTAAAAACTTCAATTATACAGGGCTTAGCGCACATTCATCGGTCAGCACTTACACGCCATGGCAATCTGCGTCCTTCAAAATGCACCGTGGACAAAAGTTTTAACGCACAAATCACCGATTCAGGAATTTACGATATCTTAGCCGATATGAAATCCGAACCACGATCTCGTACAAGTTTTGATACCTACGGAAAGGAGTTTGTCGACAGTTTCGTGCCGCCAGAGTACCGAAATATCTGCAACTCATTTGTGCAATTGGCGCTCATGGCGAGACCGGCTGCCGATATGTACGCTCTGGGCGGAATGATAGTCTGGATTATGCGTGACCAAAAATGTCTATTCCAAGGTGAGCTAATTACTACTATGATGAAATGGCAGTTCTTGCATTAGCTTGACCGAAATATTTAGAACCGGCGGCAGAGGAAGCGGTTTTAGCCTCTATTGCTGGATGCTGTCAAAGCGCAGATCCTGCAGACCGCCCCGAGATTGGACACGTTAAGCAGGCCCTCTGCAAAGTATCCGGCATCAACGATAAACATTTTATGGAGAATCTCGTCCGGCGATTGGAAAATTATTCCCAAGTGTTAGAAAATACCGTTACGCTCCGTACAAATGCCTTGTGTCAGGAAAGGCAGCGGTGTGATCTAATTTTGTCAGAGCTATTACCAAGGTACCTATAACATTCCCTTTACAATTGCTCGTACACAACATGCACATTAGAATTATATAAAATTATAAAAAGAATTGTAGGTGGTTGACAAATATATGGCAGTGAAAAGTTTGTGAACCCAGACTCAGTTGAATAAATTTTTATATAGGCAGGTTTTAGTGGAGTTAAGGAAAGGTCACCCAGCTCTACCAAAGTTCTTTGGTTTCGTCTCGCTGCTCTTTACCTATGTTGACCGCTTTGACGAGTTCGTGATGAGCAGCTCCAGCCAACTCACGGATGTTATACGGTTTTTGATGGAAATGGTTGCGGCGTTCGATGTCATTTTGTCGCGATTCGATTGCTACAAAGTGGAGGCGGTTGCAGACAGCTACTTGGTAAAGCATCGCTGTACTTGTACTAAATGAGTGACCTGATGGAATAGCAAAGTGCAGATCTTTTTGGTAACCGCAGTTGTATGGATCTGTAGGTGGCCAGTGGTATTCCGAAAGAAAACGACGGAGAGCACGTCTTCATAATCGGCAGAGTCGCCGAACGACTGTCGAAGGAATTCAGCTTACTCAGTTTTCCATCGTATCTGAACCTTAAAATCGGGATTAATTCAGGTATCATGCGCAACCTGCGGTGATACTTGATCGTTATATTGTTAGATATTTAAAAAAATGATAATTCAAACTTTCAGGGCCGTGTGCGGCGGGAATCATCGGGAACGTTCGACCGCGATATTCCATGTAAGGAAAAATTTTAAAAAACATGAGAAAAAAGCTGGATGAAAAGCTTGATACTCTTAACACGTTACCATAGATTTGGAGAATCGGTTAACATGGCCTCCAGACTGGGGACAACAAGCGAACCCGGGAAAATTCAGATTAGTTTGACAACGGCTGAGTATTTGTGGCACGATCCCACATTTCAAGTGACTGAACGCGGAAGTGTTCATCTAAAGGTCAGCGTGCCAGATTTTAGCGCAAACTTTAACAGTCAACAGCATTGCACATGTTCATAATTTCGTGTCTTTATATTCTAATTTCTAATTTAGATCCTTACGATTTTAGGGTATCGGAATGCGATGTACGTATTGGTTAGAGGGGATCAACGCAGAACAAAGATGACCCTGGATGTTCCTCTAAATTACTGTGATGGGTTTTAGTGGGGTTAATATTCTGTGTGTAATTTTGAAATGCACAAGCAGTCGATGTACCGTTAGTGAACTGTTTCCACAAACCGGCAAAAATTAAATACGTTTGTATTCGTTGACAAAGCAGTGCGCATATGCATATGCATATGCGGTAAATTTTTTGTGTTATTGTAAATTGTATTGTATCAGAGAAGAATTATCCCAAAAGTATAAAGGTGAGCGAAAGATAATCGCATCTATTCAAAGGCTTTGCACAAGCATCCTTTCCGCGAAGTGCCGATGAGCCCCATTGTCGCCGCTGCATACACAGTACACAAGGAGGCGTAAGCTTTTGATCCGGCATCATCTTGCCGACCTGCGCAGTGGTACACTTCCGCGAGGCCTGAAATTTGCGATGCTCGCAACATATTTGTAAAATGCAGTTCGGCATTTACACAGACATTACCGTCACAAATAATGTGATCCTACTAATCTCCATCTCGCATGATGGTTAAGCAGAAGCATGACACCGCATTCGCTGTAAACACATACTACTCTGTGCGTATCTGCGTCAGATTGCATCACTGTGCTCCCGGTCGCACATCGTATCGGTTATTCTTAATACAGAGTACTCGTGTCAGCTGTTCTTGATTGATTGCTGCATTTCGACTGTATAATGTTAATTTCCGTTATCTGTAAATTGTTCATTGTTTCGCTGTGTTGGGGCTTCCAGTTAAATGTAGTTTTTTACCGCTTAAGTGATTATGCCGGATAAAAATATTTGGTGCCGTATATTTCACCATCGGTGGCCAATGTTAGTGTGCGGATTCTGCAGAAAATGCATCCGGAATTCTGGATGAACGTAAGAAGTTTTGTCATACTGGCCAACGACACCGACGGCGGACCGATCTCCAATGACCCTTGTGACATCAGCTTGCGTGCTTTTCCGCAGCTGATGGAACTTTTTGGGCAAAATCCGGATTCAGTATTTTCTCAGCCAACACTGGACAGCCATCATGCGACGGTCATTTTTTCAGGCGGTATGAGAATTTGCATCACAAAATTTAATACAGTTATAGGCTGTGGTACCAGCTCAAAGCGCTTACCAAAATATAATTTGTTTGGAAAATGTATCATGATGGTTGAGAATACGACGTTTGAGCAGTCTTCGGGTCATCGTATAAGTGTTTGCTTAACTAACCGGGCGCGAATCAATAAATGGTGTTTGTTACGGAAATACAAAAATAAGCATCCTGCAATAAAATTGATGATTTTGAATTCTATCCTGATACTTGTTGTATTGTAATTCTAAAGCGAAATTCATGAAGGATAGCTTAACGTACCGAGGAAGGTTTGCAAATACAGTTCGAATATTGGCATTGGTCAAAGACTCAAAGCCTACGCGACGCTCTAACGTAAAGTTGATTTCGTATTATCGACAACTAAACACTTTCCTAGTATTAACTATTAAGTATGAGTATTGCAGTGTACGTTGACTGTATGAATGTGTAAAATTAATGATAAGAATTAACGGTATTATAAACATGAAAGGGGCAAATGAAAATCGCAAAAAACTAGTTGAAAAGTATTAGTACTAATGATTTAATTAGTAACTTCTTGCCATTAACAGTATTCAAGTAGCTGAGCAGTTGGCAGCCTATCCTAGAGTAGTGCTTATATAGCTCAGATAAAGTACAGCAATGCATAGCGGTAGATATTGTAACAGCCACAATACTAGAAGTATGACTACTCTGTAAATAAATTTGATGCATTTTGCCGTTTGTAGATTTTTGTCCACCGACTGGTCTGGAAATCGGCCGTTTTGCTGCAGGTAAACTGTCTGGATTTGTGAGCATTTTGTTGGCTGTATTGGTGGTACTTGACACTAAGCTGAACAGTGGTGGTTTCATGCAGCTGCTAACCTTTTGTTTGTCTCGTCCAACCCCGTCACCACGCTGTCCAATGTGACCGAATTCCCTACAACACTGAATCTGACCCCCACCCCCATGGACCGACTGGTCGGCGCCCTTAAAGCCGTAATGAGGGAGAACAACTGGACACGACTGGGCGTTATCTGCTCGCCTTTCGATCGGACGTTCAATCTCGATTGCATCACCACTTTTCCCATGTACTACTTCAAGGACAACAACTTCACGTCAACTAAAACGTACAAACCGCTTTATAACGTCATCGACGGAAAGCACAACTATACGGATATCTTGCGCGATATGAAAGAGCGCGTTCGAAGTGAGGAATTGTCTTAATAAATTGGTGGTATTTGACCGTCATGCATTACCTAATGAGCTAATTTTACAGTCATCCTAATTATGGTAGAACCCAGAAAAGTTCGCGGCTTTTTGGCAAGTGTAATAATTGCGTATTAAGTTGTCCATCCAAATACGGAACGTGTCCCGTTATTTTTCAGATTGCTGCCTATGATATGCGAATGCTCAACGGAGAATACGTAAACAATTCCATCAGCAGTTTTCTGCGCATCCACGTGTAATCGCTAACTTGCATAAATCATGATGTAGGTTTTCCTCACGGCATACCGCCAGCCGGTGCATGGAGGACAAAATTTGCAGTGGAAAGCCTACACAAACAATCCAGACGATATAGCGGACGATTATGTAAGCCATCAGGCATCAGCTCAAAAACGCGTAGGATTACATTGGTCTTTTACCGCATCGATTGCAATTAGACTCGCACGCTGCTATGTTTTCCGCACAAAATGTTACACTGCGCTACCTGAGTACGTGACTACCTATGCGCTATGTGACCTTAATATGTGACATAGCCTTTGCAGCTACCATAGCCTCACAGTATCTGTATGGTAAAATTAATAGGGAAGCCATGCACAAACTTTATAAACACACAGCTTTTTTTTGTTCTCGTATCTGGATTTGATAGTTCGATGTTATAAGTAAACAGGTGTTATATGATCACTATACGTACGAATTGGGTGTCTGAGATTTTGAAGGCACTAGTATGTAAAAGCACCATCACTGATATTTGATTTCACTGTTTGCATATTACAGAAGGCATTTGCGGCGTATGAATACACTCTGGTCATCTCCGATGTAGAAATTAACTGGACGGGTCTGGAGGCGGAGGAAGCATCATCTGCCTCCCGCATTGCCGACTATACTGCGGTGTATTTCAACAGAACTATATCACGAACGACCCGGGTAAATTCTACTCGTAATTAACATGCACGCTTCGCTGTAAGCGGCAATACTTACAGCTAACTAACCATTGATGAACCGCATTCGTACAAAACTCTGCAGAACATCGCCTGGGTCCTTTTCCTCGATGCCATGGTTATCTTATCCCAGGTTAACCATACACTGGAGCCTTATTAGCAGCTGGTGCAGTGAGGTTATAATCTTTGGCGGTATTTAACAGAGTCTCCAAAAGCAAATGCCGGTTCTCGATTATTTAACTCCGTCTTCCTTTATTCGGCGCACCATGGGAAAGTCGTACACTCTCCCGTCCAGAAAGGTGGAGCTAAAAGCGGATGGTCTGACTGTCTTCCCCACACCCATTAAGCGCCTTAACAAGTTCAGCGGCCAGTTCAAAGTGTGTATAAATTGTAGTAAATGGATCGTTCAATGTACACCGTTATTCGGATAACCTTTATTTCCTGCTTTGCACGTTAACTGTGAAACTACTGCATAGTCTCGAAGAAAGCCAAATAGAAATCGCATATCACCTATTGATAAATGATTCATTTAAAACACTTATTCACATATCCTCCATATAGGAAGCCGCTCAGTATGATTTCGATGATGACGAGTTTCGCATAACGGATTACGGCTTATGGTATGGGCCGTATGGCAATCGCAGTTTTCCCCCTGATGAACCCTTCTGCGGGTTTGATGGGTCGAAATGCCCAACAAGCACGGTCGCAAATTACGGTCAGTGGTTTCGGTTGTCAGCTTGAATGACCTTTTTCTTGTTTATTTGCTAAGCTCGTTTTAAGAACAACACTGGTGCTGTGTTGTTACAGAAATCGCCATTCCGCTTGCCGCGGTGGCTGTGTCAATTTGTGTAGGAGCATTACTGTTTGGAGTTCGCCTGAAGTGAGTCGTAAAATGATCTTGCTTTGTCTGCACTTAACTTTAAATGTCTCATGGCATTTACAGGAGAGCAGCTGAGAAACGGTTGTTTCTACAACTGTTCAAGGGGGACATCAAAATGAGCAGCGTCATTTTAACCACCGAGGAGCTAAAAAATTACCAATATCACGATAGCAGCCCGACAGCCGTAACCGGCATTAAGCTGCCACTCAATGTTAGCACGCGACTGCTGTGGAAAAACGTCAGATTCCGCAGAACGTCTCTCGAGGTGCTGTTTTGAAATTTAACGATGCTCTAAAGTAATTCGCAGTGCCAAATTTTCAGATCACGAAGTTACACCATCCAAATATTGCCACATTTTACGGAATTTCTACTGTAAAGGACACATTTTCGTTAACCTGGGAATGTAGTCATAAAGGCAGTCTTGGGCAGACACTGAGCGATCGAAGCGCTTTACGGGATGAAATTATTCGGCTGTCGCTGCTCTGCGATCTGCTTCAGGTGATATTTTTTTTGGAGAAAGCTTCTGCGCTTGTTAGTGTTTGAATTCGATAATTTCCATTGCATGACCTTCATTAATGAGTTAGCGTATTTGCAAATTGCAGGGCATATCGTACGTTCACGATTCACCTCTTCAGTATCACGGCAGTTTCGATCCCGACGTATGCTTTATCGACAATCGATACAACATCAAAATAATGCAGACAGGATGTAGCCAGTTACTGGATTCATTAAGCACAACCAAATCGGGGCAATCTATAGCACATCACAGGTTACAGGACATCGCTGGATTTGGAGAAATCAGCCAAATGTTCCTGGCGTATAGTAAAGATGATTCAAGTAAAACGACTCAATTAAATTTTGTGTGTCTTGGCGTAAAGTTTTCAAATTCTTTGCAGTGTCTTCTGATAAGACAGCGGTGTGGGCAGCTTTGACGTACAGCTGTTTGTCAGCCGATCTAGCCAAACGACCATCCATCACCACTCTAAAGAAACAGTTCGTCCAGTTCGGCTTGCCTAATAATGTTGTGGAGTACGTAATTAAAGTTATGGGAAAGCAGACCAACGAGCTGGAGTCGCGTGTCCGGGAAAGAACGGAAGAATTAGTAGAAGAAGCAGGCAAAGTCGATGACATTCTGATGGAGATGCTGCCGAGGTTGGTGTGTGACCTGTGTGCTGCTTGTAATTAGCAAGTTGGTGCACTGTATTAAAGCTGCTTCTGTCTGACATGCGTCGCACTGGGTTTTTGCAGAACCGTCATAATTAAATTGCGCAATAAAGAAGTAATCGTGCCGGAAAGCTTCGAAAGCGCTACCATCTTATTTAGTGACATACCGGAATTCACCGAGCTGGTCATGCACTGTACACCACTGGAAGCCATTACATTGCTGAATGCCACACATTCTGGTTTTGACCAGGCTATTGGCCAGTACGACTGCTACAAAGTGGAAACGATCAATGATTCCTATATGGTAAATTTTCCAACTCGCCGAATATGTGTACAGTGTACTTGTAAGTTACAAAAATAACCAGGAGAATTGGTAGATTGCTAGCGGCGTACCAATACGAAACGGCACTCTACACGCTGCTGAAATCTGCCTCTTGGCTTTGCATCTCTCTGTGTTGTCAAAAGCGTTCTCTGTACCTTTTCGAAAAGGTCAGCATCTAGTCATAAGGATTGGCATCAATGCCGGTACGTGCCTAAATATCAGCCTGATTACTACATTACGATAGCCATTGGTTAAAAATGTTGTACCAAACGGCAATCTTCGCTATAAGAAAGAAACCGATTTCAGGCCCGGTAGTTGCGGGAGTGATTGGGCTGCGAATGCCTCGATACTGTTTGTAAGCGACCGTTATTGCGATAAACGCTTTCGCCGTTGATCTGTCACGCTAACATGGAAACCTGCGGGTGGTTTGTTTAAGATTCGGTGATACAGTCAACTGCGCGAGCAGAATGGAGTCGAGTGGATCTGGTTAGCTCTGCGTAATGCTGTGTACAACTACAACAGGAACAGTTTGATTTTTGTTTGTGCTTAACACAGTGATGTGGTCTACCATCTACATTAACATTTTTGTAAAAATAGTACGTGTATATAGAATAACAATTAATGTACAAATACAGTGGTACATACAGACTGTAGTTACCTAGTCACTAGTCATCTTTAGGATTTGTGCAGACAGAGTGTTGATTTTTGACTTTTACCGTTGCAGCCGGCAAGATCCATATCAGCCACGATGTGGAGTGTTTGGTTCGATCAGATGGACGGTTCGCTGTTGTACCACGGGGGAAGGTTGCGGTAAAGGTGAACTTTCCTAATCACTCATTGCCAACAAGATCTGCTTTTGTGTGGTATTATTGTACGGTGTTTTATTTGCATACAGGGAAAGGGCGAAATGGAGACTTTCTGGTTGGAAGCAAAACATTAGAATCTTAAGAACGGTGACGGATCTCCATGTTGCCCTACCGCTAGGGCTGGCATCGTGATTGTTTAATTTTTATGTTAATTATTCAAATGCTCGCTATAAATATAACTGCGCGCTTACGCAAAACATGTCAGTGCGTTCACAAAGTCACGCTTCAAAATTTGCCGGGATGCTGTACATTTGCTGCTCCCTCACTGATGTCCTCTTTATAATCTCGGTCTCCGATTATAGTCTGAAGCAAAATAAAATTGGCAAAGCTAGACTTTGCCGGGCAGAAGCAAATTTGGGGAAGGGAATGATTTTGGTTGTTTTTGGAACTTGTAACCGTAGTGTGTAATCATTGTTGTTGAACACAAAGGAAACCAATAAATAAAAAGTTCAAGGTAGACTGTCAAAGCAAATGGTAAAACAAGTGTCAAGCAAATGTCAAACAATCGGCAAAGCTAGACTATTGTAATTAATTTGTAAGCATAATTATGTGTTGTAATTATCGTACATACGCTTTGAAACATCGAAATTTATAATTATTGTTTTTTTTAAAATCGGCTTTTTAAATCCGCACTTGCTGTCGCCATGGTGACCACCGATCTTCTCTTACTGTTGTATGGCGATTACGTCAGAACGCCGCGGCGAAACTTCGCTTTCCATCTGATTTTCATTTTTCACCTGTTGAATATTTTCAGAATTTTTCTCGGTTGTTGGTTGACTGGTTTTTGAGTTTCCTTTTTCCCCCAACTTTCTCTCCTGCTGGTTGATCGATTGTTAATTTGTTACTGACCATTAATTTTATTAATCAGAAATCGGTTCAGCATTTTAGCTGTCACTCAGTATCGCCGTCCCTGTGTCTTTGCCACCGTACAAGATGGAATTCGTCAAAGCTGCCAAGCGAGCGGGAGCGGCGGCACGGGGACCCACCCGCGAAACCCTCCGCCACCTGCAGATGGCAGGCTGCTACTGCTCCGTCCTCTTCACTCTGCTGGTCTCCGTCTCCATCTTCTTCGGCCGCAACCCCCTGATCCCGCCCTCCGTCCCGTGGCTGCGCGTCCTGGACAGCTTCGCGCACGGCTGCCTGTTCATGGCGTCCCTCCTGCTGCTCCTCGGTCTGCAGGTCCAGTCCCACCGTCTCCTGCACGTCTGGATGCTGACCGCCGACTGCTTCTTCCTGTACACCAGCATCCTGCTGCTGGTGCCCGTGTATGGCTGGTGGCAGGTAGTGGCCCGGGTGGGTCGCCAGATTCCCGAGGACCTGGCCGCGGCCTTCTGGCAGGATGTCAAGCAGCTCCTCGTCATGGAGATCGTGATGCTGGGCTTCATTGTGGCCTGGTTGACGGTGAATCGTCAGTGGTGGACCATGAAGAATAAGGTCGCTGTGAAGGTGTTCGTGATTGCTTAACGTCCAGGCGGGATACGGTATGGATGATGCACCGGTTTGTCGCGGTTCATTAATCTCTGGACAGTATGTAGTGTTTACGGATTTTCATCTACCTCCTAAAATTCACCCCGCGGGTGTTATAATTGTCTCTTATTTTTTTATGCATTTCTTACTTTGTTAGCGCGTGTTGTAATCGGTTTTAGCGTGGTATAGTTTTAGTGCCTTACTGTTGTTATTTTTTAATTGGGTAACGAAGGTTTTTAATAATTTGTCCTTCGAATGTGTTGATCGCTATGAGCTCATGATCAAATATTTCGTGTAGAAAAAACAGGCGCTGTATATCGTCTTGAATTTTGAATTCTCTTGCCATTCTTAATCAGTATTGCATTAACTAAATCCAGAGAATGGTCAAAATACTTATCAAATATCAGCAAGCTGGGTAATTCTAGCGACTAGCACTAATTAATTATCTCAACAGTTAGTTAATTGTCAGTGAATGTCTGAAGGTACAAAAGGTTAAAAGTACATAAGCCATAAATTCACCTCCACCAACCGTAAGCTCCGTAAATAACCCAGCAAACAAAATAATATTAATTTTACAAAAGCGTCAATACTCAATACAAGCAAATTATTGTGAAATTTTGGTAGTGGCCGCGTATGTTAAAATTCGTTAAAATGTGGCCATTGCCGAATAAACAATCAGTACAGATGCTGGTTCATTCTCCGAGACTCGTCTATTTAGACCACATCAATCATCCTTCACAAACTGAGACATTCCCACGTACGGCGTAACGGTGCCCATTCTGGAATCTGTCGAGCGAATGAAGGACTCTTGACATTTCACCACGAGTGCCTGCTTTGTTGACAATACCGCATGACCTTCCCGGCAATCTATCGCAGCATACGGTAAACAACACTCTCCATGTTTGCGCATGTAGTCCGCAGCGTCTACACGTGCCTAGTTCACCGCTATCATCGTTTAACACAATACCGGTACTGCGCCAAAAAATGCCAGATCAGCATAACATCACTACGTAATATGTATCTTTACTACACAAAATACATACATATAAGCAGACTAAAAATGCTGTCATTCACGGCATTTGACTTTGACCGATCAACAGCATGCAGTTTACCAGAGTGCTGCTGTGTGGCCTGATGACCGGCATTACCGCGCTGCATATCACCTTCATCCCGTTGGGTGCCGATGAAGAAGCGTCACGCAAATTCCCCAGCTATCCCTTCATCACTCCGTCGGTGTTTCATGTCGCGTTTCAGACTCTGGAGTTGTATTATCCGGATGTGATGAATAATCTGACCGTCATACCGGCATTCGCTAATTCTACAGCGGCGGATGAAGATGACTTTTGCTACTTTATTGACAGTGCGGTCAGTTCATTGTTGCAGCTGTACGGTCATCAACCGGATTTGTTCGATCCGGCGTTCTCCAATCAGAGCATCACAGTCATTATATCGGGAGGTAAAAAATACCAAATGGCGAACAATTAATTTTCGGTATCATATATAATTGTTATAATCCCAACGGTTTTTTCCAGAATTTTGTGATTTAAATTCCGACGTTGCCCGGTTTGCAACGGCAGCCAATGTCATCTTCTTGTCATCCAATCCCGATTCCAGCCTATCCGATGTGACAACCTACCCGACCACCGTTAATTTGGTACCGACACCCACGGATTTGATTGTAAAGGCACTCAAGAGTTTACTGCGCTACCAACGCTGGTTTACAACGGGTTTATTCTGCTTGTCGGACGAGCCCTCCTGGGGTGGTGATTGCAGGGATGGCGTCAAAGATTACTTCTGGGACAATGATTTCGCGCCATTGAATACGTTCCGCTCGCGGCATACGCTGGATGAATTTGATCGCAATGCTAAGGATGCCATGCAGCCGGTTATGGATAACGCCAGAAGTAATCAAAATCGCAGTGCCAATTCATCTTCTCTTATGCTGAAATTTTACTGAATGCTTTGTTTGACAGTCATATGGCTTCTTATACAACCGGACAGTCTTCGAAAATTTATGGTTGGTATGGTACGGGATTTAGAATTACTGGTACCTGATGGGTAGTTTATGGTACTTCAGAACCGGCTCATTAGAGGAAATGTTCTGTGTGATTAGACCGCGTATTTCCATAGTCGGCTGAGGCTGTGTAGTCATTACCAATTTCAGTTTTATATTAATTTGTTATTGTATGTATCACTGTATCACCAATCACCAATATTTACCCGCTTTAACGCTTAATCTAGGTTACTGCTTACGACATGGGCATGACAAATGGGGAATATGTAAGCTTATTACTTAAATTTGTATATAAAGATTTCCTTGTGAGTTGCACATAGATGGTACTCGGTTTCTAGGTCTTCATCGCTGCGTACCGGCAGCCGCTTTATCTCGCACCGCAGATCTTGCACTGGCAGGCAATGGATGAACACCCAGATGAACACGCCTCTGATGATTATGTAATGCTGCATTTTGCTGGCATCGTTCTACAATTTCATGAAAGCTGCTTGGTTTCTAGAAAGCATTTGCGGGATTTCAGCGATGTATCATTATTTCGGATGTGGATGTTGACTGGGTGCATCTGGAGAACTTTACGGATTCCATTGCCGATTATTCGCAACAACATTATAATCGGACAATACGACCGGATCAACGAGTACGTTCATTCATTTTTCGAGTGTTCTCTGTTTTACGACAACAGTTTTTACACTTGCTACGAGTACAATTCTGTTAATCTGAACGTACGAAATATCGCGCATTCTTGTAAATGTTTTGCCAAAAACGAACGTTTTTTCAAATTTGTCTACATCCATTGAATTGCTACTGTTTGCATGCATATTTCCCAAATATATAATTTTAAAAAAATGTGTGATTATAGAGCGGTATAATGCTTTTTCAGAGGGACCTTATGGCTGTCCTCTTTATGGATGTTTTGGCAATTTTTGCTAAGGTCAGCAATACATTACATGACGGTTGTATTCGTAAACAAAAGATATTTGCGCTTTTCAGGCGTTAGAAAGGCTGTTACCGAACATTACCCACTTAACAGCAGATGGTTTTGTCCGGGGTCTATTAAACTACACTTATCATCTGCCATCGCGGCAGGTGCACTTGAAAGCCGACGGACGGGAAGAGCGCGTGACACCCTACCTACGCCTCAATCCGCTAAACAAAGAGTTTGAGGTAATGAGGAACGCGTTATGGATAATAAATACACATTAATATCTCGTCGGCTGTTTGACTAATAAGCTGTAACACCACTCAATGGGTTGTGATCGCAGACGGCGGCTGAATACAACCAGGATACGGGGAAGTTTTCTGTTATCCGGAAAGATCTGTGGAACTGGACGGATGGCCGGCCGTTTCCGCCGGATATGCCACCGTGCGGATTCGATGGGCGAAAGTGCAAGGGCGTGCCGTTAGGTCAGTTCAGCGCAAGAAACGTGATTGTAATTTTTTACTTGGCATAAACCGAAAGGTCACTGGTTTTTGACATGCCAACTACCTGTTGTGTACTGACCTTTGTATTAGAGGTGATTATTCCGTGTGCCGTGATCGCTGTTCTGTTGGTAGCCACTCTGATTCTTTACCGCTGCATCAAGTAAGCATAAAAGCTATTTGCTAACGGAAAAATGTCTGATGTTGTTACGGTTGAATATTTGGTAGGTTACGTGCGAATAAGAAGGCGTTCATGGACGTTTTTATTGACGACGATTACATGTCCATGTACTCCGAAGCAACTACCGGTTTGGCTCCTCTAGTGCCCATGAAGAGTACTGTTAAGCCACAAGCGACACTGTCCCTTCTTCTTGAGAATACGCTCACAAAACGACAGTTAGCTAATGACGACGAGTTCCGACACCTTGTTTTAAAGGTGAAACTGTTTTTAAGAAATAACGAGTTTGACATCAGAGCAAAATTGTCAAGGAATCGTGGGAATCCAGCGGTCCAAGTGGTTGTACTTTGGCCTAACGTAAAAATCTCGTAGATGAGAAAATTATCCCATCCCAATCTGGGTGCCTTCTACGGAATCGGCATGTTGAGAAAATCGCACGCCTTAATCTGGGAGTTTGATGATCGAGGGAACATCGAAACAGTCCTCATGACCAAACCGGTACTGCACGATGTTATCATTCGACTGTCGTTGTTATGGGATTTGTTACAGGTAACCTTTACTTTCAAATATTATATGATTTGATAATTTTGGTTTAGGTAAAAATACGGCTTTTTGTTCAGGGTTTGTTTTATATACACAAATCGCCGCTGGAATTCCACGGGGCTTTAAATAAAGATGTCTGCTTTGTGGATCACCGTTATACGCTGAAAATTGCTAAAACCGGTTGCTATCACATCATCGAAAGCTTGCACGCGCAGAAAACCAAATCGTTAACGTATATGCGTGCAAAAGATGTTAGGAATTTTGGCTTGGTGAGCCAACTGCTGTCTTTGGATATCCAAACGGAAATCGCCGGTAACTGGCCACTCAAAGAGTAAAAATTTGGGATACTTTTGCTATTTGATATATCCTTTTTCTTGTAGCCAAACCTTCATCTGGTGCATCCCGGCGACTAATCATTTGGCGCGACTTAACGGAACGCTGCCAGAGTCCCAACGAACTGCAGCGTCCGAGTTTAAGTGACGTGCGCCAAACACTGCGCCAAATCAAACCGTCCAAGAACATCGTCGAATACGTACTACAGGCAATGGACCGTCAAATGTACGATCTTGAGCTGAAGGTTCAGGAAAAGTCGAAAGAACTGACATTGGAAAAGGTCAAGGTGGATGCGCTGTTGCTGGAAATGCTTCCCCAGTTAGTCGATCTTGCACCGCCAAATGTCTTTTAGTACAACATGAGTGTTTCAGATCCGTTGTGGTCCAGTTGCGCGAAAAGAAGACAATCGAGCCAGAAACGTTCGACTCGGTATCTGTGCTGTTCAGTGATATCCCGATGTTTGCCAAGCTGGCGACACAATGTACCCCGTGGCAGTTGGTGTTGATACTCAATACACTGTATTCTGCGTACGATAATGCGTTCGGATTGTACGAAGCATACAAAGTGGAAACAATTAACGACTCGTACATGGTAAGGTCACGAAGACTTTAATACTTTCCGTCTGTATATCTAAACATTCCAGTCAAGTTTAAGATTCTACGTATATCATTGCACTTCTAATACACTGATCCATGTACAAAACCGAGTTCGTAATTTTCGAATATGTATGTGCGTAAAGTAAAGCTCGTATAATGTATGGTATATTGCACCGAAACCCTGTATTTCTTCAAGGTTTCCAGTGGAGTTCCAATGCGGAACGGCACCGAGCATGCCGCACAGTTGTGCCTTCTTGCGCTGCATCTGCTCAAGATCTCCAGAACGCTGGAGATCCCCATTGCAGCCGATTTGGCCCTGGTTATTCGCAACCGAGTCGGCATTAATTCTGGACCAGTAGTGGCCAGTGTTATCGGCAGTAGGATGCCTCGTTATTGCCTGTACGTAATTCCATACGCATTTCAACTGCACCCAGTTCAGTGTAACCTACAAAATTAACTCTCAATAATTGCAGATTTGGGGACACAGTAAATACTGCAAGCCGAATGGAGACCAATGGCGAAGGTAAATTTACAATACCATTGCATGTTCTACTTTAAATTTCGCACTTACATTGCAAATATATTATTGATAACATATTAATATAAACAAGGTGTGATTACAAAGGACTAATTATTAGTTCTTTGGAATGGGGAAATTAACTACCGTAATTTAGGCGCAGTACAGAAATACCGCGTAAAACAGGCACAGGATGTACAGTGACAAGTAATTTGTAGCGGGAAAGATTCATGTTGGCCAGCCAACGGAAGCCATCGCTCGCCGGGACAACAGCTTGAAATTTACACCACGCGGACAAGTGACGATAAAGGTCAGAAGATCGATGCCCTCATTACGCGCGGAGAACGCAGTTTAGACACCTGCATTTTTTTCTGACAGGGTAAAGGATCGATGCAAACGTTCTGGCTGCATCATGCGGATGGGGACGTTGCCACTTGATGCCATACCAGTTCATGTTGCAGTTTTTTCTTGTAATAAATACCGGCATGCTGGATTACTGTTTTCACTGCTTCGCAATGGCGGCGTAGATTTCTTTTGATTTTTGTTTCCTTTAATGAGGTTTTGCACGGGAAACTGCGATAACTTATCGGATGTTGTGTATTGATCAAAGAAGCTTATTCATGTTTCGTAATTAGACAGAGGATTATTGTTTTGCGTACGCTTCGAGCGATTTCTTTGGAAGAGCTCTGTAACCATAAGGTGGTATGTTACAAATAACTTCTGCTGTAACAAATTCCCAAGAGAGCGTTTTTGGAAAAACAAATTGCTGCAATTTTTCAATCGATTATCGTTGCACACGCGAGTCCTTAACGCCGATGCGGCGTCAGTATTTGACATGAAATAAATATCTGAACAGCAATTATCCTGCAATTTCCCGGACAGGTGCCGAACTTGAAAAGTGCGCACGGCATACGTGTATCACTATCCATTTAACCTTACCGTTGCCTTATTGAACCATGCATTTTTTCTGCTATTGGCATTCCTGCCGACCATGCATTGTAAAGACATTAACTTTCTAATTATTGCATTGATATCCGTGTGCCGATACAGTACAGCATTGCGAGTTAATTTCATCCATGTGGGAATCGACGATGCAGCCGGTTATAAGTCGCGATTTGCGGGATACATTAATCCCGCGGTGTTAAACGTGACGTTCGAGATGGCACGGGAGATGTATCCCGATTTGCTAGCTGACATGCACGTCGTCTCCTTGATTAGCCATGACACGGGAAGTATCGAAAGTGACCCCTGTGAGTTTACCGTGCGATCCTTCCCGCTGCTGGCGGAGCTGTACGGCCGGCGTGCCGATTTATTCCAACCGATTAGCGCGGATCGAATTACAGTTCTCGTTGCGGGAGGTATGCAGTTACTCAAATTTTAATTTGTTCTTCGTGCAAGCGTAAATAAATATGGAAGTTTAATTGTAACTTTAAATTTTAGAGGTTTTCTGTGGAGATCCAAATTGGGATATGGGCTTCTTTGCGACCGGTAAACAAAAAATCTTCAGAAAACTAGTGCAAGCAGCATCACAGTAATTTAGGGAACGTCTATAAACTAGAGTAGTCAGTAAAGTGTACACTATTGCATATGCACAAGCGAAATACGACAATATCTATATTAGGTTTCAATTTTTTAATGTTGTATACTTACAACTAATTTTAGCTGCCGATTTCGTGTATCTGTCCGCTTCAGCCCTTCCTCAGCTGTCCAACAACACGATGTATCCAACAACCATCAACCTGATGCCCACGCCGAACTTCAACCTGTTCAGCTCGTTAAAAGCCATCATGACCTTAAACAACTGGACTGTTTTCGGTATTTTGTGCAGCCAAGACGATATCATGTACTATTACGAGTGTGTCAACGGATTCGACATTGATTTCTGGGATAATCGCTTCTACGCTGGAAATGCCTATCAGCCAAAATTAACGACCCGCAGTCTCGAGGAGAACATTACGGCGATACTGCTAGACATGAAACACCACGTTCGCGGTCAGTGGGTAACATTCCGAAAACCTAGCATAAGTGCTGCACACCAGGCAGTGAATTTAAATTATTTGCTTGCGGCTAGATCCACATGTACAGTGATACTTTGGCAAAACAGTGCACTGATATTTTATGTTAAACAGTTCTATCCAGTTCGCCTGCCAAGAACTTGCATGATTGGGTATTTGTTTAGTTTGCCTTTTGGCGACCTTAAGTATTTGACTTACTGGTTAGTTAGTGATTTCTGGCGCATGCGGATTATTTGTACTTACAGTTATCTACATAATGGTTCTACCAAAACTGTTACGCAAAATACTGGTAAGTTTATCTGTGGTGATACCATATTATGCATTTCTTCGGTATTTCTTTATTGCATGTGCTGACAGATTGCCGCCTACCAGCTCAACATGACGAATGGTGATTTTGTAAGTTTTTATGAGGAAGCCGCAATTAAATTTCTTATTCCGGAACATCAGTTAGCCAATACTAAGTCGGTACTAAATACACTTATTCAAATGATTAAAAATAAAAACTTTTACTAATTAGTTTACTGCATTACTGCATTTATATCGCAGTAGCTCCCGCACCAAAATTTATTTTACATGTAGCTGCGCACTATTACGTTGAATTTATAGGCTTTTATTGCTGTATACCGCACACCAAGCTATGCGACACCTGATCCCCTGCACTGGAAAGCTTTTCAGGATGACAGTTATGAGAACTCCACCGATGATTACGTAAGTGAACCTAACGGTTAGCAGAATTCCTGTACATTATACATACTGTACATCATTAACATTTTCTTCGAGAGTGAACACAAGAGAATTTGACTATGCAGAAAGCCTTCCAAGCCTTTCAGTGCACCATCATCATTTCCGACCTGGGAATTAATTGGGAGAATCTGGAGAATTTCACGAAACGATCAGCCGACATGGCTAAAACTTTTTTGAACCGAACATACGGTTCCAACGATGTGGTATGATAAGAGAGAACCGATACGATCGCGATGCTTTTAGAATAATTGATGAACAGTAATGTACAAATTTTTTTTAACATTTCAGAACGATATGGCTTCCGTTTTGTTACTGGAAGTGGTGTCCGTTTTCCTTCAGGTAAGCTGTATGGATCCCCCTGAGACAAGTTAAACGGGATCTGTGGTTTGCTTTAATATCTGTGTATGTCCTCAAGGGACTGCAACGACTTCTGCCGCGGTTAAACAACCTGACCCCGTCCGAAATGATTACCGATTTGCTCAACCACACTTATGATCTTCCGTCCCGGCAAATTAAATTTGCGCCCAATGGAAAAAATATTATGCCAACGCCCATACTTCGCCTCAATACCACAAACGGAAAATTCGAGGTTAAGAGCTACTCTGCAGAGACCTTACTTACCAGTCACACGTTGCAAGTGCATATATTACGGTTTTGCCAAATTGTAATCAGAACCTCACCTCTCCTTGCCTCAGATAGCCGCCTCGTGTACTTATGATAACAGCAGTACGATTACGCTTGTGAACCCTTCGCTGTGGGCATGGTTCAACGGTCGACCGTTTCCTCCGGATGTGCCGCTGTGTGGGTTTGATAAGGATGAATGTTTGGGCGTGGAGTTAGGTAAATAATGCGTAGCTTCATGTGCGACGTACAATCGTCGATAGAGTCACCTTTTGCAGGAATAATCTTACCAGCGGCGCTAGCAGCTGTCATTCTCTGCGCAACAATCGTTGCTGCAGTGTTTATTAGGTGAGTCGTGAAACTACCTTAAATTACTGTACCCGCGCGAGTTTAAGGGACAGTAAATTCCCCTGGACCGCCCGCACTAGACGTCGGTTTCTTTGATGTCAAAGAAGCCGACGCCTAGTGCGGGCGGTCTGGGGCAGTTTTCTGTCCCTTAAGCTCGCGCGGTTACAGTATCATAAAAAGGGTGTCAAAGATATTTAAAGCTTAAGTGTTAGACTTACTTATACAGTATACTACTTAGCCTATAACCGATGGAATTTTAAATGTAGCGCGAAGTAAGAGTGCCGTTGATAATAAAACTTGACATAATGCTTCTTACAGGAAAAGAGCGGATGACAAAATAATCTCCGCTATATTTGTGGAGGACACTTCGCAGTTGCTCTTGACTGCCGCACTGACCGTGCCTCTGGACCACAGCGCATCCAAATTTATCGTTACTCACAACTCGAAATTTCGCAGTATTGTCCTAGACGTAAGTAAACATCCGTACGGCTTTATCTTCTACGCTGCAGCGCTGGTATAGTAGTATAGTAGAATAAGCTTGATTTTGATTCTCTGGTAATCACAGGTTCTGAAAATATCTCATCCCAATATTGCACACTTCCTGGGCATTAACATCACGAAGGGATCGCTGTCGTTAATGTGGGAATTTGACGAACGCGGCAACGCCGGTGATCTGTTACGAACCCGCACAGTTTTACGGGACGATACCATCAGGCTATCCTTATTATGGGATTTACTGCAAGTAAGCGATATCAGCTATTATGGAATAGCGTTATAAGGAATGACCACCTTAATTTTACCCATTTATATTAGGGCTTGTCGTACATCCATGCTTCGGCTCTGCAGTTTCATGGGACGTTATCCATTGAGGCATGTTTCATCAACCATCGATATAGTCTAAGAATTGCGAAACTGGGATGCTTCCATTTAGTGGAATGTCTGGAAAAGCAAAGTACTGGCAAGCAGTTTCCCATACTGCGCGATAGAGCGTTCCTGTATCGGGCTGAAGATGTGAAAGATTTTGGACTGATCAGTGAAATTTTCCATGGGCACAAAAGTGCGTTATAGATTGCTGATGACCTTTAACACGGCTTGTTGGTGAACATTAAGCAGGAAAACTAGTGCAACCAACAACGAATTGATTTTTCTTCTATACCTGCAGAAACAGACCTTTTAATGATGGGGACAGCGACAAAGTCCACAGTCGATCAGAAATGGCATCAGTTGACCCAACGGTGTGTGCAAGCTGATCCCGTTGACCGACCCAATTTAATTCAACTACGAAATCTTTTCGGACAACTGCGGCTTCCCAAAAATATCGCTGATTATGTAATGCGCCTGATGGATGAACAGAGTCAGCAGCTAGAAAGCATTGTACTGGACAAAACAAGGAATTTAATGGAAGAGCGGGAAAATGTTGATTTACTCCTGGCCGAGATTCTCCCGAAGTACGGGTACCGATCATTTGTTACAGATAATTATGGTTGTATACGTTTGTTTTAATCATTTGTACGGTGTGCAGATCAATCGTCCATCAACTGCGCAATAAGGAGGAAATACTTCCAGAAACATTCCACAGTGCATCCGTACTGTTCAGTGACATACCGGGATTCTCGCTGCTTTTATCGAACCGGTCTCCCTGGGATGTCGTCGGTTTGCTGAACAATGTCTACTCGGAATTCGATAAGATGTTCGGCCTTTACGATACGTACAAAGTGGAAACGATAAACGATTCATACATGGTGAACGATGGCATAGTTGCTACCTCGAATCGGTAAAAGTATGTGACCACTTGTTGTGCAGGTGGCCAGCGGAGTGCCGACACCCAACGGCACACAGCATGCCATGGAGCTGTGCCTGTTAGCGCTACAGCTGTTGTCATCAGCCCGAACGTGTCTTTCGTCTGACCGGCTCAGTGCTAGAATTGGAATCAATTCCGGTTTGTACGCCAAAGAGGTTCAATAACATCTGCAAATTTATTCATCGTATCGCATTCTAACTTGCATTTGTTGACCTTTGACAGGCCCGATCGTAGCGGGTGTTATTGGCAGCAAAATGCCTCGATATTGCTTGTAGGTGTGGTCCACTTGAGAACTTTTACACATAATAATTATAGAAACGATCCAAATTCTTTGAGTATGTCTGTGCAACTACAGTGCGGGTTTTTAGTCAGCTTACCGCATAAAGCACATGAACTTAAATCACGTTCAAAATTATCAGGTTTGGTGATACTGTGAATACCGCCAGTCGCATGGAAACACATGGCGAAGGTAAGATAAATGTTTTTCACCCTAGCATTATTAACAAATGCGGAAATTATTTAACTGCTTCGTCACCCGGCTGGAGTATGGCGTAATACATGTATTTATGCACCGAGCAGGAATGAGCATAAAAATGGGTGCAGGTACCAAGAACAAGGAAGCTACTTTTATGTAGGAGTAAACAAATGCTTTTTTAATACTGTAGCAGGAAGAGCCCATGTTAGCGAGTCCGTTGAACGCCTTGCCGGCGGTACACAGAAATTCCGGTTCGTGCTTCGGGGAACGCTCAATATAAAGGTACGTCAGAGATTTCCGGTTTGTACTGCCCAGATCCTGTAATGATTTATCAGACTAAGCGTTGTGCACGATTTTCCAGGGCAAGGGCGACATGAAAACGTATTGGTTGCATGCAGTTAGCGATACAATGCCCTTGTAACGCAACATCCAAATAACAGCATTCTTTGAGCTGGAGACATGATGTGTAGTTTATTTTCCTGCACTTCTGTCTTACGCTTGCATAAAATGCAATAATCGCTGCTTGGAAAGTCTTTGGTACGGAATCAAGCCACGCAACGTTTCCACAAGGACCGCAACACGTTGTAGTTTCGGGAAATATTTACACAGAGTAACGCAAATGCGCGTTATATAAATGTATGTTCTTGCCCACTTTTTTTGTGCAACAGTTGCCGTAGCCATTTCAATTCGCTAAGATTGTCAACTTAATATCGATTATGGCAAGTTCAGCGTATCTAGAATTTATGGATTAATATTTTGTTGAACAGGTGCAGAATATAAGGGCTAACGGGCTGATATACGTAATTAAGCTGACTTTTTTCGCTTTTCGATGTATAGCTAACGCTGAAAAAGGCGAGGCAGTCGATACGTTCGCCGTAGTTTGGATGATGCTCCATAACATTTTTTTTTCATGCTAGAAATCGATACTAACGATTTAGCGGAACTCGCGTTTTGGACTATTCTTTACGAAATTTACATTTTATCGATCCTGTGAGTTGATTTAGGATTCAGATTATGAACAGATTTCTGAATGGTAAATCAATTTTGTTTACAAGCACCAAGAAATACATTTCTTGATCTATTGGCTTTTACTCTCTGTACAAAATGAAGGTACGTATCTGTACAGTTGTACTTCTGTAATATTAAACTGTTATAACTGCACTCAGGCGAACCGCGAGCACTAGAGTTTTTACGTAACCGGATCGGCAAAGAAATTCAGCGAGGAAAGGCAGCGTCTACAAGGGAAACAGCACCACCGGCGGCGAATTTAGATCTATTCTGTTATTCGCCCCCCTGTGTTTGTAGACGTAGCTGTGTCAAAAGCTTGTGTTTCCTGTTTCTGACAATTTATGTAGAACGTGTGAAAATTTCGTTGCTCATAGCGCAAACAAAAGTGATACAGTAAAAAACAAAAATTTCAGTCGAAGCAAATCTGACGCCATGTATGTGATCAATAATTTCGCATAATTATCGGTCGATGTACTGGTAAACTGAACTGGCAGGATGGAACAGTAAGTAGTATTGTACACGTACTTTTACAGATGACGTAGTCCAGTGCATCGATCTTGTATTCATAGTAATTTCATACTTCTGCTCGTATTCATTTAACGTTGAGAGGAAAAGCACAGTCCAGTATTTAACATGTAATCAATACTTCTGGTAATCACTATGTACCATGTTTCTCAGACGTGTGTCATCTCGGCTCTATCCGCAAATGGAGCCTATTTAACTCTATCATTCGCTGACTTCCGTTGTTTTTCGTCATTATCACAATATCGTGTTCACCGTCAGTTTAATTCATGTTAAAAAAATTCCTCCGCGCCAGATCATGCGTTTATCATGCATAATTACCGGACACCATACTGCATGTTCATTATACTGTATGTACATGTGCTGCATGCACAAACTGGCGCTCTTAAGGTCAACTTTGTCTATGTGGGAATTGATGACAAAGCAGCGATTAGTTCGCGAATTCCCGGGTACGTTAATCCCGCTGTTGTTAATGTGACATTCGACATGGCGCGGGAAATGTATCCGGATTTGCTGGCCGATATGAGGGTCATATCTTTGGTCAGTCACGACACCGGTAATTTGACTGACCGGTGTGAGTTTGCTGTACGGTCGTTTCCCTTATTGGCCGAACTGTATGGGAAGGAACCGGATTTGTTCAAACCGATTAATAGAGAACAAATTACCGCGATTGTGGCCGGAGGTAATTAGTAATGTGTACTGGAAAACGCTGTATCCAGCTTATGTACAGTACACAAGAAAGTGTTGTGCTTACAGAGATATATTGTTTGGATCCTAATTTGGATATCGGCCTTTTTGCAAGTGGTTAGTGAATGCAGTACAGCAGTTTTTTTGAATCCCCAACTAAAATAATACCGTTGGTGTCTAATTTGTCGAGAAGGAGCTGTTGTTCATCGTGCAGTACTTCCGTCGCTTATAAGCCAAAATCACTGGTGCTTCACAACAGATCTGTTATGTTTACCAAGCAAAATCAAATGATAAACTTTCAATTATATAGCGGCTGACCTTTTGTTTCTGTCCGCCACATCTGTTACTAGCCTGTCCAATACCACTTATTACCCAACAACACTAAACATATATCCAACGCCCAGTTCTAACATGTTTGGATCACTGAAAGCCGTTATGACTTTATACAACTGGACAGTTTTCGGGATCCTGTGCGGCGAAGATGATGACATGTACAGATGGGACTGTGTAGAGGGTCTTCAGTTTTTCTGGGATAACCAATTTATAGCCGGAAATGCTTATCGCCCGAAACTGACGACGCGCAATATCGAGGAGAATACCACGGCAATCTTGAAGAGCATGCGACAGCATGTGCGCAGTAAGTGCAACAGTTTCATACAGAAATTGAACTACAACGTACGAAGCTGATCACTCCATTAACGCTAACGATTTTGTTCTAGTCATATATGTCATGGTGCTGCCAAAACTACTACGCAAGATACTGGTATGTATTAATTAACAATTTAATGGGGGATAAAATCGCGAACGTTTAATTTTGGCCGTTCTTGATAGATTACCGCATTCGACCTGAACATGACTAACGGTGATTTTGTAAGTTTTCCTTATCTACACTACGGGCAGTTTTGCGAAGCTTGGAGAACGGTTTTACTTGGGGAAGTAAATTATTCGCTCACTACGACTACTCGGGTAGGTATTCATAGCAGCTTACCGGCAACCGAGTTATCTTACGCCGGATCCACTTGACTGGAAAGCGTTCCAGAATGACAGCTATGACAGCGAGGCAGACGACCGTGTAAGACAATCTGCTCGTTATTACAATAACATGTTAATTTATTTGTGTTACAATAAACACAAACTCTGTTTATACAGAAGGCTCTGCAAGGATTTCAGTGCACCATTATAATTTCTGATTTGGGAATTGACTGGGACAACATGCAGAACTTCACAAACCGGTCAGCGGAAATGTCGGAAGTTTTGCTGAACAGAACGATCCCACCGAATGGCCAAGTTAGTCAAGTCACACGTGGTACTCGCAAATCTAAAATTCCAAAATGGGCATTTTATAGAGAGACCAAACGTCCGTCATGTTCTTCGAAGTTATATCCGTCTTTCTGCAGGTAATCGAAAACGGAAGCTAATATAGTCAGGTAACATTGCATGGGCTGATAAAACTTTGTTTTAAAGGGGTTACAACGCCTTCGCCACGTGCTGGATTATCTAACTCCTTCGGATGTGATCATCGATTTGCTCAACCATACCTACAACCTTCCGTCTAGGGAGGTCAAATTCTACCCCAACGGATTGAATGATGTACCGACACCCATAGTCCGCCTAAATGTCAGCAGTGGAAAATTTGAAGTATGTGCATACAAATCTGAACAAAGCTGGGCAAGAAGCACAGAATGCAGATGACTGCTATGCGTTTCTGTTTATGCTGATTATTGTAGATTGCGGCCTGGTGTAGCTATGACAATAATTCCCTTTCCATTATAAAACCCGTGCTATGGGCCTGGTTCGGTGGACGTCCCTATCCACCGGATGTACCACGCTGTGGGTTTGATAAGCACGGCTGTGACAGCAAGAAAATCGGTATGTCGCGCAAAATTGTAGCCATTCAAGTGTGACCAGCCAGAAGTTCTATGCCATGAGTCTTGCAGAAATTATTGCACCGGTGGTAGTGGTTGCGGTCATGCTGTGCGTGACCTTTGTTACAGGCTATTGTATAAGGTGCGTTACAACATCTGCTACCGTATTTCTAACTAACATTTTAACTAACATTATCAAGCCATAATGTATAGAAGTTGTAGTAGAATTTATATAAGCGCATTGCAAAGCTGTTCCCGGAAAATCCAGTAAAGCATATCTCTTTTTTAACAGAAAGAGGGCGAATGACAAAATGTTTTCCGCTGTATTGCTGGAGGACCCAAATGTTTCATCAGCATTGCAAAATGCTTCGTTCACAGTTCGTCTTGGACAGAATATACCCAAATCAGCCATTGTACGCAGCGCAAAGTCTCGAGCAATCGTATTAGATGTACGTAAAAATTTGAGCTTATGTGAACTATTGTCAAAATGCAACACTGTTAACTGTGCTTCTGACCTCCTGGATCAATGCTGCGTTCATCATGCTGCGCGTGACCTTTGGTACAACGTCAGTTTCTTTGGACAGGTATTAAAACTATCACATCCAAATATCGGATCGTTCCACGGCATCAGTTTCATCAAAGACTCGTGTTGGTTAGTGTGGGAATTCGATGAACGCGGCAACATTAGCGACGTTCTGCAGGCGCGTTCCGTGCTTCGGGATGACACTATTCGATTGGCTTTGCTGTGGGATCTTTTACAGGTACACTATCGTGGATGTTTACAACGGCAACCGTTCAGTTGTTTGTCACGAAAAATGTGTACAGTAAAAGCATTGTTGGTGACAGGGTTTATCGTACATCCATTCCTCCACCCTGCAGTTTCTTGGAACTCTTTCTCCGGAGGCATGCTTTATCAACCATCGCTATAGACTGAAAATTGCCAAAACGGGGTGCTTTCATTTAATGGAATGTTTGGGAAAATCACTAACAGCCCAACAGTTCCCCGCCCTTCACGACAAAGTGATCTATTTTCGTGCTGACGATGTGCGGAAATTTGGAGTAATTAGCCAAATGCTTAACGGAAATAAAAGTGAGTTTTATAATATTTGATTGCGTAACCAAACGCGATGACTACCTTTGTGAACCGGCATTCAGTTGTTTACTACGCAGAAATGGACGTTACAGATACGGAAGCCACAGGAAAGTCATTAACACAACAGAAATGGCGGCAATTAACGGAACAGTGTCTCCAGACTGATGCAGCACTGCGTCCCACTACGATGCAGCTGCAGAAACTCTTTGGTCAGTTGCGCTTACCGCGAAACATTGTTGACTACGTTCTCTGGCGGATGGACGAACAAAGTCGGCAGCTAGAATTCATCGTTAGAGAAAAGACGAGAAGCCTGGTGGAAGAACGGGATAATGTTGATGCGCTTTTGGCAGAAATGCTACCAAAGTAACAAGAAATTCAGAAAATGAAAAATACTTGCACTCAGTAGCGGTTGTTTAGGTCGGTTGTCCATAAGCTGCGCCTTAAGCAAGAAATCTTGCCGGAAAAGTTCGACAGCGCATCTGTACTGTTCAGCGATATCCCCGGATTTTCTCATTTGTTGTCCACGTATTCGCCCTGGGATATTGTATCGCTGCTGAACAGCGTGTATTCGGAGTTCGACAGGATATTCGGATTGTACGACACGTATAAAGTGGAAACTATCAATGATTCGTATATGGTAAGGACACTACATACGGATCAACCGAAAGGTCATGCCCGTAATCATTTGCTTTCAAAGGTGGCAAGCGGAGTTCCGACACCAAATGGGACGGACCACGCAGCTGAGCTGTGCTTGTTGTCGTTGCAATTGTTAACTTCGGCAAGAAGCTGCCTAGCTGCCGAGGAGCTTAGTGCTCGGGTCGGCATTAATTCCGGTAAAGATGTCAATTTTTTACACAGTCAGCGTTCGGCTGTCTTCATAACAGGGTACTTATTTCGCGACAGGACCGGTTGTCGCTGGAGTGATCGGCCGAAAAATGCCTCGATACTGCCTGTACGTGTGTAATTGCTGAATGGCCTGGCAATTTGATGAAGTATTTTGATTGGGTAGGTTCGGTGACACTGTTAACACAGCCAGTCGAATGGAAACTCATGGCGAAGGTACGCATTGTGAATTCTTTATGCGAATGAAATGTAACTGCAACTTGCATACTTTTGTGATTGTACATAAATTAGAAAATACATTACATATTTATAATCTGATCTGTCTGGAACAGCTGCCAGTTTATTACAAATACACTCACTTAGGAACTGTTTGGAAACCTAATCAATTAAGCGCTTGAAGAATACCCAAAATGATAATTTTTAATGTTCCTTTCCTTATGGTTAGCTGGCAAGGTTCACGTGAGCCACTCCGTAGAACGCCTCGCTTTCCACAGAGACAATCTTCGTTTTGTACTACGTGGAACTCTTTCCATAAAGGTTGCGCTATTACTTTCCGGTGCTTTGGCTAGACAAAAATAATGATTCTTTTGCAGAGCAAGGGCGAAATGCAGACGTTTTGGCTGGAGCCATTGAAATCTTTACAGTGACCGAACGACAATCTCACAGCGTACTACTGGAGTTTTCGCAAATGCAATGATGCTCTGCTTACGATTGCGGGGTTTGCCAATCATTGAACATGTCATAGTTCGTAATAATTAATTTTGCGGTTTGAAATGCAGACCTTGTTAAGAGACCTTGTTAATGTTCTTTTGTTAAGAGCGCGTTTTAAAAGGCTTGACTACTCAACAAAGCAATCACTAAATTAAAAATACGTTCAACGCAGTTTATGTTTGGTGATGATAATGCCCTACTCGTTTACCTATAATTATCTCCGTTGTGATCCTGCACGTACTTGTACCAGTTGTACGTAACCTCAGTTTATGCAGTAATTTCCAGTGATCACATGTTCTTTGTGATTGGACCGCCTGGGTCATCTAATGCTTAGCATTTCTAAACAGCTGTAAGTCAATGGGGGAAAATGATTTTAGAAATTCAAATTTCAGACATCTTTTCAATTCTCATAAGTCTAAAAAATCCAACTGGACAATTCGTACAAGCACAGTGTTTCTTTAAACATTCAGTTCCGGTTCTGCTTCCGGCACCAATGAGATGCTGCACATTTACACTGCAGATCTCATTTGTACGGCTACAGTACGTACGTACTCGTACTTAATCCGCAAGCTGCACGCCAGTGACGCCACTGCACGGTGCACATATACACAGTCGTGTCGGTTCCCAACTTCCCATACTAGTATATTAATTTTTATGATCGACTTATCCGTCAGAATGTGGGATTGCCAATTAATCAGCGATTCCTTTCCATGTTGTAGTTTTTTAGACAGTCAAACTGCCCTTTCTCGTACTGGTCTCTAAAACTGATATCTTTCAAGTTCATACTTCATACCGCTTAGAAACTTGATTGTGAGCTACCTGCGTATTGGCGACACTGGTCACTGTTTCAACCAAAGTGCTACCTAGCTAGCTTCAACAGGTGCCATCCGACGCAGGTTTGCTCCTTTACTTCGATCGGTAGTGGTACCCTTCTCAGTTTAACTTGGCCATGTCATCGGGACAAACCCAACCCTGTGGAGAATCGGCCAGTGTTCGTTCCTCTGTGGAGGGCGCCATGACTGGCCGACTCGCTGTCGGACTGCAGGAGATGAAGAGCAGTGGAGTTTTCTGCGACGTGGTGCTGAAAGGCGCGGAAGAGTCAGCCGCCGGGATCCCCTGTCATCGCCTGGTGCTCAGCGCCCAAAGTAGCTACTTTCGTACCATGTTTGCATCGGACTGGAAGGAGTCTTCTGAAAAAGAGATCCAGCTGCACAATATTCCGAGTAACACACTGCGCAAGTAGGTGCTCAGTATTAATTTTCATCCGAGGTTCATGTTGAGTTTGTGTTGCACCAGTTGACTTCCTGTAAAGCTGCGCCTGGATTTTCCCGTCATGAATATTTGTGATATTTGTATATTGTCTGACAAATTTTGTTTCGTTTGTATTCTAAGGTTGGTGGATTATGCGTACGCTTTGCCAGTTCTCATTGACCACGACAGTATTCAGCCACTGCTCGCTGCGGCGATATTTTTGGATTTCCCTCACGTCGCTACGCTGTGCTGGGATTTCTTGGAAAAGCACATGGATGTGTCCAGTTATCTGCAGGTTTCTTCGTTGGCCAAGATGCATAATAATGCGCGTCTAGCTGAGAAGACCAGAAGTTTAATCTTGCGTCATTTTGTGAAAATTGCTCAAAGCACTGAATTCTTGCTCGTCGATGCAGAAACGGTAAGCAGACATTCAGAAATTTGTGATGTTGGATGTGCAGTTTAATATACGGATTATACTAACAGAAGACCAAACAATGAACAATATCATGACGGTTTGCGGCATTAAATGAATTTTGCCTTTTTTAAAATTCCTTTCGCTACTCGTTTGGTTTGTAGGTAATGTTTTTGTTCGTTGTGTTCTTGTTTGTTATTGTGTTTGTGGCTTTTATTGCTGTTCGTTTTCGAGAAGTGGTTCACACTTCACACGGCAGTGCTACTGTACTTGATTGTTAATAGTTGTTTGTGAGTTCAGTTGAACGATGGCAATACCACGCTGTGTTCTTGATTTATGGCATTTTATGCATTTTTAGATCATGGAGCTGGCTGCTTCTGACGATTTGCGCGTTGAAAGCGAGGATGAAGTGTTTGAGGCTGTGAAACGCTGGTTTGATTACGACCACACTGGACGTCACGCACAGCTATCGGATGTTTTGCAGTACATCCGTGTGCCCTTTCTTTCGCCGAAGCGACTCGAAGATTATTTTTTGGCTCTTTTCAATGGGCTTATTAGCTCTACCGCATTGAATGGTTCATGCCAGTCCAACATTATCGAGCAACTTCCTGGTCGAAGAAGTGAAGCAATACCCTCTCGATGTCGGCCACGGGAATCATACGGTGAGCGGATGTTATTTATTTTGTTTGTGTCCAGTTAAGTGAACTACAGCAAGATAAGTCACTGCTGTTTAAATAAAGTATTGTGCCGTATGAAAAATGTAGCTTTCATTGAGTAACGATGCACTCTGCAGTTTGTCTCGTGCCACTCGTGTGTATTACGATGAACTTGCATTTGCATTAGTAATAATGCTTCTGGTTATATTGTTGCTTTCAATTTATAAGGTTCTCCGAAGGTGATAGTATGTGTTGGTGGCTTGGATCATGACGAGAACATACTGGATGCAGTGCAAATTTTCAGTCCATCAATCTCGGGTGTTTGGCTTCTCGAAAGATCAAAACGTCCGCAACCTGTAGCTGGATGTGGCTTGGTGACTGCGGAAGACAACTCGCTTATTATTTGTGGTGGAGTGGAAGCAAAAGCTTCGGATTGCTTAAAGCGAGTTTGTCAGCTGGATTTGTTAGTGAACGAGTGTACTGATCTGGCACCCATGCAAGTCGGTCGAGCTTTTGGAGGTGTAGCCGCTCTTAATGGCCGTATTTACGTGGCCGGTGGCTGCACCGATGAAGCTACCATGGAATTTTATAATGCAGATAAAGATGTCTGGCAGTCTGCGGCTGGTCTACCGCTTCCGTTGGTTGGCTTTGCCATGGTCGCTTCCCGGGACCGGGTGTACACGTTTGGAGGATGCTCAGAACCAGAAGCAGATCATCCTGTTAATTCCACCTTCTGTTACAATCCAGAAACGGATGCGTGGAGTAAACTAGCGGATATGCCAACTGCGCGAAGCTTTTGTAGCGCCTGTGTGGGTCCCAATGGCTACATTTACGTTATTGGTAGGAAGAGGATGGTACTTACGAGTACATGTTAACGTTGACATAGATTGTGTAAATTACCCACTGATTGTGTCATCTTAGGTGGCGAAAATTCCGGCGAGGCTTTGCGTTGCGTCGAAGCGTACGATCCGACGAGTGGTCAGTGGTTGAAAAAGCGTAAGTTGATTAATTGTGGCTGATTGTCTGTTGTTTTTGTTGGTAACAGTTTGACTATTTTTATATGTACATACTTTGTGTTTCGATTGGTATGAAGACGCGTCTTTCATTATGTACGTGCAGGTGATACGATCAACGAGCATTGCGCAGCTGGATATGCGTACGTGGATGGCAAGATTTACGTTCTGGGTGGCTGTTCTGAAGATACCGATTCGGATATCGAGGTGTACGACGAAGATGCCGATGTATGGAACCCGCATCCCTGTCGATTTTCAGAGGCCAAAACAGCCTTCGGCTGTGCGGTAATGACTATAAAAAAGGGTAAACAATCTAGCAGAAATCATTATTCCAAATCTTGCAGAAACAGGGAGCGCATTTTACTTGAATGAGTGAAATGCGTGCAGCACTGCAGGGTGCTGCTTGATTTTTAACTGAGTTGTGTTCGATAGGGCAGTGTCTAACTGGTCAACTGAATCTGGACTCTCCTTAACCTTGAAAGTGAGGGAAGTAAAGGACGGCGCTTCGGGATGCTGCGACACAAAACGTTTTACACAGCGGTCTTTCGAATTTTGTATTATGAGTTTCGAGATTCACTACAGAGTTAGGTAATGTTTTTTTTGTAATTAAGCAAGCCAGCTGTTTTGGCTCGTTGCACCTTGCAAATTTTTTATCTTGGACGATTATTTTATGTATTTATGAGTTTCAAAATAAAATTAGCCGTATGACATTTTATCCACAGTCATGTTTTACGTGACGTTTTCCATTTCTGAGTTTTTCACGCACATGGGGTCCGTCGGTTTTTGTACTTCCGTTTGTACAGCCTGATCTGAGTTGGCCAGTTGTGTGCTAACGATGCCAAACATGGCGTGGAAAGATTTACAGCAGATTTCTACAGCGCTAATCTTGTAATAGTAATTTAGTAATTCAAACAAATTCACATGTTCGCACTGTCTAAACTTAAAAATTGTGGGTTGGTTTTATAGCCGACTGATGGTAGTGTACCGTTGTTATCTGCGCAATTGTAATGTTACCCAATTCAGTTAAAACGCAGTATCGAGGTCGCGCTGCTGCTAGCCAGTGGCGCACGATCCAAAATTGAAATAACATGTACTAAAAACGCACGATCCTAACCATAAATTGAAAAACTTTCAACAACACTTAAAAGGCTGCCCTGCGTACCGATATTAAGAAGATGCCCTGCGTACCGATATGGGTATTGAATATTTAAGTATTTAGCGGATAACTGTCAGATAAAGGCACTACGCAAACCAGGAGCCAGCTTTCCAACAGCGAACACATGTTAGGCGCCGATTGGCACGTTTTCGTCACTTCCAAACAACGCACTTCGTCGATTCAGCTCAAAGATTAATGTTTTGGATTTATTTCCTTATGTTAGTTACCCTTACGTCGAATGTTTATGTTACAGTAATGTAGATGTGGATATGGAACACTGAACGTATCTGCAGCTGTTGATGTAAAGGCTGATCACGTCGATTTCCGAAAATGAGATGTGCTAGCAAAATTTATGGAACGACGTTCTACTGGTAGGTGCAGAACGCAAAACTCAACGTTTTGCTGACATTTTTTTCTGCTTTTTAATGTACAGTTAACGCCGAAAACGCGAGCCAGTCGATATTTACATATGTTCGCCATAGTTATGTGATGAGGCCTTTAACATTTTTGCAGGCTAAGAATCGATACGAACGATTTGGTTGCTTTATTTGCGTATGTATTCCAAATTACATTTACATTTTATTGATTGATTGAGTTAATTTATGAGTTTAAATCATGTACATTTCTGAAAGGCAATGCAGCTTTCAGTAGTTCTTACTGTACTTTTTATCGTCCAATTGTGCCAATTAGCTAGCTACAAAAAAGAGAAACACAACTGTACAAAGTAAAGGTAAGCACTTATGCAATATTTGCATGCGATTATTGAGCAGAAAAATAACGGCATTAGCAGAACTGACGTCATGCAATCCATAAGCTCGTATAATTTTCCGCTGGATGCACCAGCAAATGTTAACCGCGCCTGGTGGAAAACTATCGTATCGTAGTACACATAATATGTATGCATTTTATCGATATCGTATTCGTACGTTGGGAGCAAAAGCACAGTGCAATATTTGTAATGTAATCAATACTTCGGGCAATCATTACCAAGTTTCTCAGATGTGTATCATCCCGTCTCGATCCGCAAACCGGCACTTGTTTAACCTCATCATCCGCTGACTTCCGTTGTTGTTTAGCGTTATGACAATATCGTGTTCATCGTCAGTTTAATCCATATCAAAGGAATCTCGCCGCGTCTGCACCATGCATTTATCATGCATAATCACCACACATTATACTGTATGTTCATTATACATGTACTGAATGCCCACACTGACGCTCTTAGGGTCAATTTTGTCCATGTGGGAATTGACGATACAGCAGCGTTTAATTCCCGAATCCCCGGGTACATTAATCCCGCTGTGGTCAATGTGACATTCGACATGGTGCGGGAAATGTATCCGGATTTGCTGGCCGATATGCGTGTCATATCATTGGTCAGTCACGACACCGGTAATATCTTGAGCGATCCGTGTGAGTTTGCTGTGAGGTCGTTTCCTTTATTGGCGGAACTGTATGGGAGGGAGCCGGATTTATTTAAACCGATTAGTGCCGAACAAATTACCACGATTGTTGCCGGAGGTAATTATTTCCAAACAGGGACAAATGTTTACTGTTTCTAATGCCTAATAATAATAATGGTCTTGCGTTAAATTACAAAATCGTTCTGTTTTCAGAGGTGTTTTGTGCAGATCCTAATTGGGATATTGGCTTTTTTGCAAGTGGTTAGTGAGTACACAGTACACTTACTTAAATCACAATCTATCAGTTGTTATCGATCGCTAATACAGATATATAAAAACTGTAATACTTCATAGAAGGCAGTCTTTATGTTAAATTAGAGAAGCCAGTGTTTTTTTAGCAAAAGCAGACTTAATTTGATAGCGGCTGACCTTCTGTTCCTGTCTGCCGCTTCTTATGCGGATCTGTCCAATACCAGCTATTACCCAACAACACTTAACATATACCCAACACCCAGTTTAAGCATGTTTGGATCGCTGAAAGCCATCATGACCTTCAATAACTGGAAAATTTTCGGTATCCTTTGTGGTGAAGACGACGTCATGTATTACTGGGACTGCGTACAGGGTTTTCAGTGGTATTTCTGGGATAACCAGTTTATAGCCGGAAATGCTTATCGACCGAAATTGACGACACGCTATATCGAGGAGAATACCACGGCGGTTCTGGAGGCGATGCGACAGCATGTTCGCAGTAAGTAGAAAAGCTTAATCTTGTAAGTTCAATGCAGTCTTGTAACTTTGATGCTGTTACTCTTTTAGTTATTTATGTCATGGTGCTGCCAGTCTTGTAACTTTGATGCTGTTACTCTTTTAGTTATTTATGTCATGGTGCTGCCAAAATTGCTACGCAAGATACTGGTACGAATTTTTAAGACTTTCATGGTCCAAACTGCGCGATTTATAATTACCGTTCTGGATAGATTTCCGCATCCGACATGAACATGACAAGTGGCGATTTTGTAAGTCTGCTTTATTTACACGCACTACACGGAAATTGCGAAGTCAGATGCAAGGTTTTAATTTGGGAACCAACCGATCCGCTTTCCAGGTGTTCATAGCAGCCTACCGGCAGCCGAGTTATAGTACGCCGGATCCACTTGATTGGAAAGCGTTGCACAACGACAGCTATGACAGCGAGGCAGAAGACCGCGTAAGATGGCAAGAATCGATTAATTGTGCTGTTAGGATCGGTAAACTAACTTCTGTATTTATAATTGAATCATGCAGAAAGCGTTGCAAGGATTTCAATGTACGATTATAATTTCCGATTTGGGAATTGACTGGGACAACCTGCAGAACTTTACAAACCGATCGGCGGAAATGTCGGAAGTTTTGCTGAACAGAACGATCCCACCGAAAAGTCAAGTGAGTCAGATGTGTCACTCGCCATATTACAGTACTTAAGAAATTTCTTCTGGGATTTCTCGTTTATAGAAAGATGCTACGTCCGTCTTATTCTTGGAAGTGATATCCGTCTTTCTGCAAGTAATCTAAACCTGACGCTAATAAGATAACATTGTGCCAGCGGATAAAGATTGGCTTGGCGTTTAAAGGGGCTGCAACGCCTTCGTCCCGTGTTGGATTACCTGACTCCATCGGATGTGATCACCGATTTGCTCAATCATACCTACAATCTTCCGTCTAGACAGATTAAATTCGTTCCTAATGGAAAGAATGCTGTAGCAACTCCTATTGTTCGCCTGAATATCAGCAGTGGAAGATTTGAGGTATGCACATTCAAAACTGAATAAATGTTTGCATCTCTCAAGAGATTTCTGTTATTGGTTTTCAACAATCTTGTCTTGGTTGCTGCAGATAGCGGCCTCGTGTAGCTATGACAATTATTCCCTTTCGGTTATACAACCCGCCTTGTGGGCGTGGTTTGGTGGACAACCTTATCCGCCGGACGTACCACGCTGTGGATTTGATAAGCACGGTTGTGAGTAGTATCAATGTGAAGCGTGATAAAATTTCTACTATCTATTACAATTAGGTGATTCCTAACCAGTTTAAAAAGTCCGGTGGGTGGAAAAAAAATGCCCCGGTGGGCCTTAAAAAATACATCTAATAAAATTTTTATAATATATTTTATCATCTCTGCAATACTGTACTTGTCATCGCAGCACTAAGCTTTTCGTAACCTTAATGCTTATGACAGCACTGCATTCGCATAATGCATATGCCGCCGTGCTCTCATGACAAAAGAGAATACAGTACACTTGCATATAGTCAGTTTCACAGTGTAGTATTTCCGTGTAACCAGAGTTCCGTTTCGAACTGAATTGAATACTCACTGCAATTTCTGGATGCGGGCTTTATGTCCCGTATGTGTGCAACAAGTGTAGCGCTTTTCAAATACAGGAAGGCTCACGTAATAAGCGAGCAAAAATCGAACTCGTACATACTACGTACTGCACTCGTTAATGCACTGCAGCATCGCTAACGCGTTCGATTTTTGCCTTGCTCGCTGGAAGAATGCGCGGTATCCTTTGATCTCCCGCTGGCAAGCAAAATCGAACGCAGTGCTGCTCTGCATAGTCTTGTCCTGTGGAGGAAAATCGAACTGGTTTGTACGCACATGACAATAGCAGTGCATCTTCACCGTACGCTCTTCGCGTTCGATTTTTGACTTGCTTGCTGGAAGCACGCGCGGTGCCCTTTGATCTCTCGCTGGCATGAAAAATCGAACGCAGTGCTGCTCTGCATTGTCTTCTTATGTGGAACAAGATTGAACTGACTTGTACGTACAAGACAATAGCAGCTGCATCTTCACCGTATATTCTGCGTTCGATTTTCAACTTGCATACTGGAAGTACGCACGGTACCCGTTCGATCTCCCACTGTATGCAACAAGTGGATAAATCGAACTCCGTGTACAACGATAATGCTCTGCATTGTCTCGTTCAGTAAGCAAGAGCAAGAGGAGCAATTCTCGTTCTCTCTTTTTGCACCACGCACGCTAGTTTTATTTTTCCGATTTCTCTCGGCAGCACAATCTAGCTTTTTTATAAACCATTGTCTAGCTGTCCACCTTGCATTTCTGCAATAAACATGCCTAACGTATTATACTGTTCGGTTTGTCTGGACGATGAAAGCGGGCAGTGGGGATGCTTGCCCGAGTGTGGGCACACGTTCCATCTCCACTGTATATACCACTGGCGGGCCGTAGCCAACTGCCGATGCCCGCAGTGTCGTGTGATGAACCGGAAGGTGGTGGTCATGTATATCAACGGCCCAGCTGATGAAGCAGGACCACCGGGGCCTGCTGGACCACCGCAGCCGGCTGGACCGCCACTACCGGCTGGACCGCCGGCGCTGCCGGTAGGACCGCCGGTTGGACAGCCGCAGCCCGCTGGACCACTGGCTGGACCGCCACAGCTGGCTGGGCCGCCCGCCCTGCCGGCAGGACCGCCGATTGGACAGCTGCAGCCCGCTGGACCACAGGCAGGACCGCCACAGCTGGCTGGGCCGCCCGCGCTGCCGGCAGGACCGCCGGTTGGACAGCCGCAGCCCGCTGGACCGCCGGCAGGACCGCCGCTGCCGGCTGGGCCGCCGCTTCCCGCTGGACCGCCGGTTGGACTGCAGTTGCCGTTTGGAGCACCGCCTCCGGTTGGACCAATTCCACTGCCGCTGGTGGCACCTGTTGCACATGCTCCGGCCGCGGTTAATCCCCACGGGATCCCCAACACCAACTTCATCCGCTCGTGGGTGTTGCAGCACATGGAATTTGGGCCGGGTACGTTTCGATTTTCAAAACCAGCATCATTTAACATGGTGCAGTATGAACAGTACTTGTACATACAAAAAGCCAGCCCATAGTTCGAACAGAGAAGCGATTGTTTGCGCAATATGTATCATAGGTACATGCAATACCGCGAATAGTTATAATAATTATTACGCGTAGTTATCCTCGGTCAGCGCGCTATTCTTGTTTACGGTGTTGAAATTTGATTTACGTAAATTGTATAGTTGTTTCTTTTGTCATGTCTGTTGTTATTCAGTATTTATATTTTATTTTGATTTTTTTTAATAGTTTATATCGCAATTGTTTTTTTTTGTTTTTAATTTATTTTTATTAACAAGTTTTTTTTCAATTTAGGTGCAATTCTGTTCGTGGACGAGGTCAACAACTTCCTACAGCAGTACATCAATGTGTACGACGTCATGCTTCGCTACCCGAACAGCAACACTAGGATTACGCTGGGTAAGGTGCTGCGGGAAGTGTTTGGAATTGGGAGAGCGTACAATCATGGTCCCGCCAATGCCCGCCAGCGATACAGTGGTGTGCAGCTGAACGATGAGGGCGCCGCGGAATTCATTAATCTCATGGGTTATGACATGTACGCCGATTAATGATTGTTCGCTAATAATGGTGACATTAATTACGATGTTGTCCTAAGACGAAATGTCCGTAAAACCAAATATCCCGCGACGAACTGTCGCGTATGCGTATTGACTGCTCTTTATTATTAGTGTTAATTTTGTTATTGGTTATTTGTATTCGCTAATAAGTTTCGTTAACGGATTCTCAGCTGTTTTTTTTTGGTTCGTTGTTTGTTTGTTGTGTCTCCAATTCGGTTTTGCTTGTGTTGCCGGCTTTGGTCTTAATTATTATTATTATTATTATTAACATTTATTTGATTATTAATACCGTTAAAATAATGTTGTTACATAATTTGAAAAAGGAATTAATCGCTGTATTTCTTTTTGGGCAGTTTTTATTATATTTTCGTGCGTAGACAATCGGCCTTAATTAACTGTTGAAACATTAAGGACACCATTTGGATTAATTGCGCTCATAAATTAAATTCAAGCATCGGGTGCTTTGTGTCTGATACGTAAGGCCATAATAGTACAAAAACCTTTAATAAGTATCATGGTACGAGTACAAACTATGCACCAGAACAAAACGGCATTTACAAAAGTAACACTTCCTCTATGCTATGGGAAAATGTCCGAAATGGGAAAAAACGGTTATTCCAAAAAACAGGTATAATGATAAGAATGTCATGCGTAATGACCACATAGTCTGCATTTTTTAGCGTTAGTTTTTTATGGTGTTACAACTCCGATCCTCTGAAAAATTAAAAGCTGACGGTGGCAGAGCTTATCTATTTTTGCTGCGAATAAAATTCTAACAAATCGTTCACACAAAATACAAAACAAATGCTAGTGAAACGAACAAATTAACAATTAATAACCAATCACTGATGCCAGTTGCAGTCCCATATTATAATTATTATTTTCATTATGGCTGCGTGCAATGGTAAACCTTGGTGTTGGCTGTAGGGCACGGAATTCGGACACGAGCGTTGGCTGCATGCACGGTGAAAATTACTTTAAGTTTTTTAATTTAAATTTCTATTTTAATTATCATTTTTTTTTAAAAATTGCTGCTCGTGGAAAGTTACTCACTTAACCCATAATTTCTCGAAAATACCTACCGCAAGTACTGCGAAATTTGCTGTACATAGCAGAGTACCATGTTACCAGCTAATGCTTGTTAGTGCTGAACCATGAAGTACATGAGTAACCGTGAACCGTGAGAAGACGTTAGAATTACTGTAATACGTTTTTTCCATGAAGAGTTTTATAATAAATTAAAGCCATTTCTATGTTACAAAGCAATGGATGTGAGAATTTCACGTGAGAATTTCTGTAATATAGCCATGGTACGCATACATACTGTGCACGCAGCCAACAACCGGGTTTTCTAGTGCACGCAACATCGACCAAATATTTTACCAAAAGAGCGCATCCTATGATAAAAATTAGTTTTTTTGTGTATAGAGTGCATAATGTTATCGATTAATGCAGGTTTGTAATGAAGAATTACATCTCATCGGTGCTAGTTCAACCGGAGATATCCAAAGGTTTACATGAACAGAACCGTTTATTTATAAGAAGCAACGCTATCAATTGAAATTTAAATTGTCAACTATGGCGATCCGTATCGTTCAGATCATCTTTAGCCATATATGGCTGTCCAATGGAATCAAACCAAAACTACTATATATAAGCAGTGGGTTAGAACCGAAATAATAATAAAATATTATGAAAACGAATGTACTAAGGTTTCGCAAACTCTAGTTGAGTCACTTTACTTCTCAAACAATGTTGAAGTTACCAATATTTCAAAACTTTAGTTTGACTATTACAAGCACAGTTCTTTTAAAAAGTAATAATTGTTTCTTTGAAGGTTATGTAGGAAAAGTTCTCGTTAGGGTCTCGTATATGCGAATGAAACCACTGCTACATAGGAGTTACTCAAACACTTGCAAGTTTATGTTCGGGTACAAATGTGTAGTGCGTCGGAGACACAATCGTACGTTATTACTTAGCTTTTATTTTTACGTAACCAGCACTAAAACGTTAGCAACGAGACAATGTACCAGTTTTTGACGGACACACAACCATCGGTTGTAAAACGGTTACAGGCCGTATCGCAAGGTTACATGGGTCGTCGTGACCGAACAACACGGTAGCGCTCGCGAGAATAGTAAGCAATGGTATGGTGATAAGCCGCCATCCGGTGGTGGTGGTGCGCGTAGTCGGTAATCAACTCTACAAATGTAGAACCTTAGTACCGTACTAGAGGTTCTACTAATTACAAGTACTTACCATGCAAAGTAGTCAGGCGCGCAACGTAGTTAGCAGGTGGTCCTTGGATGACGTCCTCCAGGCGGTAAGCGAGTGTCAGCAGTTGCGTTTCCATCTCATGGTGACGCATTCCCAGGACAGCTGTGGTATACTGCGGTGAAGGTTGCTGGGGGTGGAAGTCATAAGTACCGTTACACTCCGGTGGTGGCGAGGCTGGTGAGTCGGACACAACAGGCGAAACGTTAGGTGTGGGCATTCCGTCCAGTAATGAGGAGCTGTTCGTGGCAAACTGTGGCAAGCTGAACCGCGTTGGCAGTTGTTGATCCCGCTGCTGAGATGCATAAAAGGCAGGTTGGAACGGGGCATTGTTAGGTGCGGACTGATAGTAAATGGGTACGCACAAATACGGTTGTCCAGAATTGTTATCCATAATGCTAATAAGGTGGAGAACACTAAAAAAAAAAGAAATTGGTAAAAAACTGAAAAAGCTTTGGAAAATACAACTTAGTTATCGTAGAGAACTGGACACTTATATAATGCTTTCAGTAAGTGTACGGTAACTTTTGATGGTTACCGTAACTTAGACTCGTTACTACGTACAAGGTTGACCTTCAACCAATCAAAAACGGCCGAATCCCGTTTCAGTACTGTAATTGCAAAAAATTACCATATTCAAGCCTGCTCCCAAGTACGTAAGATTGACCCTCATCCAATCGGGATTGGTAATTGTTTAAGGTGATGCTGTAATTTTTTAAAGTTACTACCTATGGGAGATGGATCATAGGAACGTAGTATTAAGATAAAAAAACGATTCCCGAAATAAAACTTGATTTTTACAACGTTGTTGATAATATTTGCAACTACTATGGAGTACGTTACGGATTTAAACGGGCAAGTGCTCGGTAATCCTAGTTCAAGTTCCGCCATCGATTACGGTTGGTTATACGATGCTTGCGCTGACCTGGGTGCCTTTATGTCGAACGACGTTACTGCGGAACATAATGAGAAGACGAGCGCCCCCGAATACTGTGAGTATAATTAACTAGTTTGCTAAAATCATTTTCCCTTTCGTAAACTAAATTGGCTTGGCTGATTACGTAGGCTTGAACGAATCTGTGGTGCCGGGTGCAGATTATTGCGGAGCTGCTGTTCCCATGCAGTTTGATGAGCGCAACACAGGTATTCAATGTCTGCACTACAGAAAACGTATATTTTCGCGCATTCTGTTACCTTTATAGAGCTTGCACCAATCGAAACCGCAAATGCAGGAGGCTTGACGTTTGATTGGTTGACCGGACCAACGATAAGCATCATAGACGAGAATTTCATGGTACCGACGGAGCTTAACAAAGGTATGGGTCACTCGATCTAATTTTAATTTTCCAGGTTTATAAAAAGATACTGGAATACGTTAATTTTTTGAACGTTTAAAAATATCAATGTTCGAGACATTTTAGTACTAAAATAAAGCTTTAGTGGCTTAGTACGAAACTATGGTTTGAAAACCCAGTGACAAAAGTAAAGTTGCCGAATCTTTTTAAAACATTTAAAAAATAAATCCTAATTATAAGAAAATCAAAAATACTAAGGTTTCGAAAGCTCGCTACCGGTACTGTGGTATCATCTGTTTATAGTGGCCATACAGAACCAACTCGCCACGACCAACTCCACTGTGCCGGTTCCCGACTGGGTCAGTCAGGCGGTCAGCGTCACAATATTGAACCCCATTCCACCCGTGTGGACCCGCACAAACACCCTCACGTCCACTCATAAAGCGGTTCCTCATGCTTTGCGATCCGTTCCATGGGATGTGGAGGCTGAAAACCTGCTGATCTTCTTCGGAACTGACTACGACTGGCAGGGATGGTTCCAGCATGCCATGCTAGTGTTCCGGACCAAAGACGGTATGATGGAGGTCACCCTGCCGGAGCTTCAAGGATTCCTGAAGTATGCATTTGACCGCGGTTGGTCCAGGGATCTCGCATCGGCACTGCCTTCCCAAAACAAGCGAAGCATTCCTGACAAACCGTACCGCAGACTGAGCGATACGCTCCGTATGCGGCATCGTATGTTTTCGCACGGTCGGAATAAGCAAACACCGTACATAACGCTCACTCGTACTACTCATTTTGGAACTTTTGTCAGCACTCTATGTGTAAACGAAGCGGCATTTTCCGCCCTAGTTAAATTGCGTACCCAGTTAGAGATACTGGTGCCTGTCACTACTCCGTTCCCTGTACTGGTCGAGTAATAAAATCGGTGGTAAAATTGAAGTTTTTATTAACTGTAACTCATTACATCATACTATCAAGTTGGTCAATATCATCCTCAAAAGCACTATGACATGAATCTTCATCAGAATCGCTTTCATGGTACATTGTTCTGCCAAACCACGGTGCTCGTCGCATCCAGTGTGCACGAACATAATACAAGCGCTTGGTCAATTTATGCAGTTTAACAATTTCATTAATGAAGGCTTGACCTTTTCGTTCTTTCAAAAATCCACAGGCAGGGCTGTAACGGGCATGGTGCACGTCCAGATCTTCCAACGGTAGCAAGTCCTTGATCCCAACGCCGCAATAGAAGCAGGTCATGCAGTTGGAGCACGTGGAGTAGAACCCAGCTGCTGCAGCATATTCGGCGGTGAAGGTGAACATATACTTCCGGGCTTCAGCGTCGAAACTTTCAACACGGGCGTTATATCCAGCCATCGAAGGTTTGAAAACGGTTGACATGATTTCTAGAATTAACCGTTCGCAAAGGTCGTTTTTATACACATTAGGGAGTAATCTTGTAGAGTGATACGGTAACTATTGAAAACTACTGTAATAATTTGTGGTGACAAGG